AAGTACCAAAATTTCTTATTCAAACTAAAGACAATAAACCTAAAGCATACAAAGGATATAGTAATGATGTGAAAAATTCATTTTTAGTTGCAATGATAGTAGTCGGAGTTATATCTTTGATTTTAATAGTATTTTGGGCAGGTCTCCTCTATAAAAGAGTTTCGCAGTTTAAAAAGTTAAAAACTCAATTAATAAACTTGAAAAAACCGTCTCAGATTGATAAAAGTTTGGAGCATTTGTCGCTAACGTTACAGTATCAATTGATGAATGAAAAGGCTATCATCGGAGATAAACAAAGAACAGACTACGAGCAATGGTGTGATGAATACTTTCAAGCAATGACACTCTCGGCGTCGCAATATTGAAACAATATTGTTACTTTATTTTGCTAAGGTTTATTGATAAAGTGTATCATTTAACGCATACTCTCTTTTTCGTGATTCTGGTGCTTTGAAACTCAGATGTGAAAATTATATTATAATTTTTGAAGGAGGATAAAGAGTGAGTGATTCGGAGAATTCTTCTAAAGTAGCAGCTCCTCCCGTCTCCAGTATTTTTAGCTTAAGAGCCTGTTTGGTTTCCTCGCCACCCTCCTTATTCTCATCTGCGGTGGGATTACCTAGAATTCTTACGCTTAGCTTCCTTCTTTTTTCGCTTAATCTTAAATGGTCAATGTACCATTTTCGAACATCTTCCAATTTTAGTTTCTTCAATTCATCAATTTCTTTGGTACGCCTGTCAAAGATGTACGTATCATCAACGATTTCACGCCACCATCGACAAGTTGGTTCTGTAATATTTGTATCTTCGCAAGATCTCCATTGAATCATTGCTTCTCTCTAAATAGGTAGGGAAATTAACAAAATTTTAATATTTGAATTTCATATCGTCTTTCTGCTTCTAAAAAATGTATTAGTTTCATTTTCTAAATTAACAAAACAAACATATTACCTGACTCTCAAACATCGATGATCCCTTATCGCTGAAAAGCATTTCATCAAATTCAGCAAGGAAGTCTTCAATACATTCGTTTAATTTTTCAATTGTAAACTTATTCGCTTGGCTATAAACTGTTATGGAGACTGCTAATATACCACAAGTGACCCGATGAATAACTTGCACTGTATAACCCAGTTGCATTCTGGTTCTTAGAATATTAAAAGCTGGTTCTTCCAATAAATGCTGTGTATCAAGTTAAAATCTTATTATTGGATTATCAAAAGGCTTTGAAAGAAACTATCATTAAAAATATTAATAATTTAATTACCACAAGCAACTGATTGGTTAAGGCTTCTCTACCCGTACATGGACCGTGTTGATAATAATTTGTAATCACTGAAATCACGTCATTTTTGTTGAAATTTTCGGCTGAGATCGTTCTTTCACCCTCAGGAAGAGATTTACACGAACCCTAAAATTAAAGTTATTAAAAATCATTCAATACAGAGGTAAAACATTTACTAACAAAGAGTTTCTTCCTCATTTCAGGGCTAAGGGGTTTAGAATTCAGATTCGTCTTGATGACATTTTCAAGAGCGAGGGCCTCCTGATATTTTTGAAAAAATATATATGCATATGTTTGTTTAATATATATGAATATGACTAAAATTCATTACATCAGGTGTCATGTTTCCGTGTACAAGACCTTCTATGTAAAGATTATTGATAAATTGTTTAGATAGATTCAAAACGTCATCAATTGTAATCGATTCTAGAGCTTCCCTCATCTCTACCCTTCCCCAATATGGTTTCATTAATATAGACAATCGTAGTTCGCTGTACAGTAAAAAAACATAATGAAGTAGAAAGAAAACGCTAAATAAAAATATAGATATTACCTGTTCAACTTTTGAGGTTTTATTACAGTATTATAATAATTGCGCTTAACAAGATCTTTAACTGCAGTAAAGAGATCCTCTTTAACAGTAAAGTTTGCAAAAGCATTTATAATACTCTCAAAAAGTTTCTGTTTTTTTATTTTAAAGAAAATATTAATGCTTTTTTTTATTAATAATTTTTATTATTTCAATCTTACTTGAAGTTTATCATTGAATCCTAACAATTTCAATTCGGCTCCGCTTTCGATACGGTTTAAATAGTATCTATAAAATTGCAAAAACATAATCAAAAGGAGTATAAAGAACGCTTAAATAAGCTTACTTCAAATGAGCCATTTCGGCATCGTAAACAATCTCTGTAAGATTTTCTTCAATGATTCGTAAATATATATCAAAAGTGGCAGTTCTAAGAAATTAAATTGAAATATTAAAGGTTAATTAAAAGTTTATTAGTTTGTCTTTTTTTACTGTTTTGGAGATTGCAAGACTAAAGGATTTGCCAAGTAAAAGCAGACGTAAGCTGTATATTGAAAAGTAAATTTTTTACTATATTACATAAATATTAAGCTTAAACAATAAATGTACCTCTTGGAACGTTAAATGTAGAATCTTTCTTAAAACGTAGAGTTAAGAGTTCACTTTTCGATAGTACAACTGGAACCTGAAAAAAACGACAATAAATAAATAATACAAAATTATTTTTTGGGTAATCATGATTTTTTAAAACAAACATTTGAATTGTCTTTGTACTCCTTTAGAGCAAAATTCGATGGTATAAACTCATTCGGGTGTGGTAGATGGAAACTTTCGTCAGGTACGCAATCTTCATAAAGTAGTCAAAATTTAAGTGATTAAATACTATATATATAATTAATTATATATCTTACTCTCCCACTGTTGATACTGTTCCTCTGATATAGCTTTACAAAAAAAACAATAATGAATATATAATACAAATAGTGTATTATTGTGACAATTACCTACTACTCCATATTCTGTTCCAAACCATTTTTCATTAATATTAGTATTCTCTTTACTGTGTTCCTGAGTTGAAAAAAATATATGACAACTTCTTGCATCCAATAAAAGAGTTGCTTTTTGTATCATCTGTATAGAAGGATAAACGTAGCTAGTTTTTAATCTAATTTCATTAAATAATCGATAGCTTACATCAGGATCGTATTTATATAACAAATGTTCACCAGTAATATATTCAGATACTTCATAGGTTTGCATATTGTTACACAAATTGGTCACGTAATCTGAAGGGTCAGTCTGAAAAATTCAGTTTTTTTGAAATAAAAATTATACATAGATTTCTAACAATTATATTTATAAAACCTCTTCCTTAAATCTAAAATTACATTCTTCTAAAGTTTGTATTTCTTTATAAATGCGTTCGTTTGGTCCGGAAAGCCGAAGCATTTTGAGGTACTGATCGGAAATATTGAAAAAAAATTATTTGTGAAGAGATTTGTGAAGAGAATACAATATATGCTGTATAATCGATGTGTTTTATTTACCTGGAAAACAGCAGCAAGGATCTCATCCGTATGTTTTAGACCCTCTTTAGTCATATATATACCAATACTAAATAATGAAGAAGTATCATTTGATTCAAAACCGCCTTTGCCATTACCGGCGTGAAGAGAGAGAGCCCAGGTGCGTTTTTTCAAATATGACAGCAAGCTTCCCTTACTTTCATGACCAATTAGCCAAGATAAGTACTCTAAGGGTTTCACCCTTAAATAACAAAATATGATAAATATCAACTTATATTGCAAATATCATAAAATACTCTACAAGTATTCTCGTGCATAAGAAGGAAGGGACCAAGTTATTTCCAATTGATGAAAGATTTTAACAGTTTTCACTAAATTAAAACATAATAATTACTAATCATAATTAATAGATCTTAACAAGTCAATACTTTACAATGTAATAATAGATAACAGTGTACAGAGTTTATGCCCTTTAATGCTCGTGAAAAATATGTAAATTACCTCTATGCATACAAGTAAAATTTGAAGTTTTGAAAGGGTTTTGATAAATTTCATCCATAAATATTGGTTTTGGGAGTTTGCTGGTGGAAAGAGTATGTTTGATAGAGTCGTCATAATGAATACAATTTACAATTACTTATTTGAAATTTTTCCATAATATTCGACTACCCAATTTTGAAGCGTGTCAAGATTGTCTAAAAGAAATAAGATATAAGATTTTGCATGTATAAAGAATAACGATTCGTTTGCAATATACTAACGTTTAGATTGGACAGCTAATGTCATATAATGCGAGGAATAATGCCTTGCGTAGAATTCTTTCAATTCCTTATAAATATCAATACCCTTTGATTCTGGATCGATTTTTAAGGATTTGCTATTTCCTTTTGAAAGTAAAAATAAGTTTCCAAGTTAGATTTTTTATCGGTTGTCAATTGCAATCATAGGTTACCCCACATAAACTTTCCCATAGGATGGTCGGTTGACGATAGAGAGCCAAGAAGTTGTTCTTTACGATTTCCATCAGAATTTTTTCCAATATCAAACTCTAGATAAGAAAACCAATTAATCATACCTTTGAAGTGGAAGGAATAGTTTTTACGAACCACTATCAATAGCTTTTAACTCTCTATCAATACTGTCCTTGGACATAAGTGGTGCAACAAAGAAATTTGCAAGACGATCCATTCCTTGTCCAAAATTTTTTCTAGTCATATCAAAATAGAAAACCGTCTAATGAAACAAACAAGACTTTAAACTATTTATAATTAGATAAATGAAAGCATACTTTATCACAGTCTGTATATGCATTAGAGCCTCCGCCATTTTCTTGGAGAAATGCATCAAATTCATTTTCTTTCGGATATTTTTCACTACCCATAAATACCACTATAGTGATATAGATATTGTAAAATTAACAGTTGTCAAGAAAAACATAAAAGCTACTAGTCTTACTATGTTCTAGGAAGTGAGCCATTCCTGGCATACACTGAGGATCGGAAAAACTGCCAATACCGATGCAAAGAGCTGCTGCTGAGAGCTTTTCTCCTCCCAACTTGCAATCTCTTTCATCTCCCTCCGCCTCGTTTTCTTCCCCCTCGTCTTCACCAGATAATGATTCTGGAGTATTTTTTGTAATGACTTTATACATCATCTTTAATATTAATAAATAATCAGTTGCATTTTTACCTTCTCCTGATGAGTCCTCACCCTCGCTCATGGGTTCTGCAGCATTATGCAAATCTAGAGCTTCTTCTGTTTCACCATCTCTTAAATCCGAAATTAGCAACGCTCTCAAGCCGTTTGGTAATTCAATTGCACTAAAAAGTTTTAAACTTAGTAACTTATTTTCGCTTAAAAATTACAGCTGTAGTACTAAAATATGGTAGCATGTTTGGTTAACAGTGTCATTGCGAAAAGGTGAGTTTTTCATGAAAGAATAAAAGTTTTAGTGTTAAAGCTTTTCAATTTTTTATAATATAGAAAGGCAAATAATACACAAATCAATACTTTATTACCGATATGACTTTTTGTCATTAGGTGACTTTTTCACTTCTCCTAGTAAGACAACCATGGTACCGAAGGAGCGATTTTAGGAACTCTGCGAATTTTGTCTCAATATCTTGCGTGTATGAAATTACGAGCAATGAAGTATGAAATACTGCAAAAGATATATTATAATTGAATTAATTTTGTATGTAATGCACTTTAAACTGTATTGTGATAAATATTAAAACTTTACATGAAACTTCTTTGAATTATTTCTGCGCGTGGATGATACAACAAAAAAAACAAATAAGAAAAATTAAATTTCCAATATACATAATTTTATTATGACAAAGAAATTAAATTGAGAAATTTGATTCAAATTTATTTATTGAAAAATAAAAAATTTTCAATCAAGAACTCTTTGTCATTACACCACCGGAAGTCAATATACGGAAGTACTGATTTCAGTGAAATTCCGCCGGTGATAAACCATTCTCTCTCGAAATTCACTAACTTAGGACCTAGTTGTGTCGACAAAAAGAAGTATAGTAAGAACTAGGTACGTTTGTGTTTACATTGAACTATTTATTTATTTTGTTGTTAACTTCAAAAGCCATAAATCAGAGACATAACAATTTAATGTAAAACGAATATCAATGACGTTTTGGAATATCGACATCTATATATTTTTATAAAAATATTCTCAATTAATAATTTTACAGATATGGCCGCTAGTCGTAGATTGGCTAAAGAGTTGAGCGATATCAAAACATCTGGATTAAAAACCTTCCGGGATATCGAAGTTGATGATGCGAATATACTATCTTGGAAAGGAATTATACTTCCCGACTCAGCTCCGTACAATAAAGGAGCGTTTAAAATAGAAATACATTTTCCAGCAGAATACCCTTTCAAACCCCCTAAAATAACATTCGTTACCAAAATCTATCATCCGAACATCGATGAAAAAGGCCAAGTATGTCTACCAATAATCAGCACTGACAATTGGAAGCCAGCAACGAGAACGGATCAGGTAATACAATCATTGATTGCTCTTGTTAACGATCCAGAACCGGAACATCCATTACGTGCTGATTTAGCCGAGGAATTTACCAAAGATAAGAGAAAGTTTATGAAGAACGCTGAGGAACACACAAAAAAGTGGGCTGCCAAGCGTCCCTCCGACTCTTAAAAGAGGCGTTGGTGTAATACGCCGTCCTGCTTATGCAACTTGTACACAAAAATACTTTCCTCAATAAATAAAACTAGCACTTTGTAATTTTTCGTTTGCTGACCAATAGTTATTTAAGTATCACGATGTTTATCCTGGCGAATCATCGTCTTTGTAACTTGAATCTATGTAAAAGTAAAACGAAAGTGTGTGAGGCCATATGATTATGTTAACTAATCAGTCTGTCATCCTTCGTATGGTGATTAACTGAATATCTGTTCAATAAATAAGCTTTTCGAGTGCTGCAATAGGATTTTAATGATTTATTGCAAAATTCTTAGTGTAATTTCTTTTCAAGTTGTATGAATAATGAAAAATTCTACAGTGAAAAAAAGGAACTAATTTATCATATAACACAGATGGCGATACTGCATCGAACTCTTTTCATCTGTTTGCTTTGAAGAAACAAAAGTAAATAAAGCCATTCATATTAAAAGATTTTATATTGGCAGGAAAATATAGAGTTAAAGAAACTTAAAATAAGACTTATCAGGTATATTTTTTTTTACGAAGAAAAGACTGGTTGTAGGATGGAAATCTTACTTGATACTTTAGAATCGGTTATTTTTCTTAAAGTAGCAAATATAGATAAAGTTTTTAAACCATATTGAAAAATGCTATTTAAAAAATATAATAATTTATCACAAATATTTTTTCTTTTGCGACTACTAGTGGAAAAAGAGTTAAACACATTCGATGCTTTTGCGCATGCGCAGTCAGTTTATTTGGACGAGCCATAAATGAAATTGTTTTTTTTAATTTTCCGTCAGTATACCATCTAATCTCTCAATTCTTCCGCGATCTTCAATCCAGTTTCATAAGGAGAATTTATTGGAATAGAGGTATTTAAAATTCTGTCTATTTAATAAGAATGAATCAATTAAGCGACTAGTCACAATGTTCAACCTATTGAAGAATATGTGATTATTGACAGGAATGAATGCTGAGTACAAGTAGAAAATCAGCCAAGCTGCAAAAAGCTAAAAAACGTAGAAAAGTTAAAAGAATAAGAAGTAAGTAAAATCCAAAGCATTTTGCCCATCAAATTTAAGAACTGATTACAATTAGTAAAGAGCATGATTAAAAACATTCTACATAATTATGTATTGTTAAATTATAGCTCATTCTTCGTCTGGAAGTTCTTGGCTGTGTGCATGTAGTTCTGGCGTACATACACTACCAGTGTAAGATATTTGTGTTTATTGATTGTCTTTCTTCCAACACGTGTTCAGTCGTTGTACTTCCTAATTTTTATTAACAACAACTCTCTTGGTCAAAGTTAGAGCGAATGATTATGGAAAAATGTGATAAAAGAAAATCAAAGAGCATGATTAACTTTGCATGCTTGATAATTTCTAACCGATGCATTATACTTTTTTGTGATCTCATTTAGATTATTTCCGTTAGGATATACTTTTAATTTAGTTTTTATTTAGACTATTTTTTAGAGCCAGAAACTATTTTCTAGTTGTCTTTTAAAATTATGTTTCTCACAAAGTTCTTGATAAAGAAAATAGGAAAGTTTATAGTATTTAGATGCTCTCGGCTAATATAAGTGTGTAAATTAATGAGAACTGATGTTGTTGGAAAAATTAGATTACATAAATAATATTCCTTCAGGCCTACAATGACTGATCTTCAAGCTACAATTGAATTTCAAGTAGAGTTGGGTAAATTTTATAACGTTGATCTTTTTCAAAGAGGGTATAGTGAATGTTTTCCCTTATTGTTTTTTTTACTAAAAGAGATATTGTTACAGTTTTTATCAAGTCCGTGTATCCCTTAATTGTTTATCAAAAAATGCTTGTAAAGTTGAAGAACCACAACTACCAGAACATAATATTACTGGTATAATCGATTTATTCTCAGCTTTATTCTTATCTAATACATTTTTATATCATAGACGAAACGGTACCAAAGTCTTTACCGTCGATCATCAATAGAACAGCAGTTAGTAAGACATTCCAGATCTTATACAGGCACGAGGAAGTTAGCATAAATGACGTTGTACAATTTAAAGTTCATACACTAGTCAACGCCAACAAGGTAAGCCTATTTTTCATTTATATATATATAAAATATACATGCAAGGGCGTCGACTGCGTGTTATAAATAATTACTATAGCATAGAAACATCACTGGCTATCGTGACATGTACTGCAGTTTTTTTTCTTTTTTTTAAGTAAATTGAATAAAACCTTAAACCTTCTCATATGGCCTTTTTTCAGATTGAAGATAGTTTAAATAGTCAGGAATTCGTACTGTCTATTGAACTTTGGTTTACAGATGAAGAGTGGTAGGTTTTTTTCCAACTATATTTAGTAATATAAGGAATTTTTTGCGAAAAAAAAACATAGGCCGAATATGTCAAGAAATAGTCTATTTCTTCTAAATATAAAGATTATTAATTAGGAAATTTCTTTTTATCCAAGACGATTTCGTCTTCACTTTATATTTTCTATGACAAATATTTGAGAAAAACTCTTTCTTTCATTTTGCATCCGCTTTTTAGCGGACATAACAAGGATGCAGTTATCGGGTGCGTCTAATTGTCTGATTATCCTATCCTTACTCCCCGTTGTTTCATTATAGTTTTTCCTTTCTATAAACTTCTCTTTTAAAAAGCAAAATAAGTAGAATTTTTGTTTGTTCAAACAATAGCCCCGACAAGCAAGAAAAAATGGCCTTGGCCAGCTCACGGACCATAAAAGTCCATATGGATAGTGCTAAAGGCGTTCATCATTATATTCCAGTCCTTTTCGATTATTTCCACTTGGCAGCAGTTGCCGTGACAATTCATGCAGCATTAACAACACTGCAACAACCTTATATAACGTAAGTAAACGTATTGTTTAACAATCAAACATGATTAACTCTTTATTGAACAGTTTTACTTAATCTTAATTTTAACCTTGTGTTTATTTTTCTATATATATATATATATTTTTATAAATCTATATATGTATATGTAGCATAACCAAGAACCAAAAAACAACTAATTGGACACCGCAAAAGCCATTAACCGATCCTGCAACTCTTGAAACGGTGCTATTTGGAACTGCAAAACAACTTACTTGTGTAAGTAATCTATATACATCCAATAGCATCCAACTAGTCTAATATATAACTACAAATTGTAAAATGTCAGCTAATTTAATTTCAATACCATAAAAAGATATAATAATAGATTTTATTAATTATATAAGTCTTTTTTTATCTAAAACTTATACGACAATCAATTACGTTTAAAATAATATCTATCTATGTGATTTTCTTCTTTTTATCCTTAATAGAACAATCGTTATATACCCAAATTGGATCAGGCCTTCGCAATTTTCAAAAATATATGCCGTTCCCTATTAATTTCCTACGAAGATTTACAAAAATCTTATGAGTTTTTACTGAGCAAACAAAAGACTTCTGTTAAGCAAGAATTTCAGACAAGTAATATTAATATATATACAATTTTTTACCTTTTTTTATTTGTATAATAACACATATAAGCGATAGTATATCTTTTTCAATGTGCTTTTTAGATCATGTTGATTGCTCTGCAAAACTAGGCGGATTATGTGAATATATCAGAGTAAGTATACCTAGAAGTACCCTAGATTGTTTCTTTTTACCTATTGATTTCTATATATATATACACATAAAATATAAGAGTAAATTTATATTTAATATATGCACACAGTCTCTTTCAACACCCGACGAAGTTTTAGAACAAGCAACAACAACGGTATCTCAATTATGCGCGGAAAATGTAGTATTTTGGAAGCAATATCTGAGACTTGTGACTTTACGAAGTCGAGTCACGCACCAACTGGCAAAGGATCATCACCAAGTGAGAGTTAAACGATTCGCTGAAGCCTTTTTCACGCAAGAACACGTTAAAGGAGAAGCTCTAAGATGTTTTGAACCAGATATTCACAGTCACGAACAGCTATCTAGTATTGTACGATCCTCGCCGTATATGCAGTCAATACCTCCACTTTCTGCAGAATGCGTTGAATTAGATGGTGACCACACTACTTTACCAATAGTGTTTGAAGATATTTATACTGAGAACATTAACCAGCCAGCAATAGTCTTTCGCACAAAATCGGAAGATCGAGGCTCGTCCTTATTCGGAAGTAATCTCACTGTCAGGTCATCATCCAGCGATCTTTCCAGGAAATTACCTAGGGATGCTTCAAAGAAGTTTTCTTCCAATCCAGTTAGAGGTTCAGTTGCTCTTGATACCAATAGCTGTCAGCTTATCGGTTATCGTAAAATCTCTACCGATGCAAAAGTCGAAATTGGAACTCTATCCACTCAATCAGTTGGTAATGTTTGCGAAGAAACTAGTAATCCTGATAAAACAACTTCTTCGTTGCCAGATCTACGAAGTAAAAGTAACAACGAAGCTTCCACTGTAAACTCTTCTAGCAATGAAAGTAACACTAATGTTAACAATTCATCGTCGTCTTCGTCAAAAGACGATGGTTTGGATAATATTCAAAACGGTTATGTGGAAGAAGAAGCCAATCCTAAAATGGAAGTTACTTACGGAGATCTGGTCAACGACATAAGTAAAGCATTGGGAGAAGAGCCCACCGAAGAAAAAAAAGATAGCGGCTCTGAGTCACCGGTCGCAACGACAAATAACAATAGCAAAAAAGGGGAAGAGGAGGAAAAGACAAAGGAAGCTGTCGATGTGGCCACAGTAAAAATGGAAACCTCAGAAACCTCTATCTCGGAATCTATACAAAACGATGGCGAAAAAAAAGAAGCTGAAATTGAAAAGCCTATATCAGTTTTAGATTTACTTCGAGAAGAATTTGAATATTCTAAAAAACAATCAGAAAGTGAGCCAAATTTAACCCGAAGCAGCGAAGATTTAAGAGCAAGCGGATTCTCTCATCCTTCTAAGCGATTACATACATCAGTTTCGACACCCATCATATCGAAATTAACGATCGATAAAGAAAACAAGGAAGTTGCAAAAACTGAATTAGCCTCTAAAGTATCGGACAAAACCGTCAAGTTTGTAAGGATGAAAGAAGAACTTAGGTCTAGAATGGTATACAATGGCCATTTTTATAGGTAATGAAATTAGATCATTAACAGTTAAATTATTAATAAGTTTTTTTACATTTAGCGATTTCCCTTCTCAAGCCGCTGAATATGCTTACTTTTATAATCAAGATGTACCTCGGCATCTTGGAAGGCAACAAGTGCATTTAATCGTTTGTGTACATGGTTTAGATGGAAATTCTGCCGATTTAAGGCTGGTCAGAACCTATCTGGAGTTGTGTTTACCGGGAGGTCGTTTTGATTTTCTAATGTCTGAGGGAAATCAATCAGATACTTTCGCCGACTTTGATACAATGACAGATAGGTTGATAGATGAAATTTTAAGACATATTGAAATTTATGACTTGAACCCCGGTCGTATAAGGTAAATATATATGCTTTTATTCTAATATAATGAGTGTATTTGTTTGATATTAATAAGTTTCTTTAAATAGTTTTATTGGTCATTCTCTCGGAAATATCATTATAAGATCGGCCCTTGCTAGCGATCGCATGGCAGAGTGGAGGAAGAAAATGTACACATTCCTTAGTCTTTCCGGTCCCCACTTAGGAACTTTATATAATTCCAGTATGCTTGTGAATTTTGGTAAGTTTCTTTTTTAAAATGATACGAAATATCCGGAGCAATCTGTTATAAACCAACATTTCTTTTATTCAGGAATGTCAGTTATGCAAAAATGGAAAAAATCAGACAGCCTTTTGCAGCTATCTCTTAAAGACGAACCAAATCCGAAGGATTGTTTTCTATATCGTTTAAGTTTAAAACCTGGTTTAGAGTATTTTACCAATGTATTGCTGGTCGCCTCTCAACAGGATCGTTATGTTCCTTATCACAGTTCTAGAATAGAACTTTGTCAATCGGCTGTAAGAGACCAACGTTCATCTGTTGGAAATTCCTATTGCGAAATGGTTAAGAATCTACTCCAACCTATTGCCTACAACTCGGAAGTGACGCTTGCTAGATATGACGTCTTTCACTCATTAGGAAATAATGCCAATAGCCTAATCGGTCGAGCCGCTCATATAGCCGTTCTAGATGCTGAAATTTTTATAGAAAAGTTCATATCAGTCGTTGGTATAAAGTACTTCAAGTGATAAGTGCCATGACGAAAGAAATGTGATTTTTTCACTTTTAATCTTCGTACGTAATTGTAAAAAAAAATAGAAAAAAAAGTAAAAGAGCAGCCAAAGACAAACTAAAAAAAAATATTTATATATACTGTGTATATATATATATAAATATTAGCAAAAAAAGACTAAAAATTTCATATATACAACAGTTATAACAGTTATACAATTATAATGAATTAGGAAAGAAAAGTCCTGGAAGAAGAAACCGAAAGGACAAAATTTTGAATCTAATATATATATATACATATATATATATATATATATACACTAATATATCTTTTTATCGTTTTTTTTTTAAAAATTATCTCTATCCTCCCTATTTTTCAGTTTGTACTGATCTGTGTGTTTTTTTTGCACTGTATAGTTGAACAATTCTCAATAAATTGAAAGAGTGAGAATGATATTAGTCAAAAAAAAAAAATAATAAAAAAAAAATACTGTCATTGTGTTTCTTAGTAGAAAGACAAAAAAAAAAAGTTTATCTTCCGTCATCACAATGAAACAAATACACATGCACGTAAGAAATTTGCATCTTTAACTGAGCAAGTTGTTCCTTTAATAGCGAACTTTGCTTAGTACTGAATATTATCTGTGTTTACGAAGCCTATAGCGCATTAGCAGAACGAACTAACCTCTATGCTTAACTAAGGTTTATTAGTTGTTGTATAGTTAACGGGTCAGATCGTTCCGAATGAAGTTTAGAGAACAGTTTGTACCTCTTATTTCTGATTCAGTTAGCTTCAGAATGTCTTCTACACAAGGGTCTGCTGGTATTAAGGCGTTTATGGCTGCAAAAATTTCCCAGATGATGAACGATAACGAGAATTCTGTAAGTCAATATATTAAATACTTGAGTAATATATAAAATTTATTGAACATCTCTACTATAATTGTCTTCTACTTATATAGAATAGTCCAAAACCTCCTCTTTCTCCAGCTTTGAGCGATAAGCCACCAAAAGTCGACGACGCTTCAATTCAATGTGAGAACGTTGGTTTGTTCCAATGCCACTTATGTCCTTACAAGGTATTGTTCGTTCCTTCGTTTCGCACTATGTAAATCCATTTTTTTAGGAGAAATTTTTCGTACTTTTTTTTATTATGTAAAAACAGTACTCTTCTAATGATATATACTTATTTATTTGCTTTCCCTTTATTAGTCTTCCCATAGAGGATCTTTAAAGTCCCATTATGCCGTTCATTCTGATGAAAGACCATTTGCGTGCGACATGTGTACATACGAAGCAAAGAGACATTATGATTTAAAAAAGCATCAAATTCTCAGGCATGGTAAAAAAGATCTTGTATCTAGAAAAAATCAAGCGGTTTCCAGGACTGGACGGAAAAGACTATTAACTAGTGTTAGTAGTTCGAATTCTTCGGAAGATAGCGATTCTCCTCCGCCCTCCTCGTCCGCTAAATTGGAAGGAAGTCCCAAAGAAAGTGGTGCCATTTCTTTTTTGCTTCAACAAAATTCATCCCCGCCAGCCGACCGTTCCCTAGCAATTTGTCAAGCTTCTTCGTCAACAACGCCTAACTGCGCAAAGGAAGTAGGCATCGAGTCAAGAAAGTCTTGGTCGTGTACCCATTGCGATATACTCTTTTTTGACAGTGCTCTATACTTTCTACACATGGGGATGCACGATAGCTCAAATCCATGGAGTTGTAACATATGCCATTGGAAATCTACTAATGTTTATAGTTTTACGTCCCACTTCATAAATAGTCATCAATCATAAACAAACAAACAAACAGACAAACAATCAAAAGTAACAAAAAAGACATCGCAAAATTTTGTCGTTTTTATTAACCTACTTTGTTGTATTATTATCTATTAAAGGTTAAATTATTCTTTTCGATTTTGTATATTTGTTATTTTATTGAATAAATAAATTTCAAAGAATTTAATGAAGAAAAAAAAAATAATTTTATAGAATTTTGTTTTTTTTAAAAAAAAAGGTACATTTTTTCTAATTTTCGATTTGAAAGGTTAAATAAAGAAGGTTAATGGAGAATTAATTGATTGATTACTTTTCTAATCGATCTATCTTTTTCACTAAGGTTACAAAGTCGTAGGCACTTGACGTTCTTCGACTCATTTTCCTTTTATAAGTTTCATTTTCCTTTGCTGTTATAACTCTATGGGCAATATCGAATCTATTTTCAACCATTTTAGCAATTGTCTTCCCATCTATGCCCTCTAAACGAGTTTGAATATCTCTCTCCATTAATTCGTCCCATAATCTAACTTCGAGAATGTTCTTATCGATAATTGCGTGTATAGGAGCATAACCTATATTATTCTTTATATGAATATCAGCTCCTTTCTTGAGTAATAGAATTATAGTTTCAATAAATTCGTACTTAATAGCAATGTGTAAGGGAGTTTCGCCGTCCAAATTGTTTTGTAAGTCTAAATCAGCTCCGAATGTTATTAATGTCTCAACGCATTTAGTAGTCATATCTCGTTTAGCGGCTATATGTAAAGCTGTAAATCCAAGTCTATCCTCTCTGTTTACGTAATCTGAGTCTAACTCTTCAACATTACGTAAAATGTCTCTGGCGGAAGAGAATCTTCCATAGTCGGCAGCCTCGTGGAGCGGAGTTCTTTTTGAGATATTCTCAACTTCAATTTTAGCTCCTTTATTGATTAGATACTGTGTAATATCACCAGTACGTGCTTTACAAAATAAGAAAGTTAGTTCCATTAGTTCTTTTACGAACAAAAGAGTCACTTACCCCTAGCAGCGTAATGTAGAGGTGAATTCAGGCTGGAGTCTATTATATTTACATTGGCCCCACATTCTATGAGTTTTTCTACATTAGACAAATGTCCTCTTTCTGATGCTATATGTAAAGGAGTTCGGCCACCACTATCCTGTATATCAACAGGACAACCGGCTTTAATTAGATATCTAATTAATCTCTCTTGATTATTATATTCACAAGTTCTATGTAGTGGAGTTACATGAGCTTTCGTTCCACGTTCAATCATATTAAAGTTATTCTCTATGAATATATTTAAAAGTAATTAATTAATTAATGACCTCAAATACTTGTTTTTTATTAAATATAAATAAATATATCTCTTTTTTTTTTAAAAAAAACAATTCTTGGCATAATTATGTAATTAAAATTTTATCTTAAACGGATAATCTACAATAGAGGTCGTTGAAATTTACAGTATATATATATATATATATATATACTGTATACGTTATATAGTCATTTATGTATTTTTAACTAACCTATTAAAATCGAAAGTATAGTTTGAAAATCTTCCCATTTTTCATTCTGACTGTTAATTCTTAGGGAACAATATTCTTCGATTACGTCATGAACTATACATCGTTTTCTATTTATTGGACATCCTTTACTATTCGCTTCTTGTACAATTTCTTTAATTTCATCAATATTCCAATCTCTAATGGCATCCAAAAATTTCCCCGAATAGTCAACAGATGATGACGATTCTGACAAACTATTATAACCAGTGTCTTCGCTACTTATTGATTCCTCATTCGCCATAGTAAACTAAATCAATTTGTATGGCGATGCTTAGGCCTAATAAATTATTAAATAGACAATGAAACAATGCTAGGTCGGTTGGCTACATGGCCGATAAGAATTTTATTGCAAGTTTTAAAGTAGGCTTAAAGCACCGAGTAAAAAATTTACAACTTAATATAAAGCTATACCTAGACAAAGAGATGAATAATTGGATATGCATAATCGGTGGCGGCGAAATAAAAGTTTTGTATAAGAATATCGTTTTTTTTCTCTTTCTCTTTTTCTCTATATAATAAAGAATAAAATAGACAATGCGTTAGATACTTTACTTCTTTTTGTATTAAGGATTTCATCCTTTTTACAATACAATATCTAAAAATAGCTCAAAGAATAATTTTCTAACGAGAAACATATATTATCTACTTCAAGGGTAAAAGAAAAAGTAAAATTTAAAAAGTTTTGCCTTAACAGTAAGCACGTCACGTAGTTGTCACGTAATACGAAATATTTGTTTTTTTTATATAAAAAAAAGAGAGAGAGAGCGAGAGAACTTAAAAACATTGATAAGGTTTGGGCCGAATTAGCTGAAATATTTTCCTTTGATTCTATTGGAAAGTTACTTGGATACTTTATTCTAATGTAACTGTTTATCAGATTCTTTTACTTGTCATTTATTGTTTTGTCCAGAACTATATGATAGAGACGGAAAGAGAGAGAAAATACATTTTTTTCACCTTTAAAATGAATAATATATACAATATATTATTGATTAAAACCAAATATTTACTAGACTGCGATACAGCGGTTACTTGAAAAATAAAAGTGACATGTACTTTTTGGGAATTCTCTTCCTATCCTACAAACCTTTCAATAAGAAGGATTAAATGTTTAACTCTTTCTTAAAAATACTCAACGTCAAATTGTCATAGGAAAAGATGCAATTAAATGCCATAATAAGCGTCTCTTAGAGATTATTATACATTTTGTACTTCCTCAAAATACTAGAACGGTATACAAGACATCCTTCATTATATGATTATTAAGAACTGTCTGGTATGAATAATGGCTTTTGTGCATAGCCTTTAAAATTTTCCTTCAAGATATAAAATATCCAGGTCAGAGTCTTCCCTTAGGAAATAAAGATATTGCGAATAATTAACAGACGAACTCGAAGAAGATATAAGAAATCTCAACTAGTAATATTTCATTAGATTCTCTATTCATTATCTTCTTTTCCAAGCTTAATCTTAAACAAAGAAAAGAAGCTAAAATTGATACTTTAACATATTAGAATTAATTAATTAATTAACCTAAAGTACAAAAGATTCCCAATTCTAATGAATATTTAAAATGACTAATTTATAAAAAACAAAGAAGGCAAAAGAGGAAAGATTGTAATCTCAATAAAATCATGAAATTGCAACTAGACTCTTTATTATTATTATTATTTACAACAATTAACTGTTAATAGTTGTATTTTAAGAAACAATAAGATAGAAGAAATATGATGTTTTTATATTGTACTATGTAAATTTATTAGTATTTTTGCCTTTTTATTAAGCGCATAAGTTGGCTAACGTGTAAATAATAAATGTATAAAATCTCTCTCTCTCTCTCTCTCTCTCTTTCTATATATATATATCTATAAACTTAATGATATTTCTGATCTGCCCTTGCTAAGATTTAGATAATAACCAATGTTGATTAGATATGAATAGTTACTTTTTAATTTAAACGTTGAGACTTAAGACTCTGTTGTCAATAGTTTATGCAAATAAATAGGAATAGAATATATTAAAAAAGTTCAATAATCCAGTTATCTGTAATATAAGAGATCTAACATAAATACTCTTCAGAATTTCTTGATAAAAAGCAGTTTAGATTATGAGACGGAAGACCTAAAGATATCTTATCAAAACTTTAAAATATTCCGTTTATTTTGATTTGTATGATGATATGTACATGTGATGTATTTTAAATTATTATTTAAATGTGGTTGTTTATTTTTTCAACTTAGTGACCTCAATAATGGATAACAGGTTATCTAATAATTTACGGTCTAAAAGATGCACTAAGAAAAATATAAACATTACTCATTTAGAAGAAAATAAAAGTAGCAAATTTAAATATATAGTTTTGAACTAGTTAAAGACTATTGTGTTTCATAAATAAAACACTATATACTATAATTTTCGAGGAATAGTTTAGGTATAGATTTATTGTTTGTTTGAAAAAAGAAAGAAGAAGAAAATCAGGTGAAACATAGCTTTAGGTATATATGAATACAATAAAAATGTATATATATATATATATTAATGAACACAAGGTGTGGCATATTGTCACGTGAAAATCTTTAAAGATTGTCTAATACTATAGTTTTCAATAGTCATATTTATTCATATGACGCCTTACCTTAAGTTCTCTATCGATGATGCTATTAAAATTAATAAGTACCTATATACTATATACTTTATATACTATCCTGTGTGCAACTTTATTTATAACTATAGATAAATTGGCCTATATCATTCTGGTAACTTCCTTAAAGTCTGTATTAAGTTCTTATAATTAAATATTAAAAGTAAATATAGTATTTTATTAAGAAATCTATTTATTAAAAACATAGAATTAAACTGTTGGGTTTCACTTATTCTCTTTGTCGATAATCGTGATCATTATTGGCTATTATTAAAGGAAATAAACAGATGGAAGACGAATGGGGGTGGGAGGGAGATGGAAAGAAAAGAATGTATTTATTCTCTACCTTTATACTCTAAAAGGGCAGTATATTTGGAAGACACACCTTTGAATTTAGCACAAACCGTTAATGTATCTCGAATTGAGTCTATGCATACTGAACTAGTCCAATTATCTCCGACCTTTTTCAAGTGATTCCATTTTAGACTAGCCATAACTACGGCAACTGCTTTTGCTTCTGGAATTATTAATGAAAATTTAACATCTCCCGATTGGTTTATGTAAAATGGTTCCAAAAGTTTCATTCCCTCTCCCCAGCTATCTAATTGCGTAGGAAAAGGATAAATCTCTTTCCCATCATCTTTAGCTCTGCATTCAATTAGATAATTAAAAATTGACTTGAACCTAATTTCTTTATCATCTTTATGAGGTCTATCACCGGAAAATATTAATAATTTGTATATGTGCGGAGTAACAGGTAAGTTAATGAGTAGAGTAATTATATTATCCTTTGACATTTGAAAGATATAAGAATGGTACTCTTTTGGATTTTCATCCGAAGAACTAAACAATTCCCAAGTTAAGACTGTTTTATCATCCGTTGTAAATAACATCGTCGTTTGCTGTTTATATAAGACGATATAAGGATCAGTTGTTGACAAAGCTTTAACTGGCGTATTATAATAAGCTGGCTGAGCGCTAAGAAAACCCGCTGGTAATATTGGCATTGGAACGGGTGGTGGATCGCTTATAGAGTTGCAAACTACCAGATACTGATATATATGAGTCAGTTCGTTACCTTCTTTAATTGGATCATTAGCGTAAATATTAAGCGTAAATTCACCAGTAACTGGAGGTTTTACGGTAAAAATTGCTGTATCATCGCACAATCTAGTAAGAACGTATTTGCTTAGCTCTTTATCATTCCAATCTTCTGTCATTAATTCTGCCAGGAATCGTAATGGTCTATTAATTGTGTAACGCAAGTCTAAAGTCCCTTTGGTTGTATTCTGAATGATCTCTTTGTGTTTGACTCCTAAACCGTAACGAGAAAATTTGTTACTTGCTCCCCAAATAGGTCTATAAGCTGGAGGGAATCTTTTTACACCTTTTGAGATGCTTTTACATTCGAGCGAGTATTCGCAGACTTCATTATATAATTTATCTTTCTCTATGTTCTCTTCCCTGGCGAATATCGTAAAATGATATGTTCCAACCTCCAAAGGTCTAACAAAGAATCTAACAACTTCGCTAGATTAAATACATAATTATTAAATGGTAATTAGAATACAACGTATATATATATATATATATATGTGTGTAGCTCTTCCCATTACCTACTAACAGAGTGCATACAACAGCGTTCAATCCGAGTAGTTTTTTTACGATCTTCTTTATTAAGAGTATTCTGAAATTGCAACTCTTGTCCCGTAGTTCCAATTTCAATTTGGACAGTTTCGTCAAAATATATAACAGCGTCTACATGGGATAAAATTTCTAAGCCATACTTAAAAAAAGCTGATTTTACCGCAACCAAATTCTCAAATTGTTCTAAAGTAACAGGATTATCTATTAGTTGCCAGCAATTTTCCTCTGGGAAATGTGTAAATATTAACTGAGATGGATTAGGCATAAAATAATATTCGTCAAGATCGTATTTGATTCTATCCCAATTTGCCGACTGTTTTCCAACCAGCCTTCTGGCTGCCCAATGACAATCAACTAAACGCCAGACCCCATCGACAAAAACTGCATTCCACGAATGCTGACATTGAGTTTTGTTAAATTTCATACCTGGAACGTAGTTTGCACCCTTCGCGTAGCCTACAATTGTTTTACACATTAAACCGGCTTCCTTGCATAGAGTACTATAGACAACTGCGTAGGTTGTTAAGCCTTTTTTCAATTTTAAAAGAACATTCTCAGGCGTATCTGTATTTTCGCCGACGCCTTCGAAATCAAATTTACCAAGATCCTTAGAACAAAGCCATATGAATATTTTCCGAGCTATGGTTAACTCCGAAACGTAAGCTGGGAAGAGTTTTGTAATGAGTTCTTTAACACTCTTTTGTATCTCTTTTGATAAATCTAATGCTTGTTGATCGGATTTTTCAAAGACAACAGTACTTTTGAAAGGTTTCTCCATTGGAGCTCTTTTTTCTATTTCTACAGCAACCTCATCCGGAACGGACGGTTCATATTGAACTCTCGGCTTTAACGGACCTTCGTATCCTGTATAGAATAACTTATTTTCTTCCGAATCGACCGTACGAACTAACTCTGAACTAAGCTTCTTTATTTGAACTTTTTTCAATCTCTCACTACTTTTATTCATTTCATTCGACTGGTTAGTTATATTCTTAGAATTCTCACGGATTCGTTTAATTGTAATCTTTCTAGTTCCATATTTCTCCTCGATTTTCTTGACAATGATCTATCAATATATCAATAAATCCTATAATCATTAAAATTTCAGTGGGGTTTTAATAGCTTTTTAAATTTTCTAATTACCTGATCAGTTTTTAAATAACTAGGTACTCTGCTCAAGCTTCGCCTGGGTTCATTCGATTCACTAGGCATGTAAGTGGAATAATACTCATAACCAGTTTGATAGCCAGCCTGATAGCTGGTTTGATTGGGTGCTTGATTGGGGGTTTGATTAGGTATTTGATTAGGGAATTGATAGGGAATTTGGTAGGGAGTTTGAGGAACCGAAGACTTATAACCAGTTAAGTAATCAGTTCCGTAATAGGAGTAAGGATTGGCTTCTTTCTGATAGTCATATCCGTAATTTTTCGCAACGTAACTCTGCAAATAGTCGGAAGAATAGTTGGTAGCGTCGCTATCCTTTTTCCTACGTCTCCTTCTATTACAACACCACATCGATTGTTTATTAATGTATTTAAATATTTAAACGCAATTTGTATAACGAATTTTCAATACAACTTTAAAAAAAACTGATACAGATATTGAATTGTTTCAATTAGATTAAAAAACGAGACAGTTTGTCCCGTTTGTCATTGAATAATATCATTAAAAATTGGTTATGTTATTAAAGCAAATTTTCTAATGAATTTCGGTTTTAGTTAACGTAAAATTAAAATTTTTTTGATATGATAGAGAGAGAGAGAGAGAGAAATGTTTCTTTATTCTAAATTAACAGTAAAACTCTGATATCTGAATTCGATTAGAGATGAAAATCCCTCCATTGCTGACTTCCATTTGCATTCGATACCGTCTTGTATCCTAAAAAAAGAAATAACCTTTCCTATTTTGCATTGTTTAATAGAACTTTTAATTATTATTGACCTTTTACAGCCTTTAGGTAACTTTTCGTCTTTAGCGGTCTTCATTCCACTTCCTGATCCTTCATCCTGTTATATAGTAGGTAATTTATATAAAGAGCATAGTTAATATATTTCAATGCATTCATAATAGATTTACCCCACTAAAAGCCATATTTTCAGTAGGCATACTTGAAGTAGAAACAAGTAAAACTATATAGATTATTAATAAAACTGCTCTGCTCATACTTAAACAGTTTTCTCTTTATTATTAATATATGAAATAATCAGTGAAAAATGAAAAGCTACGTTTTATTATCTATATTATATGTTTCTTTCTTTTTTCTACTTTTATATACCTTTTTAGTTAAAACATCTGTTGCCTGTGGGCTTATTCTCTGTAACATGTTTTCCCTGTCTATTGTGCAATCAGTCATGCTTTTTTATTTATTTATCTGAATTAATGAACTTATATATTTAAATTCTCTTGCTTTTTGCTATGAATAATGATTATTTGCTCATTTTTTGTTTATTAAATAAATTCATTCAACTTATTTTATGATATTTCATTTAATAATCTAATTTCTTTATTACATATTGTACTTTTTTTCTAATGTGTATGGAACGGTGAACCAGTCTGTAGCTATAGCAATATCAAAAGCCAAAATGAATAGCGTAGCCGGTGGTTCGCAGGATAAAAATGAAATTCTTGTAAAAACAGAAGATGAGGAATACGTTTTGAAGGGTAGACCTTGTGAATTATCGGCCTTTTCATATATTCCACCGGAAAGACATCTGCCTAAAGAACGCACTTACTTCAATTTGGACAAGAAAGTAAGACAAATTTAGTTCTACACTTTTATGTTTACATTTTAAATAAAATCTATTACTTTCAAAGGAAAGATACAAAAGTTCTACCTATGATAGATTGTACCTTAAGAATTTCTCATTTGAACAAGCCCTGCACAGAGATGATAGAGAACACGCAAAATCAAAGGGATTGCGAGTAAACGACGAAGTAAGCAAATAGTTTACCTTACTTTCAAGAACAATAAAGTGTATTTTCTTATTAAATGAATAATCTTATTCCAATAGGATACTGCAAAGAGCATCCCTGCTCTCTCATCATCAGTTTACGGCCACAGGAAACAACCAGATCTCGATCCTCCTGATCGTCAACATGTACGAATAGGAGTGGTTAAAAAGGACTTTTTCAGAAGAAACGGAATTCCATCCGCCGTTGAAGGCGGACGATTATATTAACAACGCTTCTATCAAGATTTTCAGGTTCCACCTTTAGAAAGAAAATCAAAATGTCCTAGGTCCAAGTTTCAAAACAAGCTTAAAGTATGTTTTGAACGTCATACTCATGAAATACTTTTGCGAGTAATGATGCATCGTATTTATCCATTGTTTGTCGAGCATTTTTGTGAAATAAATTGTTCATCTAGTAATATATCAAGTGTTATTTATGCTTTTATAGTATAGAGTAAAAACCTATTATAGACCATATCAGGATACCAGACAACTGTTTACGCTGTCCAGACTAGTGGGCGATAAAACAAACATGGAGACGGATCCTGAGCTTGCGGAACTAATAGATCCATCAGAGTATGGGATTTTTGACACGATACTCCACTACAGTCTTCTTTTGGGAGCAGTTTTTCAATTATTCTGTATACTTGCAGTAGTATTTTACGCACCTTCAGAAAACGTAAGAAACTAAAAAACTTATTCTAGTCGGTCAGATAATAAACAATATAAAATATTTTCAGGATGATCACCCTAACGAAATCGAAGAACCTAATGGTGTGAAAGAAACTCCCAAATCTCAAGGATCTCTACAAAGTGCTAAAAAGCAAAAGCTAAACGAAAAGAAGAAAAGAAAATAGATGCTAACGCAACATTTTTATAAAGAATCTCTTACAAAATTTACATTTTCCTTTGTTAATTTTTTAAATATCATTAAAAACTACACGTTACACTGATAACTAGATAGCTAATTTTCAGTATTCTAATACAGTCATAATTAGATTCAAAAATCTGGAATCTTTTCCTTTTACAGTAAAAAAAGGAGAAGTTATCAAACAAAAAATCAATGGGCGCAACAACAAATACAGATGGCGCACTAGTCTAGTGAAATGAACGTCAATTCTTTATCGACAATTAGGGGTCGATCGCATTAACAAAAAAAATGAGTGTCAATTTAAAAAGAAAACTATTGGAAAGTGATAGAATATTATTATAAATTCGTGGAAATTAACAACTACGACCTAAAACCTTTGGCTGTAAGGACAGTTGGCGCTGGGAACAAGACCAAAACGATCTATGAAGGATTTTCCACGAACGATTTCAATGAAAAAATTATTAATTACTGTTCATAATTTAATGAAATCGATGTAGAACATTTATTTATTTAGTGGCTATTATGCATAGCGCAACTGTATGCGGTCTTGTAAAAAACTACTAGAGAAAAACATTATGGAGAAGGTACGTGGAAAAAGGAAACAGATTAAAGGGGAACACGTTATGAAGAATTTTTTATTAACAAATATTTTTGGCGGTTGGTATTATTGTTTGGCAGGTTTGTTAATCGCTTGTTTTATCCCGATTGCGATTTTGCAACCGAAATCTGTGGATAATCGATTGGATGCTAAAGATGAAAAATCTTTGCCGTCTTATGGATCTATGACCCAAAACGAGTCATTATTTAAAGCATATAGCCTTGATAATAATCTTGTGGCGAGAGAGAGGGAAGAAAATTTGAGAAAGTATAGCTACAAATATGGAAAAATCGATAGAAGGAGCAAATTGAGTTTAAAAGAGTTCTATGATGTCTATGATGGAAAATGGTAAAAATTGTGCATTACGTTTTGTCTTACGTTGGCATAAAGTTATAAATATCTAATTGAAGAAAATGTATTTTCTATAGGCCAGTATTGATAACGGATGTTGTACCAAACTGGAAAGCTTTCAACTGGACAGCCGACTTTTTTATGAATCATTATGGAAAAGAAAGAGTAGCTATGAAAGCTGTTGACGTATGAATTATAAATAATACATTAAATATAGGTATTTCATAGTTCAACTTTAAATAGGGCACGCTGGAGAAAGCTATTAGTTTGGCACTGCCTTTTGAATTATTCATACAGCACACAAAGCATGGATTTGCTAACTCTTGGACCTATCTTGAGGACGAACTCTTCATACCTATGAGACCAAATTTAAAGAGAGATATCGGTTCTTGTGTAAGTTGTAATTGTAGTTGAACGACATAGATAAAACGTTTATCGATTCGTCAAACAGCCTTATATGGATGAGGATTTCTTTCAAATCTTTCCGGAAGATGTTCGTCCCTGGAATGCAATGTTATTGTGGGGGACTGCTTTTTCAAGATCTTCTTTACATATCGACCCCTACAATTGGACTGGTACGAATGCTGTAATTTTTGGTAGGAAAAGATGGCGGGTGAGACAATTGAACAGCTTATAACCTATTCAACACGATTGATAGTTTTTTCCCCCCTCTCTCTCTCTCTTTAGCTATATCCACCCGGACAAGATCATTTATTGAATGTTATTCCTGAAAAATTTTCGAATTTTCCTTTAGACTGCCGAAAATATAATAGGTATTACCCCAATTAACAATTTATTTTAAATATTATTTTCTTCTCCATTGTCCTTAATAAAGCCCTATTGATACGCATGATAAGACGGATAAGGGAAATTTGAAAGCTAGTAAAGCTGACGTTATTGAATTTGATCAACTACCAGGAGAGATTCTCTTCATTCCTACTGGTTGGTTTCATCAGGCTTTCAACGTTGAAGAAACATTGGCTATTTCAAGCCAAGTTATGAATAGGAACAATTATAGAGTGGTACTTGAAGAGATATTAAAGGTCGACACTATCGACCGGAAGAGCTTACCACCAGAGATTGATTCTTTACAACCGGAAGAGCAAGTTAAGTTAATTATGGATAATTTACCGCAAAAAGTACTAGAAAGAGGTCGTCAAGTAACTGAAGATGTTGTTAAACAAATTAAACAAACAAGGCAAGATAGTCATTATACATTGAACTAAAATAAAAGACGTAGCAGTATTAATTAAAAACAATCATGCATAAAACGTATTTTTATAAAGCGCTGTAAAAGAAGTTTTCTATCTTTGTCCGGGTTTAATTCCTCTTGATCTCATATATCCAGTTATCTGTTCGGGTACTTCGGCTAGAACTTCCTTCGCTAATATTGCTTTAAAAGTTCCTGGACAATTTTGGCTTTGAATTTGACATTCTCTGAACGGTACAAACTAAAAAGAAAATAAAAGTTTGCAATGATAAACCATTACATAATTTTACTTACTTGAACAATATCTCTTTCAGCAGTTCTTCCCCCACTCGTTAATTTAACATCGTCTGAATCTAATTCGTTCATTGCAGAAAAATTTGCTGAACCCACTCCAACAATAATTATTGAAATGGGTAGCCCAGATGCTGAAACAATTGCAGATTTTGTTTGTGCCATATCAGTTATTACCCCGTCGGTAACTATTAACAGTATATAGTAATGGCCGTTAAGATTCTGTCTGACAGAGCTATAAAAATTGGAATAAAGGCGTTAAAAATAAGAAAGAGACAGTTAATAATAAATCATTGACTAACCTAGCAAGTGCATTTATTGTTGGAGCAAAGTTAGTAGGACCATATAATTTAATTTTCATAAGGCATTCATAGTATTGTTGCAGCAGTTGACCAACAGAATGACTAGTTGGATCAGATGTCATTGACTAAATAATTCATATATAGTAATAATTAAATGACGTAATCTCTCTCGAAAACAAAACAATATTATAATATACGTACAAGATTGAAGCAATGAGAGACTGTTCCATCAGGCATTTTCGCGCCGAAGCCTGTTCCAATGAATTGTTTTTGCCTTTTGGTGTAAACAAAAATAACCGATTAATTAATTGGTTGTGAGAGAATTCATAATAACAAACAATTCTTACGAATCATAGTCTTGAATAATACTACCGACAGCTTCAATAGCGTAAGCGTATTGGCTATGTCGTGTTGAAGTATGATAGTGAAGACTATCACTTTGGGCGGGATCTCCATTCGATTGAGTAAAGTCAACAGCAACGGATAGGTGAACTTGTAAGCCTCCTTGTATAAAGTCAATAAAACTATATTCGACTTCTTCTCTAAAGTTCACTAAGCAAACAGTACCAGAGTTCGAGTAACTTTTTTTGTGGGCCTTTTTCTCGTCTATTACCTTTTTTAAAGATATTTAAATTAATATTTTGTCCATTTAAACGAGTATAATAAAATATAAAATAAGCTATTACTGGAAAAATATTATCTGTCGTAGGACCTCTCTTTAAATCTCTAACGGTCGCTGTGAACGAACCAAAAAGGGAGTGCTTTCCACTCGATTTCCAATTATAAATATTAAATTTTAAGGGTCTATCAAAATCTCCATTACATAATTTTTGGGCCTTCAATCTGAACGATGGCCAAGAAGGTTTCGATGTATTTTTCACAGGTTCAGTTCTATAAATTGCTACGTGTTGTTCATCTTCGTTTACAGTTGATTTCGTAATTTCCAAAAAAGGGCTGGAGCTAGAAAACAAACCTTTCGAATTTAAATCTCTTCCATGAAATTCCATAGTAAAAGCTTCCTGTTTAATTATATTTGGTATATATTACACTATAGTTTTATTAAATTAATCAACCTACTTTACATGCAATAACTTCTTCGCATCTCACGGTTATGATTCCAGTATTAGTTTTATTCTTAACAGGGCCAAGAGGTCTAGTAAGCACTGTTTGCGATACAATTTCGGATAAATTACATTCCATATCCCCCAGAAAATCCTATTATTAACGTTTTTAAATAGACTTTTTGTTTTATAATCAACAGAAAATACATACATGATATTCAAGATCTCGTTTACTTGAATCGGAATCATATCTGTTTATTTTAAGTTTTTTTAATGTTTGTTGAAGAAGGAATAGCAAACTTACACAGCAAATCGTAATCGTTGAATTTTTTCAAAGTAATAATCAATTTCGAAACTTGTAACAAATGATGGATTTAATGTATCCTTTATTGTTTCGGTTCTAGCTTTCTAGAATGATAGAATGTTTTTTTTATTATTATTATTTTATTTTTTAAGGAATATTCGAAAAGTAGTAAAAAAAAATAGAACAGAACATTTACTTACTTCGTGAAAGGCATTGCCATCAGGACCTGTCATGTATAAAACACAGAATGGATCTGAATAGCTTGCAAAATCCATATTAAGTAGTTTGCTAAAACCAAATCATTATTGCAATTGATTAACCAATAAATATGTTATAACTATTTAAAAATCACACTTACTTGCAACTAATCTGAAGTTCCACCCTTGAAACAGGGATATCATCGGTATAATTCATTGTGGATAAACTTGAATTCGTAAGGAGTGTAGGTGTAGACCAAAACCTGTGACACAAGATATAGATGGCGCCTTAATCAAGCATACATTGTAATGATTTTCCTATATTTATGACAATCAAAAGGTCCAATCTTATTGAATAAAATAGTTAAAGACCGTAGTTTTTTATTGTAAAAGAAAACTGTCATTTTCCTTTATAAACTCAAAAAGTAAATTTATTTTAATATTGAAAAATCCTTTGCCAAATATCGAAATTTTAATCAAAATATATGTTTATTTTTTTGATTTCTATAATAAAAAGCAATATAGATTTTCGGTCATTCAATATATTCTAAAAAAATTGATCGTCTCTTTTCTCGACTTGACAATCTTAAACTAACAAATACTCACCAGTTGCTTTACTACTGTTTGTTGCTTTTTATACGCATAACTTTTATATAGAGTTAGAGGGAAACTTTATATTCATATGTATAAGTCTAGGAAGAAATGAGTAAGAGATTATTGTTTTAGCAATTAACCAGTTTATTCTTCTATTTTCGAAAGCGACATCTACCGTAAACAATACAACGTGATGACTATTCCATCAACAGATAAAAACTACCTTGAAGTGGTAAGTGAGAAGAAATTTTACAAAAAAAAGCTACAATTAGATCAAAGTGTTTATGAGATAGAGAAAATTCTCATAAATTACATTTTTTATAATAAAATGTACAATTTTCACTTAATTCCCCGTTTATCGCTCTTTTACTTCCATTAGTTACTCACGAATAAAGATGATGAAACTTGTAAAACGTTTGTTTTTCACGAAGAAAATCATACTCTTGGAAACTCTCTTCGATGGATAATAATGAAAAAGTATTTAGTTATTAAAAACATGTTTTATCGCTATCGTTAAATTGTTCAAATGTTTTAGTCCGAAAGTCGACCTATGCGGCTATAGTGTTCCTCATCCATCTGAACAGAAAATAAACTTTCGTATTCAAACTAAAGGTATATTCTAAAAACATTCTAAACTTTCTAATAAATTTTTTTAAAACTTGTTTTTCGCAGGTGAAGAAGCTGCCGTTGTTCTTCGAGAAGGTCTTCAAGATTTAAGCAATTTATGCGAGCACGCCTTAAATACATTTAAGGTAAGCAAAGTTTCTCAACAAAGTTTTTCATTGAATAAAAATAATAAATAGAATTTTATATTTACAGTCTAAATATAAGGAACATGAAAACAAAAAAACAGAAAATATGGACGTCTCTTAAAAAATTTGCTGTGTTATTTAGCATTATATGCTAAAATTGTTTAAATTGTATTAAAACTTTATATACTTGTTTCTTCGATTAAATCATTATTCACCAAAGCGCTTTGCTTTATATTATTGTTTTGTCTTTTAATAATATGCTCCTCTAATTTTCCTAGTAAATCCAAATGAGGAAATTTTTTGAAGATAACTCGACTTAGATATGATACTGACAACAGTACAATAGCTGAAGTACACATTGATAATGTCCTGAAAGGAAATCTTTGACCAGAAGCATTTGAATAAAATGGTAGTTTGATGAACGCTTTAAGGTTCAATGTTGATTCGCCACATCCTATTCTAAATATTAAACCGATGATCAGGGCAAACAGCGATCCATACGCGTTCGGTATACTCGAATACAGCGACAGTGTGAGTTGTGGAAACATAATTACAAACATTATGTCGGCAGCTAGAATAAATAACCCGTATACACTATTTGATGATAATGACAACGCTGCCGCTCCTCCTCCAATTATCACAGTAACTACTCGTTGTATCCATTGTAATTCAGAGTCTTTGGATTTCTAAAATGATTAAGTTGTTTGAAATTAAAAATATATTTGCATATAGACTTCTCACTTTGCATCGAATAGTTTTATAATAGACATTATGAGTAAATAGCGAGGCAGAAGCTAATATCGAACTATCTAATGATGACATAACAGCCGCAGCAATACCACAGAGTCCTGATGAAGTCAATTTGTGAATGTAAAATTAGATATATGAAGTAAAAGGGCAAACCTATAATAGCTATTGGTCGAGGTGTGAGATAGTATATTACCACAGGTAGAGTTAAGCTACTTTGATCGTTGAGCAAGTCTTCTCCAGAATGAATCAGTGTCCAATCTATAGAATAAAGTGGAAATTCTGATGATAGAAGGAAAAAATTAGTCAAAATATAAACACCTACTTGTAGATTTTGCGACTACGCCTATTAAGGCGGGAGGAATAGCTAAAGTAAAGGAGAAAGCTCCTGCAGAAATAGATAATCCAACGGCTAAGGTATGTTTTTTAAGTGATAAAACTCTTTGAAAATAAGATTGCCAAGGTATTGTACCAAGAGTCTAAAAGAAATTTGATAAGTTAAAAGCTGGTAGTTTAAATATATACAGTAATGGAAAATTAACCATGGCTATAAGTAAATCAATCCAAATTCCAGACTGACCGGGTTGAATTTCACCTATCCACTGATCACTGAGAGGATTCTTTACAGACTTATGTATCATTGAAGCTGGAGCAGCTAATATCTGTAATATAATAGTCAATTTTTCTTTGTCAACATGATGAAAAAATCTACTTACTAAACCAATAAAAATCAACAATAATTGCACAACATCAGTATAGGCTACAGATATCATTTGACCAAACATTGTATATAAAACAGCTACTGTTGCCGAAACACATATAGCTGTTGGGTGGTTTAATCCTAAAATGACGTTTAAACTTGCGCCTAGAGCAGCTAAGATTGACGCAGACCAAAATAGATCTGCCATTAAATGAATTAAGTAGAGAACTGAAACCGACAAAGATCCACATTGTGTTTGTATCGGGTCAAACATAGTTAGATATCTTTCTCGTCTCATTTTACCAGCGTAAAAAAATCCACCAATAACCAAACCAAGGAATATACCGAGAGGTGCTGTAGTCCAAAGAACTCCTTGAGTGTAGACAGATTCTGCAGTACCATTTATAAATCCTCCTCCAACTGTCGTGGCTATAAACAAAAACACATGATATGATCTTATCTTACTTTAATGAGAAAAATAAATGCAAACCGGTCATTGTGAAAATACCAATAGCAGCACTAATACGTCGTCCAGCAACAAGATCAACCTCATTTCTCTTGATAGTTAGATCAGATATACGAGGTTTAAGATATTTGGAGGCTAATAATCCGACTACTAAAATAACAACATATAGAATCACTAGAACGATCAGTCCTATTCCGTCCATTATCGTTCACGGAAATTTTTTCGAAGTCCTAGCCCTCGAACTACAGCTGTCTGCTATTCCGTGTTTCGTTTCATCTAATTTACTTGCTAATTAGTTGACGTAGGTAGCTGAAAATTGTCGCTCGTATAAAAGCACGTTATCCTATGCCGCAATAGAAAAATCTAGCAATAAAGACCGGTTACCCGGTCTGGGTGAAAAAAAAAATAACGCCACTAAGCCTATTTTAAATTGAAATACCGTACTCTTCAAATAGTAATCAAATCTAAGTATTTTTTCTAATATATAGATAACCTTATATTTATGTTCGATTTATGGAATGTTTAGAATAATTTGCTGTAAACATTCTAACTTTATTCCAAAAATAATTCTGTTAAAAAGTATTGACTAGGTAAGTAAAAAGAACGCGGAACGCGTGACAAGACAGCTTCGAAATATGGTGCATAATGACTTGTATGGCGCCAAAAGACGAGATAAAGTATCGAAAACAGTGTGAAATTAACATAAAATACCATATATAGATTGTAAGAGAAGCTTGTATTCATTAAATCAGATAACAGGTCTAAGAGAATTTTTTTTCTCAACTACGAGAACACTATGCTCCCTGAGAATGTCGTGTCATCAATAAGAACGTATTTTACTGTTATAATACGTACATTTATAGATATAATTCACTTCTATTTTCCTATAATGTTAATAAATTTGTCCTTTATCGAGTTATTTACTTAAACAAAATTATAAATCACTATTTTATTACTATTATTATCTTAAAGATAAGAATTTTTAATTCTTAGCTAGGTTAAATTAGTTATCTACTTGATAAAGAATATTTTATCTCTTAAATAGTTACCATTATATTACTTGAAGTGCTAACTTATATAGATGGAAGATAGGGATAGAATGAAGGTCTGTTAAAATAAAAAAAAACTGTCATTTAAATATAGAAACCATTATGTTTGGCAAAGGACCAAAATGATAGAAAGCATATTTTTGCGTAAGAGACTTTTCAGACGAGATACTTGAAGAAGACCTAAGTCTATAAATAGTTAACAACTTGCATTAATACGAAAATGAATATTCTACGTTGTAATTTCAGGTAGATAAAAAGTAATTAATACTAGTAGTTCAAGTGTTTCTAATGGAAGAATAACGGAACGAATTTCTCTTAAGTAAATACTGTATACTATTCTGTATAATTTAAAGAAAACGTTTATATTGGTTTGAATATTTAAGCGCCATGGATCGCTTATAGAGTAAATTTCTTTTTCTTTTTTTACATTAATAGAAAATACATTGATATATATCTATATATATATATATATGAACAAACTTCACTAAATACTTAAAATGACCAACATTTGTGACAGTTTAATGAGGTTAAGTCACTACTGAAGGTCTTCCAAAGCCAGTTTTTCTTTTAAAGCATTAACAGCTTTACGATGTAACCTATCCCAATATATTCTTTTCATTTTTAAATCAGCTAAATCTGGATTACTGCTTGAGACTTCACTTCTTGAACATATATCATCGCTTTCAGATTTAGTAGAATCCGGTAAATTTGAGGTTGAGAACCATTTTTTAGCTATTCCCGATTCTAGATTCTTTAGACCGTTTATTACCTTTATTTTATCAAATTCGTCCTTTAAAACATCCTTATATGAAACGTTTTCCTTCTTAGTTAGTTCGCAATCTTTCCATTTATCTTGCAAATCTTGCAATTCATTTAATAGCCAATTATTCTCCTCCTTTAGTTCATTCTCGAATCTTTCATAATTCTTCAATAAAGATTCAATTCTTATCTGATCATTCTTATTTTCAATAAGATTAACTTTCCATTGATTAAATAGTGAATGCAACCTATGTTTTTCGTCTAATTTCTCCTTTAAAAGAATTTTAATCTTTCGTAACTCAGTTTCAAGGTAACATTTATCAGCTAACGTTTCTGTAAAGACTAAATCTCTAACTTTCATCTGCTCAACAAGATTTTGCAATTCATAATTTTCCGCTTCCAATAACTCAAGTTTAGGTAGGAGTAATGAATCGAGATTTTCGATTAATTCGTTCTCTTTTAAACTTATAGTCATATTCTCTAATAGTTCATTGGCTTCGTCTTTCATTTTATGCAGATTTTCATTCTCACTCAATAAATCGTGATTAATTGATTCCAAATATTCAATTCGTTTTAATTGAGACTCAATCATTTCGTCGCTCGGTTGAACATTATCAACTTGAATTCCAATATCTACTTTAGATGGTGAATTCGGCAGATATTGTAGGCGACTACGTAGATCGGAGCATTCCTCTTTTAACAAATCATGATCCTTTAAAAGAGCGTTATAACTCTTCAATATAAAAGGTAATGTAAGAGAATCATCCTGTCCAAGATTTGCGGTTGCAACTTCTCGGTCCTCTTCATCTAAGATAGCAGTTATGTCAATTTTCGGATAAATCTTCGAATTTGAAATGATAGAATTATTCTCCGATTTTAGATTCGCGATTTCTTGATTCTTCTCAACGATTTTTGAGGTCATCTCCTCAAGTTGTTTTTCCAAGTTCCTATGCGATCGATTAATTATATTTAGTTCAAGTTTTAAATCGTTCTTCTCCTCTAACAATTTTTCATACGCTTCCTCTAACTTACCGAATTGACTCTTTAGCTCATCAATTTCAGCATTTTGAACGTCTTTTGCAGAAGGTGTTACTTTCCTATCACCAGATTTTAATATTTCAATTATCTTCTCTTTTAATAATTCTATTTCGTTGTTTTTCTCATCTATTTCAATCTTATATTCTGCAATTTTAGTTTCGAGGTTTCGGTTAGATTGAATACTTAGGCCTAATTGGCAATTAGCGTGCTTGCACTCCTCAATTACCTGTCGATTAGCCTCTTTCAAACCTTCAATTGATAATTTTGATTGTTCTAGATCTTTTTGTAAAGATTTTAATTGTATATTCTCATTTAGTTTTTCTTTAATCTTTTCTATATAAACCTCGAAATTCTCTTCCTTTTCTGAATCTATAGAGTCTATACGAATTTGTTTTAATTTATTAATTATTTTATCTTTATCTCTTAGATCGTTTTCCAAACTTCTTTTCTCCTCCATAAAATTTGACAAACTTTCGTTAAGAGATTCAATTTCTTGGCGATGAGTTCTTTCCGAATTCTTTTCTTTATCTTTTACCGATATTGATTTACCTAATTCCCTACTTAGACTATTGCATTTTTTCCTTAAAACATTTATTTCCAATTCCATTTCATTTATCTGAGAATTACTCTTAATGTCGAGATCTTTAAGATTATTATCGACCTCAGCTGCTTTGCATCTCCAATAATCTGCTTCTTGTAAGTATTGGGCATTATTGTACATAAGTGACCTATTATCATCCTGAAGTTTTTGTAAGTCGTTGAACATAAGCTGAAAGTCTTCCTGTACTCTAGATTTTTCAATATTACTTCTATTCAATTCGGCTTCGAGCATTTCGTATTCTGCTCTGAGATTATCTAATTGCGTTTTTGCCTCCTCGTAAGCTTTTCTTACTTCGTCGTATTCAACGCTTCTCTTTGTTGTTGACTTACTCAAATTAGCGTTTCTTTTCACGATAGCTTCGTATACCGATTTCGTGCTATTTAGCTCTTCTGTAACCTTTTTCCATTTATTTCTATAATTATTCGATTCTATATTAAGCTTTTCCAATTCGTTTCTTATCCTTTGGTAGTCTTCTCTCAGAGAACTATTTTCCGTAAGAAGATTAGAGTTTTCACTAAAAAGATCCTTTCTAAGGGTTTCTAATTGAAGTGTAAGCTCGGCGCATTCCATTCGAAGATGATCCCTTTCCGATTTCATTTCATTTGCACTCCTTAACAATTGACTTGCGTAATCTTGAGAATTTCTTAGTAAGTTTGATTTTTCAAGAATGATCTTACTATAATGTTCCTCAACGTATTTCAATTTTGAGGCTGCCTCATCCCTTACATGACTCAACTCGTTGAAAGAGCTATTCGATTGACATTGTAGTTCTTCTATACGAGTTTTATTATCATTTAATAGGAGATTTAATGCTGATTTTTCATTTTCAACTTTTTGTAATGATTTCTTCAATTCGTTAATCTTCTCATTAAGATTATTATTCTCGATGATATTGTGAGAAATTCTCATTTCAAGATCTTGTTTTTCATTTGTGATCCTTTGGATAGTATTCTTATAAGTTCTATCAGCATCTGCCTTAGCTTCAATCTTACTTGTTTCGATTTGTGAAAGTACCAAATTGATTTTATGTTTTAGACTTTTATTCTGCTTTAGGCATTCTTCGTTAATTGCTTTCAACATTTTAACTTCTTGATGAAGTTGAACGGCATCAGCGGGTAACTGGGCTTTAGCTGGTTTCTTTGATTCCATATAACGTATCCTGTCTTTTAATCCAGAATTCTCAATACTCAACCTATCACATTTCGCTTTAAGTGTATCCAAATCTAATGTTATACTGGAAACAATCCCGTTTAATTGGGCTTTTAAATTATTTAATTCTGTTGTATCACTATTAGTTTCTTGGTCGGTGCACTTTGTCAATAGACAAGATTCGTCGTGAACATGACGCTTAGCTGATATTTTCATTGGTAGACCTGGTAGAGACCTTATTGCGTCCTCTTTCTGGAAATAGGCAGCGATTTTTTTCAATTGGTCTGCAGCTTCTTTGTGAAATTCGGTAAGATCGAGTTGAGCTTCGAATTTCCATCGTTCTTCCCTTAACGACTTTAATTCTTTTTGTAAATTTTGAGAAAATTGGCTCATTTTAGATAATTCAGCCTTTAATAGAATAATCTCATTATTTTTCGTTTCTTGCTCTCTTCTATAACCATACTCAATATCTTGTATCTTATTTAATAAAGTGTTCAACTGTTCTTGACCTCTGTTGACTTCCATTACAAGTTCTTCAATAATTTCCATATTATTATTATTTGTTGACGGCATAGATACATTATTTAAATCGTTCAAGATTGCGGTCAATTCTTCAACTCTGCTATCTAAAATTCTATTATTTTCCGACATTGTGGATATTTTATTAAAGACTTGAACGCCAAATTCATTTTGTTGATTATTCAAATATTTTAGTTTATCGTTAACGCTTTTATCAACATCTTTGATAAACTTTTCAACAATTTCAAGATTTTCGCCAGAATCCTTTAATTCGACTGCCTTCAATAAATTATTCTCAAATTGTAGACTTTCTACTAATTTCTTTTCAATATTTAGTTTCTCCTTTAAATTTAATTCGTTACCTTCCAATAAATTAATATCTTTCATATGTTCAGTTAAAACATCATCAATAATTTGTATCTTTTCGCTGCTTTTCATTTCATTTGTAAATGATAATCCATGCTTTTCTAGTAAATGATTAAAATTATCATCAATGTCTTCCAAGCATTGTTGATATGAGTTGATATTTTTAGTAGTTTCTTCAAAGGCTTGAATATTTTCGTGAACGTTATTTAGTTTAACGTTAAGCTCGTTGATATTCTCCTCCATTGATTGTATTGTTGAATCTTTCTCCATCAGTCCTTTAAAAATAGTATTAAACGCAAAAATGATTCGATTCCCTTCTTCAGTGTTTGATAAATTTATTTTATATTTTTCCAACAGTCTTGCTATCTGTTCTTCCGTATCCATTAGGTCTTGTTCCCTTATCTTTAATCTATATATTTCATCGCTAAAATATCTATTCTCTTTAACGACTTCTTCGAATCTATCCTCTAAGTTATGAAATGTATCTTCAAGCATTAAGAAAGTGCTGTGCCTAAAAGATATTTCATCCATAATCGCGGAGAAGTTCTCTACTATTCTATCTGGTTCAATATTTCTAGGTATGTTTAGTGTTGAAAAGACACCGTTGAAGCCTTCCTGGACCATAATGTATAAAAATTCTGTATCTTGAACGTTTTTACCTTTTGTATTGAGAATCTCTTCAAACTTTTGCTGAGCTTCCACAGACTCGTTCTTTAACTGTTCTGCATAATTCTCAAGATTTCGTATAGTGGAACTGTTCTTTGATAGCGTCTTTCGAAGGTGATTAATATCATCTCGGATATCTTGGGAATTACAATCATTTTCTTGTATAATGCCAAACTCGTATAATAAATTTTTCAGTTGAATTTTACACTCATTTAATTGCCTTTCACTTTCGGATAGACGTTCCAAGAGTTCTGGTGGAACTACAGGAGCCGATTGAGCCTGTTCTTCCCTCTCAGATGTAATTATAGGCTCTACATTCTATATATATTAAAGAAAGTTTTTAAAATATTGTCCTATTTAAAATCATACAAAAAAAATTACGGTTACCTCTTCGATACATTGATCTGGATCAATTGTTTCATATTTTTCGACCTTTGCTTCAAATTTCTAGTAAAAATAAAAGAAAACACAATTTAGGAAGGTGAATGAACCTGTTAGAAAATGCTATAAATCTTAATTACCGTTAGAATAATTTCCGTTTGAATTTCGTCAATAACGAGAAGATTTTGATCGGTTTGAGCTGGCAAGGTAGAATCGTTTTGAAGGGCTTGTCCACATTCAATATGTTCAAATTTTATATTACTTATTTCTCCATTTAGTCTATTAACTTCGGATTGTAATCTTTCAATTTCCTTTTCACTTTCGGTAACGTACGAAGTATACGATTTATCTTTATCATCAAAATCGTATTCAGTTGTTTGAACTTCTCTATCTTCTACTTGAATAGGAATTTCATTTCTCTTTTGAGGAATTGACATATCGATATTAAAATCTTGAGATTGTTGTATGACATCTTGTTGAGAATCGTCACGATGAAAAGTTGATAATAATTTTTTAGTTTCATTCAACTCCATTTTAAGTTTACTTTCTGATTCTTTAAATTGTTTCAAATCTTTTAAACAATCAATTAATTCTCTTTGACCGGATTGTAAATCCTTTTCAAGTTGTTTTGTCGTCTCTTCAAGATTAAAGATAATTTGATCCCTTTCTAGGATATCGTCATCATAGTACAATTGTATATCATCGGTAACAGTTCCAATGTCGAACTTTTCAATAAAATATCTTTCGTCGGGTATTTCGCTTGTTAATTGAATTTCATTTTGAAGTTGAAGATTCTCCTTTTCAATTTCAAATTCCTGTTTAACTTTAACATTTTCGTCGTTCAATAATTTTAAATCGGACGATAATCTTGAATTAATATTTATTAAATTATTATTCTCCGTACGAAGATCATCGATTAATTTATAATTTCCATCTAACGAAATTCTTAGAGTTTCAATTTCGTCTAATTGAGAATTGATAGTATCTTGATATTTCTCTTCATTTAGTTTATAAGCATTTATTTCGGTTATACTAGTGTCGATATTACTTCTTAAACTCTCGATCAGACTTTCCTTTTCTAATCTTTCGATATTCCAATTTTCTTTATCAGAACGATTTTGAGAAGATAAATCGGAATTCTCTTTTTTAATTAATTCAAGATTACTCATTAGATCTAATAAATTATTATCCAGCTCTATTTTAGTAGATTGAATATGTTCCTTTTCAATGCGTAACTCTTTCAATTCATTCTCTAGAACTGCAAAGTTATTACACACTTTTAGATGTTCCTCTTCAAGTATACTAATCTTTTCGTTAGATTCGATAATTGTCTTTTCCAGACTATCGTTAAGCTTTTTAGTTTCAACTTTATCGCAGCATATTTCTTCTATTTCCTTAAGATATTCATTCGATTGATCATTTAATTCGAAATTCTCTCTGCTCAATTCTTCGATAATTTTCATCTTTTCTGAAAGTTCATTCTGATTTCGAGTTTCTATTTCAGTTTTCTCCATCAACTCTTTCCTCAATTCGTCAAGCTCCTTAGCAATGTTGGTATTCTCATCTTCTAGATTGTTTCTTTCGAGAATAGTAAATTCAATACTCTCTTTAGACTTTTCAATCTCCTTTTTTAGTTCGTTAATTGTTTGTTGATATTCAACGAAATTCCTTTCATTTAAATTCTCCATTTCTTTATTTAAATAATCATTTTCAGTCTGTAAATTAACTAAACGCTCCTCCAATTCATCCTTAAGTCTATTTATCTCGTTTATCTTTCTTTCACTTTCATCCATAGTCGATTGCTTCTTATCAATTTCTTCTTGTATTTTTCTTTTAGATTCGTTTAGTATTGATTCGAAATCTTTTCTAATTTCATCAGCCTCCTGCTCTATACTTATCTTGGATCTTGTTAAATCGTCAACTGTTTTTTGTAATTCGTGAATAATAAGTTTATCCTTTGCGGACGATTCACTCAATTGTTCAATAATCTGATTCAGTTCATCAAATTTACTTTCGTTGTCGTTGCTTTTAATTAGAATATCATTCTTTATTCGTAAATCCTCTGAAAATTTCTCCGTATTAACCAATTTTCTATTCATTTCGAATAACTCCTCCCTAAGCTTAGCGCGATCGTCTTCTAATTCGTTATTGAAAACTTTCAATTGATTTAATTCAACATCTTTGCCTTCAATTCGAGATTGTATTTCATTATTTATCTTTTCTTTTTCGTTTATATCCTGCTCTAATTTCGTTTGATTATCATTATTAAGCCTAATAATATCATTTTTCTCATCTACAATCTTTGCAAGTTCCATAATTTCATCTTCTAATCTTTTGTTCTCGACTTCCAAATTCTTCATAGATGTTTGCCGAGTACTATAACTATCTTCTAGATCCGTGTACTTAATATTAATATCTGTTATTTCTTTTTGCAATTCAGACAATTTACTCTCGAATTGATCCTTTTGAGAAATTAAAGATGCTTCTAAATTGGATTTTTCTTCACGTAAAGTCTCAACAATACTTTCGGTTTGTATAGGATAAAGTTTCTCATCCATTAAAGAAGTTAAACGATTAATTTCGGAATTTAATTTTTTCATTTCAACTTCATCCTCCATTAATCTATTATTTAATAAATCATTGTCGTCCGTAAGATTGTTACAAATAACGTTTAATTCGTTAATTTCTTTCTTATGAATGATTAAAGCATTTTCAAATTCGTTGGTTTGCTCCTTAAGAGAATTTTCTATAGAAATTTTTTCTTGAGAAATACGATCGATATCATTTTCCAACTGTTCTTTATCCACTTTTAAATTATTTATTTCAGTCTGCATAGCCGATTTTTCAAATTCCATATGTTCACATTGACAAGTTAATTCGTTTATCTCGGATTTGTAATCAAAAATTTTCTTTTCCATCTCTTTAATCTCATCCTCCTTACAATGTATTATACCCTCTAAATTATTCTTCTCGTTCGATAATCTTTGATTATCACTCTCCAACTTATCAATTTCCACTGTTAGATCTTCAACCGTCGATTTTATTAGTATATTCTCTTCTTCTTGATCCTTATATTTTAAATTAAGATCTTGTATTTCTTCTTTATGAAGAGCTAAGCTATTTTCAAATTCAATAGTTTGAAAATTTAGAGAGCTTTCCAATTTCGATTTAGAATCACGTATTTCAGTCAATTCTTTCTCGGAATCAAGAACATCTGTTTCCTTTCTATCGAGTTCCTCTTGAAGTTGTTTAATTTGCATTGCTTTTTTGGTAATGGTTTCATCCAAATTGGCATTCTTTTCAACAAGTTCTTTTGTAAATACTTCCAAATCAGCTAGTTTTCCAAGAGCATTTTGAAGAGCACTTTCTTTCACCTCCAACTGATTCTGAATATCTTTCGACTCTTCGTCTTCAGCCATACGAGAAATACTATTTTCATTCTCAATTAGATTAATAACAGTTTCTGTGTTATTTGAACAGACTGAAAGTAATTCTCTTAAAGATGAAAATTCATTCTCGAGACTTTCAGTAGTAGATAACCGAGTATTGATATCATCTAGGCAAGATTTCAACAGTTTAGCATCGTTTGATAAATCCAGCGGTAGAGACTGTGATAAGTCGACAGGGGCATTATTACTACTTACGATAGAAACGCTTTTGTTAGTTTCTGGAGTAAATTGATTTAAATCAGCATTAGAGCATTCAGAAGGTGCGGAAGATGATTTAATAACAGATAAAGCCTCTCTTAGAGAGAAATTCTCCGCTTGTATTTCATTAGCCTGTTTCAAAGCATTTTGAAAGTCGTTCGTAAAGGTATCAGCCGACGCAATTAAAGTATCCTTTTCCACCTGTAATACATTCAACGATTCCTTATATGATTCAACTTCAGCCGACAACGCATTATGTTTAGACCTAATACTTTCTAATTCCTCTTTTAATTCATTTTTTTCCAAATTTATTTCAGAAATTTTATCTTTTAATTGCTTTAATTCCATTTCTTTTGTTTCTATTTTATCGTTAACATCTCTAAAAGTATTAAAATCGGTTTGTAACGAAGATATTTCTTTGTTTAATTTCTCATTTTCAGAAGATAATTCAATTAATTTATCATTCTTTGTTGAACAATCAGACTCAAGTTTACTTATAATATTCTTTGCGTCGTCCAGTTCATTTTTTAGAATTTCGTTACGAGCTTTATGTTCACCTGAAATAATATCCAAATTTTCATCCATTTCCTGTAAAGTAGACTCTAATTGGATGATTTCTGATTTTAGAGCGTCCCTCTCCATATTTAGACTTTGTTTAGAATCTAATGATTCCAATAAGGATTGCATCGTTTCATCCCATTGTTGTTTGATATGATTTTGTTCTGTTAAATTATTTTCAATAGTAGATTCCAACTCTTGTCTTAATTGTTTTATCGTATCGTCCTTGGCAGATAGTTGCGACTCCATGCTATTCGAATAAACAACTTGACTTTCTTTAAGATTATTGATAATTGTAACTTTAGCATCTAATTCGGACAAATATTTGCCGATTTGTTGATCAAGATCATCCAATTCTGTTCGAGTATTACTAAGATCGTTTGTAAGATGTTCTTTTTCAGTAGTTATCATTTTTAACTGTTCATCTTTATCAAAGATATCACTCTTTAGTGAATTAATTTGTCTGTCAAGTTCCTCTTTAGTATTCGCAGCTGATGCTAGGGAGGTCTCCTTTATTAAAGTCTGATTTTCAGTATTACTTAATTTTTCTTGTAGACAGTTATTCATCGCTATTGATTCGTCAAGTTTTCGACTTAAATCATTAATAGAATGTTGAAAATTTGTATTACTTTTCTCTGATTCTAATATCTCAGACTCTTTCTTGGCAATTTCATTCGATAAAGTGGCAATTTGTTCACTATAAACCTGAAGACTTTTAGAAAATTGCTCATTTGTCTCAACAATCTTATCATAATCTTCTAATCTCCTTTCTAATTCAGAATTTAATGATCTCAATTTTTCTGCTTCCTCCTCAACTTGAACCTTATCTTGATTAACGGAGGTAATCCGCTGTTCAAGTACCGCATTATCTTTCTTGAATCGATGTAAATCATGATTTAATGTTTGATTATCATTTTTTAATTGTAAAATAACTTCTTCATCGTGACTGTGAGCTTCTTTCTCGTATTGAAACTGATGAACCATAGTATTCCAAGTTTCGTTGGACGATTCAAATGATTCTTTCATGTTACTAAATTCAGTTTCAATATTTAACTTTTCTTTTCTTAAATCGTTCAACTCCTTATTTGCCAATTCAAGCTCTGCTAAGGAAGATTCATGATCTTTATGCAGTTTGTCGAATTTTTCATTTAAATCTTTCGTCGTTTGTTGTAATTTTTCGTTTGTCTTTTTAGAATTTAATTTGCTTGCTTTCAATTTTCCTTGAAGTTTTTTATTCTCTGCTTGAAGTTTATCTAATTGACTTTTAATCTCTTCTTTTACATTCTTTTCTTCGTCTAAAGTTTTAGCAGAAGTTTTTAATTTTTCAAGAAGAGAATTATTCAATTCCTGTAAATGGCTACTTTTTGTTGATATATCATTTAATTCTTTCGTCTTTTCAACAATCTCAGTTTTTAAATCATTTACAGCTGTTTCGCTATTCTTCGATTCACTTTCTGGTGATTCCCCAATACCGTCAGACTTTTCAATGGATAATTTCTCAATTTCAGTAGATAACCTTGATATTTCGTTGGCTTTTCTTTCAATGTCATACTGTAATTCAGTAACTTTTGTTTCATAGTCGTTCTTCTCCTCTTTTACCATTTTATTTGCAGTTTTCAATTTTTCCAGAAGAGAATTATTTAAATCCTGTAAGCCTGTTCTTTGAGTAGACAATTTTTCAACTTCAGCAGTTAATTCATTTACACTATTTGTCTTTCTCTCTATTTCATTCTGTTGATTTTTAATAGTATTTTCAATAGTCCTAATTTTCACTTCCGAATTTTCAGTTACCGCTCGTAATTCGCCTTGAAGTGAGCTATTTATTTCATTTAAATGTGTAATTTGAATAGATAATTCATTCACTTTATCTTCCATATCTTTAGCAGTTTTTTCGGACATGTTATTCTCATTTAAATTTTTGGACAAGGCATGTAACTTTTCAAGTAAAGACTTGTTTAACTCCTGCAGATTGGTACTTTTAATAGATAATTCATTAATTTCATTTGCTTTTTCGTTCACCGTATTCTGTAAATCTTTAATCATTTTTTCATAATCATTCTTTCCATCATCCAAATCTTTCGATGAGGTTTGTAATTTTTCAAGAAGAGACTTGTTTAATTCCTGTAAACTTTCGCAATTAATGGACAATTGGCTAATTTCATTAGCTTTTTCATCTATTGTACGGTGTAAGTCGCCTAGAGTTTTTTCATGTTCTTCTAATGTTTTCGATGAGAGTTTCAGTTTTTGAAGAAGAGAATTGTTTAACTCCTGTAGATTTGTATTTTTAACAGATAATTCATTATTTCTATTTGCATTTTCCTCCACTGTACGCTGTAAATCAATGATAATTTTTTCATATCCATCCTTCTCCTCCTCAAATCCTTTCGATGATGCGTGTAGTTTTTCTAACAGAGAATTATTTTCCTTCCGTAAATCAGCTTTTTGAGAAGTTAACTCCTTAATTTCAGAAATTAATCCAACTTTATCTTCTTGTTGATCTCTGATTGATTTTTCATGTGCCTTCTTTGTTTCCTGAGAAACTTCGGACATGCTCTGCAATTTTTCAACCAGAGAATTGTTCATTTCCTGAAGACTAGATATGTCAGCAGATAACTTAGTAATTTCGTGTTGAAAGTCTTTAATTGCTTTTTCGTAATTATCACTTTCCTCCTTTGAGACGTTTTTGACTGTCTTCAATTTTTCTAGTAGAGAATTATTTAAATCTTGTAAACCTCTACTTTGAGTTGATAATTTTTCAATTTCATTTAATAATTCGTTTCTCTCTTTAGCGTTTTTCTCTTGCTCGATTTGTTGATCTTGCAGTATCATTTCATATGATATAGATTTTTTCTTTAGTTCGTCGTTTTCATTAGTAAATTCTTGTATGATTTTATCAAAATCAGCGTCTTCAAAAGATTTTACCTTAGCCGTTAGACGATCATTTTCTTCCCTTATTTGTTCATAAGTAGTTCTAAAAGTTTCGTTTTGTTCAGTTAACCCTTTGATAACTTGATCATAATTGGAAGCTTCGTATAATTCTAGTCTAGATTTAAGTTGATCATTTTCCTCCTTTATCTTCTCGACCCTACTCTGGAATGCTTCAATTCGATTTTTCAGGTCTTGATTAACGTTCTCCAAATTAGCATCTTCATAAAATTTTATTCTCTCTATTAGATTTCTATGTTCTTCCGCAATTCTTTCCAACTCATTTTTGTAGTTGTTATTTGATTGTGTTATCTCTTTGATAACTTGATCAAAATTTGCAGCTTCATAAGATTCAATTTTCGATACCAAAATACTATTTTCATTATTTACTCTTTCTATATTATCTTTAAATTTTTCATTCTGCTCTGTTAATTCTTTGATAATTTGCTCAAAATTAGCAGATTCGAATGAATGTATTTTGTTATTTAGTTGACTATTCTCTTCCTCCATTTTACCTAAATTAATCACAAATAATTCATTCTGTTCTGTCAAATCTCTGATAGTTTTATCAAAGTTGGATGCTTCGTGCTCATCCATTTTAGATTTTAGGTATCTATTCTGTTCGCTAATTGTTTGTATTGTATCCTTTAAATTTTCATCGTCCTTTTCAATAATATTTAATTTTTCCTCTTTTTCCGCTAAAGTAGTTTGCAGTTCATGAATTTTATTATTTAATAGCTGATTATCAGACTCCAGATGGTTAATTTCTTTAATTAACATATCTTTCTCTTGTCTAATTTCATTTAATGATTGATTATGACCCAACAAATTTTCCTCAAAAGCTTGATTTCGTTCAGTTAACATACTCTCCAGTTCGTTTAATTTCATTGAAATTTCCATAATTTTCCTATCCTTTTCAGACGATTCTTTAGTTTCATTTTCAAGTTTATTGTATATTGTATCATAATCATTACACTTCTCATTCAGAGTGCTCTTTAACGTTTTTAATTCGTTTTTCGTTGATTCTTTCTCTGATTCTTTGTCTATTAGCTGACTATTAGCTATCGATAATTTATCATTTAAGCTATGATATTCAATATTAAAATTCTCTTGAGCTTTTGTAAGATCACAGTATACTTTTTCAACTTGTTTGTGCAGATTATCATTTTCATTACGTAAATCATTAATAATCTTTTGAAGATTATTCGATTCACCAGAAAGGGATAATGTTGATTCTTCGTTATATTTAATTAATCGTTCGATTTCACTTTTGAGATTACCATTTTCTGTTAAAGCTCTTTCCAGATCGATATTCAATGCAGTTTTTTCGTCGCTTACATTTGCTAATTGAGAGATAATATTATTTTTTTCCAATTCAACAGCATTGAATTTTTCAACCAATATTATATTTTCCTGATTAATTTTCAATATTTTATCTTCCAAATTTGTTTTACATCCGTTAAATTCCATTTTACTTTCTTCTAAACTCTTTTCAAGTTGATCATTTTTCTCCTTAAGTTCGAGGTTTGCAGTTTTCATTTCTTCCAAAAGAGTTTTAGAGGAATCTAAATCGTTGACCAATTGATTTCTTTTGGTTTCGCTATCATTTAATTTGTTGATCCAAGAATTTTCTTCGTGAATTCTGTCACTTTTCAGCTTTTCTATTTCTAAAGAAAGTTCTTTATTCTTATTGTCAAACGTATTCAGGGAGAGACAGTATTCTTCATTTTCCTTCTTGAGTTCTTCAGTTTTCTTAATTAGCTCATTGATTTCATCATTTTTAGTATTTAATTGTGCTTGCATAAAATTATTCGAACTTTGAAGGTCACTAAGGGAAACGTTTATTGCATCACATTGTTGATTTAATTCAATATTCCTAGAACTATTTTCAGCTAAATCCCGTTGAAAGCACGCGGTCATTTCTTTCAAAGTTGAATTCTCTTTATTTAAATCCCCTACAAGATTTGTGACTGAAGAGACGTTCGTAACCAATTTGGCTCTCTCTTCTTCTAAAGTACCTATTTTATTTTTAAAGCAGATTTCAACTTCATTCTTTTCCGTTATTAATTGCAGTTTTTCATCTTTTAAAGAATTAATTAAATTATCTGAATTTTTTATTCTATTAAGTAAATCTTCAATTTCGCTATTCTTTTCGTTTAGGCTACTTCTTAATTCTGTATTTAAATTATTTAATGCAGATATAGTTGAAGTTGCTTCCTCTAATTGCTGTTTGAGACAATCAATATTTTCAGTGGCAGTATTCATTGATGATATAGCGTTATCACGTTCAAACGTTAGACTAGACATTGCTAATTGAAATGTTTCTATTTTGGAATTTTGTTGTTTAAATTGATTTTCAATATCACTTTGATAATCCTTTAAACTTTTTAATTCTACAGATAACTTATTACAATAATCATCCTTCTCCATAACGTAATTTTCCAGTTCGTTATCTAAAAATTATTAATGATTTTAATAAAAAGAAGGAGAATTGAACATTTAAAAATACATACATTTTAAGCATTTTTCACAAGTTGTCGTAACTTCCCCATTATGAACCTTTAAAAAAAAGTAAATATATCTATATATTATAACATTGGATTATAAATTCTATGAACTAAAATTTTGTTTAAAATCAATTCCTAAAACTGTTGAAAACTAATCGAATAGCGAGTATCAGTCATCTGGCAATAGATCTCCTATTTTAAGACTATATATAGCAGAAATTAGCAGATGTTTTGCTTTATCTTGGAAAAATATATAAAGTAGGAGTAGTTTCTCATATTGATTAGTAAAGCCTCGTGTCTATATAAAATATTTATAAACACACCTTTTCCTTAAATTCATTTAATTGATCTATTAAATTAGTGTTGGCTGAACGTAGTTCATTCATTTCTTTTTGATGTCGATCCATTGATTCTACAAATTTTGCAATGTATTCATCTTTGTTTGTAAGAGCTTTACTCAATAATTCTATTTCTTCTTTATCGGATTGTAATATTTCTTCTTTTTGAGCAAGGTCTCGGGAGATTTCGGCATTCTACCAACAAGAATATAGAAAAGATAATATTAAAAACTTACAACAGTTTTAAATAAATTTGACAAACCTGTGTCTGGAGTAAATTTTTATCATTTTGCAATTGAATAATACGAGCTTTTGCATCTCGAAGTGCTTGTGTTGAAATTGTGGGATCAAACCCTTGGGTGGATAGCACATTATCGGCCTGAGTTAATTGAGCTTGTAGTTCGTGAATTTGACCAACTAATTGATCTGCTTGTTTAGAGTAATCATCCTATATTAAAAATAAGTTTTTCTTTATTTACATAAGATTGTTTTCGATAAATTTCAAGAGTATACTTGTAAATCTTTCTTAGAGCTGCTTAAGGAATGTATTTCACTATTTAACCTTGTTATAATCTCATCTTTTTCCCTTATAGCTTCTTCGTAGCTGTCATCCTACAGATTTAAAATATATTTATTTGCTCAATCTTTAATAGGAAGTATTAGTATGAATCTTTATTACATATCATCATAAATGTAAAAACTCAATACTTACATCTAAGCCACATCTGTCATCCAATAGCCTAGACTTTAATGTTTCGGTTTCTCGAACAAGATTACGAATAGCTAAATCTTTACCGTTCAAGTCTTCCTCTAGCTCCAAAATTTTCTTCCTCGCAGCTTTTAATCGTGTCCTTTCGAAGGCAATTTCAGCTGTTTGATCATTTTCGTTGCTCTCATAATCGTCGCTTGAATGTGAAGGTAATGAAGAGTCATCACTGAATGAACTTAGTTCTGTAGACAACTCAGAATCTGGTGTTTCGGCTGAATCAGGTCTATCCTTATGTTTTTTCTTGGCTCTTTTCAGTTTGAATGCCGCCAACTAGCGTGATAGCAATAAAAAAGTTTAACAAAGCTGATCAACGTGAAAATGGGGGAGATTACCTTTTCCCTTCCCGCTTGAAGCTTTAATAAACGTTCGTCAGTATTCATCTTGTTGTATTATCACTGAATTTCATATAAAATCCGATGAAATACGGATTTTTTGAGCTACTGTCACGCACTTCCGGTATAAACACACATTACCAGTTTTCAATGAAATTTTTACAACAGGAGACTATTGTTATTCAAGTTTACTAAACCTAAACTTCCAAAAGTCCTTTCAATTTTGAGTAATCAATTATTTTTAGGCTAAAATCGGGCCAAAAAAAACCTAAAAAATATATTCCAAATATAATATGTATTAATAGATTTATCTTGGACAAAAATAGCTATAAGAACATTTTTGTTGTATATCTTATTCAATAATATTCTATATCTATTAAATTCTTTAAATGTTAAGAATCGCATATATGTTTAATTAATACCCCTCTTCTAGTTTTTTTAATAATAGATTGTAAACAAAATAGCCTAATCAATTCAAGTTTTATTGGTAATTTTTAAATTTATAAACACCAAAACAAAGATAAGATAATGGAAGAAAATCTTTTATACGTAAGATTTATCAACTATAGTAATCTTATAAATAAAAGAATTAAGATAAAGAGCTTATTTTTTCTTGCTCTAGAATAAATATTGCTAGAATGTAAATAATGTGAAAACTAAAAATAGAAGCCTCAATATAAAAGAAGATTCCATTCAATTTGGGCTAGAAAAAGGTTTTTCAAATATAACAATAAAAAAGTAGATTTTCTCTAGCAATTTACAATCATTTTCGGACTTATTTATCCTTTTATTTTTAGTATTTATTTCAAAGAAAACATATTATAATAGAACATTATAAAAGCAATGTTCTTTGTTCGTAGAAATAATAAAAGAATACAGTTAATCAAGTACTATACTAGAATTATTTTACAATCTTATGCATTTATGACTACTTAAATATAAATACTTATAATCTATAAGAATTATCTTTCTTATTAATTTGGAATATATTAATAATTAGTTTTATTCAGAATTAGTTTTACTTGTTGTTGTCCACTAAATAGGACAAAATCCGAAAAAACAATTGAAAATCTATAGTTCTCGTTCATTGTATAATGTATGTGAATATATACCATGTAATTTTTTATATTAGTGTTAAATACTTTTTACCACGCTTTGGTCAAATCGTAGCTGCTTTTAATAGTTAAATCTTAATGAATATCCTTCGAACATTATTCTAGTATAGAGAAAAAATTTCAGAGTACAAAAAGGCATTGACAACAAACTTCAAATTATTGCTATGCTATTGTAAAGAAATGCTGTAAACTAATCAGATTATTTTATACTTTTCGGTGGTAAATTACCAAAGTATATTAATATATTAAAAAAAAAATAAATAATTGGAAACTATAAGTTTTGATGAAGCTTTTAGAAAAGTAAGTTGTCAAATATATAAATGCTTGTCAAAGAACTTTTGTCCATAATACGTCTGAAAATTCATAGTATATAAAAAATGAGATTTTAGCCATATGATAATAATAATTGTCAAAATTGTTAAATACTTAACAAATTTTAAAGCTTAAAATTAACAAAATCAAGTTAACAATATAATATGAAAATATATCAAAAAGAAATAATTGTTTTTTCTTTTTGGATATTTTTTTCTGTTTAAAAAACGAATCTATTAGATTCTCCAATATTCCATTCACCGCCACCACCTCCGCCGCATGATCCTGGTGGATTTCTATCGTCTTTATCCCAGCGCTTTGATTTATAAAACCTACCATTGTTTTGCTCTTTTTCTGTGCTTTCCTCCTGTATGCAAAAAGAAGTAGTTAAATCATGTCGTGAATCAAGAATATAACTTACAGCTTTCATAATAATGTGTTTAAACTTGGAATACAAGCGGTTGTAGGTCGCCTCATTCATTTCTTCGTCATTAATAGAACCTTCCAAGACGTAAACCAAAACGTATGCACTCTCTTCTCGTATTCTTTTGGTTACAGTCTTGAGACAATCAAAGTCAGTTTCTCTGACGACAGCGTCGTTAAATAATATCCATTGATCAGACTCACGAGCATAGGTATAGTAGTGTCCATGACTTAAAGAATAACCATGATGAAATATAACGGCATTTAAATGATATTTATCACCGTTATTCGAAGGTGATGGTATTATATATGGATATGTGACATTAGTTCGAATCTTTTCACTGTTTCCTCCAATCGATCGATATCTGCCAAGTGTTAGGATTAAGTATTCACCAACTTTGGTAATTTTCTGTGATCGTTCAGCGTCTTGCTTGCTATTACAAACATCACATTCATACTGACACTCCCCACTAAGATTTTCAGGAGCTCTCCAATGAGAGAATAGAGTTTCGAGAGATAAATCTTCAAGTTCGTTACATTTAGGAAATGAAAGATTTAATACTTTGAAAGGCTGTTTCGTAACCGAAACATTTAAACAATTTAAGCACTTCATAAAAAAAGACATTTCTCCAGTGAATAATCTATCAATAACTTTATCTTTCGTTGCTGATTTTTCATCCAACTGATCCAGTAAATAACTTAAATATTCATAGCAATCTTGCTGGGTCAGTAGTGCTTTTCCCTTACTATCCCTGACCCACGGTGGTACCGATGCATTTATAAAATCCAGAGCGCTAACTACTGATTTCTGCAAAGGATTTTTTTTTTGCATTATAGAAGTACAGTCCTTGTTAAGGGAGTAAATTACTTACTCTAGCAAAAGTCAATATGGCGAAAAGGTTCTGTAATTCCCTAAATTCAGATTCTTCAACCGAGATATGAGCACTTAGAACATTATTTCTAAAACTAAAACATTAATTTTAGTCATTTTCAATATACAGTTGTAAATAAATGAAGATATTTACATTTTACACATATAAAGAGCTTGAATCACGCAGTTTATATAACAAGTGTTTCCTTCGTTTATCAATCCAATTTTTCGAAGAGTTCCCCTACGACTGTCGTTAGTATTGGAAGAGCTAATTATTCCCTCTCGTATATCATCGGTGAGTAGGGCTTTACAATTGTCTTTGTAGCTTTGCAATATTAAGTCGTTTGGCTTGGAAATTCCTAAACTCTGATTAGATTAATTATAAAAATATATTTATAGTTTTTGTTGAAGATTTATGCCTCCTCACTTTTAATGTATCACTAATGGGTAAGTATAAATCAGGAAAACCAGAATAGATATGCATTAGCCCATAGATTATATTGGCAACATTCCTTAGTGTTTCTTTATCACCGTTCTTATTTAATTTTTCTATTAAAATGATAAAATCATCCAACAGCTGAAAAATGTCATACATATAGAGAGTTAACCATTCAAAAAATTTCTATCTTACAGAATGGAAAACAGTTGGTAAAGGCTGTACATATCGTAACAACATATGTTCTAGAACTTTACAAGAACTTGTTCTTGTATTTGGATCCTTTATTAAAGATAGTACCTGAAAATTAGGATCGAATTTATTATATCATTTACCATAAAAAAACATTATTATAATTACAAATTTTGCTTTTATAGCAATGCACTCCAGTAGGACTAGATGCCTTGATGATCGTTCAAGTGTAACTAATACAGATGATATTAAACGATCGATATTTTTGGTGATGGGCCAACGTAGCCATTCGATTATCTTTTCCAGCACCTGAAGTTTTAAAAAAAACGTATTCAAAATTTCATAAAATAAAAAGAATGCTTTTACTTTGAAAAGAGCTGTATCGCTTCCGTCGAATTTACAGATGTATTCACTAGACTTTTCAATATAATTTGTGGGTACATTAGAGATTAATCCAGCATGGGCAAATGATGAGTCGTCATTTTCATTCTCTTGACATAAAAACCTGAATATCGTTTGTAAACTGACATACAGGCTATTACTATCCGCTTTCCATATTATCTATAAAAATTGTTCTTACTTTTTATATCGACATGAACGGAAAACGTTTATGATAAATTATACCTTCATTAATCTACCAATATCGTTCGTAACTTTGGAGGCAAAGCTTCTTAAAATTGCAGGATCATTGATATCCGGTAAAGTAACTTTTGATACACTTTTCACTATGTATATACAAAATATAACATTTTTTCCTTTGCATAGAGCTAGCTCCGGTAAATCAATCATCATTCGGCAAATATTAGCTAAAAGATCCAGCTAAAAGAAAAGATAATTAGAAACAATAATAGGAAGTTGCAATGTTGGACTGTTACATTATTTTCTGAGGCTAGTATTTCTGAAAATTTCGAATGAAATATTCCTGTGAAATACTGAAAAGTTGATGTTTCTCGAATTAGAATAGCACTCTGATGAGCAATCCATATTATATTAATTGGGGTTGATATATAGGTGCCATTAAATAGTGCCTGAAAATTGTTACTTTTAAGTTTACAAATAAAAGAATATTAAAGTAAATCATTTTTTCAACCTACATCTATTTTGTTTTCATCAAAAAAAGTATAGAACGCTTGTGGATTGTTTTTTGCCCAAGATACATAGACCTCTTTGCAATCTTCCGTTTCAAAAGTAGTCATTCCTTGCAGAATTGCATCCCAGCATACAGCCAATACTTTCATTACTTCACCCTCGCTATGTTTTTGAGCACCCGCAGGGGCGATTTTTTTCTTAATAATATTGACTTTCAGCTTCTCATTGTGGTTACTTTTAATAAGTCCGCTTAAAATTTGGTCCATACTTCTAAACGGAATTAAAGAATGCTCGAATTAATGTTCAGAATCTAACATTAATTCAACTTACGTTACTGAATGTTCGGAATATATTCCACAAACAATTAAATTCCCTAATTTAGAACGAGAAATTGGCATCCTGCAACAAATTAGATATTGTCATTTTTGTTATGATTTGCTCTATTGTGCACAGAATATTCCCACTTTCTACCAGTTTATTTTACAGAATAAATACTTACCGTTTCTAAAAAAAAAACTGGACTGTGAGGACATTCTCCAACAAATTACATCAAAATATTCGACAAATTTTACAAAAACTAACTTTTTGGAATTATTTTTTTGTTCTTTGTTTGAAAAATTCGGTTTTACTTCTAATTTATGTGTTTTTCAATAACGACCTACGAAGAAAGTATAATTAAGAAAGGAATATGTACAAAAATTATTAATATGACATATTTTTTTCAATTTACACACTGATTAAAATTATGCAATAAATTTTTAGGAATGCTTTTTATAAGCGATTTGTTCACTTTTTTCATAACTTCTACAAAACAATCTCAAGAAACAAAAGTGAAGATTATTCCAGATCGCTACCTTCAAGATGTAGTTTTTATTTATAGAAATGTATTAATCTTTTCTTGTAACAATAAACTTCCTGCTGAAAACTGAACAAATGCAATTAATTCGAAACCTATTCATGTTATTCCTTCTAGACAATATATTTAGAAAATTGTTTTATTCAGGTTCATAGTCTGACGGTGGAGCAGCTGCAATAAACGGTGAAGGTGTGATTTCGTCTTCGAGTAAATTATTATTAGAGTCTTCTGAATCTGAGTCTGTGTAGTTGGATGAGTCAGAGCTACCTTCGGACGAAGACGAGTAACTAGAACTAGAGGAAGGAGAAGAAACTTTTGGTGTTGTGTGAAGGGATTGACTCCAATGAGGTGTGTTGCGGGGAGTGTCAGCTTTAGTAAATAACTGCATTTCTCTGCGAAATCCTTTAGAATGGTTATATGGAACAGCTAAATGTTCACATTTTGTAAATCCTACATCTTGCAGTAAGAAATCAGTGAATTGATCAGGTTTGAAGGTAATGGAGTTGTATGTGCTAGATATTTCATCCTATTCAAATACAAAAGAAAATTAAATGTGTTAGATCGGCATACGGTAAATACTTACAGTTAGCTTCTTCTTTCTTTTATATGATGGCCAAGCTTGGGGTTCAAGAATCAATAAACCACCAGGACGCAATTGTTTAAACATTCGCCTGAAAGTTCTTTTTAGACCCATGTCGCCATTGTTCAAGTGAATCCACTTGGTTAGAGACAGAGCTAAAATCACATCATATTCCTCTGTTTGAATATCTACGGAGACGTCGTCTTCTGGCACGTAATTGGAGCAGACAAATGTTACATTGTTCGGAAAGTCATTTCCACCCTTTTCTTTGTGTCCAAGTAAAGGAGCTGCAAGAGGACCATAGTAAATCATAGAAATCGGAAACCGACTAGGTCTTCTATTATGCATTGTCTCACTAAGGTAATGCCGGACGTTTCGACGGGCTGTATTTATTAATTTTTCATCAATATCCATTCCTACTATTCTTTTTGGTTGATAAGAAGACGCGACGGCAAGGGTAAAGTTTCCAACGTTACAACCAATGTCTAGAATATCCTTATTCTCAATCCATTCCCTCTTTATGCAGTCTAATCTATAATCGTGCTCTCCTCTGGGATTTCTATAACCGTAATATGATGTATAATTACCAAATATATACTTTTTTCTTGAATCATGTTCTCTGTAAATCTTGTTTGTTGACTGCCTTAATGAATGACTCATTAAATTACTGCGACGAACCTTTCGTTTAATAACAGGAGATATTTTTTCTGTAGCACCTTCACCAGTACTTCTTCTTCGTCTTTTTGAACGTAAAATGACGTCTTGCGGTATTGCAGGAGATACTATTTCATCAATACTTCTTTTTTTTTTAGTTTTCGATTTCTTTTTCTCTTTGTTCGAAGATTTACGTTTTTTCTTCTTTTTCTTTTTCGGTAATTCCTCAACTTCTATTTCTTCGCCTGTATTTAGATTAAGAGGATCTGTGGAATTCTTTGGAATTCTGACATTAACATCCAGCTTATGCGGTGGTACAGGAACTGGTGAACACTGTGGAGTAGGTTCGAGTGTTTGATCTCTCTGGCCAATTTCTTGTAAATTAAGAGGATCGGTGATATTGCCACCAAGTAAAAATTTGTTGGGAAGAATTATTGTTCGCGTTCGATGAACAAACATTTTCTTTTTAGCTGGTATCCCTGCCTTTTCTGTTCTATGATCAGCAAATATACGCTTTCTAGTTTTTTTCTTCTCCGATAGTTTTTTCTTGTCTTCGACACTAGTGCCATCTTTTGCCAAATCTGTTAACATTACGTATGAGCATATTCCTTTAAATTAAAAAATAAATTTTTACTAATTCGTATTTTTTTTTGAACTGATTGTATTAAAAGTACTTTCATAAGTAATTTTAGTAACTTTTAAGATATTTGGTACGATAGGAACCACTACAAACCTTTTGCTTTATCCTCCATATATCCGCAGTCGATGCGAAGTCGAAATGTCGAGTGCAACCGTTGCGCATGCGCTCAACGTTCTCGGCCAGAATGCTTTGTCGACTAGAAAATATATTGAAAATAGCCACATTTTAATTAAATTTTCGACTCGCGAACATATATACAAATCTATATTTTCTTTTCAACAGTATAAGTATTCATTCTTACGAAAATTAAATTCTAGAAAAGGTGATAGGGAACCGGAGCCAGATCATAGTTAAATAGACTTTCAAAATGTAAGTTTGCCATTAAATGATTTACTGGCCTACAACTGGGATGATATAATTATTTTTGAAAGTGGGTAAGAATCAGAACACTATTAGAATACTTTCAATAACTATATAATTACTAAAGTGATTTGTTAATAAGCTGATAGTTGTCTTACGTTCTATTTTTAAATCTATAAAGAAAATAAAGGGTTCACTACAACAGATAATAGAAAATATATCAAGATTGAAAAATAATCAATAAGATTCCTTGAATAGTTTCAAGTGTATTAATATTATGTTAACAAAGGGGAAAATGGAAGATAAACGAATAAGCATCATCTTTTAACAACCGAAAATTGATACATATTATAAATCAATTAGCAACTTTCTCTTTGTTATTTCATCTTACCGGATTTACATGGAGTTACTAATTGATTAAACGATGCAGGTTGATAGAGATTCTCTGCGTCTGACGCCTTCCTCAGCCATAAATAAGAGCCTGTGTATTGAAAAGCCACACATATCCATGATAATACGAATGACCAGCCGTAGTAATCATGCCTTGATTTCTGTAAATAAATCAAATTATTCTCTTGTAGAATTGACTATAGTTTACAATTAATTACCATGATATTGCAAAGACAAATATATAATTACAAATTATATTAATAGCGCAAGCAGTTACAAACCTCTAAAATATCCATAAGAGGGGCAGCAGATACTTCATGCTCTTCCCCTAATAATTCTCTACGTTTTATCAGATGACATTTAATATGAAAAAATGCGATGGTGAGTGTGAGCGAGAAAGCTAAAAAATTATTTTATTGTTGGAGAAAGGCTGTTCATAATATGAATATAGCAAACTTTACCAGAAATAAGAGTTGATGCTGATGCAAGTGTTAGGGCGTTCCTACTCATAGACAAAGCGGCATAGGCTCCGCCAATACTTCCCGCCCATGACGTGGCGATGGACAAAATAGCTAATAAAAAGGCTATTATTTCCAGATCTGATAAAAGGAATAAATGTCAAACTTGGGAATTCGATAGATGGCGTATTCTAAGTTTAGTATAAAAGCTAGCTTATCTAAGGCTTGTCCTGCAAAAAAATCTATCGAATAGAATATCAAGATTATCTTTAAAAAACGCAATTCGTTTCATCCCCTTGAGCTTGTTTTTTTAAGCGATATCTATTAATACTTACAAATTATAAATGGTAATTCTTTTTTAATGTAGTCTTGTTCTCCTCGAGCTTCGATAACAAAAACTGTACAACTTTTTTCTCGTAGGCCTAATCTCTTTCGGACAGCGACTATAAACAATTGAACAAGTTAGAATCAATAGTCAATCATCTGAAATAAATACAAACTTTCTAGATTATCACAATCTTTATATAAATTTCCATATTGGGAAAAGACAACAATATCGAGCTCGATACGTCTTGTCGTATTGTAGAAAGGTTCGAAAAGTTCGTAGATTATGACGGGTGGTTGGTAAACTGATACCCTTCCTGTTAAACTTGGCAATTTCGTGTTTAATATGCTTCGATTATGAAAAGTCTTTCTAATTAACAAATAAGTTGATGTATCATGTGGCTTTATCAATTGAGTTTGATTAGATGATTCAATTAAATCTTCTATTTTTTCATTGTAAAATTCTCTATAGGACCAATAATTCGTGCAGATGGCAACAACAAGTAGGACACTCACATTTCCCGCGTATATGACAGTACTATAATCACACAGGTTCACCATACCTCCATCTGTCTAAATGTGAAAATACGTAAATGTTGAAAGCTGTTGAAATCAATATTACTTTTGAAAAGAACAATTAATAACATTTAAAAATGATTACTATTAACTCTTATTCACTTTAACAGTTACTGTAACCTTATTCTGACGACATTACAAATATACGGTGTCTTCTTTCCATAGGGTTTAAATTTCATATTTTTTGAGCCTTTAACGGGGAATCATCTATCAGTAATATAAATAAAAAGTTTTTGAGTGCAGGAGGCGCTTTAGTCAGATGCTTTTTTTTTATAACTTTACTTTTTTTGTAATCAATCTTTATTAACTAAACAATATTTCATTCTTGAGTTGAATGTTCTTTTTCCAATTATAAAATTCTTGTACCACCATCTCCGATTCTAATAATAATATTGTAGAAAGTTTACATTGGAAATATTTTTTTGTAGTTATGGAAGAAATAATCAAAGTATTGAAAGATATACTCTGTCTGAGCTTCAAATGAAATCTAAAAGTTTAAATAAAAAGTTGTGTAGAACTCTTTAAAAAGATGTCAAAAATACATCAAAGTTCATATTTGTAACTTTAGAATATAAATAAGGGCTTATAGAGCTTTTAAATATTTTCAAATAATTTTCTGCTCATATATTAATACAAGTTTATTTCCGAGTTTCAAAGTATTTCGCACTGAAGGTATCCTAGTTAAACAGGAAAAGACTTAAATCTCCCATGATGCAATAACAAATGTCAAGGTCATAAAATAAACTCTACAATGTCCGACTGGAAAGAAACCCATTTTACATCCACCCCCAGAGATACTCGCCAAAATTTTCAAAGAGGCCAAGGAAATTTATCACCAAGGCTTAGCAGTCCATTGATTAAAACAACAAACGAAACTCGTAGACCGGAAAGACCTAGAGGTTATACTTTAAATTCTATCGGTCATTAACTGTGTTCATTGGTTTTGTTTCAAAAGACAAAGAAACAATTTGATTTTAATAGCTATAGCTCAAGAACACCAAGTAAAACATTTTTGTAATGTTTCGCTAACAAATCCATTAAATTTTTGAAGCCATTTGCTTGATTGTTCCTTATTAATAACCTAAATAAAATTGCAGCCTTAGCTCTTATTAAAGGCTCTGTTAATCGGAATAGAGGTTTAAATCCGTTGTTGCATGAAATTTAAATGCATGTTAGCATAGACGATACATAGAGAAACTGGGCATCTGACTACTATTACATTTTTCTTAACTTTCAAAACATATTTCGCAAGTTTCTAAATAGGGGCATACAATGTTTATATTTTATATATAGGCAAATAGAATTGTTTTAATTTTCCATTTATATCAGTTTTTTTTAATATTGTATATTCATTTATTAGTGAATGGAATATTTTTTAAATTACCTTTAAAACAATGCTCGATATTTTCCTTTTCATAATATTAATAAATAACAAAGTTTTTTTGTTTAACATACAGAATTTTACAATAGAGTAGCTGGTTTAGCTGTTGGGATCTCAAGGTACGTAAAAGCAATGTTTAAATACCTTACACAGGCCTATTAGAAAGTTAATTTTTAAAGTACAAAAATAATATTACTTTTTTTATAGTGTATTTGCTGAGCATATCCTATCCCATCCATTCGTTATTTTAAGACGACAATGTCAAGTAATCATTATATTTTTTCCTCTTTTTTGATTGATAAAAGCTTTTAATATATTTTTATTTATGATAGGTTAATCATGAATCGTTACGGCATCATATAACACCGTTTACCTTAGTACCAGTAACCTATAATATAATATCTCATCAGGTAGGAATGAGTATGTACTTTTTATTGCAGGCTAATTAATTTTATTTTTATTTAGTCTTTATCGCCTTTTTGGAAAGGATTAAGTAGCAGTTTAATGGTTAAAGGTATATCTGTTGCTGTAGAATCTGCCATTTGTGAATTGACGCCCCTTCCAAAGTATGCATATAAATATCTAATGAGACAATAAAACTAACAATATGAATGTTTTCATAGAGAAATAAACAGGCACAGCTCTTTGAAAACTATAGGACAGCATATACTATTGAAATGGTATGCTTTGCATTTTTATCTTATTGAATTTAATTAATTAAGGTAATTAAGATATTTAATAGCTTCTTTCTCTTTTTACAGTATATCATATGCAGTAGCTTCACCGTTTTACATTTCATGTCTGATTGAAACTGTCCAGAGCGATGTAGCATCGGAAACTCCTGGTGTATTAGATGTGCTTCGGGATGGTATTTATAGAGTTATTGGTTACAACACAACGAATAGACTTCTTCCTTTTTGGAAGTTGGTTCTGCCATGTGTAACATTTGGAGTTTTACATTATTCACTATCTAGTATTGTACAGCATACTGTCCTTATGTCGATTAAACACGATCGACAAGAAAAAGATGAGAAACATTCTTTAGTGAACACTTATTATCCTGAATTGTTAAGTAATTGGACTTCAAGGTTTCTAACCGATCTTGTATTATATCCACTAGAGCTGGTCATTCATAGATTAGGTTTACAAGGTACAAGAACTCTTGTTGACGATATGGATAATGGAACGAATGTTATTCCAATTGTTTCAAGATATGAGAGTAGTGTTGATTGCTTTAGGACTATTATTCTTGACGAAGGAATGAGCGGTCTTTATAGAGGAATTGGCGCTCTCATGCTACAATATGCTGTTCATGGAGCTGTCGTTAGAGTAGCGAAATTATTTCTTGTGATTTTGTCAAGGAAAATTGATGATGGTGATGATGAAAATCAAGCTTATCGTAATCCAAATTGGTCAATCGATAAAAGAATAAAGGAGTATCCCGTCAGCCAAAGAGAAGAAACAGAACAGAAAGTTCATCCAGTAAATTATACTGTACGGTTGGTATCAATTTAATTATTTCTTGCACATGAGGCTTACTAATATGTAATGATCTCAGGTACGCACCAGCTGGTGGAAAAATCAAGACAGTGCCATCTGAATAACAATGGATTGTGGCATTTTCTGTTTAACTGATTTAATTTCAAATGGTCACTATTCTGGAGGATGTAGATAGAAATTAAGTTAATTGATAGCATTTAATAGGTAACATGAAATCGAATTTCATTCCAATTAAGACGTCATTGCTCTTACTATGTCATCTCATGTGGCTGCTTTTTCTTGAAGAGAGACAATATATCAAGTTTAAAAATAAATTTCTACTTATACTCAAAAAATGATGTATAAATATATATTTATATTTCAATAATTCTTATGAAAACAAATTAGTCTTAAGTGAATGTGAATGAACAATATACAACAAATATATCCAGTTATTCATAAAATACAACATTGAAGTCGAAAAATCTAGGGTCCGATCTGTCTTTAATCTTTTTGTTAAGATGTTTGACGAATTTCAGAGTATCTTTATCTCTGTAGACTAGAGCGAGCGAGTTATTAACAGGATTTACCATTAATAGCTGTAAATAAGAAGTAGTATTATAATTTTTTTCGTTAATTGTATTCAAAATTGATAATATCACCTCTTCATTTTCATCCTTAGCGATGTAGCTTGTGTAACCTCCACATTCGCTATCCCAATCGCGGCAAGAACTATAAAAAATAGCATCAAGAGCATAATACGATTGCTCTGTGTCATTGTCATGAACTAAAGTATAACTTCCATGCTCCCATTTTCTTACTTCAACAGAACACGTTGCTTCTGAAATGGACTTGATGATTAGATCTTTAGTATTTAATTTTAGGATCAACAAACCGCTTTCAGATTCCTCTTCTTGACCATCAGTTCGTTGAATCTTCTTCGGCTGCAGGGAGCCACTAGTATTTCTTGGTCTCTTTGATTCATTTGACTTTATTGGTGGCAAATGAGAGGCAAATTCAACTGCCTCTTCTTTGTCATCCATTCCTAAATCTGGAACAGCTTCATCAAATTCATCATCATCGTCTTCGTCGTCCTCCATGTCTTCATCACTAGAATCGTCAAACTCAGCCAAATGATGATATTTTAAACCCGTAAAATTTGACACAGTCAAAAAGAACGCCTCTGATTTAAGAATATTGATAAATTCTTGTATTATTTCTGGCGATTCTTTAGGATCTCCTGAGTAATAGTTTCTTTTATTAGCTGGTCCTCTCTTAACCCATTTCATCTGCTCAGATTTGAGAGCTTCTTCAAGTGCGCTATATTTTTCATCCTATAATTTTAAATGATGTAGGAAAACAAGTATAAATATAATAAAGAAAAAAAACTTAGCTACCTGCAGAAAATCTTTTAATTCAATTTCCGAATCTACTTCGAATTTTCCTTTTATTTCTATTTGTACTTTACTTTGCAGATAGATAGGATTAATCCAACTCCTGAAGACATCCTCCTATGAAAAAAAATTTAGTTAAAAACGATCAATGATTAACTAGATCGTCATACCGAAATCTGAGCTTGAGATAGTCTGGTTAATGTAGGTTCTAAATAGGGGGTTGGCCGTGGAAAGGGTGCTCCATAAAACCAACCATTGATAGATAGTCTTGTCTTATCCTTGGACAAAACTTCGGCAACCTAAATACGGATATAAAGTTACAAAGAAAAAGTAAAATAAATATTAATAAATTTAAATAACCTGATGAAAAGATATAGGAGAGACTTCAAAGAAAGATAACTGATTTTCAGAAGGTAATAATGATTCAATGACATCTTTAGGTTGGTTATTATCTGACAAATGTTTAGTAAATTATAGAAGATCTGTTAATTATTCAAAGTGATTTAACACGAACCATCGGTGTCAAATAAGTCTAATGCTCCACCATCCTCTTTTCTCCAATGAGGAACTAAGTATAAAATAAATGCGATTCTTCGGCCTTCTAATTCATCATCATGACAGAGTAAGGAATCTGTATATTCATATTTAGACCCAGTCATATCAACTTTGTCCAACAGCTGTATACCAGTTAAATTTGAGATCCAGTTTCTTACTTCGAGCTTGAATAGTTTTCTAAAATTTATGGAATATCGTAAAAATATAACTTTCCTTATGAAATAATAGCCTAGTTTCTACCTCAAAACTTTACCATAACCTGTGGACAGTTTTTTGAAATCAGAAGTCTGTTGAAATTTATATAAATCATTATTCTTTTCATAAAATATTTGTTCCTCAAGTTCTTTCTTAAGTTCTTTCACAAATTGTTGATTATCCAAAAAGTTTGGGAGGCAGCAAGTTTGAAATGGCTTACTAACAATTTTCGCTTCTGTACTTTCTGCAATTTTTGTAAGTAATTTTTAAAAAGAAGCTAACTTTAACAAAAACTAGATACTGGAGTCAGATTCTATTGTAGATCTTTATTAGTAACAATGTATTTCCTATTAGTTTTAATACAATTTAAAGAAAAGGAACACTGAGTGACTTAATATTATTACCTAGGCTAACTCTGAAATAGAATATGTAAAAAAAATTGAGTACTTCCATTTATTGCAAAGGAAATTTGTAAAATTTTCAACAGAGTAATTAGGTTGAACATGATAAAGAAAACGTTACTAACCATTTTCGTAATCAAGTTTCTTAGAATAAATATCAGAGAATTCTTTCGTAAAGTCCTCAGCTAAATAGGCCGGATTTATTGCGGGGTAGCACTTTAGTCTACTTTTTCCCTGAACTCCGCTAACGCCAACACGTTTTTTCGATGAAATCATATTGGTCGTTGAAGAAGTCTATTATCTAAGGGGAAAAATTGATAAGAAAATTCCCATAAAAAGAGTAATCTAGAAATATTAAATATTTTTACTTCATACCGGAAGTATGGGCAAGCGATATTAGAGGAATTTTATTAATCGATACAAGGATATACAAGCCAAGATATAGAATGGCACATGTTGGTGATGTTAGTTGGTTGACGGTGGCGTTCGTAGCGGAATAATTAAAGTTTTTTTTAAAATAGTATAGACCAAATGCTTTGAAAGTAATATAACAGACTTTTTTAAGCATTCAAAGTGATAAAGATTTTAAAGATCAATTTTGATTTCAATTGAGTATCGTTAAAAGAATAAAGTAACTAATAATAATACATGCTTTATACCGGTATATATGAAAAAAATATATAGCATTGATTAATTAACATTATTACACTCTCTTCTAAGAATGAATCAATCCTCTTTAACCTTTTCTTTTATGTTTAAAAAACATATATTAACATAATGATTTTTTTTTAAAAAAAAGTGAAGAAATGACAAGATATTTTAATATTAAAAACAAAGGATTATGACAATGATAAATATTATAGAAATTATTATTTTTATTCAAATTTCTTCTATATATTCTTTAAAAATATTTTGGAATAACAATAATGTCGATGAAAAAGTCGTTGAGCAAGGTTGCTCGTTCAATAATATAAGCAATTTAACTGCCAAAGTTAATCTTATTCGGGATAATGAAACAATAACTCTTGAAACTATAAGACTTTACGCTTATTATGAAACGGAAGTTGACATTTTTTATGATAAATTTGCAGAACGTCTAAAAAGTTCTAAAAGTGGAATTGATTTTTGTGTTCTTTGCTTGAACGATAATAAACATATAATAGAGAAGAAATGCCTATCATCAAGACAACAACTTAATGACACATTATTCTTTGTGTATCGAGTGTTTAAAGCAATTCCAACAAAATTTAACTCTTTTAAATCTATGGAAAACTTACGCTCTGGTTTTGTCAATAGTAAAAAATCTAATAAATTAACAGCTATTGGCATAGCGGGTCTAGTTTTGACTGTTGTTATGATATTATTCGTTATGCTTTGTGGGAAATTCTTTTCGAGGAACATTCGAAATTATGCTAAGGACGACATAGAAAATGTAAAGTATTACATACATGCATACATAAACAACCATATGCATATATATAAATGGATATTGAAATAACCTCCATTAAGTTAATGATTCATAGATAAAGTATTTTATCCAATATTTAGGATTCAAAGAACCTTTCTGAAGATAACTGGTACCGGAAAGCAATAAAAGCTGCTGGTGGTACACTTCCTCCTAATGCTAGAAGTCTGAGACCAAAGCAGATCATTGGTCGCATTAACTCATAAAATATTTGTATTATTCTATTCTAAATGTTTTTGTACAGGTATTTATAAATCTTTTAGAAAAAATGATGCAGACGGAAATGGAACAATATCTTCAGAAGAGTTAAAAGCAGCTATGAAAACTATGAATAGAAATTTTAATACTTCTCAAATTCAAAAAATAATGGCTGACATGGATACTGACAGTTAGAATTCCAGGTTTCTTTTCTCTTTATTTTTTTTTCCTTTTTCTCTTTAGAAAGCGGAGCTATTGACTTTTTCGAGTATTTAAATGTTGCTGCGGAGATGGTAGCCGATGATATTGCCTACTTAAAAGCTTTCAATACTATTGATTTGGACGGTAGTGGGTAAATATCTTAGTAATAATTATTAATGAATTAATCAACTATGATTAAATTTTTTAAAATTTGCTTTCAGAGAGATTTCTGCTGAAGAAATGGCGGTTGCAATGAAGCAAATGAATATAAACGTTTCTCCCCAATATATTCATGAAATAATCAAAGATATGGGTACCAAAAAGAAGGATGTAATTAATTTTGAAGGTAGTAGGAGACATTAATATAGATAAATATTTTTTTTACTTTATCTCCTTCCTTCTACAGAATTCAAAAAAATAATTGCTTGGAAAGCTAATCAATCAAATTCCGTTAATGGCGATTTATCCTCTGTGAGCGGTGAATCAACAATACTTACTAAATGAATTTGTTTGATTCTTTCAAGAAGACTACAAACACAATTTTAGTTGAATATTCATGATTTCATGATTTTCTATATGAAGAATTTGTGTATTTTTTTCCGTTTGTTTAGTAAACATTCTATAGAATCTATATAAAATTATCATTGTCAAAATAACTTATCACTTTCCAAATTGAGTGACCATTAGATTTGGAGCGCCGTAGCATACCATATTAAAATTTGATCTCTCTCCTGAAATCTGTTCAGAGGTTAGTGTTGCCATACTTAAACCGTGTTTCATTCCGCTGCTTTCGTTTTCTGTTTCTTCTGCTTCCTCTTCTGCGGTTTCATCGGGCTTCCTCTTATGAGGCATTGATAAAAATCGGGTAGCTTCACCAGTTGTATAGGCTTTAGGTAGGAAATCTTTCATAAAATCATGTATGCGCTGTGCATTTTCTTCTAGAGAACAATGCCATTGGTTTGATAGAACGCATCTAACACCAGTCAAACCTAACAAAATGGACGTCTCGACAGGTTTTTCCAGGTTAAGAACTTCTTGTCTGTAAACGCGGTAAGCAATTACATATTAAATTCTCTTAAACTATATATATATTAGGCATACGTTTTAAGGACGTCAGTTTTGGCTCTCCTTGAAAAGCTCTTGCCTGTTTGCATCAAGTCGAGAAGCATCACAAACTGGCACTCTGGCAAGTTAAGACTTGCTATATTTGAAGGCGATAATTGACATGCAAATCTTTCCATTCCGTAATAAATGAAGCCAGAGCCCTCATTCAAATAAATTTCGTACTCTCCTACACTTGGAGAATGTTCACTACCTGCAACTCCAAGCCAACGAGGTGTGAATTGTTGAGAATGTTTTTCAACCATTTCGTTGAAAATTTCAATAGGTTTACAAGTATCTGTATCAGGCGCATCAGAATTCGGATCGACAACAACTGTGGGAAAGAATGTTTTAAACATTAATAACATTTAAGTGTCTACATTAATTATTTCTCTTATATCATTACATCTAACGGCATGAGTATCCACTGGTAGACAGGTAGATGGTACTGGTCTCTCAAGGGGTACGATTTTACTCTGTTTCTTCGCAGCATCACGCAATCCAGGTATTCGACTAGGCGGTTTATTTTTTTCTTTTTCTTTCAAGGCTTTTTCGGCGGCTTCGTCTAGAGGTTCAATGTACATTTTATGATGTAACATTTGAAGACTAACATCTCTTGAGACTGATGTTATATAATCTGCTTGAAGACATCTCAAAGCCTCCAAAGGCCATTTAAGGAGTTCAATATCCGCTAGTATTGCGATGCACTCATTTTCAGCTGATTGAGCATCCTTACTCATTGTGCTTCCGCTTGTTGGGCGTCTATTTTTAAAAAGGAAATTTGATTTGAAGGGGTCATTTAACTCTATTCAGACTTACTTTTCTTTTAATTTCTTTGAGATATCACTCAAATATGTCTCTGTACACTCTATTAAATTCAAATATTCATGTCTCAATTTCTCTTCATCTTCATCTTCAAATTTACTTTCATTCTAGATATAAATACACTTTATACATGAAGATCTTAAGATAAAAGGATAGGGTAAATATAATTTCTACAATATCATATATTACTAACCGGAATAGGAGATCCTGAATCAAGAGTAGAGAGCATCTTTTCCCTTTGAGCCTGTCTTGTTTTCTTATATTGACACTTTAAAAGGATCTATTAGGAAAGTAAAAGTATTTTTTTGTGATCTTCGTGTTGAAAAATGTTTAAGTTTTATTGTTTTTACCATCATTGCATCGTGTTTCCACCATTTCCATCTCTCTTGTAATTCCTCTAATTCTTGCCTTGAAGTTTTTACTCTCAAGACTTGAGCTTTTGATGTAAACTGGCCTGCTCCCCTTCTATTTGCTGCGGCTGCATTTAAATTTTTCGATTTGTCCATTATGGAACAATACAGATAATTCTTATCGGGAGAGAATTGAAGAACGACACAAGTAATATTCGGAGGTAAATCTTTTATTAGATCCATATGGTGAGTTGATACGCGTAATCTTTTCCAAGCCTTTAAATGAAAAAGAAGAGGAGTAAACTATAGAATACATTAAAATTTCTAATATTAATAATTTTACAATGAACTTTTCGTCCAATTGTTGCATAATTGATCTATAGCTCGGACCCATTTTCGAATTGAATATCAAGTCTTTTTCTAACATATCATCTCTTTGTTTTAGAAGAGCTGCCAGCTGAGATTGAGTTGGATCGACAAGTGCCCTTTTTAATAAATTTTCGCAGTAGAGTGACGCTTCACAACTCTGACGTAAAGATAGATATTGACTGCAAAGGCCAGGATCAAATTGACCTAGGCATTCAACTAATTCAATTGATGCTTCGCTAGTCGTTCTCTATTAATACATTAGAAAAATATTAAATATAGAAAGTACTAAAGAATTATATTATTATTTACAAGTAAACCATGTTTCAAGGATAATACTATTGATTGTTGAAGAATTTCAGTTGCTTGAGCGAGTAATTTTTGAGAACTATGCTTTTCACTCTATACATTATAAAAGTATTTAGAATTTCAAATGTCTGTTTAGAAATATCTCTATACCTTTAATTTTTTCAATCTTGCAGAGAATTTAATAAATTCATCTGTATCTTCATTGACGTATTCATTTTCAGCGCTTTCATCAATATGTAAACCTAGTTTCTCCCTCTCTATCCAATCAGCATTCCAAAGTTGTTTAGGATCGGGAGAAGCATGTTCTGACATAAGTCTGACGCATCTTCCCACTAAAAATAAACATTTAGCTCTCCATTCTATTAAATTTGGTGACTCTTGCTGCGATATGGTGAGAGAATGAGCAAAACTTAGGCTAGTTAGTGCCTGATCGCAAGCAGTCTTTATAAGAGATTCCCATTGTTGCTCTCTACCTTCATAGTGTGGAGTGTCTCTTGTTAAATTCTCAACTTCTCTCTCAACAGATAATTTTCTTTCCCATTGAATTCTTTGATTTCTGGCTCGTTCGACATATATTTCGAATATTTTAATTAATACCCTAGAATATTTAACATTGCATTTTATCGTAATTCTCTGGTAAGGTAAATTAATATGTTGCAGCTGCAAAAGTTCATAATTCGATAAAATAGAGTTAATATCTTAAAAAGTAAATATGCAATATAAAAGTCTTACATCAGAAACTGGAGATGTCAATGTAATAGCGTCCTGGAATAGATCTCTAGCAATTCTCACAGAATATTCTAATATTTCTATAATCTATATTATAATGAAAATCGAAGAAATTATAATCAATGGGTAAAAAAAAAGGAAAAATTTTACTTCAATATAGTAGAAATCTCCATCTTTCGAACCATTAAAAGCTATGGCAATCTTTTCTAATAATTCTGCTTGATCTAGCATAAATTTTAACGCTTCTTGAACATAACCCAATGCTAATAGTTCGGCCCAGCAATGCTTTAATTTCTATTGGGATAATGATATAATTAAATATATATATATATATATATATATATATATATATCAGACTATTATTTAAATTATCGTACGTTGCAGGATGATAATATTGCTGTAATTACACTTGGTTTAGTCAGATTATCTTGGGCTTGTAATATAATATCTATTTGGATTTGGACTAATTTTGCTTTAAAATTATTCAAAATAAATCCAGTTATATCCTGCTTATTAGGCCTTGTCTGCTCAATTTCAGAAAATATTTCCACAGCATGTAAAACTAACGTTCTTGCCTGTAACAGTCCCTTTATTAGTATATCATATTTGATAATATAATAAAAATATTAATAACTCATATTTACTTTACGAAGGTTATTCTTCAAAGAGTAATCTTTTCTTGTAGACTCAATTATAATCATAGTCGTTTCATACCAAAACATTTCGTCACCCTTAAACCTTTTTTGAGCTTCGAGACATAACGCTACCGCCTGTCCATATTGAGCTTCAATCATCGATAAATGTCCGAGTAAATGTAAAACTTTCCCCTCAATATAGGCATCTTCATAAGCTCTAGCTGTTACTAAGACTTCGTTTAGAATATCTCTTGCAGGTTGATAGATACCCTGAGTTATGAGAATTTCTGCAGTTTCTAACCAAACATTCCTAATTTTAACTTCACCAAGCTCCCTTCCAATATGCTCCGCAGTATTTGTTTTTTCGGCTCCTTCAACAGAGTCGTCTCTATTCCCCTGTTTCTTTTTTAGAACATTTGCATCCAGCAATCTCTTTTCTTCTCTTCTTACTTGGGCCTGTTTTTCTCTCCAAACTGCCATAGCCTCTCTGGAATTCGCTACTTCATCTTCGTTTAATTTAAAATCAGAATACTGTTCATGAAATTTAATTCCATTTATATACCCAATTTGCATGCAAGATTTCCAGGATTTTAAATGTATCAAAGAAGTAAGAGAGCGATTCTCTAGCATTCCTCTTGCTATAGTATCTTGTAGGGCTAATGCTGGAAAAACCATATGATGGAATCCCAACCTATTTAGATGCTTTACAAGGGTATCCAAATAGTAAATGGTTAACATCTATATAAAATAGTTTTAAACCTTATCAATAGTAAATAGGTTAAAGTAAATCACTTACGGGTTTTAAGATTGTATGTTGGTTTATTCCGGTCAGTTTCATTGATTCCTGTTTAAAGGCTTCAAGAACTTCTTCAGGAGCATCATATTCAGCCCAGGCTTCAATACTACTAGGAAGATGATCAAGAGGACCTTTACGCTTTGGTCTCTCCTTTACAGGTTCTTCTTCTTTAGCCTTTTTACCACTTTTCTTTCCTTTACCACCTTTATCACTTTCACCTTCTGTTTGTGGTCTCTTAGCCAACTCTTTCATAACTGGCCCACTAGCGGATAAGGAAACTTGCCATATCCTCATCAAATAACCATATGCTAACAGAACGTTATTAACGTGCTCATTTGATTGACTGCCAACAACTTCGGCCAGCAGAACGGTACATTGTAGAAGATAGTCTAGTTGCTTAATACTTATTAGATCAGATATCTTTTGTTCTGGTTTCATTGGAATAACACCAATTATAGCGTCTTTTTTAATGGGTATTATAGCTTGTGAATCCACTTGACTTTGATCACTAGTGGTTCTGGCTGTATCTGGAGCTTTTTCTTCTTTCGATATTTTTTTAATAGAAGTCGATTTTCTCTTTTCCCTCTCAGCTGGTTTCTTTGTTTTTGGTTTCATCGATTTGCTTCCTATTGAAGTATAGTTCAATTATATCGTTCGCTATATTCATATAATGAACGAAGTAAGTATGAAAAATCATTTCGAATTGTAAATTTGCAAACAAGCAAACCAACAAAAGAACTAAAAACAACTAATAGACAAGAAAACTTTGATTAAGAATGTTTACTTAATAAAGATAATACAACGGAATTTCTTTTTAGAACAAACCTTTAGTGTTAGCTTCTTTTTCAGTTAAATCGGCTTTATACACACAATGATGTTTTTTTTAATTAGTTATTCATCAATAGAACTTATAATTTTAATTAAAAACTAATGAAAACTAATGAGATGATTGACATTATTACAACATTTTTTATCATTGACTTACCGGTTTCTTTACGACCCTTCTTGGAAAGAGGTGAATGAGATCGATCTTGTTCAAATTCCATGTTCAAGAGTATGTCTATTGCCCATTCAATTTGATCTGTAGCATCACATCTTGGAAATTCATGACAATAGAGCCATTGTCCTAATTCCAAAAGATAATCAACTTTTTGCCATTCAGAACTTTTCTTCTATAAGAAGATTTTAAAAGAATAAAAAATCTATATAGTTTTGTAAATAAAAGAAATTTTACCGTCAATGCTTCTATAGCATTCTGATAAGCTTCTAGTTGGAATTCTATATCCTTTGAACAGAGTGCTACTCTCCTCCACATATGGGCAAGATAATCTTCGCTATCATCCTTAAACTTTTGTATATTAAGGAGAACTGACAAGCCTAATTTAGCTTTAACCATAACGACGTGTTTGTGCAACAAACTAAAAATGTGTGATAATATACGATTAAGATTAATGAAGGAGAAGTATACAAATATGCAAATACAAACAGGCGGTGGTTTGTTCTCGGCATGTCATTGATAGCTTTATCCATAACTTCAAGAGCACTTTTCCAATCGTGCTTTTATAAAAGAATAATATGGATAATCTCTTTGGGTAATAAATGTTAATTCACATATTTCCTTACCTTATCAGCATAACTTTGGAAAAGAACACAATAGAAAAATGCCCGAAGAGTCAAGTCGTCCTCAGGTCCTCCTATTATACCAATCTTCTTCTTCTCTGTAGAATCGATTGGGGCTAATTCGTTTGAAGTTTCATCTTCATCTTCAGCTGTTTCCTATCGATGAGAAGTGATTTACGTTAAGATAGTGGAATTAATTGAAATGCGGAAAATTTAATTTACCAAAGATTTATAAGCATTTTTATCTGTCGTTTTATTGATAGCATCAAGAAGTAGTGTAAGTGGCGATTTAAGAACCTCCCTCTCAATTGGTTGCTGAATAAGAGGCAGAGCTGCATTCCAATAACGCCTTGCGGCTTGCATTACTAGTTCATAATTTTGAGCATCGGCAGCAAACAGAGCAGCTTTCAAAAAGAACTGGAGAGCCAATCTCCTAGGTGCATTCTTACCCGCTGCAGTATCAACCAAGCTCCTACCTCTTAAAGTAGCCGAATAGAAGAGCATCTCTCGCTCCACAATATATTCATTTCCTTGACGTTTTTTGCCTTTAGGCAATGTTCCTCCATGAAATTCCAAAGCTGCGTCAGAACATTTCAAAACGAGCTGATGCTTTTGAGCTTTAAAGGAATGATAGGTTAAAGTTGTCCATAGCTTTAGTTCTACAAGATGATCTTCCCAAGTTGCCATTTGTATCATTTCAGCCACCTTTTCGAGCGGTGGTATTTCTTTGAATTCCATAATTCCATTATTATTTAAACTATGCATTTCAACGACAACAATGGATCTAGTCATAGGCTTTTGACCGTTCATATCCTCTGATGAATTAGTACCCAGCTCTTTTCCAATCTGCGATTGGCTTAATTGTTTTGCCCTAACCCAAGTGTGTAGCAAATCCACTCTTACACTAATGGGAACGATATTAATCGCTTCCTTTCCATCTGTGACATCCATACAGAACTCGCAAACTTCTATCGCCTGCTTAATAAACGGAATTCCATCCGGATTGATTTGCAGAGTCTGTTTCGATTTTGAATCGGCAAGCCCACCCTGCTTTTTACCGGGGGATGGTGCTCTAGGTGGGACTGATCCAGGAGACTGCAATAGTGGATCCCATGGTTGTAAAAGACCTTTTGCCAGAGCATTACATAAGCTAACAAGCATAATTGTTTCCCTGTTGTTTTGTTATATAATTGTATTAAACTTATCATGATTCTATCATAAGCGTGTTACCCGGCATGTCCTACAGATTTTAGGGCGTTTAGAAGAACTTCAAAAACTTTAACCAATTCGGAGTGCTTATTTGAAGATAGACGATGCTGATTATAATTCCACAAGTAAGCGGATGAACTGGAAATTATATGAAAGTTTTTTGTAATAAAAAAGACACATGAAATATATGAATATATGAAAAGAAGTGGTGCAACTGACCTACAAACGACCCACGGTTCGTTCAAATTTACTCCAATTTCACTTGCTCTTAGGAAACTTTTAGTAGCATCCTCCGAGATTCGATCTAACCAATCACTGACGAATAAAAATTAAGTTAGAATAAGTTTATATTTGAATCTAAAGAAAGTGTTCGTTACCAATAGGTCTGCCAGTGAGGATCATCCTCAGCTTTGACGGTCACATAACCTTTAGGCCTTATGCTTCTGTCCTCAGGGGGTATTGGTTTTTGATAGAGCTCTACTCCTTCTGATCTTAGAAGGTGAATAAGGGCTTCACCTTGCACAAAGTACACTTCTACCAATGTTCTTAAGAGGTGCTTCTCGAAAAGCATACTTATTGTTGGTGGAGGCGTGGCTGGTTTCTCGAAAGAAACTTCTGATCCTTTTTTTGATAAAGACGTAGGAGGTCTCTGCTCTTCTTTCAACAAGTCGTCTCTTACAAATCTACCATCGTCATATAGTAAACAGAAACGACAAGCTACTCTGCAAACATCCCATACTTCTTGTTTACGTGCCGTTTTTGCTAAATCAGCCCATAATTTAGCTCGTTCGTGTTCTTTCTCACTGCCCAGCCTCTTCAAATGTCCAGGGGCCTTTTTAATACAATTCCAGAATTGCTCCGCCTTATGACCATACTTAACGAATCGAGAAGAATCGGCTTTTCCCCCACCGACTTCTTTAGGTGGACTCTCAGACTCCAGAACCAAGAGGAAAGCATCAGGGGCTAAGGCTTGTCCTGCCTTTACTAAAATACTTCTTTTCATTAATACTGTTCCGGTTTCAGCGCTTCTCGCTTGTTCTATTATCATAGCTGCTGCATCCTCATCAACATCGGGCTGTTGATATAATTCCTTTTTCAGTTCTATCCTATGTAAAGCAGATTCTAAGAGTTCTTTATACGTTTTGGCATCATCCAATGCTATTGCTTTCCGAATATGCGCAATGGCAACTTCTAATTGTTCAACGTCTTCCTCAATCTTTGCCAATTCCGTATGAACTTGGCATCTATTGAAAGAAAAAGAATTACCCAGTTACAACGATTATTTTGATTAGTACCTAAATTGAAAGAGTAGAGAATCGATTTCTTCCAGAGCTTCCACTATGTTTGTCAGAGGTCTTCTGACTTTTATTCTTAGATTTGTTTGTAAAACTGGAAGGCATAAATTCCATAGTGTCGCGCAGGCTGATTGTATTAAACCAGCATTTTGTTGCCTAGCCGAATTTGTCAATGCCTCATCACATCTTTTAATTGCGATTAGTCTTACTTCTAAGAGGTTTTTTTGATAATTTTCTCTATTTTCACCCAATTTTTTTACCATTAGGTCGCATTCCATCAATTCTAATTGAAGAGGAAAATTTGGATCATTCGGAAAATTAGCTATCTTGATTCCAGTAAGGCATTGCTGCATAATTTGAGGAAGATTATACTCAGAGGCTAATCTACTCATTTCCAATAGTAAATAAGGTCTTTCGGGATTATCAATATCCATTTTACGAGTAGCGGCTGAGGGTGACGGAGTGCGACGATCCTTGGCTCTAGACCTAGAATAGCAAAGTCCATGCTTTATACATAGTATAGTTGGCAAATAGAAATCAGTCATACACAACATGAACAGGTTTAATAAGCACCAAAAACAAAAAATATGGAACAATATGTTAAGTGAAGGTTAAGCTGAATCCACGGCAATACATATAAATATCATGCTATATTTATATATCATTCATTTAATATACCTTAAATATAACCCCAAATCACCAAAACAGAAAAAAAAACCATTATAAGAGGTCATATTCAAGGTCATTACTAATATATTTCATGCAAAACAAAACAAAAAAACAATATAGTTTCAAAAATAGAAGCATTATGAACGTTTTAAATATCAAACTTTATACAGTTTTTTCGTATAGGAAAAACTGTTAAAAGTTTAAGCGATGTTATTGTTCAATTCATTTTCTATGTGATATTATTGGTTGTTTAAAAAAACAGAACAAAAAAAGGCAGTATAAGGTGGAGTTTATTCGTTTTTACCTAGCCAATTTTTTCGTTTTAGCTGTACTGTATATATATTTATATATGTATATATATATATATTTATAATTTTACATGGATAGCGTCTTTATCATATTAACAAAGGCTTTGTTAATGCATTTTTACTAAAGAACTTACATTTCTATGTCTTTATCATCCAGAACACCCATCTGATTGAGTATCTTTTTAGCTTCGTCATCAACTTCCTTATCCCATGTTTTCTTTTGATCGATTAAACTATAAAAAAAGAAAAGGAAGAGAGACATATATATATATATATATTATTCTAGATAGTCCGTTATATTTTTGATAGACAAACCTCTTTAATTTGCATATTTTAAAGAAAACGTTAATTTCCGATGAACTTCTTATATCTTTTTGATATTTGGCGCTACTAAAGTCAACTAACTGATGTCGTACCTAATAAAATAGAGTTCTTATTAGTTATTGAAAAAAAATTATGCATTTGCATATAAAAAACATACTAATAAAGCAAACAATTGCTTATACATTGATGGAACGTTTTGTTTTACAAATGTTGACGCCACAGATGCCACAGCCGAAGCTTCTTGTTTGCTTCCGGCATCGAGATGGCATTCTATTAGAGTTCTTATCAAGGGAAAAAAATAACAACATAATAATGAGTGCTGTTTAAGTTGTCTTTGATAGATACTAACATCATTAGAGTTGCTTTCCACTCCTTATCAGGATCGTTGATTTCGTCCAATGCTTTTACTATTTGATGAAGAGATTTTGATAGGTATTTCTTCCAGACTGGCTTCAAAAATGGTCTACAAAATGACCAATAAACCAAAGATGCGTTATAAATTAGAAAATGATATTTTTCTTTATCTCTAGCCATGTTAATTGCTTTTAAAATAAATCCTATTGCCTCTTCCAATTCGGCCTATAAAAAAGAAATGTAATAGCGGATATTGTAGTATCGGACAGATCAAAAATAGTTAACTTACCAATTGATTGGCGTTTGTTGGAGCAACGAGTTGAGCTTCAACCAGATAAGCTCTGCCTAGAAATTGATTTGATGGTGGGCTCTTACTTTTAAATAACTTTATGCATTCTTTGGCAATGTCTGGTCTATTATGCTGTTATTTTACAAAAAGATATAATAGCTATGATACATTTGATGATTTTTTTCTTTACATACACTAATAGCTTCTTCTGCGCAAACAACAAATAAATCAATGCCAAATGGTTGAGTTCCTTCTGTTACCGGTTTATTACCCGCGGTAATTAGTATATCAAATGCTTCTCTTAAAAATCCTTCTCCCTTTAGGCCTATTTACGAAAACTATTAACAAATCAGTAACAATTAAGACTAAAATATCTAAACCTGAAGCATTTTTTGAAGCGGTTAAAAGTGTCCTTATTCTGACATCCATTTTGTTAAATTATTTAATTAATGACCATTAATTTATTTAAAGATTGAACAAATTATTTTCTACTATCACATGTAATCCCGCCATGTTTACGTTTTAGCCGTATCCTTGATAAAATATACTCTTAATAATATAGTCCTTGTCATTTCATATCATAATTCACTTTTTATCGACTTTATTCTTTAAAAAATGTAACCAACTCGTGAAAAATTTACAATTAAATTAAATTCAAGTTCCATTCATAACTTTAGTGTAACTTTCGAGAAAATTACAACTGTATAATAAAGCGTATTACAGTTGCTATGGTTGTTTTAGAACTATTTTTATAAACACCGTATACGACGACACCTAGTGTCTATTTTAATTACGAAACGAATATTAATTTGTATGAAAACAATATCACGTATAAATTCTATTTAAGTAAGAATAAACAATTCTTAAGTGAAGAATTGTTTATCTTCTAAATGCTAGAATCATCTAATTCCAAAATTCTCTTCAAACGAAATACGATAAACTATAAAAAGGTTGAATTTATTTTAGTTTGTTACTTATTTTTAAAATATCTACTTTTTCATCGTAAAAAAATAGATAAGCTTGTTACAAAACAACGTAAAGAATTTTGTTACAGAAAGGAAAAAAAACTAAGTCTATTAGTCAGAATGGAAGTTGAGTTATTCTCTACATTCCTCTGTTTATACTTATAAATTGTATACAAACAATGTTAACTATCAGTCATTTAGATATCATCAGTAAAGGTATTGTTTAGAAAAGGGAGGAGAGGGAAAGGGGACGATGAGGAAACAGGCCAATATAATAATAAAAACATATATTCATAAAGTATAAAGTACATAGACAAAATTTGATGGAATTGGGGAAAAAATAGGGAAGAAGATTTTTTTATTTAATTATCCTTTGGCATATGAAAATCCTTATGATAAAATTTTACTATTAAATTTCTCTAAACAATTTTCTAGTACGTTCTTTTTTATCTTGGAATTTTTCTCCTTCTTGCTCTCTCTCTCTCTCTCTCTCTCTCTCTTTATATAAATTTTATAAGGTCAAAGTTGCCTTCTCTTCTTTTCTTTTCTCTTTCGTTCTGTCAGTAAAGTTTATTTAGAAAAATTGTAGTAAATCTCATCTATTGAATGACATAAACAATCTTTTTTTATACAATTTATCATATAAATTAGCCAAATAGCAATATCTATTTATTTATTTTAGTTTTATAAATGATGTAAAAAGCCTCTTTTCTCATTCATCAGCGTATTAATTACGTATTTAACGTGATTAACTATGATCTATATTATTTTTCTATTTTTTTAGAAGGCCTATTTAAAATAAGGTTTGTTTATTCTTCTCCTGTTAACCTAAATAAATATTTACGTGACTGACATCAACAGAGATTGGTTTGACTTAGGTCTGATAGGTTGTAGTTATTTATAGTTTATAGAACAGTTTGCAGAATTGCAGTGCGCTGTATAGAAGTGCGGCTGGGCCACACGCTGTTGGATTAAGTAGTTATTGTAAAAGACAGAAATTCCTTTTAAAACAATGGATAGTAGCGAGGAAAGTTTTCCATCTGTAAGTTCTCTTTTCAATAGATTTCAAAAGTACGCTGAAATTTAACACTCTGCACCACAGTGCCTCGATGAAAGCAGCCGAAGGGAAAGTGAATGGGAGAAGTCGTTAATGGTACCACCGAAAATTATTTATAGAATAGGAGTGTATGGATGGAGAAAGAGATGCCTATACTTCTCTATAGTCTTTCTATTGTGTCTTAGTTTGCTTAATTTTACCTTATTAATGTGGATTGTTAGAGTTATGGAACTAACACCAGTTAGTAATGATACCTTATTTATCTCTCTTTATAACATTCCTTTTCTTTACAAACATCAGAGTGGAATCAGCAATTTAAAGATATTTAATTGGGGTATAAAACTCGAAGGAGATTGCCTATTTGAAAAGAAACTGCAAACATCAAGAATAAAACCTTCAGATCCAAAGAAACCATTAAAAATTGATTCTGCTAAGCAAGTTGTAATTATTTCAAGGAATGAGGATGGAGAAATACAAAATAAGCTTACAATCGGAGATGATTCCATTAGAGTACAAGCAAAGAATTTCATTGTTGAAAATTTAAATAATAAAACTTTATACCAAGCTAATTCATCTGATGTTGTATTCGGTGCGGAATCTCTAGAAGTTACTGGTAAGTTAAGTGTATACTGTATATATATATATACAGCATACATAACTTATAAATGAATCACTGTTTAAAAGCCTCAATTTATTATATGTAGGAGATTTAGGGGCTGTTTTTAGAAAGGCTTTAAGAACGAGTAAGCTAACATCCGATGAAAACTTATCAATTAAATCCGATGGATTTACTCATTTAAATGCAAAAGAAAATATTAGAATACAGTCATCTGGCAAAATTCAAATTCGGGCCCAAGGAGATATCTCAATGATCTCAGGAAATCAAATTAATCTTCAAGCTAAAGAAGTGATATTTAAAAATTTAACAATTAGTCCATTCTATCCATCCGGTAGGCCTAATGCTAAAGTCTTACAACTTTGTATGTGTGGTAATAATGGAAAATTGTTTCTGGCCCACGGTTCCGCAAAATGTCAGGCTTTCGAATCAACATGCTCATGATCTTTCTTTCATTTTTTTCCCCTTTTCAACAATATATTTTATCATCTAATGTGATTTTCTTTGATATTTTGAATATTATTTCGTGTCACATGACTTGTATTGTAATTTTCCTTCATTAAAATGTTTAAGTAAACTTTTAAAAAGGAATTTCCAAGCGGCTCAAAAATATATTATCCTTATTTTTCATTTCAATGAAAAAGTTTGTCAAAATAAAGTTTGTCTGGTATATATAAATGTATTTATTTATAGGGTAACAGTTAGTTTTTTCTAGATACATCATTTTTCCAGATTTTTATGGTTTATAGACGTCTAATCTATATAGAATGCTATAAGATAAAATGCCTAAATACCGAACAAATCTAGAAAATGATCTCTAGAAAACAATTTAGATATATTGCATATATAAATAATATATATCGTCTGTGTATGATACATAAACGTCTTTTCCTCTTTTGTCATATTTTTCTCTTATCTTTTCTTCTCTTTTTCTACCTTTATAGCTTCGTTTTCTCTTTTTCATTCATTTTCAAATTATTTCCTTAACGAAGAAAGAAAGAATTGAAATTAAAAGAAATGGCAAAATTCCATTTGAATTTATAACAAAAACGGAAAACTACTATAGGCATACAAGTTTGTTTATAAAGCATTAATTAGAATGGAACAAGCTGCATACACTTTTTTCAACTGTTTTTCTGTACTTTATGCAATAACATGAGAAAATCTTAATTATCTGCAGGAAACGTTGTTTAAAAGGTGAGGGAAGGATAAAAAAAGAGATAGAGAAATAGATTAAATATATAACGCTAGAGAGAGAGGAAGAGCATACGATGACAAGTTGATATATAAAAATAAGTGAGGAATTAGGGAGAAGAGAAGGAGAATTGAATGGAAACATTACAGTTTTATTTTCAACCTTTTTCTCTAACGATTATTATTAGTACTTGGTTAATATTTATAACTAGTATAAAATTGAAATCAACGAGTAGAGGGCGACACTGTAGAAAGTATTGAAAATAGGCGTTTTTATAGAAAAATAATGTCAAAGTATTATTAAGGGCCTGAGTCAGGAATTAAGAGGAAGCAAATCTCTATACTATTTATAAACCATTTCTGAAAATGAGGGAAGCGTATAATTATTCTGATAATTCGCGCTATTTTGGGGAATGGAATGATGGTAAATACGATACAAAGATTTGTTGAATTCTTATTAATATAATAAAATTTTCTCTTTAAAAAACACCAACAAAAGAGGGTCAGAGACACGGAAAAGGAAGATTAGAGTTTTCAGATGGTTCCACTTACGATGGAGAATTTGAAAATGGTTTATTCTGCGGCTACGGTATATTAGAGATGAAAGATGAGTCTAGATATGAGGGTCAATTTTACAATGGTAAATTTCATGGTACGGGTATATTTCGACGAGCCGATGGGACTCAGTTTGAAGGACAGTTCAAAGAAGGAAAAGTATGGGGGTCCGGATTGATGACATTTGCAGACGGAAGTCATGGACTACCTCGAAATGAGGGCTACTTTGAAGGAACAATGCTGGTTAGGAGAGAAAAGTGTCTAGAAGTGTTGAAAAGAGCAAATGATAGCGCTGAAAAAGCTCTAAATATAGTAAACGACTTTTAAGATACAGAATATAAAGATCTATCTTGTTGCCGTATAAAATTATGTATATAAACTGCGCATACATTTTTAATACAAAAGATTCAATGATGCTTCAAACAGCATCCTTTTTACATACTTGAAAATCTTCTCTTTAGTATATCGTCTCTTTGCACAACTTTTCCTCGAAATGTACATATTTCAATGCACCCATAGCAATTAGTAAAAGGTGATATGCAAAGCTCACAAAGCAGTAGGACATGATCCAAACTTAACTCCGACCAATCATACTTTTTTGTGGGCAGACCAGGTAAGTCCAAATAAATATAACTTTGTGAATTCAAACTACACGATGAGGCTGAGCTCGCAACGTTGGTCTTAAAAAAGATGACAGCAAATATAATTAGGTAGATTTGTTTCATACTTTCCAACTTGAAATATATTTTTTATTTGCTTATTAACGTTGCTCGCAGAGATGCTAAAAGGTTACTATCAGAAATGTATCTGCCAACTGCTTATATGTAAAAACTAGCGCATTTGTCACGTGGCGAAAAGACATGCGTATATGAAGGGCGTTACTTTTATTTCAGTTGTATTATAAACTCGTGTATGCAAATTACACAACGGCGCAGCTTATCGAAATTTAATACTAATCGGATTCAGCGCTCGCCGACCGCCACCAATCTTTAACCTCATTGACTGCGTGTCTTGCTCCAAAGGGAGAGTTAGTAGGTCTATTAGCGTCATCTTGTTCGTAACTTTCAGAAACATCAGGAAGATTTCTAGTGCTGCTTACTACTCCTGGTCGAGTTTGACGTTTCTTTAGTCCGACCTTTTCCTTCTCAGATTTCAAGGCGCTGTCACTTAGGGTAGGCGAAAGATATTTCCTGTTATTACTTGGAGCCTGAAGCATGCCAGGCAAGGGAGCAGATGTATTTCGTTCGATTTGCTTTTTACGAGACCTAACATTTGTCGTCTCTTCTCTATCAACCACCGTATTGAGGGGAGTTGGTGGACTATTATGTTCAGAGACAGTAAATAGAGGTTCATTGGTGGCACGTAAATTAGTTATAATATTGGAATTTTCTTTCTGTTTAACACAAAAAAAATGTTTACAGCAACGTAAAGTACGAGAGAGAGAGAGAGAGAGATGAAAGAAACTTACCGCTCTCATTCTCTTTAAGCATTTATCTAACCAATTTCTGATTGTACGTTTAGCAACTTCTTCCTCTATTGTATATTCTAATTCTTCCCTCGCTAAAAGCTCCTCTAACTGCAGACTTTTTCTGATATCAACCGAACGATATGCTAACATTCTATGAGAAAAGAAAGTACCCTTTTTGTAAAGTCATGAACTTAACAGAGTCAAAAGTAATAGCTTACGTCAGAACATCATGAAAGGTCACGTCTTCTCCGTTATGTAAACGTTCAATTTCATAACACATATGCTTAAATAATAAACGATCTTTTTCCAAATCTACCTCCAACCGCCCTTTTAAAAGTCTTAGAACAAATTTAACCCTTCTAACAGGTATCAAGCCCTTTCGATTGATATCGACAACATTCCAAGTATTTTGAAATTGTCTTATATCATTATAACTCAACAAAGCATCTTCTTCATTTGAATAGAATAGACTAAAATTTTCCATAATTATAGCTGAAATATATTAATTAATTATTATTTGTTTAATTTATTAATAAAATGATAAATAGTACACTAACCGACAAGTAAATTCAATACAATATAAGCTATGATGACGTAGAAAGAACAGAAAAATACAAGCGCAGCCGAAAAGTTACCACAGTCGGTTTGCCAATAATTTTCATGTGTTTCACAAAAAGGAGGTCCAATCTATTGAGACAATTCATTACAAACATGAATTTTATTATTATTATTATGAATATTCATTATTTCTAATTATTTTTTTATTAATAAAGAATAAGTGAAACTTACCATACAATCGTGCATTATTTTATTCCAATCTGGAAAGTAATTCATAAGTTAGCAAATTATATTTAGAATATTCATAAAGCGTTTATTGATACCTTCTCCAGTAACAATTCTAAATAGCGTTACTATAGCGTTTGACGCCGTTTTGAAATTAGCATGTCTGTATAGGCAGATTGAAAATTTAAATATGTTCGTCAACAAGAAGAAATAAAAACAAGTATGTTTGGTCTTGTCTAAACGTAAACATTTAGTAAAAATACTAGATATATAGTATATATAAACTATTCGCCGTTATGAAAAACGCTTACAAGTGTAGTTCTCGATCAATAAGGCTATTAAATATCAACAAAAACAAGGATGTTTTAATTTTGTACTATTTATTTATGATAGGGCGATGTTTTCCCTCAGAAACTACGCTGTACAATAAGTGCTAAGTACTGAAGTAAACTTCCTTTAGCTTTTTTCTCTGAATATGTTGATAAATTGGATAGTTCCGTTCTCAATAATCGGAATTCTTTTCACTTTTCTACTGTATATAACTATTATATAAAGCTATAAAACAATAATATATGTTTGTATATAGAGAATGAAGGAGGAGGGAACTAATTAGGTTAGGTAATTGGAGTAATTTTGGATTTCCTCCCTTATTTTTTTTGGTAATTGCGTACTAGCTGTGGAAAAATTAGCAAATATTCGTCAAAGAGAAATTGATGGAGCAACAGCAAAATATTTCTAATCATATCAAAGAACTCGCGGAAGCAACTCAATGGACCAGAGAGCAATTATTAAATTTGTAAATATTTATACATACAATTATCTCTATCTATAATACTATATATATAAATTTACACAGTTCTCGTCAATTAACACATGGTTTGACAAGGAAATCTTTCGTACGCCTATTTTTGACTTTATACCCGAGAGCTCCATTCGAATTGGCGTTTGATTATGCAAATATAATATATAAGGTTTTCTCAACTAATGGAGAAAAGCTATATTTTTGTGATTTTGCCGAAATGTACGTTTTAAAACCAAAGAGATTACTACAAAAGATTAAAAGTTTCTATGTAAAAAATGAAAATATGATTGAAATTTATCTAAATATTATTATACAAGTTAATGATTTAGTGAAAATAAAAGCTTAAATTACCTTCCTAAATTCTCGCCGTACTTTACCCTTCCAAAGAGGATAACGCCGGCAAAAGCATATACCAGCATGCAAAGGAACATTCCCATTATGATAAAGAAACTCTTAAACATCGACATAACTACCGTTAGTATAAGCATCTTTAGTGTTGCCTGTTTATTATATTCATAGTTATCATTATCATCTATTATAAGAAAGAATTAATATATTAAATAAGTTTTAAGTACTTACGTGCTTTCCAGTTATTGTAAAAAAGCGGACAATTACAACAGTAAATCCGAAAGTATAACTGTAGTCTTGCTGTTTAAATTAATAATAATTCAATTAAAAATTTAATTCTAATCTCTTTAACTGTTTTAATGATTTACGTCAATTTTTAGAGCTTTTAGTGTAAAATGTAGAATAATCCATATAACTCCTGATATCGTAGCGAACATATCTAATCGATTTCTTCGACTCTGCCAATAGCCTTTAGGAGTCAAAGCTATCATCTTCATCACAACCTCCACTAAAAAGAGAATAGTAAAAACCATAGACACTGTTGCCAGGGGCATTGTATGCTTCTTTTCTGTTAGCCACTGTTTGGAATTAAATTAAAAAAGGGTCAATTTTTAAGTAATTAATGATAATATAGTAATAAGAAAGGAAATCTTACAGGAACGGCCAATAAACTGCAGTTAGCCATCACTAGAAAAACTATTGAACGCTTAAAGTATATATTCTGCGTAACATCGTACATAAATGCTCGAAAAGCGTTTCCTTCCGGTCTTGGCCGAAGATGCAGGGGCTGAGCTAATCGAATTCTTCCTTTTAAATCCATCCATCTCTTTTGCTCTACAGTCAATAAAGCTATACCCTAATAGAAAAAAAATCAATCAATAGTAATTTGTATAGATATATCTACTTAAAGTATTGGTCTTATTTATTAGAAAGTGAACCTTATTCTCGCTATAGTTTGCTATAACTACACCGACGAAGAGCGTTAAACCAATCATACAACCAATGAAGACAAACAAATGTATAAATATGGCATGAGCAGCTCCTACTCTTTCTATTATTACGTCCCTTACTTCTAGCCATCCCTCCAAAGATAATACTTCAAATAGGGAAAGCATTGCATTACCAAGGTTGTCAAAATTGAAATTCCTCGGATTGGCCCTAAAATTTGGATTTAATTGAGTTTATATTATATATATATAACGTATAAATTAAATTTTATTACCAGACTCGGGGAACTAAAATCTTTGGATATGCATCTTCACGAGGATGCGGCCCAATTTTTAATTTTGTTACATGAATTGGCCTAAGGTATGTACCCGTACAATTTTCCTGAGTTTTCATTTCGGGATCATTGCAACGAGCTAATTTTCCACCAAACAATTGTACGCCGTAACTAGCAAATATAAACATTAGAACTATTAACAAAACGCTGACCAGCAGTATTTCTTTGAAGCCTCGACATAATTCGTAAACAACCTGAAGATGAATAAAGAACAATCATCTATTTATTTTTATTATTATAAATAATTATACTGTTGATTAGATTTGGATATTTATATGCAAATGTAATTTTTCTTCAATTACCTTTCGCATATGAGGAACGAGGATGAATATCCTTAAAGGTCTCACACACCTGAGTATTAGCAGTATTTGTGCCCCTGAATTAACTGGTACGCTTTTCGGCATCCAACAAAGGAATATTAAGGAAACCTAGATATCGTAAGTATACATTTATATATATATATAAATATATGTCATTTGCATATATATTGTTATAATAGACGATTTAATATATATTAATACTTACGACGAAGACAAAAATATCTAAAATTCCCCTAAAATCGCTTACTAAAGCTTTTGGGGTGAAGAATAGTCCATTAGCTAGCACTTTTAGAGTCATTTCTATTCCCATGCAAATAACGAACGCATATTCGCCAATCTGAGCATTTACATTTAGACATATTAATGTAGTAATCATGAAATTAATATATATACAGTATATATATATAAGTTATGTCAAAAGTATATATATATATATATATATATATATATATATATATATATATATAGTATGAAAAGACTTGTTCATTATTTACATAATAATTATACCCTTACTTGTAAATGATAATTTTCCATAATTAAATTATCTGGAGTTTCAAACATCATTGATGCACACGATACTATCGTTACAATAATCATGCACCAATCCATATATGTTACTAAACCTATTAATTTACTGTTAGAAAAATAACGAATATTATTAGAAAAATAAAAGAAATGGTTAATAAATATAAATAATTCAACTTATTAATAATGAAAACTTACTGTAATTGCTTGTATTTACCCTTAAGAGTTTGTCCAGTAGCTGGATCTCTTTTTATGTAATTATAACGGGCATTTACAATAAGAGAACAAAATTTTCGAAATTTCGATTCTCTGCCAATAGCGAATAATGGTGTGTCAAAGTAAGGGTGATTTTCTCTTAAATCTTCTTCTACTTGAGTCCTTCTAATTTCCGCTTCCGCTCTTTTCTGCTGCAGCATTTTAAAATCAAAGTCTTGTGTTTTCTTATTAGATAAAATTCCTCCAACATCTCCATTTTCTCTTAGTTTATGAGCTGTTTTTGTTGACTTTAGACTACCGGGACGTCCCCTTACACTCCTATAATAAAAGTAGTAATTTTATTTCTCAAGTAATTTAAACATGCTTTTAAACGCTTACTTTCTCTCCATTCGAATTTGATGCTGTTTGGATATTAACGACATTTTATGTCCAGGAAAATTTGGCGTCGATTCGTCATTTAAAATTCTATGTTGATTAGATTTTCGTACAATCATTGCTACATTTACTTTACGATGAACTGGAGCAGGAAAGGCTGCCTTAGTCTTAGGTGATGATAAGAGATGTAATTCAGAAGTTTTCCGCGGATGTCTGAGCTCTAATTCGTCCATTTCTTCAACATCTTCTAGTAATTTCTCGAATAAATCGTTACTTCCTTGCTCAACGAAATTCTTCATAAAACTATCTCTCATTTTTGTTACTATAAAGTCATTTGGCATTCTAGTTAGCTGTACCATTTGAGGTCGATCTCTGCAGTTGGAGTTGTCTCATTATTAGCAAATGAAGAGGTATAAGTACCATCAAGGTTAAAACGAGAGGCAAAAAGATCGAAAGAAAGGAAATAGAGAGAGAGAGAGAGGATAGAAGGGGGAGGCGGGGGCAGGGAGGGAAAGGGGCAAGAAAAAGAAATCGATTTTACTTACGGAAATTTGGAGAATACTTGTAACCTGAGAGGTAGATTTTGACCCGAATCAGCACTCATTTCTCTAGCTTTCATTTGCTTCAACTTTTTTATATCTTCATCCATTTCCAAATTATCAAGGATAACAGCCACGAAGAGAGAAACAACGATCTAAAATTCAGAAATATTTATATATATATATATATAGACAGTATATTATATTTTCAAAGATAAATTAATTCTACTATTAAAACAAAGGTGTTATTTCAAGACAACCGAGGATAAATGGAACAACGCCAAGATTACTACATGATTTAAACAATTAGGAAAAGCTTTTTTATTATTTTTTTTTTATAAGGGAAATTTAACGAATCAAGAGGATTAAAATCATTAAGCTAAATTACCAGAACAGTATCCTAACCAAAAAAAAAAAACAAAACAAAACAAAAAGAAAAAAAAAAACCTTATTTAGGTCATGCGAAAAAAAACCCCCTTCAATTATTATAATTGATATAAAAGAGGTACTTTTTTTATTAAAGAATTTTTTTTTAAAAAAAAAAATATTACATTTATAAATCTTTCCCTAACTAGAACAAAACGTATAAAATTTTAAAAGAAAGAAAGAAAACAAAAGAAAAGAAATGAAATGAAAAGAGAAAAATAACAATAATAAGAAGAAAAGGAAAACGGAAATAAAATGAAAAACATATATATATATACTGTATATATAAAATATATATAGAGTAAAAAAAAAGAGAGAGAGAGAAAGAGAGAATGAAAAAGAAAACGAATCATCGAGTTATGATAACTTTTTTTTTTCAGGTTTCCACAACATGTAAATAAATTGCTTTTTTTAAGGTTTTTTTTGTCTCACCAAAGTGACAAATAGATGATAAAATATGAAATAGATTGCCACTAGGGGTGCGACCGATTCGCCAGTTTCCCACATTGTTAAATGCATCACTTCATTCCAACCTTTTTGCGTTATAATTTGAAACATTGACATGATCGCCTGTTAAACAATTATTAGGGAAATTAAAATAACGATAATACACACAATTAATTTACAGAGAAGAACAAATAACAGTAAAATAAATATTTTGCTTTAATTGTTTGGTTTTTTTTTTCGGCAAAAATTTTGTTTGTATATTTAGATAAATTACTAATTTATATATATATATATAAATTATATAGATATATAAATACAATCGTTTGTTTGACTTGTTAGTTTTTAAACATAGAAATAAGATTTATATTATAGCCGAGAAAAAGAGGAGAGAAAGTGAAATAAGATAGAAAGTGAAGAAACAGAAAAAGATATTCCAAATTTTTTTTATCGCTAAAGCGCGGTAAGTTAATTTTAGCAAATGGGATAATAAAAACAGCTATAAAATCTGTATAAAAAGAAATGATAATAGGTTAAAGGAAAAAGGAGAGAGTAGTTAATATTTAAAAAGAGGCAGATATGTTTACTTCAACCAGAACAAATCTGCAAAGTCAGTTAGTAACAGAGAGAAAACTATGCAGCTAAAGAGTTGTTATCTCTTTTTTTTTTTCTCGATCTTCGTGCTCATATACTCACAATGAACAGACACATATGCATGATAAGAAAAAAGATTCCGACGACCGCTGAATATACTCCATTATCGATTGCGGACATTGCCGCGTGAGAAACATCCACCCAACCCTCTTGCGATAGAATTTGAAATATGCAAATATAAGCCTGAAATAGGGATACAGAAAAAAACGAAAAATAAAGACAAGCCAATGAACTTTTTATATGCAAAAGTATAAAATGTGCTAAGTTTGTAAAATATGGGATATAAATCATATGGATATAATCAACTGTTGTTGGATAATATTTTGTATAATCATCGGTTGTTAATACTTCTCCATGCTTTTGAAAAAAAATAAGAAAAAGGAAACAAAATTTTTAATTTGCATAAATTATGCAAATTTGTTTTTTTTTCTTTTTTTCCCTTTTTCCTCTATTTGTATGAAGCTATAAAGGAGTAGGAAAAAGAAAAGAAAACTAAAAGTTTCACTAAAAAAAAGGGATATTAAAACTAAAAAAAGGATGTTTTTTTTTTTTAAAAAAAAAGGTGAAAAATTTTTTTTATTTAAAAAGAGAAGGAAAAAAAGATAAAAAGGTTTTTCTTTTTTTTTGGAAATGTTGAAGAAAAAGAAAAGAGAAAAAAGAAAAAAAAATCTCCTTTTTACCTCATGCAATGCGACACTACATAAAGTTGAAATCATAAAATTTATCTTCTTAAATGATCTCCGCAGACTTTCTCGAATATATCCTCATCCAAAACTAAAATCATGCATAAATAGAAAAAACATATTTGTGTGTTTTTTCTTTAGTTTTTTTTTCTTTTAAAGAAAACATTACATTAACATAGTTGAAACGTTAATAAGCGCGTATATACACAATTTCATATTTAGTATTGATATATTGATTATGCAAATATTGATCTTCTCCCTACTATTATTAGGTTTTAGATTGAAAAAATATCCTCAAATAGAGTAGATGATGTAGTAGTAGCAGTCGTAGTAATAATAGTAGGAGTTGAAGAGAAAAATATAGACAATTTAAAGAAGAGAAAGAGAAAAGGAAAGATGAAGAAGAGCAGAGAAAGAATAGACGGGAAACTTTTTCTCCGTCGAAAAAAGAATTATTAAGCACTTGTAAAATCTACTTACTTGAGGAAAAGTAGCAAACTTATGAAATCCTTTTATTGCACAAAACAACTGTAAGCTGACGCAGGAAGTGATGATAAGCAGGCACATTGTAAATAGAATTAGACTCCCTAATTTCTTCCCGGGACCAAAGATCTAATAAAGGCAGAAATGCTCGAGTATGAATGTAATTTACTATGAAAAAACTTAATTACTGGAGACACTTACTTTCCAGCAAAAATCCTCTAACATAGGAGAAGCTTTAATTAACCTTACGACCCTCATCACTTGGAAGTATGTTAAATGAGATCGATAGCATACGGGGATGATATGTAAAGTTGTCCCAATAATTAGCAGCAGTTCAAATTTGTGCACGGACCGTTTAATATAGCCGGAAAAACCCAAGCACCAGATTTTGAACACAGCTTCAAAATCGAATAAAATGGTAAAGAAGACTTCCGTATAGTAATATCCGTCAAACTTCTTATATGGATTTATTTTGTCATGATCGAAGTGAATTGTTGCAGTAATAATGGCATTAGCTAACACCAGAAGCAATATTAGCATATGAAACCAAGGTGTTGATAATAGTCTCCTTATTACTGGTGGTGCTAGACCCTTAGGCTTGTTAACGTCGACAGTAACCATCTTCCAACCATCGACATCGCACTGTAAAACTTGGGATGTATCCGAATCAACTGGTCCGTTTCTCGACCCCCACATCTGCTGGAATTGTACCCTGATCTCGGCGAAAGTTTCTATTATAACGGCTATAAAGACATTCTGGAAAGAGATAATGAGTGGGCGTTATTAAAATATCCTTGAGTGTGAAAGGAGTAAAGAAGCTAAGAGGACTTTTAACGTATAAAAGGAATAATTATTTACCTTTACAAGCCAAGCAAGGAAAAAAATCATAGAAAGAAAGAATACGAATCCCCTCCAAGATGATAAACTATCTAATGTTCTGAAATAATCAAAATGTTGTTTGTTATACTTGCATACTATCTTTTTATTGATTTTCTCATTTTTCAGTGAGAAATTAAGATTTAGTACCTGTACATGATAAACACCCATCCTTCCTGAGATGCTGCCTCGTAAACGGTAAAGAAGCTGGTTGCTGTTTATAAACATGAAATACCGTAATAGTTAGCAGATGTTTATTTTGTTTATAAGGTAGGGTAACGAACCAAACTCATCAAAACCGTTAAACCCTCTTTCCTGTCTGGATAATTTCAAGGCCATACAAACCAAATCGCCAGGACATTGATAACCGGAATCCTTATGAGGTGAACAGTAAGTGTCGGGTACAGCCAAATCGTTAACTTTGACGTTACTGTAAGGTTTGAGAAAGGTTTTTTTTTTAAAAAAAATATGTCTACAGATTTTCCTATCATATTACAATTAAACGAAATAAATGGAAGACATGTTTTAATTAATAAATACTGATTATATAAATAGATATAAATATGTATATAGATATAAATAAATATAAATATTATATATATACATACATATATATATAAGAGAGAGAGAGAGAGAGAGAGAGAGAGAGAGAAAGAGAGTATATAAGATATTTAAAGACACTTACTTTGGATCAGTTCCATTTTTTACGCAGTGATACTTTAAATCTCCAAAAAATTGAACACCCAATATTCCATATAGAGACATAAAAAACAGAAAGAATATCGTAACGTTGTAAATTTGTTGGCTAGAACGCCTGATTAAATGGGTTAGAAGCATTAAGAAAAAAATGATTATTGGGGTAGGCGAAGCAAAAAACTAACTTGAATATTGATTCGATACGAGTTTTTGGCAATTGAAATTTTAAGAATACTCGGAACACTCGGATTAAAATAAGGGGGCGAGGAGCCCTGATTATTGATAGATTGGAATATCGATCCACAATGCCCTTCATTTCCAGAGCCTGTTATTATTATAAGTTCAAAAAATATATATAAAAACTAATATTTTTAAAAGATTGCAGCTTTTTTCTTCTTTTTTTTTAATATTTTTCTTTGATGTTTCAGATTATATTATAATCTTACTTGTAAAATAACGGAACCCCAAATAAACAGAATCATAATCCCATCGAATTGGCACCATCTATCTTTTAAATAAGGTATTTCTCCCTGATAAATAGTCCATTTACACTAAAGCGAAATTGAATAGGAATGTTTACGCTCACCTTAATTATCCCTCTACCATGCATTTTAGCTACCATTTCAGCCGTAAACAATAACAAAACAATAGCATCAATTGCACATGTTACGTATAAGAGGAAAGGATATATGTCAAATGTTCTAGGGGTGTTCATTGATACTGAAACTAAGCTTAATAGCGCACAAGCCCGTAAGAGCAGTCGTACCCAAGATGTATTTACCCATTCGACATCTGTGTTAAAATTACAACTAAATCTGATGAAAATTATTATAGAACACTGACCTGTTCGATCATTTAACGCATCATCTGGACCAAAGTCAGCTAGTGGGACGGCTTCCTTCAGACTCTGCTTCCTCTGCAGCATTTCGACGTAAAAGAGACTACCACATTTTGCAGTTTTCTACAGAGATGCTCTGCCACCTTAGCCAGTCTATAATTTTTAATGCAGCGCGGGAAATCCCCACTGGTAACCAGACTAGTGACGTCATTTCTCATTATGGATTTCCCCTTAATAGCCTGCAAACACTTACAGCGGCTATCGTGTTTGCCCTTGTATTTATGAAATGACCATAACAAAGTAAAGTAAAGAAACCTGAGAGTGTTCAATATATTTCCTTTTATTCAGGGCAATTTTAATGAAAGCACTAATTGTCAAATAAAGAAATCATAAATAAGCTATTTTCGTTATATTTTTAATAAATTAGAGTATGTTTAATAAATAATTTTGCCTAATGACTTTTTTGTTTAATCAAATAACATGCAAGACATCCAAGACATGGAAACTTCCAATATCAATCTTTTTTCGTCCTTGATAAATTTCATCTCAATCCATATTCCTAGACTCAACAATTAACTTCCAACAATAAAATTAAGGCCTATGAATGTTTCTTGCAAATGTAGTCCGGATACAATTACACATTCCCTTCCCTTTCCTTAATGATATATTCTTATTGCGACAACTCACTGATTTTAATTATGTAGAATGCAAAGGCACGAATCTCAAAGTCATAAATAAAGAAAAACGTGATTCCTCCCTATCAGTCCTTCTACGTCGTCAATAGATTTCATAAGGTCATTTATCAGAAGAGGAGCCTTCTTCCGCCTGTGAATTTTTATTAATATACTCTGAAAATCTCTTCAGTACGCTACAATATCTATGACCGAGTTTCTCAGGAGATGTCATGATCCGTAATTTAGATCAAATTCAAATTCCTGTATCGGTTCATATCGGCAGCGTTTCATCTTATATTATTTCAAATGACACAAATTAAATAGATTATATTTTTACTTAAGTATCATCTCATTTTCTATTATGAACCGAATTGAAAGTAATTGGAAGAAAACAGATATTTGTATGCTCGCTACAGAAAAATCGTATATTTAAATATGCGAGAAAATAAAATACATAAATTATTTTTCATTTTTCTGTCCACCCTTTTGTTGCTTCTTCGTTTTCTTTGTTTCTTCTTGATCAATGGGTGCCTCCTGAACAAAAGGAATTTTTGTCCTATACTTCTCAGGCATGAAAGGTTGTAATGGTTCTAAGATGGGAAGAAAAAAACAATTTAACGTTTTATAACTACTTAATAGTCAATTTTACTCATTCGCAAACTAACCTGGAATATTAATGCCCTCTTCGTCTTGATGAGTTTCCAACACAGCACATATTACTCTAGTGCAAGCACACAACGTAGCATTTAACATATGCACATATTCGGCGGCTTCATTCATTTTTTTAACTTGTCCATATCGAATTTTTAATCGTCTGGATTGATAATCAGTGCAATTAGAGCATGATACTAATTCACGATAAGCTGCAGATCCGGGGAACCAAGCTTCAACATCTAATTTCTTTGCAGCAGCATTATTCAATGCTCCAGAGACGATATTAACGACACGGTAAGCAATTCCTAAGTAAGATGACATTAATTATAAGACAAGTGAATGTAACATTGTAACAAATAAAAGGTTACTTACCAAGAGACTGGCAGAATTCCTCGGCATTGGCGATCATTTCGTCAAACATTTCCCAAGATTTGTTAGGTGCAGTTATGCAAAATTGCTCAATTTTTTCAAATTGATGAACTCTAAAAATTCCTCGAGTATCACGTCCTCTGGCACCAACCTCTTGTCTAAAGCAAGTAGAACTGCCTGCGTATTTTTTCGGCAATTCATTGATAGCCAACCATTCATCTCGATGATAAGCAGCTATGGGCTGCTCAGAGGTTGCAATCAAGTATTTGTCATCATCGTCTTCTGCATTGTCAGAAGCACCCCTTTTACCAGTAACTTTATATAACTCTTCGTCGAATTGAGAAAGTTGAGCTACTTGGGACATAACTTGTTTTTTCATAAAAAATGGAACATAAAGAGGTTCGAATCCCTTTCGCAAAAGTAATTGCATTCCATAAGAAGTGAGAGCCTGTTGAAGGAGAACTAACGGACCTTTCAAGTAAAAGCCTCTTCCTCCTGCAACAGCCGATCCCCTAAGGCCTTCGTACCTGAAAATAGAAATAAGCATTGCTCATGAAAACTGTTGCAAGCTAACTTATCGATTCAGTCGACAAATGTTCAATGAAAATAGAAAACCTACCCTCCAACCATGGTTACAAGATCCATATGAGAGTATTTTTTCTTAGCTTCGCAATCTCCAAATGTACGCTCAACCTTATTGTTGTCTTCATCATTATCAATAGGGACAGATTCATGACGAAAGTTGCCGAGTTCTCTCAAAGAATTCGTTCTTTCTTTTTCGATTTCAGTAATTTCAGAACCTAATTTTGTTTGCCTGTCATCAATTGCCGCCTTTACTGCCTTTAGTTGAACAACTGTTAACTCTTTAGCCTTTTCCGCTGTTAAATTGCATAAATCGTCCAAGATTTCTTTGCCTACCGTCGGGTCGTCTCCAACCGGCTCCTTTTTCTGATGAAACATCGGGAAATATTGCTTTAGCTGTTGACATTAGTGAAAAATCAAAACTTCTTACCTTCATTTTTTCACCAACAGCTTTGCTAACAGTATTCTTTGTTCTATTTAGGTTATCCTTTTCGAACATAACTTAAAAGGAATAATATTAAATATTTTAAGAACGATAATATGAATTGTTGCTCACGTTTTCTCCATCTTTCATCAATATATATAATTTTGTCAACTAGTCCTTCATCTTTAAAACGCTCTCTTTGATTTTTACGAACCCTCTCAGGATCTCCACCTTTTTCCTTTCGAAGTAGTTCAATGTCCAATACCATTTTTATGTAACAATACTCCCAAAACAAAGAGAACCAAGTGAAGTTTTTAGGATTTAGTATCCACGAGTCAAACGGAAATAGAACATGGACTATGTGTTTTCGGAGTGCGATTCGAAAGTTGAGCGGCCGTAAAAATTTTGACTAATGCCCATATTTTAGGACATATAATATTTTCGGGCAATCGAAAGTGGGTCACGCAATATTCTATTCGTTTATTCGTTCTCTCACAAAGCAGGAAATCAAATAACTGTATTCGTTAATAATTAATTAGCTAGTACTTTTAAAACCGATCGTGTAATATTAAAAGTATTGGAATTAGAAAATATAACATTACTCATGTTATACATTGCTCAAATGTAAATTATTGTAATTTATTTAATATATAGTACGAATAAGGCATATAAAACTAGGGAATAATGTCGTTTGTGACAGCTGATAGGTCTTCTTTGGAGACAAATCTGGTTAAATTAATCGAAGATCAGCTCGACACTTATTTGCTCTCTTTCGAGCGAATTGATGGATTATTTATCCTCGCCGACAGAAGCAAACGACTGCGAACAATAACGTTCCACGTTGAAAAAGATTACAGCGAGCGATCAACCTCAAAACAAGCCGATAATTTTATGAAATTACCAAAACAGTATTTAACTCATGTCAAAGATGCCTTAGTCGATAGAATCGACACGTTTTTTGCGTGTCTATTGAATGATCCCAGCTCAAGGATATATTTGACTTCATACATGTATATTCGCTTAAACAACTGTTCATCGGAATCCAGTAGTAGCGAAAACTGGATGGATCTTTTAATAAGAGAAGATAACAGAAATATTGAGAAAATAAGCCTGCCTAAACCGGATAACTACGAGAACAAACTTGAAAATTCAAGCACTACTCAAGTTGAAGATGAAAATGTCACGAAAGAAGACGATAGTTACGATGATATAATAGTTTTAGAGGGGCCACCTAAAAAAACTGAAATGATTTATATCTGCGATGAAGAGAATCATCATACGAATGTTTATAATTCATCAATTGAAAATGAATTTTAACACACAAGAAATCTTAATTTAAAAAAAATATATGAAAAAAAAAGAATGGGATGAGGAGAAGAAGAATAATAGGGAGAAGAAAAAGATGACGATGATGATGAAGATGAAGAAGGGAGGGACAAAAGGAAAAAGGAAAGTAAGGGATGGGGGGGCGGGTGGGGAATAAAAAAATCTATTAAACCTTACTTTCAAAATCTTCTTAATAAAAGAGACAAAAATAGAAAAAAAATAAGAAGATTATTTCGTTTTTAAGTATCAAATACAATCTGGTTTTATTGAGAAATCGAGAGGATTTACTTTTAATATTATTAGTTTCTTTTATATATATATATATACATATGAGTGTGTGTGTGTTTATATTCATTGATTGGATTTTTAGTTGATAATAAGAACAATATAAAGTTTAAAGAGATTTTAATTTCAATCTATGTCTATTATCTATTCACAATTTCTTTCTTTCTCTCTAATTTAACCCTGGCACCATACTATAAGTTAGAATGACGTCACGATTTTGTAGCGGATTATCCTTGGTAGCGTATAAACAAGTATAAGCATGATCATTTGGATAGCTTAAAAATGATCATTTACATTGAAAGTAAAGCGTTTCCAGTAAGTTTTTATTTGACATTAAGGGGGAGAAAGAGCTCTCTATAAATTCTTTGTGACAGCATCGAACGTTCGTCGTTCGTGTGGAAGAATTCGAAACTGTGGCGAGAATTCGTGCACAAATGCTACATTATTTGTATGAACTTCGCAGAGAAGACCACCAATTTCGTTTGAGGTACAAGGGTGAATACCTAAGGGATTCGTACACTATCAAAGACTATGATATCCCATCGGCCTCGATTATTCGAATGATACCTTTGACAAAGAGAAATGAGGTTGTTCCATTAAAATTCAATAGAAATACATTTTTACAAACGATATAATAGTCTGTAAATGAAACTTTTTATTCTTAATAAATATAGAGTTACGGCGATCTAAGATCCTTAAGCACCTTAGATTCACCCGAAAGTGGTCACATACAAGATATACGAGATACTTTGGCTAAGGAAGTACAAGTATTCGATCAACGAGAGAATATAATAAAACACTTTCTGGTACCTATCTATTTGTCTTGCGTATTAAGAACGAATCGATAGGCTCAAAATATAATTCATTTGTTTGCAGAGTCTACAATATGTACTCTTTCTATCGGCATGCTTAGGTTTTCTAACAACCTATTGGTATTCGGGTATATGGGGTTTATTTTTGGTCTACGTTGGAGCTGTATGGTCGCCAAGATTTACGAGATTTGGTGGATTTGTGGGAAAGAATAGTGTCCAGTAAGACAAATTATTTTTTTGTTAAAAAGTTCTATTTATCTGAAAAACCCATATTGGATTATAGGCTTAAGTAAGGTTAATTAAAACTAGAGTGGAAAGGTTGTTTTTTGATTGAGAGCACATATGAAACACAAATGAAATTGTATTCAACAATTTCAATATTGTTTTAAAGCAAAAAAAACAGGTACAATAGGAATTTTAGCCACGGCAAAGAAAAAAAAATGATTGTTTTTATGATCTTATTGTCAATTTTTCCATTTAATTTTGGTTTAAATGAAGAATATAATTGTACGAATTTTAATTATTTTTGCTGCAAGAATTTTAATACTTCATCGTCTCAACTGCAAAACGAAAAATTGAATTGTATTAATACAAATTGCAGTTTTCCATTAAATTGTTCTAGTAATGAAATTTGGTACGAGATAACTTGTTGCCAAAATGAATCGAAATGCAATATCTTGTCGTTTGAAGATCAATGCAAATTATTTAGATCTACTCGAAATATAATAACCCAAAATTATTCAAATATAACTACCCAAACTTCAATGGATACAACAACTGAAACTGTAATAAATGTAACTACTACAAAAACTGGAATAAATGCAACAGACCAGACTTCAATGGACACAATAACCCAAACTGCAATAGAAGCGTCTACCATAAAAAATGAAACAAATGCAACTGTTAGAATTGTCTCAAGTACGACAACTGCATTTAATCATTCGACAAGGGAAAGATGGGGTGAAGATAACTTATCTGAGAAATCAATAGTGACGACCGATTATTCCGTTCAAAAGACCACTTCGGTACAATTTCTTAGTTCGACCGATATACTATCGAAAGAAATCACTTCATTTTCACTGAAAAGAGAGAAAATGAAAAATTCTGATGATGAAGTTAAATTAACGATAGTAATTGCAGTTCCTGTCGCTTCAGTAATACTCATTCTTCTTATTGGCATAGTTATTTTCTTATTGTGCCGAGATAGATTTATGAATAAAAGACGAGGAAAAGCCAACGGATCAATGGTTTACTTTAATCAAGAGACCTGTCATAGAATTTCAACCATCTACGATAGTATACAAATAAGCGATAGTGAAAATGATAATGCGAAATATGATGAAGTTGATACTAGTTGTAATGGAAATCATCACCAATATCCATTTTCATTTCTAGATGGGAAAGCAGAAAATATTGAAAAAGACGATTTTACGCCTAAGAATAGTGAGAACAACGGAAGTCCCTCCTACGTAGAACGATTCTGAATCAATTAAACAAAGCAGAATTTTATCAATTTTTAACCCAGAAAACAATCATTTTTATTTCTATCTATATATCTTTATTTAATTGTATTTTATATTTAAATTTTATACATAACTCTATATCTTAAAGAGAACTAGACTTTTTATACTTTTTAAATAAAAGATATTATATTTTTATATATAAATACAAAACAGTAAGAATATCTTCTGCATCATCTATGGAACGCTTGCCTTATTAGTTATGGCAGTCGACGTTTATTTTGCGTCGGCAGAAATCGTTAAGCTAGTTGTGAGTTATAATTTACAATATATACCTATATACTTTTATGAGTAATATATTTATTTTAAAATGCTTTTTCATGTTACAGAAGGATGGATGCGACGACGCCAAGTTTGATGGGGATTGTACTCATAAAATCATTTACTCTGCAGTGTACTTTCCGGTTAATGCCATTTGTTTATTTGTCGCTTCGGTTTTTATCTGGATTCTATTCTGGAACATGAAAATTGAGGTATTTTAGACCTATTAATAGTATAATAAATATAATAAGAGTTTTATTATTGTTTACAGTACGGAGATTTTATTGAAAAGCTACTAGTGCAAAGTCGAGATATTGAAGAACTTGTGCAACAGGCTAGAAACGGAAGGTTGATTTTATTAATATTGTGACATTGTTACAATTAAGGGGCTTTAATCTTAAAATAGTCTAATAAATTTAACAGTAATAAAGAAAAAAGGATAGCTGCCTTCGAATTAGCCACATTAGCAGCTACGAGCGACGACAATAAATTCAAAATTGTTGCCAACGATGGCTTAGATATTCTTACTCAATTAGCTTTATCAAGAGATGAATCTACAAGAGAGCAAGCGGTCGAAGCTATTAACGAAATGATAATGATTCCTTCTATCCAAGTAAACCAGCCTATTTTTACTCGTTTTTCACCCTGTTTTGATATTAATAGCATCTGTCATTTTGCCTGAAATTAGGAATCATTTATCGAAAAAGGAGGTATAACCACTATGAGCGCCCTTCTAAGAACAAATAACTCCCGATTGGTAGCGAATGCTTCGTCAGCTATACAGATAATTGTGTCGGAAACAGACGAAAATAAGGTTGCTTTCGCCGACAGACAAGGACTTCAAGATTTGGCATACGCCGCTAAGAGAGCTACAATTTCAACTCAACGTCTGATAGCTGCAATATTCCTGGAATTGAGTATTCACCGTGTTGTTAGAAATAAGATGACCACGACAAATCAATTATGTAAGCAAACAGTTGAAAAATGACATTTTGCCATGAAAATGATTATATAAATGTAATAAATTATATTTCTGACAGTCGAAGCGCTAGAGGAACTCGCTCAATCGAACGATCCACAGATTCAGCGTAATGCTCTACAAACCCTCGAAATATTAGCCATGGAGAATAGCGATAGAATATGTGAAAGAGAGCAACTTCTTTTCATGTTACTTGATATTCCATCACTAACTGTAGACGAAATCGTCTATCAGTTAACAAGTAGAATCTTGCTATATTACGCACAAAATCCTTTAACGTGTGAATCAATGCTGAATCACCCTCGTTTCAAGGAAACAATGACGGTATTCGCAAAAACTAAGGAGGTCGGCTTACAAAGATCTACTATTCGAATAATCAACTTTACCTTTGAATTGCCACATTTGAAGTGTGTACTTTTATTTTATTTACTGATTAAATATTTATCAGTGTTTATGTTTAAAAAGGGAAAAGGCTCAGAGCATCAGGATTGAAGATACATTAAATGTTCTTAAAAAGCATTTTGCCGAGCGAGAAATCTGGGATCTGGCTGATGAGAGTAAGTAGATAAAGAGAAAACAAGACACAAAAAACATAACTCTTTATTATCATTTAGGCTTGCGATACTTGAATGAGGAAACTACGTTGTCGCGCATTCCTAACATGACATCAAAGGAAAAAATTGCCAGGATGGATTTTAACGAGTTCGGATCAAAAGCCTCGCTAAGAAGTGGTCCAAGCTCCTCTTAAAATTATACAGTATCTTGAAATCTTGTCTTCCATTTTCCCACCTTCAAATTATTTTAGACACTTGAACTACTGTCTTCCAATTTCTTACTCCCCTCTATCTTATAGCTCTGCTATTTTCTATATCTTCCTGTTCTTGTCCAATACCTCTTGGTCACGAATACAGTATAATGGCATATTATAATATTTTATTTCATAATAATATCAAGCACCGAATGAAAAATCTCGAGCTTTACAGACTTTAAACATTTAAAATCACTCAAACAAAAATTTATGATTGCAAGCCAACCTCATTTTAATTATTGTCTTTGTAACCCTGTGACTAGACGAAGATAAAGGCGACTTTTCTATTGAGATTCGCTGTACTGGAGGCTTAAAGAACCTGTTAAAACTCGAAAATTAACTTGGTAAGATGTTGTAACGAAGAAATACTTACGAAGTTTCGCTAAACCGTGTCCAGGTATGATCGGATTACGAAGATTTGACCGTGTAGAGGGAACTTCTGGTTTATAAAAATCGGCCAATGGAGCTTTATATTCATTTTTTCTCTCTTCGCTATTTGTCTCAAAGCTTTCAAACCTCTTTCTTTCTCTGTCACGTCGCCATTTCTCCATTCTATTGCTAACAAAATCAGGCTCGTCAATTCTTGGGTTAAAAGGTGGCAGTTTGGGTTCAATTTTGGGCGACTCAATAGGAGAAACTTGAGAACCAGGCCTGCTATTTAGTTCGTCTTCTGATAAATCTTCGATTTCAGCTGACGGAGCGGACTTAGATGTTGGTACCGGAGTTGGTTTGAATGTTGACAGTGAAGGCTGGGGTATCGTTGATTTTTCTGTAAATGATGTTGGAGAAGAGCTTTGGTCGGAAACAGTTGTATCGGAATGATTTGATATCTAAGAAGCATAACATATAATTAATAATCTGTAAGAAGCCCATATTTTTATGATTAAAGAAAAATCTTACCCTTTTATAATTCTTTCCATAATATCCGGAATCGTTGAAATTAGAATTAGTACTGATGGGATTCATAGTATAGGTCTCATATATGTCATCTTTTTTCTCAATGTCGATCGGTCTAGCTAATATGTGAGCCGCCGTATTCTTTACTGAATTACTTGATTGAACAGGTGAAGGTGGAGGACGAGAAATCTCAGATCGTCTTCTCTCCTGTCCATCATTCCAGGAAAATGCTTGATCGGCTAATCTACAATTTTCGTAATCTCGCTCTTTTTCTTTGTTAGGCTGGGTTTCATAAATAATATCAGTTGGTTTAGGAGCGAATTTGTCAAATATTTCCGAAACATCAGGGGGAGTTTCGGAAATCTCATCGGTATCATTTGTGGTCTCGAAATTTAAATTTGTATTGCTTATAGACTCTTCAATTGTATAACTAGGAGTACTGAGCTCATATTCGCTTTCTTCTCTTTCACTGTCAATTTTTATAGTATTATATTCTTCCTCGTTGTAAATGGTATCCTGCTGCTCCTCTGACTGATCCGAGTTGACTTTTTCTGTTGAGATAGAGGGAGATTGCAATAGGTCGATTGTCTTCATAACGTCATCAAATAAGGAATCACCAAAGTCCAACTAAAGAGGGAAAATGAAAATTTTTTTCAATTAATAATTTATTAGTCTATAAGAAAAAGCTTACGGTTAAGTCTGGTTCTCCCGGCTCTAATTTGATACCATGTTTTCTTTGTGCTTCCTCCAAGGGCATAGTTTCTAAAACAGTCTGCGCAGGTGGATCAGCTGAATAGAAATTGTATAAATGTATCAAATTGCAAGATATATTTTAAAAAGTATCAAATTACAACCATAATTTTTTTCCTCCAACAAATTATTGTCATAATCTTCTACGTTTCCAAATTTACTTCCGTCGTAACCAACGTGAGCTTTATGTTGCATATCTGTGGGCGAGTTAATCATGTCCTTAGTAATTGGCTTCCGGGCGGATTTTTTGTCGTTGTTTTTCTTGACATCTTGGTTACTTTTTCGACCCATTTTTGTGACTTGTGAGAGAAAAGACGAGGATCTCTGAGCAACGTTGGTTCTGCCAGAAGCTTCGCGAGTAATCGAGTCAATTGGAATAGTCTCCTTATGATTGAAAAGCCCGCAGACACCAGAATTGGATACTCCCCTCCACAATCCCTCTTCAGCACCGATATTAGGGCTACAGGTACAGAAAAGTTACATTTTTAACCGCGTAAAAACACATTAAAGCTGGTCTTACCGCTTTTCGATGACTGTTATTATATCTCTCTTTCTGTAAGGTAAGTATCCTTTCGGTACTATCGTATTTGAAAAGTCACTGATGGCCTGAACTTGTTCCGGTTTTAGCTATTGTTAATAGTACTTCATTCAGAGAATTATATATTTAGAAGAGAGAAATGAACTTGTATATATACATATAATATACAACATGAAGAAGTATACGCTCAGAGATGCAGTGTACTGCACACATTAATAGTTAATCGAAAACTGTTACGCTTTTCATTCTAGGCATACAAAACTCATTAAATACGATTCCATTTATCAAATACGTACGCAAATAGATACTAGCTGATATGCCAGCGTCCAAATAGCTATATTCTATTTATGCGCAAATACGTGAATTTTAAATAAGTTTACTCTATTGAATTACCTAATTTATTACTAATTTCAGTAAAATAAACTTACATTTTTGTTGCTCTTTTGAGTGATCTTAACAAACCTACATTTATAGTAATCAAAAAGGCTATGAGCAGGCAACGATGCGGGAACACGTTTAAAATGCTTTTTAAGCAACCTTTATCATTGTGCTTTCAACATTGGCTCGCTAAATTTTTAAGCCTATTTCACCTAGTTGGTGACTAATCTAATTTGAAGACTCCTAACCTGAGGCAACCACTGAAAGAGGTTGGAAAAAGTTGAACGCTTAAACGTATCTTCTTCCCAACATTGAAGAATTAGGGCATAATACTCTTTCGTGCATAATTCGGAACACGGAAGTCGCTTTCCTCCATCCAATTCGTCTATTACCTGTAAATTGAAAATCCAATTAATTCATTATGTTTTCCGTTTGGCCAAACGTTAATTATGATATAGTTTTTGGTTATTTACATAAATTATGTGCTGGAAAAAAGCTAATATAATTGTCATTAGTGGAAAAGCTAAGATGAAAGAAATTTTATTTCAGACGGCGACACCGCGGACTAAGAGAAAAGCATATTCGTTTGCAGCGCCGCTAGTAAAATTTACCCAGCAGTTCCACCACCCAGGCGTCTGAGGCTAAGCTTTTTTCCTATTTGTGCGTCAGCAAGAGTCTTTGCTTAAAGATACAAAACACACTAAGTAAGTAATATCATTTTGCAATACTAAATAAGGAACAGCGTAGAAAGCGTATCTTACGTAAGGATATTTCAGCTGTTTACATAAACAAAATAACTGAAATAGTTTCGAGTACTGTCTACTTTTACTGAATGAAATTTTTTTACGTTGAAAAATAGACACTATACTACCCTAACCAAATCTAACACTCCGAATCGCTTCATTTTAATACTGTTAATCAGATCTTAAAGCTTTCCCATCTCACTATCAATCTTTTCAGATATACAATTAGAATGACACAGCTAAACGCCTACTATGAAGCCGTTCGTGAAATCGTTTCATCCGAATCAATAGCTGGATTACCATCACACCCAACGCAACTTCTTCCCCATTTGTATATTGGGGCGCTTCGCCATGCAGAATCTTTGGCCACATTAAAGCGGTATAAAATTTCCCACGTTCTTAACGTGGCCGCTCCAATTCGACATCACGCCGTCAAATCCCCGTATGAAGGTTACCAAGATGATCTCATCTATTCCGAAATACCGATAGAAGATAAAGAAAGCTATGACATCTCAAAGCATTTTCGAGAAGCATTTTCGTTTATAGATAAGACAAAGCGGAGCAATGGTATAGCTTTGGTTCATTGTCAATTGGGCATTAACCGGTCGGCTACAATTTGCATTGCGTACTTGATGCAATATAATAGTTGGAACATTTTGAGGACAATACAATATGTTAAGGACAAAAGACACATATTGCTAAGTAATAAAGGTTTTAGAAAACAGCTTATTAATTGGGCACGTTCTTATAATAGATTGGATTCAATTGAATCTCATCCTACCCTGAGAAAATTATTACAGTCTAATCATCAGGAAAAGGATGAGAAAATGGATACATATAGAGGATTTTTAGCCAAGTATAAATATTAACCTGTTGCCGTGTAAAGCCAGGCCAAGGTTGATCGCCATACGAAAACATCTCCCATAGAGTCACACCAAACGCCCAAACATCGGAAGCGCTTGTAAATTTCATACTCCGTAAACACTCCGGGGCTTGCCTATGAAACGTGCGAATGGATAGAATTTCTTAACATTTGAGTGAAAAGAGAGAACAGTAATAGTTACCAGCCGATAGGAAGTCTAAGAGAAACATCCGTATCTTCCTTGCTAATTTCTTTGTGACCAAGAGCTCTGGATCCGAAATCACAAACTTTAATTTTGTCTGGCGAGAACACAACGATGTTGTGGGTATTTAGATTCTTGTGTACGATTTGTTTGTTTTCTAAATAAACCATAGCGTCACATATTTGAACAGCTATATCGCATAGGCGCAAGAGATGAAAGGTAAAACGTAATTCCTTATTTACTAGGCAAGAATTTAATGATCCCATAGTAGCCAGTTCAGAGACAGTCATAACGCCATCTGGTGAATTAAGAACTACTCCGTACATCTTGATGATACGTTTATGGTCGATTTGATGCATGAATGCAACTTCTTTCATCGCATCTTCTGGGGAAACTTTACCCCGAAGAGTTTTTAGAGCAACCGGTATTTTTCCGCCTCCCTCAATGGACCACACACCTTCTTGTACCCAACCAGTCGAGCCTGATCCCAATCTACCTCCCAAAGTTAAGGACGAGTAGGGTATTAAGTGCTGTGTAACACTTGCACGAGGGAGTGGAGGACTTTTAATATCGCTGGCATTCGATCTTGTCTTCATCTGTAAGTTCATTCAATGGTCAATCAATACATCCTTATTAGCCTCCCCCACTTTACTGCGCATGCCCAACTCTTTAACCCTGATAAATTATCCGAACAAAATACAGTATAATAAAGGAAGAAATATATGTATATATATAAGCGTATGCGTGTGTGTATGTATGTATGAGAGCGTGTGTGTATATGGAAACAAGGCTGCGAAAAGGCGGTAGTGACTCATATCGTAAACGCATAACAGATGCCCTTTATTCCGATTTGTGCGAGCGTCGTGCTCTCATCAGGGAATTACAAACGTCAAAATAACGATCATAGGATAACACTTACAATCCTCTTAACTTTACCAATCTTTGAGAATTCTTGCCTGTAAAATTTTCGTAGTTTCTTAATATCCACTTGAGTCATACCCATGTTAAGTAGCTCCTCATCAGTAATCCGCTGTTATATAATTTGTCAGCGCTCTATCAGTTATAGCTTTTTGTAATTTTAAAAATTAACTTCACCTTAAGGTCATGCACGTCCTGCGTCTCAAAGGAGCCATAATAGCGGACAAGACCTAAATGACTGAGAAAAGTGTATAGATCTTTGGATATGTCCGGCGAGGTCATTCTGAAAAAGGAATCGTTTCATTGTATTAGATTACTTCTCACAGCTGCATATTTAGCGAAAAAATAAACAGGATACTTTTAAGTTTGTCACTTCAAATCTGTTATCAGCAAATCTATCATAAAATATGGGCTGTTAAAAAGCCTTGAGTACAAAAACAGTAATCAGGTATGCTGAAATCGGTTTGAAATCAAAAAATAAACTAGAATAGTTCTGCTGGTGGTCCTATCAAACGTAATACGATGAAAAATGTCAATTTGATTGGACAGGCGCCAAAAATTTAAAATCTTGTAACGCTACGATTAGCATTTTAGTATCAGGTCATATTTCATTTATCGTCTGTAATTATACCGAACCAAAACAAGTTTAACATTCTAATTTATTCTACAGAGCCGAATCTTACCTCAAACACTGCCTTTCTTATTTCATTCCTGAATATATTGACAATCAGAGACGAACACAAATTTCTGTCGATAAAAACGTAGATATCTGCCAATCAACAATTGCCTCCTTCAGATAAGTAGAGTATTTTAGTCTTGTAGCACTGCCTGTTGTGAGTTAAAAATTTTATTTGATTTCAATCACATCACAATTAGCTCCTGGTAAAATACTTTCGATGAGTCATGCAAATACGCTTGATTGATTTGCATCACTGAACACGTGTGTTAAAGATTTTATTAACATTAATATATCGGTCAAAGAATAAATATTCAACAATAATATTTTGTTTTATTCACAAACGTCTACTTGCGTGAATTTTGGGAGAATTTTAAGAAAAGAACAAGAAAATGGAAAGCGTTCCCTAACTAAGCCTAATCGAGAAGCAAAATCGATACGCCGACTGTCTATTTATGTGCAAATGCTGCACCCAGAATCAGCATTTGTTAATTTCTTTCACACGAAAGTTTAGTAAATAAAGTAATTAACCAACCTGTATTATAAAAATAGTCCTTTTCCCAATAGTTACCTTATTAAACAATTGAAAATGTAATAAAATCCAACGTATTACTAAACCGGATATCTATTACGCTCATGCGCAAAGCGCGCAATTGTAAATCTTCTTCACGAAAGATCTGAAAATTTTTGGCGCTATCTATTCAAAAACTATCAAATTTAATTTTCTATTTATATTTGATTAAAAATTCTTTCAAAGTCTAAACAAATTTCCGAATAGTAAAAATGAAACAGATTTTGTATTTAAGCATTGTTGAACGAGATTCCTAACGAGCAAATTAAAATTTTTCAGGAATTGTTTTGGTTTAAAAAAGTTGAAACATTTCGCATTGTATAAATTAAGTAAAACGAAAAAAGGCCACTGCAACAAAAAGTAGATCAATTAAAACAGATTTATAATTCAGTAGTCAAATTTGAAGTTAGACGTTGAATCCGAGTAGCATTACAAGCTTTACAAAGAATGAGATCATCTAACGGGTAGCACCCTCTTCCATCAGCTTCGGAAGACAAAGCCAATTGACAATCATGACACTTATAGCAGTCTAGGTGGAAGCTCTTGTCCATAGCAACAATTCGAATAGTTTGAGAAGAACCGGACGAAGGCACGATTGGTTTCGAGCAGGCATAGCAGCGTGGAGCAAATTTTCTGTTTTTTAAAAAAAAAAGAGGAAATATAAATATTACCATATGGTAAAAAAATTTGAATATTACTTATGAAAATCTTCTAGACAGTAGACTTTATTCGACGCGTCGACAGTAAACGGAACGCCATCTAATGACTTGCTGCATACGACGCAGGAGAAGCAATTTGGATGGTATGGTTTACCAGTCGCTCTAACAATCTAATTGAACATACCAAAAAAGTTAAATTTAAGAATGAGAACAGTAACATATTATTAACTTACTCTATCCGATATAGGTTTCTTACATTGGCAACATTTCTCCAAGGTATTCTGAAAGAAAATATTAAAGTCCTTTCAAGTTTGTTCAAAATAAACATACCATGTAGCAACTTTCGCAATAAGCGTGCTTGTCCAAACAATAGAACGGTAAACCTTGCAATTCTATGACTGTTGTTCGATATTGTAATGCATGCGATTAGAAAAGTACAATTGTTGGATTTTATAATTTAGCTACAAACCACAAATCTGGCACTTGAAGCAGGCATTGTGATAGATTTGATCGATGGCTGAACATCCATTTTCCGCTCCTATTATTGCTTTAGAGCATTTGTTGCATATTCCATAAAAATCGGGTAGTTCCCTAACTGCTTTAAGATATTCTTTTGAAGCTTCTTCAGGCGTTTTATCTTGTTTCGGAGTAAGGACTCTTGGTGGACTTGGATGTCGGAATCCAGCAGCACTTGGGACGTTAATATAATCGGGAGTAGAAATCGGCGGAGTCTTTCTTTCAGTATGTTCCGGGGATGAGGATGACGAAGTAGTTGCCGATGGTGACACAGAAGAAAGATTTTCATTTCTCACAATTACTTTGCGTGTCGTGTAGGTAGGCCTTTGAATCGGAATTTCTCTTTCACGTTGAACTTTGGGCCTAGAAGAAGCGACCCTTCTCACTCCAATCGGAACAGTACAAAGAAGCTGGCTTGGTGCACCTTCTGGGTAGTAATTACCCCTACCTTCGAGTGGGGAACGGTTTTTTACGGGTGTAATAATCTCTTCCCTAAAAATCGTTTGTTTAGAGACAGTAGGACTTGCTGGAGAAGGGGACCTAGCGGGTGGTAACCCAGGAGAAGGAGGTCGCGAACGGTTGCCAACTTTAACTGTGATTGTTGGTTTACCCTCTTGCGTGTCGACGGTAATCGCATCCTGACCAGAATAACGAATGTGTAATTTACCCCTGCTAGTAGGTGTTGAAGGTCTCGGAGGTGACATGTTGACTCGAACTTGCCCTTCGCCTAATCTTTGCACAGTGGCATAAAGAGGTTCCTCTATGGGCCTCGCCCTCTCGTCGCGCATATGAAGCGCCCGCAAATCCCTCTCTATATAAAAAGGTTGATTCATCATCGTCTTCCTTAATGTGACTCTGTTGTAATAAGAATGATTCACATATAGTAAGGCAGAAAAAGCGGGAGAAAAACAACATAGGTATCTGTCCGTACAGTTCGAAATAGGCCTACATGTGATAGATGCAAATTAGAGTTCTAGTGTAAAACTTACCAGAAAACATGTCAATCAGCCATAATTACGCCTGAACAGGATAAAAACAATAATATTCTAAACGTTCCTTCTAAAATTATTCAATGGTATAACTGTTCTCCTTGTTAAAATATTAAATAAATCTCGACTGGAAAAATATGAAACCGCTTTACGAACTCTGTAATACAGGATCTTACTACGATTTGTATTACTACTCTAAACTAATAACAGTGAGTTAAAAGTTTATTTAAGTTAATTAATCAAACAATTAATTAACACAAACGATTAGAAACATTGTTTTCTATATTTATAGTGTCAATTTTAGGTTAATTACTCTATATTAACGAGGGACTAGTTGTTTATAAAAAACGTGCGTTTGCTGTAGTAGATAGATGGCGTACGAAAATATGTCAGATGGAGCCACATGTACACCCAGGAAAATTTAATGCACGAATGGGAAAACCAAAAAGTTTTTCAACTGCAAAACGAAAGAAAAATACAGTTGATGTTTAGAATTATGAAAAGAATGATTAAACAAATGTTCGACATATATTGATAGTGCATTAATCATATTGAGAATAAATTGCTCCTACATGTTAAAAGCTTCGAAATCCTGGAAGGTCAAGTTTAGAAGAGAAATTATGAACAAGTGAGAAAAGGGAGGTAAGCCTGTTCTAGAGTTGATGATAATTAATAAATCTCTAGGAATTTATCACCTGTTGCTATCAATGCTATATTTTGCAGTAAGGTTGTTCGAACGGTGCGGAAAAATGTTTATTTATATCTCCTGGTATCGTACCAAACAAGTCGTTTGTCTCGTGTGTTGTAGAATAGACTGCTTGTGAACATTACTCCCAGGTTGTATAATGTTCGAATTTTCTGATAAGAGGCTTCCAATATCACTCTAGCCTTATCTAACACATTTTGGAAAAGAAATCATAATTGAAAAATATTTATGGAGTTATATAAGATTTCGGTCTCGCAAAGCCTTACTTTTTATATTCTCGTTTCTAATTCGTAAGAAAACAAACTTAACGAATAACAAACTACCTGGAAATTGACAATATTTTGGCAAACGGGAACGAAGGTTGAGAGCGCGAAAATGCAGCTGTTCCCAACCGACCAAATGCACCACTTTGCAAATGGCATGATTCCGTCTGGATATCTGTTCTTTTTAGCGCTTCGTTTGCGCTTCGCGCTAAGAACCGTTTCGGTTTGCCGACGGAAAGGTCGAACTATTTTCCGGTTAGCCGGCACTACTTATGTCAAGACAAACTCAGCGACCCTTCATAGTTTGGTTCGTTTATCGTAACTAGACGCCATAACAATAACAGGAGACAGAGAGAACCTTATTATATCAAGATAAGACCGGAAATAAGAGGCATACCACAATGATTATCGACAGGGACAAACAAGGCGGAGCTTAAAAAATTAGCCAATCAGACTCTCGGCCAATCAGCAAAGAGTCTTGGGAGAAAAGGAAAATCGTTGTATATAAGTTAGTAAAAACACGTAAAAGTTTATAAACTTTGTGAGCGGCTCATCACACGGTGATTTATAGACATTCAACTCTTGTTTAGACAAACATAATGGATACTCTGCTACTTCCCTCTTACAAAGGCGAATCGCAATCGGAATTTAGGTCCTCAGACCCCAAGGCCGATGGAAATGAAGAGGAAACTTGTCGGTCAAAAGCACCAGAAAAAGACTACTCGGATCCTAACTGCAAGCCTCCCTACTCATATGTTGCACTAATCGCTATGGCAATTAAGGAAAGTGTTGAAAAGCGTTTAACTCTATCCGGTATTTATAAGTATATTGTGGAAAAGTTTCCATATTATGAAAAAAACAAGAAGGGCTGGCAAAACAGTATAAGGCATAATCTTAGTTTAAACGAATGCTTTATTAAAGTACCCCGAGAAGGAGGCGGGGAAAGAAAAGGCAACTTCTGGACTTTAGATCCCGCTTTTGATGATATGTTCGAAAAAGGTAACTATAGAAGGCGTCGAAGAATGAAACGGCCTTATAGACCAACTGTTGGGGGCTTTACAACCAAGTCATCTTTTGGTTTCGACCAATTCTCACCGCTCCTCCATAAACCTCCTCCAACAGCTAACTATTCACCATATTGTAGTCCGACAACTCCTACTTATCCTCCGTGGGGCTATTGCGCATCAACGTTCGGCCATCAAGCATACAGTTGTCAACGTATGGCTCCGCCTACCTCCTATTATTCTCCGGCGTCGACACCGCCCACATTCGGTTGCCGTCAAATGACAGACGTCTCGTCCTATTCGACGCCGTATGCCAGTTGGACTAACGATAGGCAAACGTTGTAAATGAGATAAGGTAATATATGTAGTTTTTATTCAAAACAACCGTGCGAGAATGTTGTGACAGAATTCATCAAGGCAAAAACCCAAAAACAACAAGACGCGCGCCTCTTTCCTTATAACATCCGAATGGAGGTAAAAAAATATTTAAAAACAAAACGCCGAATTCGATACGATCGCTAACGGGGTCGGCGTTGGAGTTAAGTTTAAATAAACGCCGCAAGCGTCACTACTTACGATTCGCTATTGCTAGCCTTTTTTCCTCATATCTACATTATTTGATACGATTAGCAACACGCCTTCGCTTTTCATCTTTTTCCAGCATTATTTTTTATTTTTTCTTTCTTTCTCCTAACAGGATTCCTCCATTCTCTCTCTCTCTCTTTTTTTCTCACACACACAAACTCTCTCTCTCTCTCTATCTATCTATCTATTTCTCTCTTTCTCTATATCTATCTTTAGCTAACCATCTATCTCTTCACAACGCGTATTCCATGGAACGAGCTTCGAGAATCCCCGTTTGGTCGGCGTTCATACTAGTAAAAACAAGAAGAGGAAAGAAGAAAGAAAGAACCTGCCATTTTTAACTTTCTTTTTATTTCTTCTTTTGACAAAATTATGATATGTTTTTTTTTAATAAAGAAATTTAAAACACTTAGAAACTTGGTATTAATTAAACGAAATTTATACAACTTTTATTCGCAGAATGTTAAAAGTTTCAGCAGCTGCCCTTAGCGGCAGAGATTTTTGCGCGCCAGCTGCCAAGCGAGAACTTTTCCCCAACTTTCGACGCCTTTAGAAAGAACGCATCCGTCGAAGATCTTATCCAACTTTACCTCCTCTTTTTTCACCTATTCTTTTTGTTTTTAAACCAAGAAAGTGAGACACTTATTTAGTAATTCTGTACTCTGTTTTACGTAATTGTAAAACGTTACGAGTCTCGCCTTACATGCCCTTATTCAGTATATAATTACAATGTATGTATTATACTGGAGAACAGACACATAAGTTATTATATTTACATTAACATCTCTCGTGTGTTCATAAACGCTGTAATTCTAGACTTTTATGGCATAAATAGGCCATGTACAATTTTTCACTTAAATCGAGCTGTTTTTTCCTATTATGTAACAAAATATTAACTTAAAAACTATATCTGTCTCAGTTTACATTGTTTGTAAATGAAGGAAATCTTTAAAAAAATATCTTTCTTCTTTCTATTTAACATAAAAGTCATGATTATTACGGAGAAGGGCTGCTGCGAATAGAATGTTTATACGAGTAGCCTGCTATCTGATGAATAAACAGCATTTGCTGACTGACACTCGCTGTTTGCTTTCGACTGCTTTTTTCGCCGATTCGTTTATATATGCATTATTTGTGCAAGATGCACGACCGTGGTTGGAAACCCTTTTAGTAATGGTTGTCGCGTGTTTTGACATTAAAAGGATAGAGAATAAAACGTCTGTAACTCATCACGATAGGAACTGTATTTAACCTTGACGTCCGATGTCCTGTCTCTCCTTGAGAAATTTTAAAACTCTGTCATTTTGGCAAAAAAACCTTCTAGCCTCTGTGCAAGATGCATTAGTGCATTGTGGACATCTTAGATGATATTGAGTGGAGCACGAGTCTTCTGAATTAAGATGCTCAACCACTATTTCACTAATAGCCTTAATAAACGTCGGAGAGTCGTTAAGCGACGCCGCTCTTCTTATATTTTCTATTTTTGTTTTTGATGCGAATTCCTTCGCATATTCCAAATCCAATTCAAATAGAGTCTCAATATGATCACTTGTAAATGCTATAGGAACAAGTAGTTGATTTACAAATCCATTGGCTGCAAGTCCTTTCATTGCCTGGTCAGTAGCAGGGCCAAGCCAAGGCAAAGGACCCACTTTAGATTGCCAAACTAGTCTATAACTATGTGAAAAATTCAGAGCCTCCATCACCTTCCAAACAGTCGCAGCAACTTCCGCTGGATAAGGATCACCTCTATCAACAACTTTCATGGGTAGAGAATGAGCGGAAAAGAGAATAACTACGTCTTTTTGTACCGATTTGGGAAACTTTTCTATTTCTTGCTTAACATTTTCGGCTACAGCTTTTACAAAAGTTGGATGAGTAGGCCATCGGTCAATTGCCGTCCAAAGCATCTTCGAAACATCATTTCGCTTCTTATAGTGCCGGGAGATGGCGTTTAAACTCGATCCGGTGGTGGAACAGCTAGGATTTCGAAAGTTGATTGTTTTCAACAAAACCTTCAACAGTATTATGCGTACCTATATTGCGGATATTGAGAAAATGCTATCGCTCTTTGACATCCATCCTTTTCCATCTGATCTATAGCATCCTCAGTTAGTGGATTGACATAACGGAAGCCAATGTAAAATTTGTGTGGAGCTATATAGAACGAATGCAAAAGTCAATAATGACATTAGTCTCATTTTCCGTAAATATGCAATTTCTTACCAGTTTCTGGACTTAACTTATCAAGTAGTTCTACCATTCCCTCTCCTTGGAGACTAGTCCATTTGTGAATTGGAGATCCCCCGCCAATTTCTGCATACTGTTCCTTAATTCTAGGCGTACGACGTCTGGCGATAAACTTAGACGTTTGGGATTGTGCTGGAAGACGCATGAGATCCCGATCAGAGAATAGACGAAGGAGGAAATCGTGAACGTCGTCTAACTTTTCAGGTCCTCCCATATTAAGCATTAAGATTCCTGTTTTTGGTCGAACACTCTCGCTGGAAAAGATAGATTTTGCTTAAGAACGTTACTGTTGCAAGTGAATGACCGATTTTCTGTCCTACTTATTACTGAATAATATAAATTTAATATTTACCTTAGCTGGCGTGATGCTATACCACATCTAAAATTATTTAATATTGCTGAGCTCTTGAACAAGTTTCGAGTCAACATCGCTAATTATCTGTTTTAATTGTTGAATAATAAGAGAATTTGTTTATACAAAGTAAAAGTTATATAAGTTGTCGTAAAATACATTACAAATTTTCTCTAACACATGTAAAGTTTAAATATATTAGCAACATATTGAAATATAATACAAGATCATTACTTAATCACTTACTTATACCACAGCACTCACCAACTTATGAACATGAGCGATAATATGAATTTAAATAGAGCTTATTGTGAAGGCAGCTTTCGGAGAAAATTATAATTAATGGTAATTCTATTTGAAGTTTAACTATCAATAATAAGACTTTTTTTTAACAGGAAACATAAAATTTTATACTTAATTTTCAAAGTAATATTTTATACGAAAATGTAGAATACTGTCAAGGACCAATTTTAGTCAGCCTACGAAAGTATCAGAAATCAGCCGACCTTTAGTTCATTAGCTGATCTTGTAATCTACACATTTCTAAATTTGTCAGACAAGCGATGGAGTCTCCACATCCTTATTTTCCAAAAGACGTCGTCATTCCAAACTACGTTCCTAATGAGGGATCAACTTTAGAGATACTTGCAAAGTTTGGTGCAATTACAGTTGTAGTTGTAGGTGGTACATATGCCTTAGCAGCCAAATCAAAACTTGGTTTTAGTTCTATAGAAAAAGCTAAAATATGTTGGCTGTCTGCTTGTTTCTTCATTCATTTCTTTCTGGAAGGCTATTTCAGTTTAAACTATGACACTTTTCCAGAGAAACAAAATTTTCTAGCTCGTTGTTGTAAGTATTTAATATTTTTGTTTCCACTAAAAAATAACCCTACATTTATATTAAGGGAAAGAATATAGTAAAGGTGATAGTCGATATATTCTGTAAGTATTAATAAATAGTATTTTTGTTTTTTTTATTAAAAAAAACAAGATATTTATAAATAATCTAGTTTATTTTTCAACAAAAAGAAAAGATACGTTTACTGTTTGTATGGAAACAATAACTGCCTTTATTGATGGGCCACTTTGTCTTATAGCAGTTTATGCATTTCTAACAAATAAACCTTACAGGTATAAATTAAAATAATGGTTATGCAATAGAAATAAGATATCTGATCAAGCTGTGAAGACTTATCTAAATGTCTCCAATAGATATATAGTTCAACTAATCGTATCTCTCTGTCAACTATATGGAGATATCTTATATTTGTCGTAAGTCAGAAGTATAATTTGTTCTGATCGTGTTATATTTCTTATACATTATCAATACAGAACTGAAGCATTCGAAGGTTTTCAACACGGTGAAATTTTCCATCCAATATACTTTTGGTTCTATTTCTTCTTCATGAATATTCTCTGGATAATTATTCCATTTGGCTGTATTGTTGAAAGCTTTCATAAAGTAAGTAGTATTCATAATTAAAGGATAATGTTAATCATTACCTCGTTATTTTTAGTTATCAAAGGCACAGTCGACCGATGACAGCATGCAAAAGAAAAAGGCATAAGAATCATTTTCTTTGAAATTAGGTTTTTGATTTATTAAATGAACAGTAATAATACATTATGTATTATTTTTTATTTTGATCAAAGTTGATTGTTTGTTTTTTAAATATAATTATTCAATGAATGATATTTATTTGGTTAAAGGCTAGAGTGCAGAAAAATTTGTATAAAACATGCATCTTCAAAAACATCTTATAACTAAAAATAGAGAAGGATATTTATCGTTATTGTACTGACATAATTCAGTTATTCAAAAAGAGTTGCATTAAACAAAAGTGTTATTTCTTTATTTCTATACTTCTTGTAGAGAGTATTTCTTGTAAAGAAATGAAATGTTAATAATAAATTCGTAAGTGTTTGGTTTTCTTTTTAAATTATAAACGTTGGAATCCCACAATACGTTCCTCTTCTCTTTCGTCGTCGGAGTCGCTAACAGCCAAATCGTGCTGTACGTTAGTTGAACCTGGTATTGATTGAAAGAAGGCGGTAGGATCAAAACTGTCAGCTTGATCTCCTGTCTCAAAGGATTCTGAGGCATCCTGAGCATTTTCATCAATATTTAAGGGAGGTTTTCGACAATCGTCGGAGTCGGAATCTATATTAATCAGCAATTAGTTTGTTTATGCTATTGAAGAAGATATAATACAAATATAATCACCATCAGAGCTTAAACGGCTTCCTTTTGATAATTGATGAGGATGAGGGGTTTTTCCACCGTCATCTTCGTCACTTAATTGCAAATCTTGAGCAAGAGCATCATTATCTCCATCGTAATCATCCTTATCGTCAAGATATTCATTTTCAACATCAACGAAAGATTCGTATTGTACTTGTTGTCCTCCACTCATCATATCATTACCTTCACCACCGTACTCAGGAATCGTTAAATTAGTTTCATCAAAATCTAAAGAAACGAAATAAATATTTTGTAAAGAACATTAATTAAACTAGAAATAAGTTTATCTTTAATTAAAAAAAAACATACCTCCAGGCTCTTCGGTACCAGTAATGCTAGTTCCCGTAACAACTGAATCTGTGTCGACAAAATCGAGCATAGCTTCTCGTCGTTTTCTTATATTTTCTTCTAGGCCACTTATGGTTTCTTCTTGCTCTTGTAAAGCTTTAACAGCAGTATCATATATTAGTTGGGCGGTTTCACTTATTTTAGACTCGGGTCCATTATATTTTTTGCAGTTGGCAACAATTAGCTGAACATCGTTGAGGAAATCTTCAGAACTATGATAACAATGTTGATTGACGTTCTATAGCAAAGAAAAAGAAGATCGTAACAGGATTACAATGATATTCAATTCTGACATAATATTAATAACATTTCTTTAAAATGATGTAAATAAAAAAAGCAACGTAATTCTGTGTTATGTTTGGAGATAGTTAACTGTTAATGCGTAACATACCTGCAATAGTTTGCTGAAATCCATAGGTTGTTTAATAACATCGTAGTAGTCTTTGAAAAACTTCTTTTTAACGGGATAATGAAAGGGATATGACTGTTGTTATCAAAACATGTTTTTTTTATAAATAAACAATCAAAAGAAAATAGAAATGTCGTAACTTACTCCCTCTATTGGTATCAAACGCTCATTAATGACTGCCTTAAGAATATATTCGAAGGCATTTTGATCATTATCATCCAACAATGGATTAATGCATTTTTCCAATTTCATTAGTTTATCTTCTTTCTATATTGATTTTTTTGAATAGAAAATAAATCAAATGAAATTATACTGAATAAAACATTCTAATGAATAGAAATTTTAGATAAAGAACAAACCTCTGCAATTCTTTGTAAACATTTATCTATCATTCTCTGAGCTGTAACGGTTAGCATAGATTTTGGACCGTTGTATAATTGGGAATTTTTTACAATGAGATTAACGTCCAAAATAAATGTTTCTCTACACAAATATTTTTTATTCCTCAAATTCTAAAAATTTTTTAATTATCATTTTAGAAATACATAAAGGTACAAAAAAAAATCTCTCGATTGGTAAACTTACTTCTCTGATGGTTTGTAAATCCATTGGATTTTTAACAATTTGGTAATAATCAGGAACTGTTTTACCGTTAACCGCAAACAAGAAAGGTTGAGTCTAAAAAAGTTTGAAAAGATTTAATCAAGTTTAAGACAGTTGATTAAATTTTGTTATTACATCTGGCAGATCTCTCATTTCATTAAGAATATTCTCAAATATTGTGGTCATGCTTACAACCGGATCTGCTCTTCTACGATTCGAAACAACTTTACTTCGTTTCTAAAACGTAAATAAAAAAAATCAATTACGCAATTTATCCAAGTTAATATTTTAAATAAATTGACTTACGTCCAAATAATCGCAATGAACATCTGTTCCTGCACGTTTTCTCTTCCTATCAAGCCCACTTGCATTATTAAATTTCATTAATAGCGACTTTTGCTTCACTTCTTCGGCTCTTTAAAATGTATTTCTTAATTATATATAGGTAGTTAATATATATAATGTAGTAACCTTCTAACAAGTTGTTTTGATATAACTAATTTTGTGCCCTCAACATTTATTAAGTCTTCGTCCACAAGACTCTTACTTTCCACATCATCATGTTGTTTCCCAGACATTTTCGGTGTACTAGATGTATTAGTTATAGTAGGTGTCGCTGAGGATGTTCCACTTGCAGTTCCACCACCTTTGTATAGAGGGCATACTTTGTTAGTTCTCATGTGCCCGACAGCGCCACAAGCTCCACATTTTAACTAAAATGTATAATATTAATATTAATAAAAGAATAGTCCATTTAGACGCCTATGATAAAAATTATAATATTTCATTTACCTTAAGCATCTGTTCCTTTCTTTTCTTGTTATGTTTTCTTGGAGAAGTATCCCCTGAAATCCCAAAGTCTGATCCCTTATTAGATCTTTTGCTTATATCATTGAATTTCTTTTTATCTCTTTTGTCATCCATTTGTAGGGGATCATTAGGATTAAAGGATCGTCTGCGAAATGAAAAATAATTCTAGCTGATTAGCCTTATTCATGAGGAGCAAAAAATTTCTTACGTTTGATTGCCATCACTATTTTGTCTTACTCGTACATAAACGTCGATAACTGCTTGCTTTTTAACGATTTCAGTTCTTGTAAATATTGAACCATCTTCATTTCTAAACGTTCTTGTTATTCTTAACGTTCTTTTGCCGTCCTCATCATCTTTCTTCTTTTTCGGTGATGAATCGTCAAAATGACCAGATTCAATGGCTTTATTTAACTGCTTTCGTTCTGCTTCTTCTCGTTCATGACTTATCTAGAATATTTTTCAATATGAGACATACGATTTTGCTCGTCATTAATAGACATAATTTCAGAAAGCAAACAAATTTTAATGCTAACTTGAGCACTTGTCTTTTTATTAGACAGCATATTTTCAATATTTTTTCCCATTTCCTCAATTTCTGATTCTTCACCAGGCTCTGACTCTTCGTCTGTTGATAGTATATCTTTCGATTGTAATAACCTAAGTAACGATATTTCTATTTTATATTTCCAATAGTTAAAATTAGAAATCTTACTTATTTTGCAAATTAAAAAGTCTCTGGCATTCATCTTTATATCTTTCTTGATGTTCGGCTATTGAAAATCTGTTTCCTCTCGCAAATTTGGAAACTTCTAAAATACCAGAATATATTTTTTAGATGATTTAAAAACGACTATTTAATTTTATATATATTACCTTCCCCTTCTTGACCAGTTTTTACCTGATGAGTTGAGACAGTACGAACAAGATCAATAACATCCCATCTTGAAAGTTGTTTGATCTATTTACGAAAAAGTGATTCCACGAATAACTCTCGAATTATGAAATATTCTTCATCAGTATATACCTCGTTTTCAGGAATTCCGTGATTTCTTAAAATTTGTTTAGCATCTTTTAAATAGAGCCTTCTAAGATCAGCATCAGTTCCTGTAACAGTTTTCTTTGTTTGGACGTTGGGATCATCCTAAATGAACAGATAATAACAATTAAAAATGGTATACTGATCATCCTAAACTTCCAAGAGCTTAAACTATTTTAATACCAGGACAGTTACAAATCGACGGCTGAACTATTTATCAATACGAGATAATAGAGTTAAGAAAATGATTGATTTAGAATATTATTCTGAAAAATAATAATAACCGTTTTAGGCTGTGTCGGTTTATTTGGCATTTTTATGTAAGAGAATCCTTCTCCACAACCTGTGGGGTCAGCAACGCCGCTTAAATCTAACAAGCACTTTCCCTTCATAGCAGCGATATATGCTCTTGTAGTGTTCCATGGGGCTGTTCTAACTTCATCTTCAATTTTCGATTGTTCATCATCATTTTCTTCTTCCGGTGCAAACAAACTTTTCTCTCCATAACCAGCATCAGTCAATCTAAAGGTATGTGTTTTAAGCATTTCAATAAAAAACGCCAGAAATACAAATCTTTACCTTTGTTCTGCTGCTAATAAACTGTAATAAGCACAACACTGCTCTGGTGAGACCATAGCACGCATTTCTTCTTCACTTGGCAGTCGAAAGTTTTGTTTAAGAACCCACCAGTTAGAATCTGTACCAGTTCGCTTGAAATCAGCGCACAGCTTCAAACGTTTCCTGATACTGCTTTCAGAATGAGAAGGAAAACTTTTCTTTATTTCTTCCATCTTAATCCTACGAGGATTGTCGGGTGATTTCCAAAATAATCGATAAATAAAAACTTGTAAGAATTCTTTTATAAAATTATTGGCTCTTTTAGAATTAGGCCCAGGAACCTCCATAAGAGGGCATGCTTGGCCACTCGTAAATATCGTTTCGATTTCTCTAATAAAATAACTAGAAAAGAATTTTTTTGTAGATTACCTTGTTTCGTAAATAGATAAATTGTCTTACTTATTACGGTTTCTAATAATTAAAAAGTCGGTGACATTGACCTCGTGCTCATAGATCGGGCTTCTATACATGTTATTTTCTACAGCTTGCAAACACTGGCCAGGAGCTAATTGACCCAAGAATGGTGACTGATGAACATAGGATATATCACCAAATTTAAAGACTGGTTCCTTTACATCCTTTCCTGGTTTCTAATAAAGTTTTAAAGTTGTAGTATTGTACATGAGATATGAATGAAAGAGTTACGTACCCTTTTATAATAATTTTTAATTTTGCTCGCCATTCCAACCTGACTGAGGAGGGGTGGATATTCTTCACAATATTCCACCAAAACAATAGTTCCATCTCGTGCAGATAGGTCATCTGCTGTACGCATGAAAAACATTTCCCCACCACCGGAAGCTAATCTTTCCAGTTCTCGTTGCTAAAAGTTTTTATTATCATTAGAAATTTGATAATATCAATAATTTTATATGCAGGTGGCTAACCTTTTCTTTCCTTCTGATATTTTTTAATAAAGGTAACACTTGATGAGGACCATCTGCTGTCATAGCACCATGAGAATATCGTTTCAGTGGAGGACGATGCCACTGTCTTAGTCTCATTCCGCCATTATGAGTGGGAAAGAAAGGCTGTCGCAATTCTACAGCTGGTGTTGAATGTTGCAGAATAGCTCCAACATTGGATTTTAATGAAGCTTCAGACACTAATTTTGGGTTATAGTATTCATCATTTGACAGGTTAAATGGATCTTTGTTGTCATCTGTTTGCTCTTCCGTAGGCTATTAAAAAGAAGATTGTGTAACGTACAATGATAAAAACGAAAACATTTACCTTTTCCTCCTCTTCTTCTTCAACATTGATAATACCAGCTTTACCTAAAATTAATTTTGATTTTTTTACTTCTTTTTTCTGTTCTTTCTGTTTTTGAGTATTCCTTGCTCGATCATTGGGATCTTCGTCGTCAGGAATTTTTAATATAATATTTTCGTCATTTGCATCTAATGTTAGCACTGCTGGTTCAGGGATATTTTCCATATTCTGAAATTTCAATTGAAAATACGAAGGCTTAAGCAAGAAACAACTTAAGACATACTTCAACATCCCAAATTATATCATCCTCCCATCTACCATAAACTAACCCCGGATTTTCAACAGGAAAGATAGATTGGGTCGTTTTATCAAAAGCGTTTGTTTCTGTATTAATTATAAATTAATAAATAAATTATAATATACAGATCAGTGATATTTAAATTATTGACAGTTACCGGATGCCTGTAAAACTCCCGCTACATAAGATTTTTCTTTCCTATGTGACTGAGAGGAAGCTGCAAAGTATAAATTTTTAACTGTGTTTCATGATTGGGAACAAATTGTCTAACCTCCAAACTGACTTACGAACTGAGAGTAGGTTCTTGCAGTATTATTTGGTATCCAACCAGCTAGTGGTGCCTTCATTTTTTGTTGGCTCAATATCCTATGTCGCACGTCATCCGGATTCCAAATAACTTCATCTTCCCAGTGAGTCTGGAGTAAAAAATAAGTCTGTCAATTTCGTAATATTTTAAACATGAGAGAATTTTGTTACCTGTGTCACCATGTGATAAGCTTCGTCAGGAAAGATTCTTGAATTTACATCTATATTGTTTGCAGATTCTAAGCTAGAATATTCTCTTTTCTTGAAATGATGAAAACGACTATCATTGAAAAATAGTTTAACAAAAAATGATAAATTTTACCTTGAAGCCGTAATCGAAATTTCTTCCGCTCTCATCTACTCCTAATAGATCATACCAATATTGCGAAGGACCATATCGCCAAGGTGCAATATCTGAATTATCTTTTTCTTGAGCAGATTTTTTATCGTTTGATAGAGACTTCTTTTCTATTGGTTTTAACATAAGTTCCTGAAATATACAAATAAACGTCTTTTAAATAAGATTTTTTTTAATTCATATTGTACCATATCATCTTCTGCAAGTTCCTCGGGTTTTGGAATTTTTCCAACTAAACTATCACTACTCCATTCCCAAGTGAAAAGAGGATCTTCAGTCTCCTCTTTTTCTCCAATGGATTTTTTATCTTTATTGGGGTTTTTGTATAATTTTGGCATGTATTGCGGCTTGAAGAGACGTGTAAATCGCAATACTTTGCCATCCTCAAACTCTGGAAAGAGTTGTCGCACATCGATGTCCTTGTATTCATCAGGCAAGAGATCAGATAGAGGTTTTTTATCAGGACTAGTTTGTCTCATTGGAGACTCTTTTCGAGGTCTCCAATTGGGAGGGGGCATCAAATCACTATCGCCTTTATTCTCAATATGTTCATCTACTTCTACTATATCCTTCTCTTCTCTTACTTCTACAGCCTCATCAATATTTGAATAATCTTCAGCATCGTCTTCAGCTTTCACTTCACCTAAAGTAAAAAAGATATTAAACAAAGTTGAAAAGTAATTATCTTACGAAGGAAAAAGAAAATGTAGAAGTGAAATTTTTTGTCATTATGAGAATGAACTAAAATGAATAAATTGAAATACAATATAAGTTGAATAAATTGTACCTTCATTCTGTTTTGTTTGCCAGTCTGTATTGTAACCATCATCATCTTCTTCTTGAGTGATCTCTCTTAAAGGGGAGGAAAATCCGAGTACATTTAAACCATCTAAGTGTTTTCTGCTATCCTGCAAATAATAATACAATCTATCGATAATTCTTATATACGTGTATTTCCTATTGATAAAATTGTTACACATAAATTCAACCTATTTGCATAATCATATGAAATATCCAATTGAGTGTTCAGGTTGTTAGGAATTTTTATTTAAGAAAAAGCAAATAGGAATTGAATAATTCAGACAAAATAACCAGAGGAGAAATTGAGATGTAAAAGATGTATAAGAGATAAATATATTGATGTTTGAATCACTTCATTATCAATATTTCATTACGAGAAATATACTCTTCCTCTATAAACATTGATAAAAGATTTCAGTGTTTGAAATTATTTGGTATCTCTTGAAATTTGAAAAAATTAAATGAAAATTTCTAGCAATAAGTTTTATAGCGTTCTAAAAATCCATGCATCTTATATTTATGCATAATTCTATAACAAACATAAAAATAAATAAAAAATTTACGTCGTCGAAAACATCGTTCTCTAATTCTCCTTTCTCATCAATACTCCCAAAGAGAAAACCAGTCAGATTTAATTTTTGAAAATTTGACATTTTTCAATTATTAGAAAACTTCATAATTTCCCCGTTAGGATCGAGTTTTTAAAGGATACCATCCCCTCCAAGCACACATGAGCGATAATATAGTGTACTGATACATGGAGTTTATAGTACAAGCGAAAGGGACGCGTTCCTCGTTTTCGAAAATTCTCTAAAATAATAATTATTATAAAAATATTAAACGTTTCTGGAACGAGATGTATAAATTTTATACGAAAACTGATCTCTCCGTGTCTTTGTTCACTTATTATCACTCATTTTATATTTCGGTATTTTTGCTTTTATGTAACTTAAAGAAAAACAGATGTCAAATATATCTCCCTCAGTTCCCTCTCTATTGTCAAATTCTATTGAGTCAGAGGTCGATCGAACTTTATATGTTGGAAATATTGATGAAAAAGTCACTGAAGATTTGTTATATGAATTGTTTGTTCAGGTGGTATATCTAACAAAGTTACTTAATTAAATACAGAATTCTATAATTAAAATAACAGGCTGGTCCGCTTGAATCAGTCTGCATACCACCCTCGAAAGAAAATGAAAGAAAGAAAACATATGCATTTGTATGTTACAAACATGCCTGTTCCGTCCCCTACACTATTCAGATAATGACTGGAGTACAGTTATTCGATAAAACATTAGCTCTTCAAGTAATAACATTTTACATATATAAATATGCACTAAGTACATTTTTTCATAGTATCGACCTCAGTCAATTCACGCAAGATTTGAAAGAAATAGTCAGTCGTCATTGCAAAGATCTTTCTCCGCACCAGGTGTTCAATTTCATCAAAACTCTCCTATGCATGTCACTCAACTTCAAGCCTTCAATAATTCTTTTCGATCAGTGATGCTAGGTTCTCAGACCGTGAGGGATGAACAAAGGGACCGAGATTATCGATCATACGATGAAGATAGAAGATCGAGGGATAATAATAGATATAGGGAAAGAGATAGATCAAGAAGCAGAGAAAATCGCTATCACAGATATTAAATTTTAGTGATATACATTGTATATATTATATGTGTGTTCTTTGTTCTAATAGAACAAATCCAAACCAAAGCTTAAAAAAAAGCTTAAAAGCTAGTGACATAAATTTGCATGCTTTAACAAATAACGTAATTTTATAAATTATTAAAACGCTGAACGCGATCAGGTTAAAAGTTTGATTATGCGGCAGATTGTGGCACAATTAGAATTATTCTTCGATTCTTGTTTTCGCCACCCTCTTGGCGTGAGTTTTCTCCCATGTGTTCATCCAAATCGGAGCAGACCAGACAACCCATATCAATATAAAAAACACAAAAATGGCGATAAGCGGTCTTTTTCCAGGAGTCCTTGTAAACAAAGTTGGTAAAATGGTTATTCTGGATCCTTCCTGACCAGTCGAATTAATAAGAATATAGAGGAAGAGAATAAGAACGATTATGACAGGAATAACATACATAGCTGACATATCGACCAAGTAGACCTGTAGAAATAGACAACGATTTTTAATACTAGAATTTTTTTAATTAGATAATAAAGAAAACTAATATGAAATTATGTAATTGAAAATAAATGATAATTCATTAAAAAATAAAAATATTGCCAGTAAAACACGAAAAGCGTGCAAAAAAAAAAGACGTCGCTTAAATGTATAGACAACACTACAGTATGCCTTAGGTCTTGTTGACAGTTGAGCATTATCGCTGTATTGTCGTACTTGAATTTCGTCGCTATCGAATTTTGATCGTTTCGGGACCGTATGCTACGGCAAGAAAAATTGTTTTTTTTGTTTTTTTTTCAATTTTCTTTTCTTGTTTTTTTTTTCAACTAATCACTCACGACATCACATTTTGGGATATATTTCTATTTACCTTTGCTAAATCTTCTCTGTCCGATTGAATATCATCATCTGAGCGAAACTTGAATAAATCAACTCCTTTTCGTTGTCTTTGCGGACTAACAACGTCATTTTCATTTCTCTTTGCTCCTGGACCAGGACCCATGCTCGGACAGCTTCCTGGTCCAGATAGAACACCAACTGGTATTCCTGTGGCTAACATTCGACATCTTTGCATTTCAATTCGAGGAGCTGCTGCTTGCACATCTCGTACTCTCTTATCGCTCCATAATCTCTCAGCAGCAGCTGATGCTCTGGGCCTATTAAAAGATGATAAAGAATATAGAGAAACATATAAAAGTGATTTAAGGCTTATAAAATAGATTAATCAATATGCTAAAGTGCACCAATAGAAAAATTGCAATTACTGGCGAACGATATATATTGAAACAGAGAATTATAGAGGCAGCTGGAGAGTGAAAAAATCATTTAAAAAGTAAACAAACCATAATCTCGATAAAATATTTTCGTTGTCAACGTATTCCGTCCACATGCAAGCTTCCCCTCCAATCAACAATGATATGTTTTTTATGTTCATATCATCGATTACAGCAGGATCTAATTGTTCACATAAATAGTATTTATCCCAATCAACACCAGTATTTATATAGTCCAAATACCAGCAAGTCGAATAAATTGCTCTCAGACCAGAATTTGTTACCCTTTCAATATCAGTAGCATCGCCCATCCAAATCTCAATAATTGTATCCGGATGAATTTTAAGACCATTATCAAATACTTCTTGCCAGACCACATAGCTACTCCCGGTTGCTCGTTTACTCCCTAGGTCATTAATAATATCAAATAGTCTGCAGAGTCATTAAAATATGATTAAAAGGTATTTAAACAATAAGTTAACAATTTACTTCTTTTCATAAATTCCTAACAATTGACGAGGATTAGTTATATTATTTCTCTTCATAAAATTGCTGATTTGGGGGTTGAAACTCCTTTTCAAATGATAATTATACAGTTAAGTTATAATTAATTGATTTATTTAAAATAATCCTTACCAGCAATCGAAAGGCACTTCGTCTCCACCTAAGTGAATATATTTATCTTTAAAAACTGTTAACACTTCGGTGAAAAAGTTCCTTAGAAAGTTGTATGTGCCTCGAAGTATGGGATTAATTGGTCCGAACATCTCAGTTAGTTCATTAGTATATCTGCAATTAATGCAACGAAAATATACTGATTACAGTAACCGTATAGTAAGACAAAATAAAAAACCTACAAGTCATAGCAAGGGGTTAAAAGAAAATCTTGGCCCAAACCCCAGCTCCATGTATGGCCTGGCGTATCAAATTCCGGTATAACCCGGATTCCTCTCAATCTTGCTTCTTCTAGAATTTCAGCCACGTCTGCTGGGCTATAAATATGGTGTTTAGAGTAAGCGCCCATTCTTGTCAGATTTGGATAATTCTTTGAGTAGAAGGGAAAGCTTTGATCGTCTACAATGTGCCAATGAAATACATTCATTTTATTCTGAGCCATCGCTTCAAGATTCATTATAATTGTCTCTTTTGTTAAAAAGTGTCGTGACGTATCGAGCAGAATGCCTCGATGAGGGAAACGAGGAAAATCGTTTATAAGTGTTCGATGAATACGATAAATATTATCAGATGATCTATAAACCAATTGACTAAAAGTTTCCAATCCCTTTAATGCTCCCCAAACCTCCCTTGCAATTATAGACGCTCCAAAACGCCTAACTTCCAGATCATAAGCCTCGTCCATTGCAAGCGAAGGCCATTTCGAACAAGGTTTTAAAACTGTAACATTTAATTGACGTAATTCTTCATCAACCTTGTCATTCAAATTTTGACGTTCATAACCATCGCTTTGAACTGAACCATGACCAAACATATTTTTCCTAATTCTTCTGAAAGCGAATCTTAGTATATCGCAGGTCTCACCAGCAGCGTGAATTGTAAATGAATCAGGCTAAATGAACACATTATATAAACAAATGACTTTTCCTAATATGGAAAATATATCAAATCAATATACCTGAATAAAAAACTCTTGTTCAAACGTATCGTATTGTTGAGGGAGGGGCCAAGGACTACCCTGTGCTGGATTTGGTCGCAATCTTAAAGGAAATCTTGGATCCGCCGACAATTTTAAAGCATAAGAACGAGATTCTTCAAACCAGATCACGTCCTTCTTATGTGCATTCAAAGGCCTTGGAGGTAATGTTGGTCTCCTATGACGCCGTCTCTTCTTTTTTCTGCGCCGATTTTCTCCATCAGAATTAAGTGGCTTTCTAAAACTGGGCTTAACTCTTAAATTGTCATGGTCTACTGAGTATAACTGATCTATTGAAATAATACAAGTATAATAAATAATATAAACTTTTCCAATGTATCATTTACCATCTATTGTAAGTAGATCCTTTGCGCCATTACCTTCAGTATATGTGTATAAGACATTGGTCAATAGAAAAATTGCGGTTAAAATAAAGATGTTGATTTTCGTCATTATTTTGACAATCTGTAGAGATAGAATTTTAAGATGAAAGTTTGGTAGATATAAATATATATACTGTATATATACAGTATATAGATATGAAAACGTCAATTTTAAACAAATAATTTTGTTAGGCCTAGTTATGAATTATTCTTTTTTTTTTACCGAGTTTACAAAAAAATTGGGTATCATCATATGATTGCTGCATTTTCTCACCTCAGTAAAATCTTAAAATACTTCTTTAAAAATACTGTCCGTTAGATACAAACGATTAACGTCGACGAATAGCATTATTGTTTATTTATGCATGGGGTTTTTCATAGTATGAAAAAACCCTCCATGATCACTAGAGCTTGTTAGGACATCTACCGACTGGTTACAAAGTTACTATTGTATTTAGATAATATGAGTTCTCAATGTTAGAGGGCGCCATGAACGTAATATTGAATTCGCTTTGTAAACAAGACAACCTCTCTCATAGTAATGTGTACTGATAACAAAGATGGCGGACAACAGGGAGTCTTTCTTGGTCGATTTATCCTATGCAGAAAATGTAATTTTCAATAATCTATGGAAGCAAAAACAAAATAATAATTTCTGTGATGTTATTATCAAAGTCTTTAATCATACTGAAAGCGCTCATGGCAATCTACTGGCAGCTACTTGCATCTACTTTAAAGATTTCTTTTCTGAGGCTGATCTCTCACTATTCGCTCCCTCGAGCCCGCAAATTTTACAAATTCATTCAGATTCTTGGGACGTAGAAAAGTCTCTACAGTATGAGGAGGGTCTTGCATCATTAGTAGAATTTTTATATAGAGGTCAATTACTGATTAGTTCAAAAAATGTTGGAATCGTTTCAGAGTTAGCTGGAATTCTCGAATTGAAACATATTGTAGACTTTTGTAGGAGCTTTGAATCTAATGAGCAACATCCTCAAAGATGTATTTGTAAGGGAAACAATCTTTTTGATACTATCACAAAAACGGTTGATGCTGCAACTGATACAAATGATGAAAACGGTTTGCCTTTAAAGTCTGTTGTTGAGTTGGGAGTTGTACCAGCAAGAAGAAAGAGAGGCAGGCCAAGGAAAGGAGAGGAAGTAAATCCAAAACTTGGAGTAGGTCGAGACGATGAATCAGATAAAGATTTTAAAATAAACGATAATCGCATCGACTGCGATCAAATTGGCACAAGAAGAAGCTCTAGACGCCATAAACCAACTATGAAATCAAGTAGTGAAGAAGAAGTTAATATTAAAGAAGAACCCGTCCTAAGATATAGAAGTGAGGCAGCAGAAATCAGTATTGAAGAGATTGACGATCCATCATTAAGAAAAATCAAATATCAATGCGAAGAATGCTCATTTGTGTGCGAGAAAAGATATGATATGGATGAGCATATGCGGCTTCATATTATCGACACAAATAAGTGCCCATTTTGCTTCGCTGACTTTTCATCTGTTGATGAAGTAAAACAACATTTAGCAGACAATCATAAAGGCCCTGATAGATTCCAGTGCCGCGAATGTTCTACTTGTTTCCCTACAATTAGACGATTACAATTGCACTTGCCTAAACACTCATCTAATCGCCCATTCGCCTGTGAAATTTGCAATTCAGCATTTAAGTGGAAGCATCAGCTAAAAGTTCACTATAAAGTTCATAGCGGTGACAAACCTCATTTATGCGATGTTTGCGGCTACGCAACAGCTTATCCCGCCCAACTAAGAGCTCACTGTCTAGTTCATTCTGGTAAAACATTAAGGTGTCCAGTTCAAGATTGTAATTTTCAGACAATAAAAAAACAAAATTTAAGTGGACACATGAAAACCCACTCAAAAGAAAAGCCATACATTTGTGATAGTTGTGGACAATCGTTTTCCTTACAAAAGAATCTCAAGCGACACATGTACGTGCATACAAACGAAAGACCCTATTTTTGCTCGATTAAAGACTGCGATTTCTCTTGTACAAGAGCAGATAAATTGAAAGAACATGAATTTAGAATACATCGTATTGGAAAAGCTCCAAATCCAAGACCAAAAATATCTGAATTGGTCGCGAAGGACAATATTACGAAAACGACTGTAAAGGATCTCGATTCAGTTGTTGCACCACTTACATGCGTTCCCGAAGGAAGCGTTATTCATGTATTCGATCGGGATAACGTACAAGATACTCCAGTAGTTTATAGGGTAGAGGAGGAAAGTATGAATCATGCTTCTACTTCAAAAGAAGAGCATGAAGTCATGTTTGATAATCTTTAAGCTCTCAGTGTTTATTTTTTTACTTGAAAATTTTTAATTGATAAAAACTATCAATTGTTCTTTGCATACATCTCAGTATTAATTCTTTAATGAATGCTTTAAAAAAGAGAACATAGTGGAAACGATTTCTATTCTTCCATTTAAAGCAAAATATACACACTGCTGTATAATGGTAAATAAATGAATTTTTCAGTTTGTTACTATTTTTTTATTTAGTTTATGAACAATTTTTTATCATAAATTACTTAATTTGAAACTAATAGCAAAAAGGGAAGAAAGTATTATGTATATTCAAGACTATCTGATAGAACCCATTGAAGAGTACCACAATCACGGCCTCCAATGGTAAATACGTATTGGTCGTTGGAAGAAAATTCTATAGCCCTTATTGACTCTGAATAGGGTCTCCTTTCGTCAAAATTCGCTTTTTTAGATGAGCACGGATATTTGTATAATCGCAATGAACCGTCAGAATTTCCAGTTATAAGTAGCTTCTTATCATTGCTCGTGTTAGCTGCGCTAACATTAACATCAGGCATGAGCTTTTTCCAAGCTCCTATGACTCTTGCGCCTATTGTACACCTGTGCTTCACCCATTCATTCTCAACTATAGATTGGGGATCTACCGAGAGCATTTGATCAGTATCCCAAAATATAACTTCAAAGTCCTTAGATTCTGTTTGAATATATCTACTATTTGTTGACCAATCTAAATTAAACACGGCCGCCTCATGGCCGTCTAGAATTCCCTTTCTAGCCCTCCTTCTATAAACGACTGCATCGTCTAAAACGTCGAATACATATACACTTGCATTATGGCAAGCTAAAGCCAAACGATTTCCATCCGGTGAAAAAGCCATGGAATCAAGATGATCATGCGACACTTGAAAGGAGGATAAATGTTCACCAGAATCGGTACTTAATATTATTAACCGGCCTTGCCCCGTTCCTACGGATAACACTCGGCCAGTTGGATCGATTGCCAAGGAGGAGCAAGGAAACTCAACATGGACTTTCCATATCATTTTTTTATCATCAGCAGACCATTTGCAAATAAAAGAATCTTGACCAGCGGTAAAGAAAGATAACTCTGAGGGGCTTGACACTATAGATGTAACCGGATTGTGGTGTCCGTGTAAAACAAAGGAAAGTTTATCTTGAAGAGATCCTTCAAGAAGACACGATTTAGCAGTAACCACAAATATTGCACCGTCCATTGATCCTTGTACTCTTGTAACTATACTTCTAATAGGCCCCGCTGCTTCGGGTATTAGTCGTTCTTTGACCATATTATAACCAGCCGACGAATCCCAAGCTCTGATCTCATTTCCTGCGCTCGATAGGAGTGTTCCATCAGCAGACATAAATAAGGCCGTAATTGGCTTTGGGGAATGAGCTCTTAGTAAATCTTTACTAATTTCCTCATTAATCGAATAGACATCTGAATCATTCTTACTCCAAATCAATAAACGACCTTCGGAATCAGCAGTAATTACTTCTCCATTAGGAGAAAACGAGATAGCCGTAACATTGGAAGGAGGCGAAGCAAATTCATTACTAAATATACCACTTTCCTTATCTCTAAGCAGTCGATATGTATTTTCTTCGTCAGAGAATAATTTCCAAAAGTGAACATGTTGACGTCCATATGTAACAACGAGGCTGGGATCGTGAGGGTGAAAAATAGCTGATACAGCCGCAATCTCTCCCGATATCTATTGGAAAAAGTAATAAAGTATAGGTAAAGACTTAGATGTATAGCTAATTTCAATGTTATCTCTTGAGAATTCTGTTCAACAAGAAACATTTCTATAAAAAGGGGAAAGGTCTTTCTTTATAAATTTAGCTAAGGATGTGAAGAGATATTTCTCTAACGTTTCGTGACAATGAGAGAAATATCCCGCAGTTTAAAGTGTAAAGGAGAACAATTAGGGATAAAATATAGACATTAGAACAGTCCCATCGCAACATTTCATTCCCTTCCAATAACTCAGTGGGATTGCTTTATAACGCTTAAAAAAGGATGAATTAGCTTTTATGTCCGTGTTGTGATGGTGCGACATCAATTAATCTTAATTAGTATGCATGCGTGAAGATAGATTATCGCATTCCTATTTATTATGGCTACCTGTATTGTTTCTTCAACCTACCAATAGCATCTTATACTTAACTAGCAGAGTCGAGTCGTTAAAAGTCGTTAAAAGACCAATCCAGCTATCAAGCTGGTTTTTTTTTAAGGTAATGTTAAATAAGGCGAACGACAAGTGAACTTTTTAATAAGCTTACCATCGTCCTAACGAGCAATTCATTGTTCTGCCAATCCCAAATCAATAGAGTATGTTTGTCAGAAGAATCGACTATTAGAAGTAAACCGGATGACGATAATTGGAGGCTTGTTACGTTGCCCTGGAGAATACCCTCGCCGACAACGCTGTAGGTAGCCATAGATCTAGCATCCCATATCCGAACTAATGGCTCTAATGATTGACCGGAAGCAATGTAAGGTTGTAAATTATCTGGATGCAAGGCTATACAGCATATTGGGGATGTATGTGCGGTAAAAAATCGTTGGGTATCTTTCTTTTTATCGTAAACTACAGCAATATTTGAGACATAATAGACTAATTCTCCTGTCGAAAGGACATGAAGTGGGTTTCTTGAAAAAGCATTTAGACCATAAACCCAATCAAGTTTTAGTCTCTTAGCAGGTTTAGACAGGTCCTGTTTGTCTTTTAGACGTTTTGGGCAATAGAATTCCCGCTCTTCGCCATTTATTTCCGCTCTAATAGTTTCATATTCATAATTGTAGGGTTGTGGTGTCACTTCAGTCATTGACATTTCTACATCCTCCCAACGGTCAATGGGCGGTGACATGTGTTTTTGTTTGTTGGCTCTGAACTGCTGAAGGTAGGACTGCTTAGGAACCATCCGAGATGCGTCATGTTCAATTTGACTAATCTCTTTCGGTATACCTTCACTTCCACAAACAATAAACGCTGTATTATGCTTAAGGTCTCTCAACAATTGAGAATAGCTTTCGACATTCCTATAAGGCGGTTCAGCCGTATACAAGGCAATTGCTGGGGGATAAGTTAAATCTACCATACTCCCCAAATCAGACAATAGTTCATTAAAGTCTTGAATAGTCTTTGGATTTAATAGAACAGTTTGTCTAGATGACCTTTTCGTGTTGCTAATAATAACTAGCTCCCGAGGTGTCGAATTAACACTACGAATCGAATTCGCTCTTGACGACGCCTGACTAGTTTGTATGGATCCATAATCCAATAGGTTTTGTTCGCCCTTTCGAAATTTTGCAGGTGTTGGCCGTCTATTATTCCAGTGTCCTTCCTTTGAAAATCCATAATCAACATCTAAAAAAAATAGTTCATTAACAGATAAGAGTTATTTTTTATAGAAATAAAAATGTCGTATTATCTTTACCAATAAACTTCCTTACACTCGATACAACGAATGCTCCTCCTCTTGTAAAATCACTAATGTCTCTTACTAATTTAGCATTTGGTAATGAAAATATATATCGAACACCAGCTGTAGTTGGTATTTTATCATTTAGCCATACCAATAAAGTTTCTAAATTATTAAAATGTTTGGTGCTGACGGCAGTAGTTAGACCTTTGTAATTACAATCTCCATTTCTAAAGAATGTAGCCAGATGACCTCTTCTGAATGATGTTTGTTCGTTTCCGTTTTTCATTTCCTCATTATCCTCGTAATAGCTACCAAAAATCTGAAGAGAGATAAAGAGAAACAAAAAAAAATTAGAGACGGTATTTACAGATTTTACGAGCAGAAAATCCTATTTTCTTAAAGAAAAATCAGAAGAAAAGGACTTAATCAATTGATAATTATTATTTTTTTTAAATTTCTTTTGATCTAATTGTTAAACCAGTCAGTACTTTGTTCTATTAAATCCTTTTATAATAATTGTTGTTGTTGTTTAATCAGTTGTAAATAAAATCGAAAAATTTCTGTAAACAAGACGTTTCGATCCGATTATAAAATTCTGTTCGATAAGTTCTTCGCAACTGTTACTAGAAACGCAGAATAGGCCTTAGTTTTCGGCTTATCTAATCGATTCTTGTACGCTGCTGTCAAATTCGATTATCAGAGGCGCGTTATGGAAGGAAAATAATTAGCCCGTTACCAAGCGTCTAATATTGATCTACATAAGTGAAAAGGTTGAACGTTATGATAACATAGGCTGTTATAGATTTATAACAAAATATTTCTATTATATGATATCATAATTTAATTAAGAGATAGGAAAATAGGCAAATAAGGAATGAAAGCGCTATAATAATTCTCATGGGTTACAGTTAGTGAATTATTCATGCAACACCTTTGGCGTGTATCGATAATCCATGTCAATTTTTTTTATCCGTTTTTAAAAAAAAACTAAATCCTTCTACCAAAGCTGTGCTGGTTGGAATGCCGACAAATGAACGGACCTCTAATAATCCGATTTATAACACTTTCAATTAAAAAGCCATATAGCTCCCTTTACGTTTTATCGATCGTCTTATCCGTATTAAAAGTAAAGAGAGTGCATAGCCCTACCTCCTCAGTGTAGTCGTCTTCCTCCTCTTCATCATCGTCCTCATCAATTGTTTGTTCATAGCCTCTAACAGGCCGCGGTAACTTTGAACGCTTTTTCAATTCATAAAGGCGTTTTTTCTTTCTAATTATTTCTGTCATTCTCTTAACTGCTGCAGGATCATCCATTTTCATACTGCGCGACTCGATAGAGCTTTCCCACAATATATTGTTATGTTTTTATACCGGAAATTGATCTTTGTCAACGTTGCGCCTTCAGTAGAAATATATAATGAGCTAACTTCGACTCAATTGTACTAGAATAAAAGATTGTATAATGTAAAAGAATTCAACTTTATTGGACGGAATAATTCATTTTCGATCAAAATTGATAGAGACTCGTCTTATATATCGGTGCAAAACAAAAAAAACCAAAAAGCTAATACTGAATAAAAAATTAAAACATAAAATTGAAAAGAAGTCAATCTATTTCCGGATTTTGTCTAGAGCTAAAAGAAGACGGCTTCACGGAGAGCGTATTTTCCATGCTATCGCTTCTCGCACTTTTTCCTACAATTTTTTCGGCCTTATGGCACTTTGTATGACGATCTGAATACTTTTTTTTCAAGACGTTTGAATCGCTAGCTCTTCTTCCCATAACTGTTTCTAACTGACTCCGACTTGTAGGAGCACTATACGATTTTATGACGAGTAGATTGTTGCCATTTCCTCTGCTGAACGATTGACAACCTGAAGGAAATGAGTGTTTTGACGATTCGGGTGTTGTTTTCGGTCGTCCCATATAAAAAGAGGGGGCTACCAATTGTCGACCAGAAACTTCAAGGCGTTCCAGAGTTTTGCTTACGAGTTTCATATCTTTTTGTAAGTCTAATTTAAAGGAAGTATAGGAAGACGGTCTAGTACTTTCTCCAAGGAGTTTTACAGATGAGCCACTACTTGTGGTTGACAATACTTCAACCTCAATATTCTCTTTCTCACTATCAGCAGTACTAGATTTGACAGACGAACAATTAGCACTAGACATAATTTCAACTTTTATATTCTCTTTTTCTAAATCGTAATCATCATCTTCAATTTGACTGGCTTCAGTGCAAGAACCTGAGCTTATTAAATCTATTTCTTCATCATTATCTTGTTCGACAGATTTACTTTCTGTTTGCTTCAAACTCTCAGGTAGAGTAGAGTCGGATAGCGTATTAGTTTCTTTTTTCACTTGTATCGGCGGTAATGGTTTCAAGTTCAACTGATCTAAACAGTTGTTTGAAATTTCTGTGGAGGCTTTCTTTTTTGATTTATTCTTTTTCTTTAATTGGCCATCTTGTATCTTGAAGATAGATTTCTTTGTCGACTTATAAGTTTCGTTCCTATTCTTCCATTTATGGTCAGGACAATGGCTGAATAAGATATAAAGATTAAAACTATAGATGGCGTTAGGCAAAAAGCCTAAAATAAACTATAGAATAAAAATTGTATTACCTACGGCATATTCCCATCAGCCAGGTGTCTATGCTCTTAAAAATGTACCTAGATTAAGACAACAGTGGCTTGGTGTAAGAATCTTATTATTTTAGCATTAAACATGCTCACGTACTTCATTGAGTGATATGAAGTGCTTTTAAATCTGTAATCGTCGAAAATACCAACGTGGCCTTTGTGCCAACGTGATCCGATAGTTTTACGTCCCTCTCCCAACCAAATTTCAACATGGGTCAAATTATGCCTTTGCTTTTTCACTGTAATCGGAAAACGAGATCGATTCTAAATATAGTTACTAATTAGGAATTCGTTAAAAGCGAATGCGCGACGAATGCCAATTAAGTGCGTTACGAGCATCAAAGCCACCTTTACGTCTAGGCGCTTTTAACATTTACATAGAAAAATACAAAAAATTCCAGACGAGGGCGTATTCATTCAACAAAGGTACTTTTGTAACACCAGTCCCGAAGGTCGCATTCCGTTCATGAAGCCAGTGCACATAAAAGTATATATTTAAATAAAAAGTATATATATATAGTGAATGTATATATAAATATCTATATTTTTTTAAGTATATTTATAAATATATATATAAATATACGCTTTGAAATGCCTCTTAATCGTTTGCGCCACTCCCCTGATGTACTGTATAGGTGAATGAATAATATATGCATAATACATAAATGGGGTATTTGGCTTTTATACGCAAATTGATAAAAAAGCTTAGCTGTTTATGAATTTATGTGTCTTTCACACATTCAATAAAAAAGAGTAAATTAACTACGTTTATACTTACTCTTTTCGTTATAGTAAACTGCCGATATGAAAACTAGATCGCCCGGCTTCATATCCTCCTCCCGTTCAACCGTTATCGGTAAAGTGTCGTGCTGATAAGCTTGATTCCATGACCCAATTCGAAAACCGAATTCATCTTCGAGATCTCGCATTATTCTACGTACAAGACCACAGCAGTCGAGAAACAGTTTCGAATGGTATTCGGAATCTTTGAAGGTGTAAATTACGTAATTTTTTAAGTTGTTTGAGGCTTGGGGAAAGTCAACGATTAACCTACTAACCGTTCTCCGTCCAGTAACGCCTTGCATAAGGCGTCCCGAAATATTTCCTAGCTTGTTCAATCAGTCTATACCTGAGCGCCATCATCCGCTCAGGGTTTGCTAACGCCCTCAGAGTTGCCTCACTACGTTTTTTCCTATTCTTTTTTCTGCACTTTCTCATATCATTCTGGGAAGAAAAAAGTCTAGGGGTAACAATGGGCTCTATTATTCAGCTTGCATTGGGCTACACATTCTTTCTCGTTTCGTCAATATTTGATGTTTGTGCGACAGGTATGACAAAAATATGTAACGAAATTCCGCCCCTCCCACAAAACTCTTTTTACTGTTTTATTGCTAATTCTTAAGAAAGGGACGGTCCAATAGGTTCTCTTTGTTACAATTTAAAAGTATGAATCGGGTACAACGTAAGCAATATTTTCTAAAATGCTGTTTTATCACAAGCCTACACTAGGAAAAGACAACAAACAATTGTTTATTTTGGAGCGTAAATATAGGCTAAAACTGTAATTGAATTTTTAAGTTGTACGATTTTATTTATAGAGCGCACGTAAACGGATACTAAATTAGAGACTCTCTTTTCAAGACTAGACGGTAATCGATATATAGGTAAAAATCTCTCGGTGAGCAGATGGATGTGTTTACATTCCGTAGTTATGGCGACTACATCAACAAGCGTCTCATGACGTCATAATCTATATCCTTTCTCGTTCATTTTCCGGCTTTGAACTTTGAACCTCGTTGTTGAATGATAACTTATTTTCTTTATCTAAGCATATACCTGCTTTTTAGTTAAAAAAGTAACCCCAAGCAAGAGTATAAACGACGATCATTAATCCTTCATAAGTTCGATTAGTGAAGTAAAGAGTAACGTAAACAGTGCTTTATACAGTATTTTTGCTTGTAGGAAGTTTCTTAACAATTGGTTATTTTTTTCGTCATGCCTGTCTACTTAAGTGTATTATAAAAACGTCGACAAGTAATTAAACGATAGGCTTTTATTATTTATCAAATACATAACATTAGAGATGATTTATGGCTGCCGCCTGACAATAAAAAACCTCCCATCCTTCAATATATCAGACTATTGATAAAAATGGAACAGTAATAGTCATAAAAAGCAAAACATAGGGTATACTAATGCAAGATTCCCTCCAAAACCGGTCTAGACACGTTTATAACGGTAATCCCATCGAAATCGCCTCAAACTACAGTATACAGTAAGTGTCAATACACACAGGGCGCCGTTGAAATGCTATTACTCTGGTTTAATTACAACTGTAATCCCCCAACACAAGACCGATAAAGGAACTCTGCTGGACTAAAAAACTAGCAGACTTTTCGGCACGCGTTAAGCCCGTTCAAGTCCGGTTCAAAGGCGAACCGCCTTATTTCTTTATCACAATCACGCTCGCGCGTTGTTTACTATGTGAATAGGTCACGAGTGCCCAGTCATCTCACGTCTAACTGAAAAAGCTGGCAAAAAAAATGATACTATGATATTAACATAAAAGAAAGCGAATGATTTGTGGATGATGCGATGACGTCGAATAGCACTGCCACGTGTATCCAAGAACAACAGAAGCGTCGTCCCGAGCAACAAACGCTTTGTTTATACTCGTATCCTTGACAACCCGGGGCGTGCGGCTGGCCAGTATAGAATGTAGCTGCAGTTCAAGCAGACAAGATGAAATCTTTCGTTGATGTTTCGGACTCGGCAGACATCTTTACCTGACAGTATTAAGGCATTGTAGTCTCCTAATGCTGCTAGGTAAGATGCCAGCAGGGACCGCAATTCCAAAATCTTCTTCAAGTTCTTCATATCACAACTAGACGACATCCAAAAAAATCATAAGAATGATTAAAGGAAAGTATAAAGCTATGCCAATATCCGTACACCTGGTCAAATGGCGCCTAACTCACTAGGTCGCGGGTTCTAGTACAATAAGCAGGTGCATGCTGGTTGGCCATCACTACTAGCACGTGACGGGACGTCCAGTAGCAGAGGGGCGAAGCCGATGGGTTTCTTTCATTGAATATGTATTGTTTTCAAACGGCAACATGTCTAGATACGCCCTCAAAACCGTCATGGCGACCGACGTGTGTTCGCATTTATATTGCATTGAGTTATTGTTAAAGCTTAGGAATTTTTCATCATGGGCGTAATACTACAGGTGAACTCTAAATATAGCCAGCCGCCGCCTTAACAGGTTAAGTAAGTCTCAAGCAGGATGTCACGTGATAGTCAAAAATGCTAACGCGTTGTGGCATAAAAAAACTTAGCGCAGTTAGAAAAAAATCTATTAACGTGCCAAATAGAATGGGGTCAGTGAAGTCGCGACAGCTGACGCCAACCAGCAGCGGCAGCGAGCGTCGACAATGAACAACATATGGCGCAAGCATCAACAAATGATAAATGCCTTTTCTCTATGTAAAATATTTGAAGCGTAAAAAGCTGACATTTGCGCCATCTACTTTTAATACGTACAACAAATATTCGTTGTCCCTTTTCCCCACCCCGAAAAAAAAAATAGGAATATATAGCTACCTCTCGTTTTTTCTTGTACTTTTGGAAGGCGTCTTGAAGAGTTTCGTTTTTCATTTCGTCGCTTAAACTAACAACAAACGAATCGGACACACTCCGTTTCTGTTCATTTCGGCATTCCATAACGTGAACGCACGTGACCCTGTAAAAAAAGGCAAAATGTCAATTTATATCTGTTCATATCTATAATATCTTAAATAGTAGTGCGAACTAAGAAGAAAATCGACTGAAAAACAACTAACTAACATAGAGAAGTCAAAAAATTCAAGCAATTTTACCTTTGGCGCCGCCGCCACAGCCACGGCGATTTCGGGAGGACAGGTAAGAAACGACAATATGGCGGACGTTTGGAAGACTGTCGCTCATTCGTCCACGACGACTTGGCGGGATTTGTTTTAACCAATCATCATTCGCGACTCTTAGTTTACCTGTGCTAATTAATCAATAGATGTCGCTTGTGTATGGCCAGTGAAGGGCCTTTTAAATTGGAAACTCAACATGAATTTTGAATTCCTAGCATTATTTATTAATTAGGGCAATTTTATGTCCATATGGGCAAGCAATCTGCAAAAGAATAGTAAAGTTGAAAGTGACTTGAAAAACAAATACAGGTGGCACTAATTGTAAAAATTCTATTAAGATAAAAAAAATTGTCTAGCTGCGCGAAAATATTTGTAATTTAAATATAAAAAGAACTAGATGACTAAGAGGGTTAAAATGGATTTTATTATACTCTTTACCTCTATTGTAAATAGTCAATATGAATTTTACATATACAAAAAGATGATAATTACCACTACAGCCGATGCCCCCATTTTAAAGTAACTTAAGCGTGTTAAAAGTATGAAAAGCTGTTAAATATTATAGCCATAAAAATGACTAAAAGCGCCCCCTTTTATTCAATGCAGAAAAAATGAAGAGAGTTAGTTATAAAGAAAGTGACAGATAGTTCAAAATTTGAAGAATTTGTTCGTAGATAGTTATTTAAGGCTTTTAATGCATGAAAAAACCTTTTAGTTATTTATTTATCGCATCATAAAAACTTCTTCAACGCTCTATTAAAAGCAATCTCCCAACACAAACTTTCACTCTTCACGTTTTAAAATATACAGCATATACAGATAAAAAGTAAAGCACATCTACTCAATAAAAACAGCACCAAATATCTATTTCCGAAATTTTGACACAGAAACTGGAGAATAAACATTTAAAAGGACTGGAAAATTAACAATCCGCTACTGTATTTAGAAAGTAAATGACAATTAAAACGCTGTAGAAGACAACTGCAAAACCAAAATCGAAGTAATAGCAAACATAACGTTAAGGAGTACAAATCGAGGTTGTAGTGCGAATATTGATATTGTATTAAACCATTATACTACAAAAAAAAGCTTTATCTACTTTTAAGAATTAAGCGTTAAATTTGTTATTGAAAACAAGTAGCCCCCTAGTTGGCTTGTAAAAGAGAAATACGTGGGAAAGAGAGATAGAATAAGAGAGTTTACAAAGAATTCATGAGGAAATGCCTGCTAATTAAATAAGCGTGAATATTTTCCGATATTTCATGTTATTCTCAAACTCCCTTTAGTACTGCTATAATAAATAGTCTTTTTTTAGACTTGTTTTATTATGTGCCCTTATAATGTTGGATATTCTTCTATTAAGTGTATCGATAGTGAACAGATTTGACATTCAAAGATAGATTTCAATATTATTATTCTGTCTATCTCTGCCTATCTTTACCTACTTGTTTCATAGTGTACAAACGATAGATGGCGTTAAAATTAACATCTTTCGTCCAGAGAAATCTTTTTCAGCTGTTCATATCGGATATAGAGGTCGCGTAAATCAGTTTGTAAAAAGAGTAAAAAAGCCAATAAAAAACAAAAAGATTATATTGAAAGGAAGATCTAAATTCTATATAATGATTTATGAGAAGAAAAGGGGATTATGAAGAAACCTTATTCTTATTTGAATTTCGTACTAATTTGGACGGTTTCAGAAGCTTTTAAAGAGATAAATTACGATGAAAAATCAGTAAATCGCGTAAATTATTCGTTCGAAAATCTACCCAAAATAAATTCAATAGAAATTGAAGATTTTGCAAAAAGTTGTGGGGTAAATCTTAATTGGTTTATAAGTAATGAAACTAAAAACCTTCATATTTGCGATCCTGAGAATATATTAGACGACAAAGATGGTATATAATTACAACTTTTTTTTATAAAATATTAATAAATATATATTTAAAAATGCAAATATACTATAGAGTGTACTGTATATCTATATGGTATATATAGTGTACTTGTACATACGATTTATATGTTTATGTATATGGTAGATTTACATTTTTAAATACTGTACATATAAAAAGCAGATAAATACATTAATAAGTAAATAAATAAATATCTATATATAAGTATTTATTTACTTATATATATATATATATATACAGTATACTGCATATATGTATATAATTTCTATTACCTCAGTCAAAGGAATTAAGACGTAATTAATTTATTAAAAGCTATTATTCTCAACGAAGAAGCGCAAGAACTTTGTTACGTTGATAACTGTCCGTGCAAAAACAAAGGATCATTTATTGTATCGGACGAAGAAAATGACAAATGCTCGTTTTTGCACGTTTACCGGAAGAAATCTTATCGATTCAAATGTCGTAGTTTTTACCTGAGGCTGTTTATAATACCTGAACTTAAATTTTCACAACAGTAAGTCTTTTATTTCCTAAAAAAAAACCGAAGGAGGATATTCTATATACCCTATTTAATGGTTAACATTTAGATATTTAGCAGTAAGGAAAAAGATCTTTTTCCGGTTCAATCGATGTTTATACCCTTTTAACGAGTTTCTGTTAATTTTCAGAAATAAAAGAACAAGGCAGCAAATGCAGATTGAAATCGAAAATCTAGCGAATAATTTATCGAAAGAATGGGAAAAGAGTCAAAGGTGTGCGGCAAACATCGATATAGTATTAAGCCATTACGACAAGAAGCTCTATATTACAGTTGGAAAGAATATAACTATCTTTGCACGATGTATGAATTATATATATAGTCAAGTACTCCAACACTTTAGGAAAGGTGACTATGGAAGGGGTTTAAGTCAATTAATTCAGCGTTTTAGACAAGCTTTGAAGGAGAAGGGAAAAGACATTTGCGGCAAAATAACAAAAAGAGACCATGTTGTAGTTTTGTTTGTCTCTGTGGGGTTGACTCTATCTTTCTGCTGTTGTTTTAGTAATATTTTCTATATTAAGAGGTATCTTGATACTAATTATAAGAGTTTGCCAAAAACTGTTAAAACGCAATAATTTATTTAACAATAAAAGGAAAATACTTAAAATTCAGTAGATGGCGTTGAAAAAAAAAAGTTTAGAAAAAATGAACAAAAGAAAGTCAGAAAGAGAAAAAATATCTGTTTTGTCCATGCAGCTAATTTGCAGGCGATCGAAAAGTCGGGGGATCAAAGCGCCTGCAAACTGGAAAAGTGCGGCGAAAAGGACGCAGGAAATGAAAATATTGAACCAAATTTTTGCAGCGGTCGACGTTGCAACTGCAACAGCGTCTCTAGCGACCGTCACTTTTCGCATTCCGTCGCGCACCTGCATTACGGAATATAAATAACTTATACGAAGATATACAACGCCCTCTGGCTATCGCACGCAATTCATTCGGGCGTTCGAAAGTGACGGCGAGCGATGCGAAATAAGACTAATTGGAATTATGAAAAGGATGAGAGCGTTCGTCATCGCCGTTGGCTTCCTCTTTTCTTTCCCACGGACGAAAGGTAGGAGATTAGCATTTAGATGATAGGAGCGGAAAAATAGTTTCCCTAATCAAAAGCCATCGGATCGATAGCGAGATGACCGATTTTTTAAAGTCGTTTTGTCATAGAGACGTCACGGAGTCCTTAATGGATTCAATTCGATTTTTTCTTATGATTTAGCCGCTCATGATCAAGGAACAAAAATGGATTACGCATATGCAGAGTACGACAACTCCGAATATGATTCGTACGGTAAAGCCTGAAAGAGAATGATTTTCCTTCAGTCTAAAATTCTTCTTTTTTTGTTCCGACGTTTGGCGTGGTTGCATTCTCCACTATCATTCTCTTTCTCTTGTATATATCTCTCTCTCTTCTCCCCTCTCTCTCTTTCTTTTGATTTCTATCCATCTATCTCTCTCTCTCTCTCTACTTAAGATATATGCATATATATGTCTCCGAACATATATATATCTGATTTTTGTATGTGTGTGGGTGTTCTAGATCATTTTTCTATATATAAATATATATATATATATATATGTGTATATTTTTAAAATGTATACATACATATATATATATACTCTTTAGTTATTTTTTTCTATAATTTTTTATAAGTAATTTTGTTTTTGAACGTCTGGAAACTACGTTAATCTTTTGAAGGACGAGAGAATTGGACGAGTGAAGTTCTTTTTTCCCAGAACAATTCAATTAGTACGGCGAGATCCTCTAAATGATTCAATTTTTTTGTGAGATGATCTCGGAACTTTTCACCCGAACTACCTTCGTCCGAAACTTGATTCGTAGTTTCTCTTAGGCACGATAGAAAGAAATTATTCTAATTGGAAATGACCAAATGAATAGAAAAAAAAAAACAACAAAAAATTCCCAAACAAAATTGAGGAAAGATGTCCGCGCCAAACGTCCGTCTTCACGCGTGATTCGTATACATTGTTCCGTATATATAATATATACAATTTTTTTTTCCAAAAAAAGTATATTTATATATGCAAAATACACCGTAGGCCTATAACGGCTTCTTTCAGCTCAGACAGAAGGGGATACGGGTTACGAGGAATACGATGATGAAAACTATGAATCTTTCGACTATAGCGATCCAGGTATAGTACTTTTAAACAACAGAGAACAAAGTAATTTAGTAAATAATAATAAAAGTAAAGGAAAAAAACGAAAAAAAGAATATGAAAAGAGTCACGCGTCTCTGTGTTATATATATATATATATTTTTTTTTTAGTTTTGTTTTAAGGTGACGCTCGTCGTTGCTCTGCGTCGGTCAAGTAGACTTTACCGTCGCTATAAGCGTATGCTCAAACGTCGCCTAGTTTAATTATAAATAGCTTTGCGTGTTGTTTTGTATTCTATTTTGTATAGATGGATAAACCTATGTATTATATACATATTAGTGTACAGATAAGTATACATATTTATTAATAACCAGTGTTTGTCATACACGCTGTTTATTAAAGTGTATACTGCCTTTATACTATAAAGATGAGTAGCCAACACACTATAAACACTTTATGCAATTTTCATACAAAGTTTTTTTTAATTGCAAACATTATATTACTTTATATACTAGACTAGCCAATTGCGCTGTATAGGCCTTGAGAAAGGTAGGTATTACAAACTATTATCGTATAATGCTCCTTTTTTTATTTTTCTGTACAATAAAGTGTAAGGGAAAACAACAATAAGGGCACATTGTTTACACAAAACCGCAATAATATAATTATATTTTCTGGGAGGCGGAAATGAAATTGGTAGAAATCGCAGTCGCACAAAATGTGTAGGCCTACTGCATAGTCATTTTTTACCCATGTAAACGCTTGTACCCCTGTAGCGATTTTTCGGGCATGCAATAAGAGGACGACCTTTAACACTAACAGGTTTAGGCCTGGAACCGGAATTTGACGCCCATTTCACAAATTTGTCCTACGTTGTTGGGGAGACTGCAATTCTTCCTTGTAGAGTGAAAAATAGGGGAAACTATCAAGTTTCCTGGTCGTCACCGGACCAAGTATTTTTAACAGTTGAAGACCGTAGAACAGTAGACGATAGCCGTTTCGACATATTAAGGAGCGTTGAAGAAGAATGGAATTTGCAACTCCGTACGGTTCTTTGGGAAGATAGAGGAACTTACAAATGCATTGTAAACTACCATCAACCCAAGAGCAAATTAGTCAATTTGAGTGTTCGTGGTGAGTATTGAACGGAGTCGATTGCGTGACTACCGATCGCCGGAATTATTTACGATGTTTATATATTGTTAGCTATATATATATATAGTACATAGTAAAATGGGGAGGGTCGAATAGAAGGCTAGCATTGATAGAGATAAAAGGAGAAGACGACTAACAAAAAGAACAACAACAAAAATGTATACCGTATAATATTAAGAAGAGAGAAAATTGAATCGGAGAGTTTTAGTCAAGATCAATGCGACGCTTTGATTGTGCAACAAAGACGCTCCGACTTGCTACTCTAATCGAATGAAGGTTGCGGAGCGAAGCGCGGTTAGTTTGGTAAGGAGACGTCGTCTCTTATACTTCTGAAATTTTAATGAGCGTTCTCTGAATAATTGCCGTTCTGTAGAATTAAAGTTTTGCAGTTGACCGAGCAAAATTCGAGCTAATAAGAGTAATTGGTAGTAAATAAGCCATGAGCTGAGCCGTATTGCAGCCACTGCTTAATCCCCAACCGCTAGAAATTCGCGCCAAAAGTAGCTCGACGCCTCCCCTTAATGCATTTTCTCTCGACACCGGCGTCGCTCGATACGTAAATGGTCTTTTCATATCGATCCACCTATTGTTCGTCTTCTCACAGTTCCCGCCACGATCATCGACGAATTGTCGAGCGGCGACGCCACTGTAGAGGAAGGAGCGACTGTCATCCTAAACTGCAACGTAACTGGAGTACCTTATCCAACAGTGTCGTGGTACAGGAGACGCTTCGACTCTAAATCGGAAGATGAACGAGAAAGTTTGTTTCTTTATTTTCTTAATTGCGGTTAAAAGCAGTGAAACACCTGCGTCTCGCTTGCGGGCTTAGTTCCGGTCGAATTTATACTTCGACAAGCCCTAATTTTAACTCTTTTCCCAAGTAAATAAACACGTAAATATCTAATTTGATAAATAATATATAAACTTTTTCATTCATGAATTCTTAATTTATTCATACAGGAATAGTGAACAGCACAGGAGAAGCTCTTATTATCCCTAATGTAACACGGTATTGCGATGATATCTACGAGTGTGTTGCGGATAATGGTGTGTCGGCAGTTAGTCGCCAAATGCGAGTTACTGTCGAATTCGAACCCGAAATTACCTTACCAGCCAGCCGATTCGGGCAAATTGCGGGCAAGACTACAATGTTAGAATGCCGGATAACGGCACGGCCACAAGGAGAGACGGTATGGAGGAAAAATGGCAAAATAGTAAATCAAAAAACTGATAAGCGTTACCAATTGCATGCTTACGAGTATGAGCAAGCGCCCCATACAATAAGTGTCTTTTTGACTATTAAAAATGTCAAGAAATCAGACTCTGGGGTATACGAATGCTTCTCAACGAATCCTCTTGGTAATGATTCGGAAAAAATGGTTTTCACGGGTAAATTCTATGCTCTATTATTATTATAATATTAAATCCGTAGAAAGTCAGTAGACAGAACCGATAAATAATTAATGAATAAATCTAATTCAATATCTGGATTTAATCGGTTTTTTTTTACTCTCCTTTAAGTCAAACCAAAACCGAATGAAACCTTACCAAAGAGATCGTCTCCAGAGGAAGTGGACCTGGAAGAGAAGCAATCGTTAGACTTTCATACTCGGCCGGAGCGAACGGGAGCTTCCTCATCGTTTCAAATGTCTTCTCGCCTATTCGCCTTAACCTTTACAGTTCTTGCCGGAACGCTATAAAGCAAAAGAGGAAGGAGTTTTAAATGAATGAATTAGACTAATTTTTTGGTAAAGAACAATATAAAAAGAAAAAAAAAGGAAGAACGGATAAGATTTATATCCCATTAAAAAGAACACCGAAGAGGATGAAGATAGAATGAAATTACGAACTATAATCCTTCACTTTCTCTACCCTTCCTCTTCCGCCTCCTATACCCATTCCCAATCTATATTCTTACTCCTAATCCTCTTCTTCTTGTTCTCTTAAAATATTTAACTAATGTTTTTTTTTTAAACAAAAAAAAAGGACACAACTGTCTAATGTATAAATGCGATCCCCTTTTTTACTGTTCGCCCATTTCGCTTTACTTATTTATCTAAAAAGACTTTTTTTTATTTCCAAAAGTGTTACAAGACCTCAGCCATTTTCTCTCCTATAAATAATTTACACTTTTCGCTTCTTCCCGTATGCGTGTCATGTATATGTGGCCAGATCTTCTTGACGAGTAGTTTGTAACAGATTTACGTCTGTTCCTTTTATATTAAAAGACAAAAGACTCTCGTGAAGAGAAAAAAGAAATTAAAAAAATTAGACAAAAATAAGAATTGAAAGAAACAAAAGAAGGAAGAAGAAAACAAAATATACGTTTCTAATTGGGAAGAAGAAAAATCTAATTTTATATCTCTTCTTACTTTGTATTTATGGCTAAAATATAAAATAAATATGCCACATATTCTATTTACAATTTACAGTGAGTACTGTATAAAGGTATACATAAAAATTAATATAGTGAATTATACAATCTACGGACTAGACGTTATATAATGCGCACATGCTAAATATACTGCATATATGCGCAGTAACATATATACAGTATATACTATATATATATATATATATATATATATACTGTATATACGGTATATATATGCTGTATGTTTGTTTCAAGTTCCTTTATACTTCTTTACATCATTCAGCTTTAAGAGCAGAAAGTTCCTTTTTATCAAAGTTTTTACCTTTCTCCTCGTTCTATAACATTTTCCGTAAAACTCGCTACAATCATTAGTGCCATCTACTGTCTACAGGGACAAATAAAACTGTTATAAATACATTTATCGTTCAACACATAAGTAATGTAAGATACCAGATTTCATTGATAGAATTGAATTTTAGTAGATTTCTTGATAAAGAAAACGTACAGTTTGGAAAGATGGAAGGGAAGAGAGCGAAATATACGAAGAATGAGTATAGAATTCTACTGAATAAAGCTAAGAATTTACACACGTCTGTTTCATTAGCTATAAATATAAAGCAACACAGGCCAAACATTTTTTTGTATAAAGAAAAAAAATGGGAGGACCTCCACGCTGGAAGGTAAACAAGGCCAGAGCGAAATAAACATCTATTTGGTCTAATATTACTGCTCAAAAAGCTGTTGCTCTAGCAACAAAGGTTCGTTCTTAGTTCGAAGAATACAGTCAAATAAATAAATAGGCAACACGAGGTATGCAGGTGGCAAGAGATATATAAAAATAGGTTTTTGCAGTGCACCGCTCGTGCACATACTGCTAAGGTTCTGAGCTCAACACTACAATGGTAAGCGAGTATTTGTCCATTACTACGGTTACGGTTATTATATAAAACACACAGGACTCTAAAGACGCACAGGGACAAGTTCCTCCTCAACCGGAAGGTAAAACGTGAACTTTACTTTAATTAAAATATTTTTTTTAAATTTAATCCTTCTGTTCTGTTTTATTAAGTATTGTGCTCTGTTTCGTAAATGTTTAGTTGAAAAGCATCAAGAGGAAAATAAACAGCCGACTGAACAACCTATACAAACTCCTCAAGCTGAGGAAAAGAAGGAAGTGAAAAGTGAAGAAAAGGCGGAAGCGAAAGAAAACCCATCAGAGGTGACTCCAGCGACCTCCAAGGTCGAAGAAAACATAAATGCTCCTGTTGAAACTCAAGAGACGGCCCCAACTCCAACTCCTGTTGAAACTCAAGATACTACCCAAACTCCAACTGCTACCGAAAGTCAAGCTGTAAACCCACCAGCTACGGAATCAGCGTCGGCGGAAGTCCCAAAGGGCACTCAAGCTGAAAGTTCTACCGAAGCTGTAGCATCGTCGCCGCCAGCTAACGAGCCTGAAGCAAAATCAGCTGAAGTTCAACAAGAAATTCCCGCAGAAAAGCCGGAAGTTGTTAAAGATATAGAAGTGGAAGCGTCTGCCATTGAAGAGCAAAAGACTAAGGAAGAACCAGCTCCGATTGATCAGTCGGCAGCTGAAGAAAAGAAAGAAGAAGAAAAAGCTCCTATTACTGCGGGAGAAGGTGAGGTAAAGCAAGAAATTGCTCCACCGACTGAGAGTAGTATGGGTGGTTGCAGTACGAAAGAAACCCAAAAAGATGATGTCCCACCTGAGAATCAGCAACCCGTAGAAGTAATAGTGTTAATTTTAAATGTTTTTATGAATAAGTTATGCATTATTTCTTGAAAAGGTGAAAGAAGAAACCCCTGCTGCACCGGTCGAGGCGCCATCAAGTGATGTAAATAAATTCCGTTTTATTTTTTTCTTTATTTCATCTTGTAAAGAAAATAGAGTTAAAAACAACTGCAAATATTATCTTATGATGTTAACAGGCAAATAACACATTATCAGTTCCGACTGAAGGAGAGAAACGCGAGTCAAAGTATGACAATGTACCGCAAATTGGCGAGGAAGTTGCGCAATCCGTTGATAAAATGCTGGCAGAGTATAGCAGCAATTCGAAGGAGGCTGCCGAAAAGGTGGAAAGATTGAAGAAGGATGCCGATGCTATACAATTGTGTTCCACTGTGCTTAAACTACAAAAGGAATTGGCTACCGTACAACTGGAAGTTGTTCAATTGCAAAAAACCGTTAGAACGGTTAACGATACGTTTCTAAACGTAATGGAATTGTGCTTTGATAAAGTGAACGAGTCTTAAGAGAATTTCCAAAAAAATTTGTATTTTTGCAGTTTTCAATTAAAAGCGCCATCTACTGTTACAGTAGAGTAAACATGAATGCTTAGTTAAAATAACTGCAAGCATACAATTTTATGGAGTATTATAAAAGCTCTCCATGCTTGAATGTAATGTTTGCATTAAAAATATACAGTAAAACTGTATATAAATGAATATATTAATGTATTTGAGTATTATCAAATGTAGAACTAAAAGAAAATTACTTAGTTAAATATTCTCGCTTCTCAAAACATATACATAATAATTCATATGGTATGTACTATATACATAAATATATATATATATATATATATATATATATATATATATATATATACTTATATATGTATTTAATAACATTATTTCGTAGCCAATCGAACGTTTCATTTCTATTTATAAGCAAAATCAATTGTCTACAAACTATTTTCTTCTTTTCTTTTAAGCGAGAAACTAATTAGAATAGAACGGTTTTTTCTTTTTTTCAATCCTTTTTTTGTACTGATCCACCATGCAAAAAAAACGAACTAATTACTTAGTCCGTACTTTTCACTTCTGATTAGATAAGAGGAAGAACAATTCTTGCTTGGAGAATACGGAGCTCTTTTCCTTATCATATAATCTGAAGAAGATATTTGCTTGTTCATCCACCTCCTTCGGACTGGGTGTCTACGATAGGGAGGGGGAAAATATGCAAATTAGATATAAAAAACAAAAAAGGTCAACGACGCATACGAGCCCTATTTTCTGCATAATATCCCTAAGGAACGAGTTTAATTCCCGCCCATCCAGTTGTTGACTGGCGTTCTGATCGCGAAAATTGATCGAAATTAGACGCCAATTCGAATCCGACTACCTACTTTATCGTATTTAGTGAAAACTTGATCAAACTCTTCTCTTCCGAGCTTTTCTCGAATTTCGAACGGTGTGCTAGATGTATCGGTAAAGATGATTCTGTGAATATGGGAGAAAAAGAACAGAAAAGAAAAAAGAGAAAAAAGGTGATAAATGTTGTTGTATTCCAACCAACTGGGCAAATTCGTATAATTCAATTTTCTTATCCCTATTCGTGTCGAACATTTTTAGGAAGAGTCTGGTTGCAGCTTGCACAGCTTCGGGAGAGTTTTGCTTGTCGTCCTTCTTCCGAATAAGATCGCTTGCGAATTGTTGAAGTTCATCACCTTCAATATATCCGCTTCTATCAATATCGTAATGCATCCATATTCTTAGGAAATCCACTACGTGTATTTTCTTGCCTTTTTTTAACATCTGAACCAAATTATCCTCTTCTCTATTCGAATTTTCTTTGCAGTAATTACAGCCCATATTATATATATACGCTATTATATACATATACTTATATATATACTTGAAAATAAACAGTATATATATATATAAATATGTATATAAAATATACACACTATATGTATGTTCTATACATCAGTATAACAATAAAATTTACATTTTCCCTTAGATGTTCGTCCTACGACGGCTGATCGTCGAAAGGCGCCGTTCTGTATGGCGCCGGACTCGATTAATATTCATAGGCCTAATTTATATATACATAGTATAAATATGTTTATATCCCGTAATTTCTTAATAATTATTAAACATTTCTTATCATATTTAAGCATTACCCAACAATAAACGATACGCTTTTATAAAGAGATATATTGCACCTATTTTAAAGATATCTTATCAGTAGAATATGCGTAGTTTGTAGAATTTTGTAGTGCTACTGTAAAAACACAACCGTATTTATTCCTGTATCAACGAGGGTTGTGCACACTATTACTATTCACTATCTATTTTATTCCAACTTTTTTTTACTACTCTATTACTTTTCCCTTTCACTTTTTATTCTTCTCATCTTGTACTTATTCTTTTTCTATATAGCCTAATCTATCCTTCTCCTATTCTCTTCCTTTCTTTCGTTTTCTTTTGTTTCTTCTTTTTTCTTCTCCTTTTACTGTATTATTTCTCTTCTCTTCAATCTATTTCTCAACTAGTTTTTCTCTCGCTTTTCTCTTCCTATCATTTCTAACCCTTAACCCCTTTTTCCTGCAGCTAAAAGAAAAAAAAGCTACCACTCTTTCGCGTCACTTCCAGATAGTCTACTAGGCCTAGTCATTCCGCCTTTTTAGCCGGTTCCCTCCCTCTTATACCAGCCTGTCGTCAACTTTTCATTTATTTGCCTGACTATTTGGTTTTCTTTCTGTTTTATTCATCACTTTTTTTTAGTTCCCCTACCCCTTCCCCCTCACCCACTCATATTTCTAATGCTTTCTTTCTTATTCTCTTTGCTGAGATAGTATGAATCAATTTCCGGTTCATAGATGGCGTTACCGTCGTTTGAACCCGTTGAACTTTGCTACGTGCAGGTGCAGTTTAGATAAATAAAAATTTTTGCAAGCAAACGACTGATTGCTAAAAATTACAACGTTGGAGATGGCATAAAGATGAATATTTAATTAGCTAGCAGATAGCTCTCTTCCTGTGTACAGTTTACGGAGGTGTTATTGATCGACGTCCTACATAAACGCTGTATTGCAGTACAATACAATAAAAATGAATTCTGGCGAAGATTACGACGTTCCACCGTCTCCCCGGCCTATACAGTACTACTCTTCACCGTCTGACAGTGGTAGAGGAACACCGAAATTTTTCGATCCTATATACGATCTGGTAGATGATCAAAGAGATTCTGCAATCGGTTTAGGAGAGAATCGTTTATCATCAGCTTCATCCCTACCCTCTGTAGGGTTCGAAGAATTGAATTTATCAAGGGACGAGGCAGTATCGGCTATTTTAAAGGTTGAAAAGAACCTAGATTCGGCTTGTAATCGATTACTATCAGCCTCCTCAGCCAAGCAGATAGATGCCACTTTCGAGCGTCAAGTTCATTCGGCATTCAATAATGTTATTACTAGTTTAAGAGAGCTATTAGAATTATGCAAAGGTTCAATCGGTAGTGCAGATAGGAATTGCGATGAGAAATCTGTACCAAAGAAATTATTCTCCCTTTTGGAACCAGTCGATAGCGCCTTTGGAACCCTTACATCGAATATTCACAAACTGGATAGATGTGGGTGGAATTTAAAATCATCTGTCGAAATCCTACAAGCTTCCCTGGCAGTCGTACGACATCTTATATCCGATTGTGGACGATTGATAACGGTTATACAAGCAAATAGCTCATCGATTTTTAATCCCGATATACCAGTCAAGACGGAAGATTCAATGACAGCAGTCTATTCAACTCCTAAACCAAAAACAGCACCAAAACCAAAAAAAAACATATGCATAGTCCGAGCATTAAATAATAAATTAACGGGTGAAGATCGTCATCTACTCGACGATTACAAGTCTTTTGTAGAAAAGCAATGCAACATAGTTCAAAGTTACGTATCAGCCTATACAGACAGCGTCTCTAGCAAGGACCAACCGATCGTTTATGTGGAAAAGATTCGCCAAGTAGTCGTCAGTGCTCAAGCCCTCGTTCATGTTACTGACACCTTACACCGACATCTAAAATGTGAGTCAGTAAGAGAAGGCATTTACAAAGTTGGAGCATCACTTTGTGAATCTTTAAAATCCTGTGTTTTAGAAGCAAAAAAAGCTTTAGAAATCCACAATCACAGTAAAACAACTACTGATTGCGTCAACGAGATTTTACATTACGTTAAACAAGTGAAATTAGTCATTCTTCATGCCGAAACACTCTTATAGAAATCCTTATCATTTTCTATTTATCTCATTTATATTTCTCCTTTGTTTGTTTTTTTTTTGTTTGTCTTTTTTTCTACGTTTATCAATTCGAATATTTTTATAAATAAAGGAAGAAATAAGATGAAGTATTTGAAATTAAACTCGACTTTTTATATAGTTTTTATAACTTTTTGCCTGATTATTCATGATTGTCAATCTAAGAGTTTCGATACAAAACCTAATAATCGTAAAATTGCGAAAAGAGAAACTCCTGACGCCTATAACGAACGTCAAAATGGGGAAGATGATGGAGAAGATAGCATAGACGATGATATAGATGGTAGTTTAGAAGATGAAAGAGATGATAATAAAGAACGTGGAGGAGAGACTAGAAAAAGCTACAATTTTGACGACGAAGGAGAAGATGATGAAACGGAAGGTGACGAAGGTGAAGAAAGCAAACAAAGCGACCAGGAAAATGACGGGCAAGATGATGACGACAATGGTGAAGTAGAGGATTATAATAAAGATGATGGTGGGGAAGGGGATCGTAATGAAAATAATGGGATAGTTGGAACTGAAGATGACGACGATGGACAAGGTGATGAAAGTGAAGAAGATGAAGAAGAAGACGAGGGGAAAGGTGATAAGAAAGAGGAAGAAGACGAGGAAGCAGAAAGAGACGAAGCGAACGAGGAAGATGATGAAGAGGGGGCAGAAGACGAAGAGGAGGAAGAGGAAGACGATGAGGATGAGGAAGAAGATGAGGATGAGGATGAAGATGAGGAGGAGAACGACGATAATGACAATATTTAGATTAGAGTTGTTTTCCCTCCAATCGTTTCTTTTTTGTTTTATTAATTCTACATTATACATCATATTAAAAAATTAACATATAAATCGAACATTTATTGACGTAACGTTAATAATATAATGTGTTTTTTTTACGCTTAAAAAGGCTTTATAAAAAAGCATATAAATAAAAAGTAAAGAAAGGAGAAGGAGCAGAAGAAGAAGAATAAGAAGAGCAAGAAAAGAGTTTTTCTCTTTAAAAGAAATGATTAAATTAAATTACTCAATTATTATAATTAATTGGATAAAACTGATTCTTTGTGAACTGAATATTTATTCGTTTAAAACTTCTTTTCTAAGTTGCGAAGATACCGTTGATAAGAACTGTACAAGGTTTTATAATTACAGTATTACGTGGTACAAGTCGACATTTAAAGATAAAAGCTATCAATGTGAAATTACACAGAGTTTGAAACCTTACCTTCTGAGACCAAACTGCTTATTTAAAATCCCTTTGAAAGATAGTGAAAAAGACCAAATTTTAACTTGTAGTCTTAAGGCTACATGCTCGAATACAGAAAAGGTCATCGATTTAACAAGACGTTTTAAGATAATTAGAGAAGGACGTCTGCCATTCATTAAGATTTATAGACGGTTTACATTTGTTTTAATTAATAAAAACAACTCGAGAATAATGTTGGTAAGGAAATTAAGTAAATTGACGAACGGTCTTTGTATTGATGAAAAGCTGTTGAATCTCGAATTTGGGGATAAATCCATTTATCCAATTTTTATAGACAGATGTGCACACAGAGTTTACATAGAACGTGGCCTAATTAACAAGAGAAAATTAAGAATGAATGATAAAGATAGAGATAAGCTTAAAGCACACGGAATATTCAAGCTAAAGCAGTACCTAATTGTTACCATTAGGATTGATAGTATTTTATCAAGCAATTGTGTCAGTGTATGTAGTTTAGAACAGATAGAAGAAAGGTCCCAAATCGACAGGGATTTGGTCTTTGAAGCGATTAGACGGAATTTCGCTAAAGATGACAATTATTTGGAAATAAAGTAAACAAAAATAGATTAGATATACCTAATAAATATTATCCTTCTCTTATCCTCTACCCACCTATCCACCCACTCATTTTTTCTCATTCTCTCTCTTTCCGATGAACCAATCTCTTCTTTCCTATTTTACTAATAAATGAATAATTAATTAATAATGTTGTTACTTTTTACTTATTTCCTTTGTAAAAATATCAATGGAGCAGAGCTGAATATAAAGATTCACCCTTTTGGAAAGTTTGTCCTAATGGGATGCATTTAAAAGTAGTAAACGATGGATTGAATGAAATGGAATTATGCTACAATTGTCCGAGGTCATCAGCCAATTGGGATCATTTAGCTGAGGGGGAATTAATATACAAATGCTTACAGTGTCTACCGAATACTTACTTAGATAGAACAAAGTCAAAATGTCGGCCATGTAGATTTAATAGACTATCAAAAAAATATAATTCTAAAGATTGTAAATTGAAAACAAACCAAATTTATCCGTTAATTGTGCAATCAGGATTTGAATACTCTCTCATTTGTTGGCCTTGGTTACTAAAAAACTCCTCAGAATCTTTCACATTCCCAAGAATAGTTTTCCGCATAGGAAATGAATATATTAATGACTCTGTGACGTTCAGGAAGAATGAGACGTCCTTGTTTAATGGTTTACGTTATGATTGTCTAATTGCTATTTACAAAACGGGATATGAACAAATAAAAACAAAATTTCATCTATTTAAATATAGGCTGTATTCAATCTGGCCTGAGAGTATTGCTCATTATGGAACGGTCAAAGTTCAATTTTGTCCTGATCGCAACCAATTAGAGTTTCTAACTGATAAGCTAATGAATGATTTAAAGAGAAAATTAAGATTAATAACGTATTATACGGATGTAAAAGTCTTTATAGAATGCGGATTGTTTTTATTAGATGAAGAAAGCTTCTTTTTATCCGTAGAATCGGTTCTTGAACAGCCAAAATTGTTCTTTGCTAGGAATCAAGTTCTTAAGGAGCAGGCGCCTTCACCTTTAGGCAAAAGGTTAAGAATTTGGCTTATTTTCATTAGTCAAAAGCAGGTAGACATGACAGAATGTTACAACGAAAATAACAACTTCTATTTACCGTAAGTGCATAGGTCTTTTAAGTTGTTACGTAAGTTTTATACAGTCAATGCATCCAAAACAAAGATATTATTTAGGGAGATAAGAGAAGAGGATCCCCTCGAACACTTCCACAAGCATCATAGATTATGCTTTTTGCGGAAATCGATAGGTCTATATAGCAAGAACCTACTTTGGAATTCGGTTGACGTTGAAAAGCTTCGAAATTGGGTTGAAGAAGCCGTAAAAGACTATAACATTAACGAGGAGCCAACTGTTTGGAATATAACTTTATGGAACGAATGTCCACCTTCGTTCGGTTTGGATAAGTATCAAATACTGTGTGAAAAATGCCAGAATGGAATGTATAGTCAGGACTATTTGGGACATTGCTATTATTGCTTAAATCAGGGAATTGACAATTGTATTGGCAGAGATGAAAATTTAAAAAAAAAAGAACAAATTACGCCTAGCAGTAAATTAAGGGATAATTTTGTGATTATATTATTCTTTACCTTATTAGGCGGAAGTGTGTTATTACTTTGCACGGTAGGATGTATTTACAAGCTAATTAAATATACGTACGACTTTAAGAACTACTGCTACGCTTGGAATATTAGTAACGAAAACATCTTATCAAAAATTCCATCAGTGCCTCCATGGTTCAATCCGGAAAAGCACATAAATTGGTACGAATCCGGTAAATTTTATATTGCATTTGGATCAAATGTCTATATCCATTCATATCCGATGGGTTGGATCGATTTTCGTGTAATTAGAGACGATGAAATAGACGATTGAATAAAAATGATACTTTTAATTTATACTAATGAAACAAAGGAATAATAGATTGAGGAAAGTAGTTGTAAACTTATGAAAGGAGAAAATTAAATGAGAGGAAAGGAGAAGGAAAGAGAAGAAAAAGAAAAAGAGAGAGTGTGTTCAATTAATCATTTTTTTCTTTTTCTCCTTTTTTTTTCTTTTATTAATAGAATAAATTCAGAGCTAATAAATAAAGTGGGATTTTTTTTATATCCAAGATGGATAATCGGAACAAGGAATAACGGTTGGATTATGATAAGAATCGATGATGTCAGTATTAATCTGACGTAGGAGAAAAATGGAAAAATGATTGACTAGACGCTTATAAATCTGTTTAGGGTTGCTCGAAGTTCTTCTCTTGCTATACAATTCCATTTTCCTTCTGGAAATATATTGGAAAGTGAGAGCGAAACTGATTATTGACTATGATAAGTTTATTTTCCTTTTTTTCGAATGGATGATTAGTCTAACGATACTTATTCCCAATTCTTTTCTTTGCTTTTTCCCCTTCATCCTACTCGGCGTAAATCTTTAAAAGTCGATTGTTATCACAATCTACTCTAACCTTATAGATCTTGGGAACTTTTTCCTTCACTCTTCTAACCCTCTCTTCCTTTTAATCTATACAATTTGTCTGGGAAAAGAAAATAAATCACCTTCGAGTTATCAGCTCTAATGTGAACTTCTTGAATTACAAGCTCTAAACCTAAGTGAAAAGAATAAAGATCAGAAGTAAGAGATATACAAAATAGTATGAAGATATATTGTATATATAGAGAGAGAGAGCGAGAGAGAGAGAGAGAAAAGCGGAGTTTAAAGGTCAAATATTTTATTTAGACCAAGTGTTAGGCATGTTTTTTTATACGACAATGGACCAATAGTAATCTTGTTATCAAGTAACATACGATCTGAAAGTTTTTAACATTCAATCAACACCAGTTGGAAGATTTGGAGTATACAGGATTTGTCTGTTCGATAAAACACAATTTTGTATGTGTTTGTTCATATATCAAGACGTTAAGAGAAAAGTTTATCTAGACTAAGATGAGGGACCAGTTCGATTGGACTGATTATTCAGTTCTTGCTTTTGTCATTGTTTGCAGCTTAGGAATAGGAATTTGGTCAGCCCTGACTGGAGGAAAACAAAATACAACTTCGGAGTATTTGATGGGTAATAGGTTAATGAATTTTATACCAGTTGCCGTTTCCCTAATGGCCTCCTATCTTTCGGCAATTACCGTTTTGGGAGGATCTTCCGAACTTATGTACCACGGAGCTCAACAAACAATATACATTTTTTCCTATATAATCGCTGGAATTATAGTAGTTATTTTCTTCGTACCTGTTTTATATCCATTGCAACTCACAAGTATAAATCAGGTACCTAATTCACATTAATTTCACATAGGATTTATTAATAAAAGAATTTTATATATCCATTCCATTAGTATTTATTAGAAAGATACGATTCTAAATGGACTAAACTAGTTGGAACAACTTTCCAAGTTCTGAGCGGAGTAGGTACCATTCTATAAGACTTCTATTGATCGATGTATTAATTTTCCTCAATGCAAACATAAACTTAAAGTAGAATAAATTAACAGCGTTAGATATGTTGCATCTATATTTGACGTATAAGTTACTTTTGTTTCCTCTATTTTTTTAGGAAATGATGTGCGCAATTGGCCTCTATGGTCCAGCCTTGGCTGTACAAACGAGTAATTTATTTCTTCTATTATGAAAGATATTATTAATATTATTAATAATTCTTACTGAAAACAGTCGCATATATTTTCTTTTATTAAAATTTCTTCATTTTATGAAACAGCAACTTCTATTCCAGTTTGGATGTCGATTACGGTCATGGGAATATTGTCAACTTTGTATACAACCATTGTGATTATACATATTTATATTCATATACAATATATATACTTTATATCTATATATATAAATAGTATATATTAATCTGTTTATTCCAATGCAAAATACATATAGGCCTATAGACTTTTATTGTTTTTGTTCAGGGTGGAATTAGGGCCGTAATTTGGACGGACGTCTTTCAAAGCGTTATTATTTTGGCTGGTTTATTGTCATTACTTATTAGAGTAAAAACGTTAATTCTATTTTGAAAATTAAGCTAATTGATTTATCAATGAAAACATAACAGGGTCTTATTCTGTGTGGAGGATTTAGCGAAGTTTGGCGTATAAGTGAAAAAGGAGGGCGTCTAAAGTTTTTCGATATGGATATGTCATTATACACAAGATTATCATTTCCATCTGTGTTACTTAATCAAATACTATTATGGCTTGTCTTGTACGGATGCTGTCAGGCGAGCGTTCAACGCATTTCAAGTGTTCCAACAATGACGAAAGCAAGGCTAACTATTCTTTTATGTATGCCAATGTGGGCGATATGTGCAACTATATCTTGCTTCTGCGGATTAATCTCCTACGTATATTATGAAAAGAAGGGATGCGATCCGTTTAAAGCTGGTATTATAAGAAACAAGAATCAATTGCTATTGCAGTTGGTAGCGGATATTTTAAATTATCCTTGTATGTGCGGCCTATTTTTATCGGCTGTAGTTTCTGGCTGCCTTAGTAATATTTCGTCGTCTTTGAGTGCCTTGGCTGCCAATCTTTGGGATGACATTTTGGTGGACAAATTCAAAGAACTTCCCGAGTATCGAAAGGCTTTCATCAATAAATTAATAGGTGATATCTTATTGAAAGGGAAAAAATTATCTTGTTTATGTTCCCTTTTCATCCATACCAGCTTAACCTTTAGTTATTATCTTTGCGCACACATAAACTAAACTTTTATTCTTTCTTCCTTTTCATATTTATGCTAAAGTCTTCATCGCTGGAATTTGCAGTATATTTCTTGCTATTGGAATCTCTTTTGTTAGTGGAACACTTGTACAGTTGACAACCACCCTATTATCCACATTATATAATCCCCTTCTTGTATTATTCATACTCGGTGCAACATTCCCATTTGTGTCAGCAAGAACAATTTTGCCTGGTTTGGCTATTGGTTCAATCTTTGTTACATTTATTACAATTGGCGGTATAATGTCTGAATCGCATTTGTCAACATTAGAAACTCGAACGGATAATTGCCCAAGGTCTGTCAACTTTACTTCTACACCAATGCCCACTTCTCAAAAGGAATTAAACGCTTCTCGATCCGTATTTACCGAGTTTGTCATAAACAACCTTTTTGGAATTTCCTATATTTGGTACTCTCCTATACAATTTGCAATATCCACAATTATTGCTCTTATTCTTAGCATCTTTCCAGGTAAACTTTCATTTAAGTATAATTAATATTTATCTATATCTTCTCTATTGAAACATTTAAAACCCAACCAGTAATCAATTTATTTTCTATTGAAACAGCCCTAAGACAAAAGAGAGTACCAGCTGCCAAGTACTTCTTTCCTTTTTTGAGGCCTATCATTGGAAGGATCCAGAAATAGTGTATCGATTAATATTATCTGATGTAACAGTGTATTCTTAATGTATAAAATCTATAAACAAGCTTTATAGATATAAAACATATTAATAAACATATATAAATGTTGTTTTTTTTTGTATCTTTATGACTAATGTATAAGAAACAAATGTACATATTGAAACCAAAAGGTGTCGCTGATAACAACAATTAGCTGATAAGAACATTTCAAGCGACTATCAATTATTTCACTAGTTTACGCAACATGCACTTATTTCAGATAATCAACAATATTTCTTACACTCAATGAGCAGTTACAGTACGGAACAGTCAATCTTTCTAACATAATGAATAATCGAATTACCCAGAATGGGAAGTTATACCCTGAAAGAAAATGTTCCTTACTGTCAACACTGTTCTTCACGTAATATATCTAAATTAATTTCCTTAATATATAACTACGTTAATAGTATTGTTCAAGTTTGTCTCTGTATTTTTTTATTCATATTCAGATGGGTACAAGGGATAATAGATGTTGGAAGGAAAGAGAAAGGAGGTTTTGGAAAACAACATCATTTTCTACCTCCTAAGAGTGAGATGGCTGAAAATTGTGGGCCAAAACTAGTTGAAGCTTGGGAGAAACAAGTAAATGATCAGGGAACTAACGCTAAATTGTATTTGGTTATATTAAAGTCCATTCTTGGTCAATACTTGGTTGTAGGTTTATTGAGTATATTACAGGATTTAGCTACGTTATTACAACCTTTCGTCCTAAGGGAGCTTATGCTCCAATACGGGCAGGAGAATAATTCGACCTCAATGTTATGGGTTTATTCTATATTGTTATGTGTATCGAACCTTTTTCTATCGCTGATAAAAAGATTCTATTTCTTCATACTGGATAGAATATCGCTAAGAATGATGGCTTCAACCACCTATCTTATTTTTCATAAGGTTAGTTTTCCTCTAGGGTTCAACAAGAATCTATCAAATTAAAAAACAGATACTTACAACAACAAAGAAAGATCTTAGTTCAATAAGTACAGGAAATATAATTGAGAGAGTTTGTCACGACGCAGAAGCTGTAACTTGGGGAATTTATTCGGCTAACACTTTATGGACGGGACCTTTACAGCTGTTATTTGTTTTGTTCTACCTTTATTGGCATATGGGGATTTACGTTACGCTTGGAACCTTAATTATTCTTGTCCTCTCTCTAATCCAATTCTATTTTGCGAAGACTTTAGCAAAGTATCGTAAACTACAATATATTTATATGGATAAAAGGACGTCTGTGATTAGCGAATTATTATCTGGAATGAGACTTGTAAAGATGTATTGTTGGGAAAAGCCGTTCAGAAAGTTAATTGATGGAATTCGAAAGAAAGAAATGGGTTTTTTAAAGAACCTAGTAATCTGCTACACATTGTTATCCGATTTTCTTTTTTTTGGTAAAAAATCCCTCATTGCCATGTATGTTCTAATCTACTATTACCTCGGATATAATCTAAAGGCTGAGAAACTTTTCCCCCTTGTTCTCCTTATTAACTGTATATCAAGCGTGATGCTTGACCGTTTACCGTGGGCTATTAAAAAAGTGACGGAATCTCTAGTTTCTGCTAAGAGAATCCAAGATTTTCTCCTCCACAATGTTAAGAATGATTGCGAAATAAAAGAATCCAAAGTTGCCTGTCGGGAGCAAAAACTAAATAACCATATAAGGAATCGAAAGTTTAATAAATCAATTATAAGTCTAAAGGGAGGAAATGCTTCTTGGGACAATGTAAGTTTGTTAAGACTAACTAGGCCTAAATTAAAGAGTAATCGATATTTGCTAAATTTTAGGCGTCACCCACCCTTAACAACATCGATTTAGAAATAAAAAGAGGAGAGCTCGTTGCTGTAATAGGGAAGATAGGTTCCGGAAAGGTTATTTAAAATTAACAACTTATTTAAAAGCCTATTAAAAATAAAGAGAGCCTCTTTATGCATTTAGACGTCTCTCCTAATGGCCTTACTCGGTGAATTACCTATCGTATCAGAAAACAGGACTATAACGGGCAAAATTGCTTTTACCGGTCAGGAATCTTGGATATTTTCCGAATCAATCCGACAAAATGTACTCTTTGGGAATAAAATGAATAAAAATAAATATAGAAAAGTTATAGATTCTTGCTGTTTAACTAAGGACATTGAAGACTTTACAATGGGTGATGAAACAAAAGTCGGAGAGAGGGGCGTTAAACTAAGTGGAGGTCAAAAGGCCAGGCTTTCTCTGGCTAGGGCATTGTATGAAGATGCCGACATCTACTTATTAGACGACCCCCTATCAGCTGTAGACGTAAAAGTTGGAGAGAAACTTTTTAGAGGGTTCAATATTATTTTATTTTGATCTGATTCTTATTAAAACTTAGCCAAAAATAAAATAATACTGAATTCGTCCCCAGCTGTTTTAAAGAATTGCTAAAACATAAGACAATTTTACTTGTAACCCACCAATTGCAGTACCTACAGCAATGCGACAAGATAATCGTAATGGACAAAGTGAGTCATCATTAATATCGATCTACTTTGGCCGTTATAATTTGTATCCTTCAGGGTTCAATTCAATTTCGGGGAAGTTATGAAGAAGTCCTCCAATCAGGAATAGATCTGATTCGAGTACTATCTGAAAAGAGTATGCCAATATCTCAAGATCAGCCTGGAATAGAGATAAAAAAAGACGAAAAAGTTTCATTGAAGGGAACAAGGTTAACCGATAAAAATAAACAAAGTAAAAAGAGTATTAGGAATGAACGAGAAATAGATCAGGGACAAGAAGACCTACCCATCGGCAGAGTGGGATTAGACGTCTATTGGAGTTATTTTCGTTTGGGAGCATCTCGAAAAATCCTGTTATTTATTCTAATCGTCAATTTAATTTGGCAAGTTATATCTAATAGAATCGACTTTACAATTGCCGAATGGTTAAGTGATTTTTTTCTCTTAAATAGAAAAGATGAGGAAAGGGGTGAAATAGGCGGCAAATCGAAGCATGGAGAGAATATCCCACTCTTTTTTTCTCTCTCGCTCTCTCTCTCTCTCTCTGCCTATTCCTCTTACTCCTCCTCTTTTCTTGTTTTTTTTTCCTATCTCTTTTCCCATCTAATATAGGCCTAATCATAAATAAAAACAGGTCGGAAACTGATTCCATGAATAAGACGGAATCGATTGTCAAAGGCCGGAATGATTATCCCTTCGTCTACGTTTCGTTAATTCTAACCGCATTCGGAATAGGATTATTTCGTTCCCTTCTACATTTTACCGTGGCCCTTCGAATATCATCAAATTTGTATTCAAAAATGTGCGAAAGTGTAATTGGGTCGCCAATTCGATTTTTTGATTCGAATTCGATTGGTCAGATCCTTAGCCGATTCACCACAGGCATTTCAACAGCGGATAATAATTTAACTTTTGCTTTCTACAATATGACATTGGTATGTATCAAAAGCTAGACTACGAAACTTAAGAGGGCGTTGCTAATTTAACAATAACACAGACTTCTCTGAAACTTTTTTAATGTAACTTTGTTCTGTTTCTTTTTTTAAAGGTTCTTTTATCACTTGGTGGAACTTTTACATCTGCAATTATCGTTAGCCCATTATCATTAATTGCAATTATTCCTTTTACCATTTCATTATTCTACTATCGAAATTATATTAACAATGTTAAAATTGAAGTTTGTCGACGGACTGGCGTAGGTAACATCCTTTATTTATTGCCATCTTTATAATAGGCTTAAAAATGTATGATCTATTATATTTATATAGTCTAAATCCGATGTTTTGTACGTGATCTCTTGTTCCCTTACAGCCTACAACCCTTTTCTTGGCCACATTAATTCTGTTCTCTCAGGATTAGAGACGATTCGAGCTTTTCATCGAGAAAATGCCGTTCGAAGAGAATTTTGCTTATTTTGCAATAATTATATTGGGAACCTATTTACTAGATTTGTCCTATTTAATTGGTTCAGTGCAAGAACTCATGTAGCAAGTTCGCTATTCGCTTGCTTCTGTATCCTAACGAGTGCCTCGTTATCGGCTTGTAAGCGTGGAAAAATTGTTCGCCTTTTCCATTTTAAAAACCTTCTCGCTTTTTTTTATCATAATAGATTTCAAGGCTCATCAAATAGGTTTAATTATTATCTATTCTCTGCCACTTATGGATAGCATTCACAACTTTTTCTCCATACTATCACAAGTCGAACTTCGGGTAAGTGCTAATTTTCTTTAAAAGGGGGATAAAAAGGGTTGTTTGGGGTACAATTTTCGGTAAAGAGACCTATAAAAGTTGAATAGAATAATGAGAGTTATGGGAAAAGTTTCTCCTTCGATTTTAGATGGTAAAGGTCGAGCAGGCTTTACAATATACGAGGCTATCCAGCGAAGGCCGGAAGACAACGCCCAAAGAGAGTATGCCGAAAGGGGAATGGCCCAAAAGGGGAAATATACAGTTCGATAATGTGTCATACTCCTACGATCCAAATGGTGAAGAAATTTTGAAGGATATATCATTTAATATTAACGGGGGAGAAAAAATAGGCATAATTGGGAGAACTGGATCAGGGAAGAGTTCACTGATCGAAGCTCTATTCAGAATGTCCAAATTTTCACGTGGTGTTATAAGCATAGATGGCGTCAATTTACAATCTCTCGGTTTGGACGATAGTAGAAACTGCCTATCCGTTATACCGCAGAATCCGACACTGTTTAATGGCACCATAAGGTACAATCTTGATCCATTTGACGAGAAAAGAAACGACCAACTTTGGCAGGCTCTAAAAGATGTCCATATGAGCGAAACAATTAGTAAGATTGGAGGGTTAAATTACGAAATAAACGAATTCGGTTCTAATTTGAGCGTCGGTCAAAAGCAATTAATATGCTTGGCTAGAGCTATTTTAAAGGATTCTAAAATCTTAATATTAGATGAAGCAACTTCGAATGTAGACCAACAAACCGATGCTATCATTCAAAAAACCATTAAGAAGTCATTCGCTAGGAAAACAGTCATCATAATTGCTCATCGATTAAATACCTTAGCGGAAGTTGATAAGATTATGGTCTTATCGGATGGCAAAATCAAGGAATTTGAAAAACCTGAGACGCTCCTAAAAAACAATTATTCATTGTTTTATCAACTCGTCAAAATCGAAAAATCGTTTTAACGAGACATTAATTTATTATCTCGTTATCTTGTCTCTAAACTTTGATTATGTCAATTCAACTTCCTTAACGGAATAAATATTAAACAATAAATAGCAAATAAACTTAAAAAGAGACGCCGATCAGTAAGTAAAATAGTAGGAAAACTAAATAAAGTCTAGCAAGCGTTGAACATCTGGCGTTAGCAAGAACTAATATCGGCGCCAGCCAATTCGCTAAATTATTAATTAACTTTTATTAAAGTGAAAATTCCTTTTGCATTATAAAAAAGAGAAAAACCCCTACGTTTAAATTTACAGATTAAGAATAAGAGAGCCATCACTCTAGCCATCACTCTAAAGGTTAAACGGTTTGAGAGGGGGAAAAAGAAGAGAAAAAGCGGAAAAAACTTCGACCGTTGTCCAAAATAAATAAATATATATAAGGTACAAAAATCGATTTGAATCGATAAGAACCTTAAATGCGTTCGTATTTTCCATCGACAAACTGGCAAACTATTACAGTTAGAAGAACAAATTTATCAAGGCAATTTCTATTCGATAATAATAGCGTGTGGTTTAGCCACATTTAGAATCGGATGTGGTTAGATCGATGCATGTTCTATTATCTAAAAAAAGAATATATAACACCTAGATACTCAACTACCTATCTCTCTGTCCAATCACTTGTCTTTTTCTATTACATTCTTATAGTTTAAAATTCCCCTAACACGCTGAGAAAAATAAGGGATATATGTATTTATACCCGACCCCCCATGGAAGAGATAGCGGTTAATTGTAAAATCTCTTGGCTTAGTGACTTTCCTCAAGAGGGGGACCAGAAACGAAAATTATTCAACATTCATTCTAATTTACACACCTTCTTTGTCCTTTCAGCCCATTTCGATAAATAAGTAAAAACTAGAATTAATTAATGGAAAATTTATTTTTTATCAGGCTAAAAAGGGGTATTTGAAAAAAATTTAATCCATCACTGGAAGAGTTACAAGAGTAAATATACCATATTGATAAATTGATTCATTGTAACGGCCCTTTGAAATGGATAAGAGACGAGTGTTAAATTCTTAAAATAATCATCAGTGTCGTCAAGTAGTGTCGTAATAGAAAAGATGTAGAGAGAGAGAGAGAGAGAGAGAGAGAGAGAGAGAGAGAGGAAGAGAGACAGAATTTAAGAATGGTTTGAGGCAGGAGGAGGGGAGAGCAGGGGGAGGGTTTTAAAAGTGATTGTTAGCTTATAGATAAAGGTTGATGAAAAGGTAGATAGGTATGTAAAAAGGTGAGGAAGAATAAAAAAAATGTATAGGCGATTCATAAGAAAACATTGACATTAGTGATTTCCTTTTGAATTTTGTACATTACATTCTTCGGTTGAATGAAGTTCGCACGGTTGTACAAACAATAAAACTTTGAAGAAAACACAACAATGGTGCCCCTTCTAGTTTAAACATATAACACAGTTTATGGACAAGAAAAAGTCTAGCCTCTCTATATTTTATATACTTGTACTTGTAAAATAAAAATCACCATTTCTATAATATCATTTATATAGACTATAGAATAGAAAATATCCAGCGTTTTTCTCAATTTAAACGCCTCCAGGTAGCCTCTATAGCACAATAATCTAATTAAATAATGACTTATTACTACGCTTTCGGTTATTTATATGTTAATTTCTATTAAAATCACTATTCCTCTACTGTATTCACAACGAGAATAATTTGAAATCCTCCTACCTACTAAAATTTTCACTCCCACCCACTGATTTAATACATTCTATACTAATAAAGTAATGTAAAAAATATACTCCAAAAGTTTCTTCTATTTTAACTTATGCATATATTTGCATATAAATTAATTATTTAAGTTTTGTTCCTCTGCAAATTATTTAAAATGAGGAAAAATAAACGAATAAAAAATTAATAATAAAAAAAGGGAAAAAATGATTAGCTATGTTTTATTTATTTATGGTTTATACAATTTTACGCGCACCATGATATAATTAAACAAAGAAAATAGGAATGTGCTCTGAATGGAAGAGGCTACGTTTGGCTTAATTGGGTTTCAACCCTTCGTTGGAAAATTACTAGGCGAAAATATACGACAGTGTACTAATCTTCTCTTTTTTCTTTCTTTATCCCCTGTCTGTCCTCCTCCACCTCCACCTTCTCCTCCCCCTCCCCTTTTTATAAGGGTAAAAAGAGAGATAATAATAACGGTTTTATGCTTATTAATTCAAAAAGAACCTATCTCGGGATAAAAAAAAAGCAATACTCTTTTTACAGTGCAACATTCGTTCGAAGCGAAATTAGGTTTTATAATTTTTGTACTTTTTTCGTGTGTTGATTTACTAAAATGTTACAAAAATACAAGTTTATTACTGATGTTGAAGAGTTTTTTTATTTATATTTATAACCGATAGATGGCTCTACAGTACAATCTGTAGTCAAATTTTTACATTAAAATAACAAGAGAAGCAGAAAAGCGAGAGGTTATTCCGATAAAAATGAATTGAAGAGAATTTTTTCGGAAGCAGACAATTAGATAAAAATTAATAAATATATATAAAGCTAATTAGCATAAAGTTTAAATAGGCTTAAATAAAATTTTGTAAAATAACTTTAGGCTTTCCTTCGCCCTTCATAAATTTGTTCTTTATCCTTTTCAAGGTACCAGAGTTCGTTCTCGTATGATGACCAGCTCCGATTGTTGAAGTACTTGCTACAGAGTTCAAAGATGTATTATGGGCGTTGGCTTCGTTCACCTTCCTTTTCTTCAAGGGCGGTTGGAGAAACTGTATATACAAAAATGCGCTTTTGAATTTCTTGTTCCGTGTTTAAGGGGTTGAATATTTTTACTGACCTTTCTCTTCTTGGGCGGCTGGTTCAAGAACTGGTTAATAACCCGGAATTGACTCTCTTGCCAGTGCCTTTCAACTTCAAGAATTAGGTGCTTGTGGGAATGCCTATTTAGGTGAAGAGAAAAAAGGAGGAAGGGATTAAAAATCTAATCCGATAAATTCATGCTAATTTACAAACCTGACAAGTTTGGCAACTGTTTGAGTAGACATTTCAGTGACATTAATTCCATTGACATGAGTAATATAATCACCATGCCGTAAACCAGCTAATTCGGCAGTAGAATTTGACTCAATTTCATACACTTGAACAGGACTAGATCCGGTAACGGTAAAACCAAAGCCACTAGCGCCGCGTTTTATTGTTATATTATGCGTGTCCATCCATAAAATATCACGGGAACGTTTATTCTCTTTATCTTCCATTTCAACTGGCGTTTCTGGGGCAGATGCCTTTAAGTGTTTCCGCTTACCAACATCTTCAGCTAATAAATGATACCAATTTTGTATATTTTGATTCTTCTTGACAATATGCTCTAGACCGAAACTCATGCATCCCAAAAATTCACTTTTCCCTTCTCCGTAATCTCTTGACCAGACAGATATAAGTAATCGTTTTTTTAAATCTTCGGGTAACAGCTCAAATGAGAATTTCTCATCAAAAACAGGATTGTTCGAATCGAGTATAACGTCGGTCCTGCATCTGGTTCTTTTTACTTCATCCGGATGTAGGGAAAGTTTAACGTAGGTATTACAATTCCAACAGTGTTCACTTCTCAACTGTTTCGCCTCGATAACTAAACAAATGAATAAAAAGAGGAATTTTTATTAAGGTGTGGAAGAGCTTGAAAAAATGCAGGTTAGAAAAATATTTCAAACGTTCAATGTCGTGTGAAATAGAGGAAGATATAAACGCTTATTCGCAGTCGGATACTAAAGTCCCAGGGGATATAAAAACAACGCCTTTTCAAAAACCGATCCCCCTTTAGAAAGGTCCGCTGAGAATCTTAAGCTTAATAGATTCTAGCATAAAGCATACGCTTTTTCCCTCTCTTCCACATAAGAAAGGGTTAACCTAAACAAGCGTCTATTGACTCATACTTTCCCCAAGCCTCGCCGCCAAAAACTCCCGAAATACTTTCTAGAGTGTTCTACAAAGAATGGAAAGACCCCCCCGTTGAGTCGCAACTTTCAGATTAAATGTAGTTAATGCCTCTAATTACAAGCTTTTTTCGCGAGACGGATACGGTTTGTTGATGCATGCGACCGCCGCATGCGATCTTATTTCGTTCGTTTATGTAAAAATCGTATACTAACCGTGAACTGTCAGCATACCGCTGTTCACGTAGATGGATAGCTGAAGCTTGCCTGTTAAAAGGGAAAAAAAAGAATGCGTTAAAAGAAAGTGTCGGTAAATTACACAGTACACCTCACAGTGCCTTCAACCCCGAAGTTCATAAAAACTTTCAAATTTGAGCTTTTTTATCAAGTGGAGTGTCTTTTTTATGCGTATATCATTCCTCATAAGTTCTTAAGATGTTTGGTTTTCTCTTTTCATTATCAAAGAATACGTGGGGGGAAGGTGAAAAATATGAAAGGGGGAATATTGTACCTTATAACAGTCTCTTAATTATACGCTTTCAATAGACATACATCTGCTCGATTGAGTGTATAAACGAGTAAAAATATCTGTTTTTATAGGTACGATAATAGGGCTCGACTTGCACCTGTTCCATAATCTTACAGTTCAATACTCGCCGTTTTGTCGAGAGGACTTTTGTGTTGGGTGACAAATGTTAAATGGAAACATAAGGCTAAACAGTATGGTCGATTGACAGGAAAATTTTAAATGATTTGATAGATCATTTCCTGACTCTCTCCTTCTCCCTCTCTCTGTCTCTCTCAGTCCAACTCGTTCAATCTCTCTTTCTCAAATTAGACACATCAGATTATAAATCACAGTAAACGAGATATTTAAGCGTCTCATTTTCTTCCAATCGGCACATGAACACTTTAAAATACTCGATGTACACCTCATTTCCACCAAAGAGCCGTCGGCAATGGTCATATTTGGAGGAGTGAACAAAGGGCGAAAGTTGCTTATTTATGCATTCGAATTGCCTATTAGGTGTTGTATGGCGTTCCAAACTGGTGCAATACCTACAGATTACATTCTTTCTCGTCTCCTTAGGTTCCATTCTTTAGGGCAATTCTCTTTATGCTAATATTGTACCCCTTATCGAGAGCGAGCAAATCGTATACAACTTTCTATAGGCCATTTTGGAATCTACATATAAGAGTTAATTTTCGCTGCGGCTGGTACGAATAGTGGACATGACCTACGACCTTGTCACGCCATGTTCGCATTATCACCGACTAAATTTAATGGGGGTCCTAATAAAGAGATAAAAAGTTAAAAGGAAATACTTTGAAAGCAAAGTAATGGGAAACAGGAAAAAAAGCGGAAGCCGGAAGCGAACGAACACTTCGCCAAGTAGGAATAGGAGAAAGGAGGAGAAAGATAAGCATCTTGCAATTGCTGTGGGACGTACCCCATCGAGTTTCAGTCGGTATTTGGGGCCTACCGCTGAGAAATTCGAAAGACTCAAATTGAAATTAGGTCCTTAGCTCAAACATAACAATTCGTAAATAGGGCTCGGTGATTGTACAATAGTCTGGTAACGACCATTACGTTAATTAAACAAGGGACCACCCGCATTCCAGATCCTCCTACTAAGCAATCAGAAAGGGCGACATTTTTATCGTTAAATAAAACCAGCGTAAAAATAACTTAATGTACTTTTATTTTCATGCTTAACAAAAGTCTACGCCGTGCTTTATGACGCGAGCCAAGATTCAAACGACATCATTTATCAGATGAATACAATTGATACGATTTAAAAGACTGTCGCTAATATTCCAATTCTTTCAATCGCTCCTTCCTTTTAACTTTCTTAAACGTTTCAATTTGAGATTTAAATCAAGACGTAAATTAGCACTTGGGAAAATATAGGCCAAAATACTTAAAAATATCGGTTAAGTATTCTAAAATTTACAACGTGCCAAGCCGGACCTCAAGCGTTTCCATAAGCACTTTTTGACGACCAATAATTTTTCGCATTAAAATATCATCGGTCAAAGACCGATTCCCAAACGTTCGCAAAATGTCCGTTTGATTAGAGCGTTTAAGCTCAACGATTCGATTGGGAAATTTATGGAATAAAGGTAGTTATTGAGGAGACTTACTTGGGTGGCCTACTGTGGTACGGGCCTTTTGTACCGCCTCGGGCGGGCATAGGGGTGAAGAAGACATCAAACGCTTTTAGCCGACAGTCCCAAAATGAAACAATCTACTTTGGAAGGTGTTCTAAATACCGTAAATAGTAGGTCTTTTACAAAGTCGAATTACTTAGATTGAGATATCAACCGTTTTTGATTTATATACTGCATCTGGCAAATGTCACCTTTTCCACCCTCCTCACTGACCCTTTCATCTTTACTACTACCCAATCTCGACCATACGTTAAACCGTTCAAAAGCCGAACGTGATGGGGTTGAAAGGACGCGCGGAATGCACTTATAGGTTTATAATTGGATTAAAAAGAAGGAATAATACCTTTGCCTTGTAAAATAGAATGATCTTTTGTCTTCGAATAAAACGTTGTTTGACTTCCATGCTTTTCTAACCGTTTCTCCTCCATGATCACCTGTGGTTCCAATGCCAACTTATTCAAATCTTTCGACAACGGTACAGCCATCTTGACCAATGACGTAATCTTATTGCGTAATAGCCCGGTGTGAAGTAGAAACCCTGTAGAGATGGTGAAAAACGTTTCTTAAAAGGTGTACCTTAGCGAAAGTTTTATAGCGTTTCTAAAAGGAAATTCAAGAGTAGTTCCCGTATTTATGAGAAACGCTCTACACAAGGCCTACTGCACACAACAGGATCGAATTCGATTAAAAAGAAAACATAGAAGATTGTATAGTAAATAACTAGAACATCCTTGTAATCAGGTCGAGAAACATATCAAAGAGAGGACAATTGCAAATTCCAATATGAACCGACGGCAAATATTTGCAGTTTTATCTTATTAAAATAGCGCCTTTGTTGACCTGTGTAGGCCTAATATACTATTTTACGATGCATATACCAGCTAACAACAAGCGAGTGGACATGATAAGGGAGATAGAAGTATATTTTTTAAGTAGACCGAGTCTATTTATGAATATACATGTCATTTACCTTTAAGTAAATAAAATCTGCTTACAAAGTCGAATATTAAGAAAAGAGGCGTATAACCTTAGTATTCAATGACAACAAGCTCGAGGGTTATTTCGAATGTAATAAGCCTATGTCGCGAAAATATGCAAATTTTGCTCCGAGTATAACAATTATATTGTTACGATTCCTTATATACATGCGGCTTGCAAGGTAATTAAACCAAAAATAACAATTATGTAATATTAAATAAATATTTATCGCAAAGATAAGCAAGAACTACTGATTAATTAAAAAAAAACTTTAAACCGTCTCACTCCTCGCGAATGCGGTGTCTATGAGCTAAATGGTTTTGTAAATATTGGCTCAGCGTAAAACAATACCTCAAAGCGACGCATTAGACGTCTAGGCGCCCTAAAAATTAGCCGAATCTAATGACGTAACTAGAAAAAGTTGTAACAAACAATTTTACACCTACCGAGATGAAGATAAGGTAAAGTGGGCGGCGGAGAGAAAATAGTCGACAATTCGGTTCTTATTAAGATACTTCAAGAAGCCCGCATTGGCCGTTAAAGACTACATGAGATCAAAAGCTACTGATCGAACTGTTAAAATACGCCTGTCAAACGAACAAAACGAACCAACCAGGACGAGACTACAAAATGATAGCGAAGAAGATTTAAGCTTAGCAGGGGTTAGCGCCAACGTTCCATTATCATCTCCTATTCTAATTCACTAATGACACTAAACTTCTGGGGGTCTACACAGGCGGATGGTCAGGCACAAGGCCTAGACGACATTTTTCATAAAAGAGAATAGATGACTATGACAATAAAATAGCTCTTCCTATTAAAAAACGTTATATCACCTGAGAGTGAAGAGTTGAGATTTGGTTCGTCTGTTTTGTGTTTAAAGTGAAGAATGGCCGAGACTGAAGGTATACTTTCGTATTATAATAAACGTCCTTGCGCCGATCCTCTGTCCGGTTGTAATGAAACCACAGAACGATTTATACCGCCGCCTATCGGTACGGTTACTAACTATTTGCTAGCCAATAAGAGCGCTTGTTTATTCGAGCATAAAGCCGGAGGATCAAAGGCGATGGTATTTTCGGCGGTTCGCCATTAAAATAGTTGCGTTAATTAGCGTCTTGTACTTTGTAAAAATGAACTAATTTGTAAATTTAAACGACGTCGCGTTAAGGCAAAGTTATTTCAGGGAGTTTAAGAATTTTTTGAATGCCTAGGCCAAAAATTAGACTATTCAAAGCGCGTATCGAATTTATAATCAGACATTAAAATCTCTAAATTACAGGCCAGAGCGCGGAAGATATCTCAACATTCTGTAACTTTGCATCTATACCTGTCTACGCATTTAATGAAAATAATTTAGACGTAGGTAATAATGGGGTTTGGGGGGGTGGAAGAATCGAAATTAAAGTTTAGTCTTCAATCACGCGTAATAAAATATTCCATTATGCAGATTAAATGTCCAGGCCACTCGAAAAAACAGTAGTAAACTGTCCAAATTACCGCCTACTCCGGGCATATGTCGCTAAGCAACAATTCGATCCGTAATCGAATCCCATAACGCATAACCTTCGGCCCAGGTCCGACCTCACCTACGGTAGGGTCTGGGAACATGTGATGCGAAATTGGGTGAAGGTCAAGTCCCGAGGTTGCATTATTCCAACTGACACGTCCGAGAACACGCAGTTTCTTTCACTTTCGAAGCAGAAAAAACTTTTTAAAAGGTACCCATTTATAATCCGGAAGTATGGCTCTGTTGGTGTTCTTATCTAAAAGATATATATCGCCCAAAGAAGGCACTCTCAAGCTTTCTCTCTTCCCGTCCTTCTAGTCTTACCAACAAGGTCGGGTTCGTCTCGATTACGTCAAATTTTATGTTCAAACGAAACCTAATCTAGCCTTCCCTAAACCCTGCTCGATATGATCGACAGCGCAAAAGTTTGATGAGCATGAAAAAATTGCCTCAGGATTCTTTACATATTGATAGAAAAGATTTTAAACCGTTCGAAAACTCGGCAGCCCTTGGAGTGTAACAATACTTCAAAGAAACATTTTCCTCCCAAAACCGCTTATAGAACTTTCGAAAATTATTCGCGCGTTGCTCCTAGGCTATTAGGTAATTTTATAGACAATTTCACCCCCAATTTCAATGTAATAGTATCGTTTAATTGGCGCGTTCAAATTGCTTTACGAAAATTTTCTCTATTCGGTTGGCGAAAGTTTTCCTCTTTCTCTGGATAGGAAACTTTCTAACGTCAATTCGGTTCGTTTAATTAAACTATAGTCCAATTACAATTTCCAACACTCTCTTTACTATTCATTCGAGTGGGTTAGCGTCTCTTAACGACGTCTATCGAACACCTCAAGATTATTTTAAAAATACAACAGGTGAATTCCCCTCCAAAGCATGCAAGTTGCATAATACCCCATGTTTAATCAGGTCATTAAAATTATTCAATTCCTTCTTCTTATATAACGTATACAATCTGCAAATAACACCTGGCCTAAACGTCTTTTGTCCAATCTCCTTATCTAATCAAGACAGGCGGTTTAAATAGTCTAATTTTGATAAAATGCGATTTTAATAGTGCATAGCCTTAAGGGCTATGTACATTAATTAAAACTGAGCACTAAAGTGTTTTTTCTATATTCAAATCTGTTAATCCCATCTTCATACAATCTTTTTAATTAATCTAACCAATTTGTAAAACGAAGACAGATTTTATGGGCAAAAAAACAATAAGGAAAAACTTTCGTCTTAGAAAAACAACATAAAAGTAATCTGATATGGGCACTCGATACCTTCAAAGCAACGAAAGTAAGATGAGAATTGAGTTTCATAAAAACAAAGAACGTGCCAAAATCTACTCTTTCAAAAATTGAATTTTCTTGAATGAGATGAGTCTAACGAAACTGACGTGCTGACAGTAAATACTTGGCTGCAGATAAGGAGCAGTCATCGACTTTTAAAAGCTCGGAATTAGTGACACGACCCGTCAAAAAGAATGACTTGTTCTGTCCATTCGAGTAGAAATCGGACGCACCCCAGTCGCGTGTCAAAGCATCATCATTCAATCGTTTTCGATGATATTTTTCATCATCATCCAAATAGACATATTCTCAACGCCTTAACGGTGGTCATATATAAATTGGCACTACCAAGCAGGTTATCAACCCCTCCAATAATACCATTCTACACCACTTTCATATATCATCATTATTAAGGCGTAGAATACTGGTCTCGTCACGAATATCCGTTGACAAGACAGTTGACTTCCTCCATGTGCGTCAACTAATTTCAACCAAAGACACGTTAGATTCAATTAAAAAGCCAATCGGACGCAGGTGTTGGATTAATACCGAAAGTGCATGATTTTTTAGACTCGACCCTTACTAAGAACGACAATACATTCTTTTAAAATACGACTTAACAACTAAGAACTTTTTATGCCCAATGAAATACGATTCTTATTCTGCTAAACAGCTTGACTTTCCATAGTAAACAATAAATAACGCAGTAGGTGTAACATACTACGGACGATAGAGTGACAAAAACTCGTTGGTTGATAAGACATTATTTATCAGAATTCAAGTACTTACTATTCAAAATCTTGTGAAGATATGCCGCTGTTGAATATAAAATTCAAACCACAATCTAAACAAAGGTCTTTGTTAAGTCGGTGAACAAAGGGCGTCGCTTGAATCACTTCTATGAAAACGTTCCAGGAACAACGCATACGGCGTTTCATACAAAGAATGACAAAGTAAAAAAAAGACCAGAAATGTTGATTTTTCTGACGGTATAGACGTCTATCTAACAACTCGGGTTTTAAAAATGTCGGTTACAAACCTTTCATTATCAGGAACCATTTTGGAAAGGGATTTTTCCCAAGCATCTGCCTCTCTAAGAGATGTGGTACCCTGGTCCGGTATGACGTTAAACAGAGTAATGTTGGCACCAGATGATGTCCATACAGTTTTGGCGCGAAAGAAGTTTCACACACTATGGGAAAGTCTTAAAGCTTTTAATTAGGCGGAAAACAGCAGGATCCCTAAGCCATCCTAAATTAAAGTAGATTATGTATTAGCCAACCGGCTAATCTTAGTACGTGTTTCCAAACTTTCTCAACAAAAGCCTTATTTTATCTTCATATGGTCAAATAAACAACTTTTATCAGATAGGGGATTCCTTATCAAAGACGGCCGTTAGCCGTTTGCACAGCTGTTTGTCAAGTTTAAATTTGACGCACGACCCAGTTTGCTCACCCCAGGGGCGTTTGGCACGTAAATGTATACCCGAAAACGCTATACGCATGGTTCACTTCCGTTTAACCTTGTTATAATATACAGTGGTCTACCTAATGGTAAATGTATTTAAAATAGGCCACATTTAAAAACGATAAAAATCTCTGCTTGGAGCAATAACGTTCTTCATAATTGGCCAGCCATCGCTAGAAAATATAAAGTAAACATCTATAGATATATATTTACAGCGGGGGGTCTAGTGTCAAATTATTCCACAAATAATCAAAAATTCATGTTTTTAATGGAGATTTCAACGCGGCGTTTGTCGTGCGTATGAAATTCGTTTATCGAAGCGTTCTTAAGTAATTACCACCTTTTCTTCAATGAACCAGATAAAACCCGTTCGTTTCATAGCATACGAATATGTTTGCAGAAAGACACAGAAAATAGCACTAGAAACTGCGCGTGTCATTTCATTCAAGTGGCTATCTCATTTCCGTTTCCTGTTTACATATACATGATGTAAGACTATCAGAACAAACAAAAGTTGTTTCTCAACATATGCCGACTCTTATTTATTAGAGCAAAGAAGCACCATTTTTTTTCAACATACAAATATTTTTGGAAAAACTGTTACGACTATATAAATACGCATATATTGATATATACTGTATAAATTTACAAGGCTATATAAATTTGAAGAAATTTTTTAAATAAAAATTGAAATTTAACGATGACTTTTTTTCTTTCTTGCTAAGGATGAAAAACCACATGTAGGCTTCTTGGGCGTTTTGACGGCTGATGCATCGTCTCTAAAATTTCTCATGGCTTGAATGCGTGCGTCTCTCTTTCGTTGAACGTCTAAGAACGAATCGTCTTTGGCACCTTTCCAATATGGAATATCGTATAAATTATCTTCAGGAAACTCGTCTAGGCATTCGAAAGATGAAGGCCGATGATAAGCGGCGTTTGTTCGTCTGTTCCATGTGGCGTAGTGGTGATAGTTTTCTTTTGCTTCGGTATATGGCGGGGGATGGTCGATATAAAAGTCGTCTTTAGCCTCTAGCACCGTCGAACTCAGTCCGTGCGCATTATTATCTTGAGGCGGTGGTCTTTGCACTTCGAGGTGAATGTAACCCTTGTTCGCTCTTTTGTATAAAAAAGAAGGGGCGGGATTAAAATTGTGCCTAAATGGAGTGGCTTTCATATTTTCTTACCGTATGATTTTCGCAATGCTCTGAGCGGACGACCTCGAGACGTTCACGCTGTTCACTCGTACAATCAAATCTTCATCTTGTAAACCAGCCAGATGTGCCGGAGAACCTGTGAATGCCAAAAGTTTTATAACGTTACATAACAGAGCGTCGAAAACGGTTTAGCTAGTAGAAAAACCCTCACCTTTCTCTATTTTGCTAATGTATACTGGACAATAGCCCGCGACAGAGAAACCGTAGCCTTTTCCACCGTGTTTAATTGTGAACTGATAAAACGGAAAAAAGTAAATAAAAGCAGATGTAAAAAAAAGTAAAATGAAAACGTACTGTGTGCGTTTCGGCGAATTGCAATCCCTGATTAATTTTTGGCAGGACGGGAGGAGGTCTTTTATTCATTTTGGCTTGCAAATGCTTCCTCTTTCCTACTTGTTCGGATAACAAGTGGTACCAGCCGGATGTGGCAGCCTTTGTAGAAGTTAATCGTTCCATGCCGAAAGACATGCATCCTAACAATTCGGGGATGCATCCCATTTCATCTTTGTTCCAAACGGCTATAAATAAACGTTTTCGAACGTCTTCTTCGTACAGATCGCTGTAAGGGAAAAAAGCGTTTTAGAAAGCGAGTTACGTAATTGGCTCAAAAAATGCTCGAGCTACATCTGCTAGCCAGATGGTATATTGACACTAGCCAGGTGTCACATACTATTATGCAAGGTGGTGAGATAAGGTAGGGGACATACAGGACCAATCACCTTTTCGTAGGCCAATGGGAATTATGTTTTTTTTTTACGGATGGTAAAGAAAACTAACGGGGCGTTTGATGTTCGGTATGCGAAAATACTGACCACCGTGCAGCTGTTATTGAATTCCGATATACATGGCTTTCAAAATCGGTGCATTTACTACCACTAGCCCAGTATTAAGTTACAAGGGGCGAAAGCATTTCCGAATGTAAAGTCATTAAAAGATAAGCTTCTATACTTACAATGAAAATTTTTCGTCCCAAGTCGGATTGTTAGAATTGTAAATAACCTCTGTTCGACATCTTGTTTGCTTATCTTGGTCTGGGGCTAAGCAAAGCTGTAAGAAAAATGTTTTGATTGAAATTAGTTTATTTTTAAAACGGCATAAAGAAAAATGTTATTTCGAAAATTTACCTTGACATAAGATGAGCATCTTGTTCTTGTGTCGTTACGAGAGTGTAGGTCGAGAGCACTGATAACTAGTTTTAAAAAAAATAATTAATTAACTAATTAATTATTGACTTTTTAGCTTTAAAATACTTACTGTGTATAGTTAAACGCCCATGTTGTACTTGGATATTCAGTTGCAATTGCCCTGAAAAAGTATAGAAACATTACCTGGAAGCCCATTGTAAGAAATAGGGTCGACATCTGTTGGTTGCCGTGGAAACCAACGACCGTTTATATTCAAAAAACATTCGCGTCGTCGGAAAGTCGCGCATGAACGCGTTTAGGGAATTGTGAATGGGGTTTGGGATAAGGGTTTTTTGTTGGGTCACTAATTAAGTATCTGGTAGACAATAGATGCATAATTAAAATTGTTAGTTAGGAAGGCGCGTCATGTAATTGCTAGAATCTCATGTCTTTAATTAAGTCCAAACCGATCTTCGGCTTGAGCGATTCAAAGATTTCAAGTCTGAAAAGATTGACGTAACAAGCCAGGTGGCGATTTCAACGCACGCTCTGTATGCCGTACGTGCGTACCACACACATATGTATATACACATCGAAATCGTGTCCTACGGGCTAAATATTTTCTTTCGTCTTGATCATATTCCTACTAAAAATATTGATGGCAGAAAAGGGTCAGGGAAAGCTTAGGGAAAGGTCGTTCTCGTCAACGAAACACTTATAGGGGAAAGTCTCACTTTCCAAAACCATATATACGTACCGCGGTAATTTTTCACGAAAGACGTTGTTTCGTCTTGAATTTTTCCGTAGTTGTCACTTTCCGAATAAAAATCGGATTCAGTTGTGTAGTTTGTTGCCATTTCGATAACGTAGCTAATTCAGGTACAAATAGAGTAAGGAGATGCAGTGAGTCGAGCTTCTTCGGCGGCTTAGAGTTATTTGAAACTTAAAACATCTTCCCTAAACGCTTTCCGAAGGGAGAATGAATAGTCATAGACGGGCTACGATTTGTACGCGTCACTTTCGAAAGTAATAGACTGGCTCGGACGGGTACCTGTCTTTTTCTTTTGTTTAGCGCAAAATACGAACAAGAACTATTGTTTGCTTGGAACAAAGACGCTTGGTTTGATGTAGGTTTTACATTAGGCGTTCAATTTCTGTCTAATCAGTTTGGCGACTTGACTTACGAATGACATTTTATGAGTAGAATTAAATTTTTTTGTTTAAAGTTTAATGGACTGAATCGACGTTTGGGGAGGTCCGTAGGAAAAAAGCTTATCTTTTCGGCAGATAGTAATCGAAAGGTGTGATAATTCTAAAACAATCAGTGTGGGAGATCTAGTACACGGCATTCTTTTTACATAAGACTTTTAACGCATTTTTCCCACATTTTTTTTTTTTATAAGTCACCAATAAAATTATTATGGTACGCGGATATTTTGTATAATTTGATTTTAACGGATTTATAGGTCTATTGTATGTAGGCTAGGCCCTTGGAAATTTCGAGTTGAAGAGTAGAGTGATTTTCTTACAAAGAGATCTTTCACACAAAAGATCTCAAATATAATATTCTGGAGCTCTATTACTTCGACAAGTCGAGTACTTTGTACTTTCCCACAGGACCAGACGCATCTCGAAAAACTTTTTTTTTAGTGAAGTAACGCCATCATGCGGAGTTTAGTTAAAGTAAAAAGTTTGAACACCACCAGATGTCTCACCCGAAAAAAATTTGGCTAGTCTGATAAGACCGCCATCTAGTGTATTTGAACATAACTAACCTTGTCTCCTGAAAGTTCCAGTTGAAACTTTTCTTTCCGTTCTTGAAATAGGGGATAAGGATAAATTTCTTAACGGACTTATTAATCTTCTCTTGGCCATTTCGTCCTCTAAATTTTCTCCGCTGACATTTTCCTTCTTTCTTTTTCGCTTTGGCACTAATGAATCTTGGCTGTGAGATAATTGATTGCTGCACAACATCTCGAATCTGTAAAATGAAAATATATGTTTTTAAAAGAATAAACATCTGGTCATAGGTGTTAAATTTCAGCGCGCTATCCTATTAAATCCCCAGTCTGTAAACTACTCGAGACATTCGTAATCCGTCACGTGTCACTAGTAAGGCGATCGACCCGTTTCAAAATCAACTCAGCAAGACACTCGAATGGATCGAGGGTCAAGTGAGATCTCTTTTACACAAAAGGAAGAATCACGCAGGGTCTAGAAAGGGTACATGGAATAATCAGGCCGACCTTTGACCGGGTTCGGATTGCCTGCTCGTTCCGCTTGCTAATTTGTCTTCAGTTAAGTGATGACCATTCGACCCAGGTGTTCAATCTGTGCAAAGCCACCTGCCTCTCGAAATGAATATTGACCATAGATGGTTGATTGACTCTGATTTATTCGCTGAGCAAAATGCGCACTGGGACATTAATTGAGGCATTGTTCTAAAGACATAACCTAATTTACTCATGAGTTGACGTAATTGGACGCGCGTCTCTTCTTTGTTATATATGCCAATGACTACAATTTATAAATTTCACTTCCTCATTAAATCGTGTCAACAAAATAGTGAAGGGAGTTCGCCTACGGAAATTGTTTTGACTTATACAAAACGAAGAAATCTATGATAAGATTCTAACTATAGATTAACTTTAATGAGTTTTCTTAACAATTTAATTAACTCAATCTTTTTAAAGAATTAATTTTTAATGCAATATATAGCTTTTTTATCATTCCTCTCATTATTCCTAACATAAAGAAGTTATAACAGATTATCAAACAAAAAAACCTTAAAAAGTTCATCTTTCTCCAAGTAATAAATACATTTTCAAAGAGAGAATAAAATAACCATAAAAGTATATAATTTAAGTTTTAAAAACATAAAAAACTAGATGCTTTTTGTTGAAAGAATAAAAGAATACACAGACAAAAAAAATCTCCTTTATTCGAACATTTTTTTTTATGTAGAACGTAAATATAACAAATAAACGCTATAGCTAAGAGTTATTATTTGTTATTTTTTTGTTCTTTTTAAAAGAATAGAACGTTGCTTAACGCTTAATTGTATTAAAAGCACTCACCGATATGTTTCTTTTCGAAGGATGATGTCAAATCAAAAAACAAGTATTGTTATCTCCTCGAATATTTCTTCGAAGTGTTTTTATAACGATATAGCAAAGTTCGATTCTCGAATTAGAAGCACCACCTACTCTTGCAAATTTTCGGCCAATCAGAATCGTTGGATTTGACTATCACGTGATTATTACGTTCTTTTATTTTATTCCAACTTCTTTTTATCCGCCCCTCTTTCTACTTGAGTGAAAGCAAAAATAAAAAGTTGTAAAGATTTTTTCTTTACATATATTACGCAAGCGTGTAAAGTATCATCATCGACTCGATAATTGATAAGCAAACAGCATGCCGAAGGCGATTTAAACTCTTCGCATATAGCACACCGCCTTTTGATGTCTATAGGTATTCGGAAATCGAAGCTTTTTCGACGGAAAACACCTGCGCCGAAAAAATTGAAACCTCGCAATTTTCTAAATTTTAGCATCAAACACTTCAAAGCTATCTGCTGATTGTCCACTAGCAACGTACAATTAAACAGTTTATTAGTAACGAAATGTCCTGTTTAACTACACCTGCGAGACGTTTCGTAATTATTCACGGTAAATTAAAGCCGCCTTTAATTATTACTAATTATTGTTAGCGGGTGGCTTGAGTGTTGAAAAGGAATTTCTAGACCTGATTTATTCATATAAAAATAGATATATTAATACTACTCAAAAATTGAATTAATGGGTTAAGGTTCATGTTAAAATTTCAATTTTTTTGACTGTATGTACGTTAAAGGTTATTAGGAGTAGAATGACGAATATGAACAGAATTTTCAGTTTCATTCTTAGTGATTCCTTTTGTTATTTTCATAAGAAGAGAGGTTAGCAACGTGACCTGACGTGCAGTAAATACTCGAATTTAAATTGTCTACTCTTGAGCTTTCAGGCTTCTCTTCAATATCTTTTGCGTTGTCCCGTTTTTTCGCTTTTTTCCGCTTTCTGGATAGAATGAGGAGAAGTGCTACGATTACCCTGTTCTTGAATGCTTTTACGAATGTACTCTTGGTCTGTTTGAAGATTACCGAAGGTTCATATATGCTCATAGAGGTCATACGTAATTATTTTCGTTTTACCTTTTGAACATCCCGAAATGCGGCTACGATAAATTCTAGCAACAGTATGAGAACTGCCAAGCCTATCCCAACGGCTATGAAGTAGAACACTCCCAACAGACTTTCTAAAGTTTGCGATCGGGCTGCCGTTTTAGAAGAGCCTAAAGAACGATAAGTGTCCTCTTTTAAGTATGCATAAACGATATACTAAAAATATACTGCATATATATTTAAAGAACAGAAAGAAAAGAGGATGAAAATTTAGATGGGATTAGGCACTAACTAGATTGCGTAGCTGAGCAGGGTCCAGCAAACCATTTCCTGTGAAGCGTTTCTAAATACCCGCTTTGTCGGAGCATTAAAATTTCCAATGTGAACGGCGTTAAGTAGGGACTGTTACGCTACGGATTGGCTTTGAAAGATCGTTTGAAGGGATTCAACACCCGCTTCTATTTTCAATGTTAAAAGACGAATCGTTAATTAGCCACCTAGAGTGAAGGCAATCAATTCTACCCTGTTCCCTTTCTATACCCCTTTTAAACCCCCCCATCGGATTCATTCTCAAATTATACGGTATTATGCATTCTACGAAGTCACTTTTATGAGTCGAAACCTTCAAAGCCAATCCGTAGCCAAATTTATTAAAATCGTTTCCGATAATTAAGGTATTACAAGGCTTGATGTTTGAAGCGTATTCCAAAGGGGCCGAATCCCATACAAATGCGTAACGTTCATCTGAAAGAAAATGGTAATAAGAAATTACAAGATGAAATAAAAAAGGGCTATTAATCGAAAGTAATTAATTACTTTTGGGTTTCCCGTAGGACTCTTGAACTTTTCGAATGCCAGCTTCCGCTGTATCAACGTATGTTCCGTCGGCGTTCATAATTGCGAACATAGTTTTATAAGGATCTACCAGCTGTTGAGCGAAGAATCTCTGAGGGGCGGAATTTTTCACAGTTCCGTATTCAATATCTCTTTGTTTGGCTAAGTCGTTAACCGATTGAATTCCAGTATCCAATCGCTTTACCGTCAAAAAGGCGGCCAAATTAGCCGTATACGAAGCAGAGATAACCATTACTGCAAACCACCAAGTACCAAACACGATTCTGGCAGATAAGCATTTCGGATAAGTTTCAGTCCCTTGTTGCATCCAACACCCATAAGTCGCCCAGAGACTATTACATAAAGTAAGGTTCTCATGTTCCGTTTCGTTATCCAATTGAGCATAATATCCCAAGCTATAGGGACTAAGTCGACTGCAGATGCAAGTTATCACAGAACAAATAATAAAAGTGCCTACTACGGCTGCCCATAATCCCTTTTCAAAGGGCTCCAAGTATCCGTATATATTCACTTTCTCTACTTCCTTGGACAATAGTAATTTAAGCCCTAGGTCCATGTATGGTTTTGTAAAACCAACAACCTGTTGTCTCTCATAATTTATAGTCAGGGGAGCAACAGCCATATCAATTTCCTCACTCATCACTTCGCCGATCAAGCCGTTCCATTTTTTTGTTTGAGGATCAAGTGTACCATAACTACCATCCTTAACAATTTGAATTTCGTATTTAAATTTCAGATTTTCACTCAATTTCTCCAGCATATCTATGCAAAATCCCTTCAACCTCTGATTTTTATTCTTGGAAAACATCATCTCATCCTTTGTCTTTCTCATGACAAAAGGACTTTCCTAATTTCGTTAAGAAAGTTAATTACGACAAATGTAAATAATACTAATTAGTTGAAAAAAGATCTTACCAATATTGTTGTTATATTTAATGTAACGTTGTTCAAATTGATGACAGCATCACTTGGCGCTTTACGATTTTTTTTAAAGAACTGGGGAGATCTTTCCATTATAAGCTTGTAACCTTCATCTCTACCTTTGCCCCAGGTACCTACTCTTTCCCAACCTTTTTCTAATAGATTAACTATCTCATAAACAGGTTCTGGAGGATTATTAAAATTATCGAAAGATAATTTATTCATAGTTCCTTCGGATTGGATTTGTTTAATGTAATTTAGATATGAATTTCCGTCTGACCAATAATATTCAGACGTTCGCTGACAAATGTCCTTAACTGGATTCATAATTGTAAAATTATTGTTATCCGCTAACAAATTGTGCAGACCAATAGATGCTGCTAAAATGGAATCAAATAATCTCATTTCCGTCGCTTTCTGTGTTGTTTTTGAATAATTGGCCCATTTTGTTTGAAAGTATTCTTGGAGATTACCGCTTCCGTATAGTGGTCTGACACCTACTAATCCAACAAGATGCTCAGGTACATCTAGGCACGAATCAAATAACTCCCCCTATAAATTAGATTTATGATGTGTTAAATGAATTATATATAGCAATGTATTATATGTATATAATCTGTAAGTACCACTACAGTGACGCCATCTGTCGCTAACCAAGCCCAATCTTTATTGAGTAGACCTAGCTCGCTTGCCTGTGACAGAATAATCCTGGCGTGGGTAGAGAGACAGTTCAAGACGACAATTCTAGTTCCTGAGACGATTAACTATTGGTCTAAATTTTGTCTTGAGGTTAATTATCTAGAATTCAATAAACTTACCACTCCTCTTTAACTTTATCAAACTCTGTGTGAGGTCAATTGACGTCAAATCAGAGCTGGGAGTGAAATAATGAATAGAATTGACCGTCCACTGTCTAATTGTTGCAATTTTTAATAATTCTCTTACTCCACTCCTACCTGTTTCGAGTACGTGAAAATGACGCATCAAAATCTAATAAATAAATCAACGAGGTTAAGTAAAGGATGAATAGTCGTATTCAATAAAGAAGTAAATCGGTTAACAATATGCAATATGTATACAATACAATTAGAAAAAATCGCTTTATTTTACCGTAATCAGATGATGATGCTATTATTCCAAATCTAGACCATCCGTAATGCGCCATTGTATCACCTAACACAAGAGATTGTACGTCGTCCGGAGCGCTCATCTTTAAGGAAATAAATGCTCCGTGACTAATGTGAAACTATAATCTGTCATAATATAAATCACTTTTAAGAGATATTGATACGTATCCGTGAATGATAACTCTGGATCGGTAGCTGTGGGAGTAATTTGTGGAATATGTAGACCATTGCTAATGCTTGATATTGTTTTCGTTGTTCCACTACTCAACGATCCAATAAATGCAACAATTCCATGAGTTGCTTGCCAACAAGCTGGATAAGGGAACATAATGATGAAAAACAGAACAAAGCTCGTACTAATTGAAGATTATAAAATATACCTGCTTGTAAACTTTGAAAACTATGTAATACGTTTGTAATGTTGATCAAGTAGTTAACAGTTGTGTTAGGTAAAATCTTACTATTAGTGTTGATGTATTCAATAGCCATGTCGACAGCTTTAATTGCATCATCTTTATCAGTTGATTCGCTGATTATTACACCTGTACAAGTAAGAACATTCACAAATAAAGGACGAACAATAATGGGTAATAGAACTTACCAAATGTAACGTTTCCAGGAATATTTTGAGGTGAAACTTGTAAACAAAGAATAGATATAGTGTAAATTGATAAAAAAATCCAAGATCCTACACGAAAGCTGTTTAAAAGTGACAAAACAGAATTAAAAAATTATTTAGTACAAGAATAAAGCAAAGGCGATTAAAAAATAAAGAAAATATCTGAAGCCTGACTTTTTCATGTCGATGCCATAAAGCTAAATGAGTTGAAAGCGCGCGTAAGTACTTTATTAATGCATATACATTAGTTAATAATGATAAAATATAAGAATATAATATAAGTATACATAAAATATAACAGATGTGAATACAAACAATAAAAGTATTCTCTAAGGAGTTTAACCAAAAGTTAAGGTGGTTTCTATTTATTAGCTAAATTTTATCTTAATAATTGAAAAACAATTTATTTTTTCCCTATGAATATTTGATGTATTCTGTTACTATCATTCATACAAAATTATTTGAAAATAATTTATATCACGTGATCTAACTCTTAGCCAATCTTACTGTGGGTGTACTAATAAATCTAACACATTTAACGAACAGAGCTTCATATAAACATGATTCAAGCTAGAATTATGGTAAACATATTATGTTTAAATAAAAATTAAAATCGATTGAGCATAAAAGTTGTTTTATTAAAAAAAAAAAGAGTTTCAATATATGTGTTACATGTTTTTAATCTTTTAAAAACTATCAACAAAAATAATACTTGTTTATTAAGTTATTTAAATTTATTTAAATTAGTTGAATGTTTATGAATAGATTAACGAATGATAAAAAAGATGGAATCTGAGAAAAATTGCGGAGAAAGTCAAGATATGCACTTTAGTTTTCTTTCTCCGAGTTTTATTAATCACAGTCATGATATTTGCGTTAAAGGTTTTCTTTATATTTATATATGTCGTATTATATAAAATCTTCGCTAATATTTATCGTTAAAAAAGAATTGGAAAGCCTTAAGATTAGTTCAAAAAGCGTAGGTAATTTCCAGGAAAAGCCTACAGGGAGATGGACAAAAGAATTCGCCGCTAATTTCCTTTCATCCTATTCAGGTATATTGGCGTTATGTTTTCATATTATTAATTATAAATGGTATGTAACACCTGTCAGAAAGTGGTATTGTTCCTTTCTTAGTGAAGAATGATTGTTGTATTTATATCAAACAATTAAGAAAATGGACTCCAAATTACGTGAGTCGTGATGAATTACTTAATTAATAAGGTTGAATAGAATTAATTTTTAATTAAAGATCAAATTGGGACTTATTGGAAATGAAGACTACGTTGGAAGCTGGGACTATAGAAAGAGTATTAAAGGCCTAAACCATCCTGCTAATTCGGGTTTCTTAGTTTGAATTTCTATCTTTTATATTATTTATTAGAAAAGTTATTATCATAATGAATTATTCAAGTCGATATTTGTGTTATTCTTACTAGATAACTGGTACTTGCCTTTATTGATTCCTCTCAATGGAAATAAATCTATAATAAAGCTTATAGCAATGGATGAAAGGAATGACTCAATTCATTACCTAGAGGTATAACTTGTGGTTGATTGTCAATAATTGATTCTGAAATTGTTTATTATATTTATATCTTGTTTTGGTTTATTAGATGGAAGATATCAGAGAAATTAGTCATGTGAGATTGAAAGCAGGTGAAATAATATTGGAAAAAACTACATTGCCTTTAAAAAAGAATGAAAATAACCTAATTGTTAAAATAAAACCTTACGATGAATTAAGTAAGAACAATTGATTATTATAAATAAATTAAATACAACAATTGTACATTTTTTAATGTCACATAAGTAGATTCCCTACTTAATGATATAGTTCAAAATATCTATAGTAATCTAATAGTATTAGGTAAGTGTTTATATAAATAAACTATAAGACTCTCACATTATTATCAAACTTTTAATGAATGATAACGAAATTCTTAAAAGGTTCTTAATTATTTTTTTTTAAATAACTTTTCTTTTATCTTCTAGATGATAAATTTTCTATAAGAAATGAAAAATTAACGTATTCTATTAATCACAAATCCCTAACTACGCAATGTTTACAATCTAAAGAGTTTGAAAATTGTAATAATAGCTATGTTGATTCGATAGATAAAACTTATCCTTATAAAATGTTAAATGAACAAATAGGTCACGGAAGCGAAAGATTTAAAAAACGAAGCAAATGGAACAAAATGATTTCTTCCATATCTTTAAATACTAATGATAATGGAAGTTGTAATAGGTCTTTTGAAGATTCCATTAGCTTTAATTGCAACTCGAATAATAATAATAATAGTAAGAAAAAAAAGAAGAAAAAGGCCAAGGCTAAAGATAAAAAGGCTAAAATCGTTGTACACATAGATGACAGCGCTGTTAAACAGGATATGGATGCTGACAAAGGAACAGCCTCTGAAAATAATCTGAAGAATAGAGAAGAAAATATCTTCATGGGGGACAGCATTACTGAAAGCAATGATATCTTAGTCTATACAGCTATGACAGACGAAGGAGCTGCTGGCGATATAAGTTCGCTTCTGACTAAAAAGATGAAAGAAGAAGAAGAAGAAGAAGAAAACTTAAATAGTTCTATAATAAAAGAAGAAACTGACTCTAAATCTCTTCCAAAGATACCGTATGAAGAACTTTTAGAAAATATTATTAGATCGCTTAATCTACCTCTCTGGATTGCCAAACAACTTGCAAAGTGGAGATATAAGATTAAAAGTGACAAAAAGTTAGACATACGACAAGTATCTAGTAGTTACAAGAACTTTCCTGCTGTACCAAAGCCATCCGCCGATGAGATATATACGCACTTAAACGTTTCAAGAACGATAAGCGACGATTTAACCAGTATTACCCACATTCTCTCTCAGATACAATCTTTACCAAATCCTACTAATGATAATGAGAGCGATTTTACAAAATACCCTGGGGAGATTGATAAAAATGAGAAAGAAGATATTAACAACAGTGTGTCAGAAAGTTCATTTAGTAACGAAAACGTAAATTGGAAGCCAAGTCAACATTGTCACTCAAATATGTCGGATCTGAATGATAATCCTAGTCCTTTATCTCAAAATCAAGTAATCGAAGAAAGGGAAAAGAATATCCAGTTACAACATAAAAGGACTGATAGCCCATGTCATAGCGGGGAGGATACGGGCGTAAGAATTACGGATCAAGATATTTATTTTACAAGAGACTCAGAAATTTCTTTTAGTTTGAACTCTAAAGAAAGTGAAAAAGATTTAATGATTCCTAAAATTCGAGTTGTTGACGAACATGACAAGGTTATTAATATTCCAGAAGAATATATTCAATTCCCTTCAACATTGACATACGATGATAAATGTAAACGTACCAAATTACAGTTTGATAAAAGGCAAAATACCTTAACAAAACAATTTAAATCGACTGGAACTGAAACTGTAAACCTCAAAGCAGATGTTGAACATTTGCTAGTCAACTTAATCGACAATGAACTTGATAAAAGAAAGAAAACTAGACAAGAAACCCCTGCGGACGATGTTATTTTGAAACACAATACTGATAAAATAGGTAATGAATTTCCCTCCGATAATCAATCATCAGAAAACAATTTAGATTATCGTACAACGACAAATCGAATTAAACCTAATAAACTACCAATCGTCTTATTAAAGAAAGTTGAAAGTACTAATGAAATTCGTTTAGAAAATAATGAAGAAAATAAAACTAAACATGGATCGTTAAAAAAAAGCAAAACAATTAGAGAATATCTAACATTATGTAAATGTACTTGTGCTACCGCAAAAAGAGCTTAGTCAGGCTTTTTATTCTATTTTTTAACACTTTATTTAATATATTATTCAATATAATATACCATAAATTTATGTTTTACATAAATAATGAAATTTGTGTTTCTTTGAATTTAGCGCATAAAACCTGCACAAATTTTCAGCATATTAAATAAGTATTTATATAGTTTGAAAAAAGTATTGAATTCATAATATAAATTTGATTTTTATATATTTTTCAAATTTATTTAAGCTTTTTATTTATATTTATAAATATACGTATAAAGTTATATATTTATAGAGGGAGGAACAGAGACATAAAGAGATGATGTTTTATAAATAATATAGTTTATTGGAAGAGAAGGGAATGACCTCTACACAATTTACATCTAATAGTAGTAACGATGACATTAATAATGCTGAACAGATTGGTTATGAATTGATTGAATGTGCATCAGTCTCAGTTCAAACTGATTATCCTTTTCCTTGTATATCTATTGAGCATCAAGCAAATTCTGATTGTGTACCTGATTCATTTTTTTTAAGGAGTTGTCCGACATTTAACGAATACGATACTAGGCCATTCTCTTATTCGACTAATGAAAGCGATGAGTTAATTGATGAGGGATATAATTATAATACTATTGGGGAAAAGGAGAATGAATTCAGTCAAGAGTCGTACAGAGATTCTACTAGTATTTCCCATCTACCTGACAATATGTTAGATGCGAATGATGAACAATTAAGTGCTAATCGATACAATAACACAACAAAACCGATAACTAAACTTGGGATGGAAAGTCGTCAACAGATTAGTACAACAATGTTCAAGTTTAAAGCTAATGCCAAAAAAACATCAAATGAAACTTCACTTAGCGAAAGTCAAGATAAGATTGAATCATTGAAAGAAAGGTCATTTCAAGATGAACTTTCTACTTTAGGGTTAGAAAATTCCATTGTGGAAGATATAGAAAAATTTGACGATGGAATTGTTGAGCATTCATATGCTATCCCTAAATTTAAAGAGCTACCAGATTTTTCAAAGAAAATTCCCCTAAGAGATGGTCTCCAACAGAAAATGTCGGAAAGTAAGCGCTCAATCATTCCTGTAATTGATAGTCCCTTTAGTACGGATAGACCAAGGGAATTACCTCCAACTAGAGAGAGTAGTAGCCATACAAGTTCCAATGATTTAACTACTACATTACAAACTGATCAAATCGATTCAGAACCTGAGGATAATTCGATAAAACATGGAAATTCACTTATAAATCATAATATAGACGCCGAGTATTAATTTAGCATTTTACACCTTACAACTCATTTAGTTCATTTTAATTTAGACCTTTAAAAATGGTAAACTTAATAATTGGCGTCTAAAACAAACAATAAAGTTCGAAAGTTTTTAACGAAAGGCAAAAATCTCATAAAGAAAGTGTCTATTTAGATTTAAATAGGCTAAAATCATCAGTTCTACCTAGGAGATCTTTAAAACTGGTAAATACTGCAAGAGGAAGAAAGATGGCCAACTATACATGTTCAAAACAAGAGGGAATTTTAATGGCCGATAGCGAAGGTCCAATTTTTTCCAGTTCTAAAGAAATAAACAGAGATGAGATAAAGAATTATTTTAAATTTGAAAAAGATAAGAAAAGATTCAACTGGATTATAGGTTTTCTGATATTCTCTATATTAATTGGTCTTATTCATTCATCTACTCTAATTAGTCTCAGTAAGGCGGAAAGAAGTTTCTTACATTTCTTTCATCCCATCCTCCACATTAATGAAACAACTAACAACTCATTAAACATAAACTTAATATCCTTACTTGGTATACTAGTGATAATATTACATTTACTTGAATTATTAGCAATTGGTGCTTATCTAATTAATAGGAAATATTTATTAACATCTTTTACAGTATCCATTGGCTGGGCAGTTATAAATATAATATTAATCTTTTGCATCTTTCTATGCCTTATTTTTCATATATCAAATTATCAAATGAAAGTGTTTAGGTGATTAAAAGCTTTATACTAAACATTGAAAATGTTGAGCTTTATATTATTATTAATAAATACTTTCAATTCAACATAGGGATTCTATTTTAAAGAATTACGAAATGTTTGTATCGGGTGCACAAAGGATAAAAATGGATTATATACAACACTCATTTCAGTGTTGCGGTATTAAATCGCTATATGATTGGATTGGTCAAATTGGAAGTGATACTGTTCCGTTATCTTGTTGTCAATCAGTATCCAATTGCAGTCATTTTAGATTACTTAAAGGTCAATTTGATCAGAAGTACTTTAAAACTCTCAAGATAATTAATGAATCCACTATATTTCCTATTGGCTGTGAGAAGATTGTTATTAATTACAAAACGTATTTTTTAAGAGAGATATCGTTTTCATTACTGTTTAATATCCTTAATAATAGTTTCATACTAATAATTCATTATAAATTTACAAGAAAAATGGCAAAATTACTGTCCAATGATCATATTTCTGATATTTTTATAAATTTATCACAACATGTTGTTATTCGCATTAAACGACAAAACGTCCTCCTTGAAGAGGATGAATTCTGGAGACAAATCTATTATGGCAATATTGAGGATGAAGTTTTTATGGAAATGGATAGGGTACATCACAAAGTTTCGCCAATAGCTCAGAATATGAGATTATCTGTAAATAATAGACACAAATTGAAACTCAACAAGAGACCGGATATTCAAGCTGAGGTTCTTTCCTCCATATCACAATCGAATAGTGGGAATGCTAGCAGGGGTCCTAGTAGTAGCCTTGACATTATGGAATCTTCTATTAATGGTAATTCTGAAAATGAGGAAAATACTGAGTCAGCTACATCACTTAATGTGAAAAGAAGATCTTAGAAATCTTAAAAAATGTGGCTAACGCTTTTCAAACACTTCTTTTACATAACTAGCCCTTAATTAGCCAGATTTTTCATTCAATTTCACCCTATAAACGTAAAGTGTGCACTAGACTCTTGAACCAAAAAAAAACATGTTTGCAATCGCTCATAAGTTTGACTTGTTCCTTTGTGTTTCATTACATTCAATATTCAATAATTTATCATTTTATTTTATGTACTATACTTAGTACTATCCTTTTGTATTAATATATTAATTTTCCTGATGGGTTAATTAAGGGGAAATCCCGTTTTTACAGCCGAGACAATAATAATATTCATTTGAAATTGTATAGCCAGAGTAAAATAGCGGGAATAACTTATTGATTTTCTACTTAGCAAAATTTCCGTTTCCGGTGAGTTTTAGAGCGGGAACTTTTACGTTATTTTTTAGCCGATATGGATATTTCTCCCTACACTAAAGATTTTTCTAAAAACTATTTGATCGAAGGAAAAATTCCTGACATTTGCAAAACGGAAAAATGCATTGCTGGTATAGATGAAGCTGGAAGAGGACCAGTTCTGGGTATATTGAGCGATAATTCGGTTTACAATAATTTTTACATATTGTATAATAATAGGTCCTATGGTTTATGGTCTATGTATATGCCCAGTCTCAAAGAAGGAAGACCTAAAGAATATGTCATTTGCAGGTATTACAAATAATTGATCACTATAGTAAAGCATATCTACTTCAAATGTTTCTTCTTTAGATTCAAAAACATTAAATGAACAGCAAAGGGACGATTTAATGCAAGAGCTTATGAAGGCGACTGATTACGGATATTTAGTTCATGCTTTATCATCTAGATTTATTTCTAATTCAATGCTGGGAAGAACAAAATACAATTTAAATGCACTTTCTCATGATACAGCTATTGGTTTAGTAGAGAGAGCTATACAGAATGGTGTTCAAATTGATGAACTATACGTAGATACGGTTGGAGATCCCACAAAATATGAACAAAAACTAAAGAACATTTGGCCAGATATCGATATAACAGTATCGAAAAAAGCTGATGCAAAATATCCTGTAGTCAGTGCGGCAAGTATATGTGCGAAAACCGTTCGGGATGCATTCATTTTCGAGTGGAAGAAATTGAATAATGCAGAAGCTGGATCTGGTTACACGTCTGATCCTCATACTAAAACCTATTTAGCTAATAACTACGACGAGGTTTTCGGATATCCTACATTTGTTCGGACAAGTTGGGCAACCTGTTCAAAGTTGATGGATGAAAAATGTATAACTGTAAGTTGGCCAGACGAAGAGGACAATGCAAAACAAGGAAAATCTTCGTTACAAAACTATATGAAAAATACTCGGCAGCGTTATATGTATTTTAATGAACGGTGTTTATCAAACGCTAAAAATTTTTAGGCACATTGTTTTTACGACTATTCTTTTTATATTTTTTTAAACAATATCTTTATTATAAATAAGAATAAAAAGTATTTGTTACTATTACAGATATTATCTTATAAGTTTTGAGATGAAGCATAGATTAAGCAATAAAAACACTTGAATTTTGATTTTGAATACTCTATCTCGTTTTTATTTAGGTTTTAACTACAAAACACTCTTCTTCCTTTTTAAGTATATTTATATAAACAATAAATAAATATGTTAAAACTGATACATAATATGCAAACCAATAGTTTATTAGTAACACTATTTTTCCATATGCAAATCATGCAGTAACACTTTTTTCTAACAGTATTTTGACTAGACTTAAGGTAATGGCTTGAAATTTGTACCAGATGATTGAGTAGTGTGATATTTACCATTTTTTATTACATGAACACCATATATATATATAAACATATGCATATATATTTAAATGTTTACAGATAGATTGATTTTCTATATATATATATAGATATTTCTACTTAAACGTTTGTTACATTGTCAACACCTACAAGGTAACTTATAAAAACTCTATTAATATATCTTAATATATATATATTTATACAATTTACTCATTAAATTTCAAATATATCATAATAAATGTGAGTGGTCAACACAATCTTTAATCTTGATATATTGAAAGCATTCTAGTGGTATCGAGAGATAATATAATACTCTTTTTATTGTTGTGATTAATAAAAGAATCTATAAATTAGCTTATTTAAATCTTTAATAGTCTATAATTCCTTTATTTAAACACATATTTAAAATATTTTCGACCATTAACTTATTAATTTCGAAAATAATTTTAATGAATAAATTCTTATATTTTACTTATCTCTATTGAATTATTAAATGAATATAGAGCATAATAATGATTTTAAGCATTCAGTTTGTAAGTTTATTTAACTTTTCTTCCCAACAGTTATATAAATAATAGCGCAAGACCGACTAAATCACTGAGCGATAATTAGCGATTAATTCAAAAATGAGATTATTCTTTGTGAAGATATTCTTTATTTTCTGCCAAATTTATTATATAACAAGCAATGATAGCTTCTGGAAGGATATGAGAATACCAGAGGAACATCTTCCATATGCACTATTTAAGGGAGGATTATTAGGTCAAATTTGTATGAAAGATAAATCCTGTCCGTACAAGGTAGTAAGCCCTATTCGGTATTGCGGATTAGAATAACTAGTCAATAATCATTTCTTAAACGTGCTATAGAAATTTACGAATTCAACAAAGTGTTGGGGCTACGAAGAAGGATGTAATGATTGGGGAAATCGTTTTTTAAAGCCAGAATGTCCTGAAAAGGCACCCTATGGCTGGTAAGTCTAAGTTTCTCTTTTCAAAAATTTATCAACCACTTCAAAACTATTATCTGATAAATCTTTCCATGAAAAGGGTACCAGAAGGAGAAGATCAGATAGGTCAATGGTGGCTACAGGGTGATTTTGGATATGTTAAATCCGTTAGAGATAGTATACAGCCTTTCTGCGAACCGGAAACTGAGGTTTGCATACAACGTTTGTATGTCTTAGATTAAACTAATTTATCTTACAGACTGATTCGTCTTTGTATTGTTCTGAAAATACTCGTTTTTGCAAAGGAAAGAATTTATATATCGATTTTACAAGAATTCGATTTTCTGAAAATACTAATAGGTTTAAACTTTTGTTCTATTCTTTTTTTTCTTTATTCTTTTCGTTAAGAATAATATTAATATATAAATTGACAAAACGTTCTATATTTTTCGAAAGTGAAGCAATAATAATGACAACAGTATAAAAGAACTCTAATTAAAACTGACTAAAGACTAGTTTTTTATTTAAAAAAAAAGAAAAAAAACGACTATAAAATGGCTTCCTATAATTTTGATCTATACAGTATATAAATTTATGCTCTTCAGAATAGAAAACGAGCAAGCCATACTTTTATTCTTTAAGGAAACTCTTTATAATCTTCATTTTTTATCTTTAGATAATTATGTAACTAACACAAAAGAACAATGCCAAACCCTTGTAATTTCTTCTTTTAAATTGTTCTCTGTTAGAGAGAACCCATGAGCTTTTATTATTGATGTTTTTTTTAATAATAGATTCCAGGAGGACATATTTAGAGAAGGTGAAATTGGAGGTCATTGTCGTTTGAATAAAAATTTATTTACAAAGAATGGAGAACACAAGAGTCCATTACAATCTTGGTAATAATTACGTTAAAAAGTAATACCGTAACAATTTTTCTACATTGATAAAATCATTTTTATAGGTACGCTGAGTTGGAGAACTACAGAGCTTTACCGTTTCAAGTTCCAAGCGAAAATCATTGTGATATTGTTATTAATAAGCCAACTATTCTAATGAAACTTGACGCAGGTTTTTACATTTGATATATGGTTTCTTATTATGTTATTAAACTCATTATTTAAAAAAAAAAGGAGTAAACTTGTATCATCATTATTGTGACTTTTTGAATTTATATGCTTCCCTCCACGTTAATGGATCATTCTCTAATGATGTTGAAATAATTGTATGGGATGTTGTAAGTATTTGAATATTGAAAAAAAGAACTTTAGTAATATTATGATTATTTAATATTTATAGACTGAATTGCATTACGGAGAGTTATTTTATGACTCTTGGAAGGCATTTGCAAAGTCCGGCCAATTCACATACTTGAAAAGTTTTGAAGGAAAAAAAGTAATCTTTTATTTATAAGTACTATAAACTGTTTATCATCTAATTCTCTTTACACAGCTGTGCATTAAAGACTTCATGTTCCCTCTACTACCTCGTATGAGGTATGGTTTATATTACAATACACCTTTGGTAAGTTGCACCATTGTACTCCAGTTATTACTATTTTCTATAGAAAAAAAATAAAATTCTTATTTTATCAATGTTATTTTACTGTACATTTCTTATTCATTTACATTGTTTATAAATCTATATAGATACCTGGATGTCGAACTACTGGTTTATTTAAGGCGTTTTCAAAATTTTTGATTCATAGACTAAATATTACAAGTAGAGGTCCAATGGTAATTACTTTCAAATAAATTATTAATCCTTATAACTATGTTGTTGTCGTTCTTTAGCGCAACAAAATAAGAATTACACTTTTGGAGAGGAAAACACCTTTCAGGAGAATTGTCAATCAGGCTGAAGTAGGTCTTAATTAGAAATTCATTGTTGCAATTCTGTAAAGAGTTTTAACGTCTCATAAACAATAGATTGTTAAGGCGCTCAAGACAGTCAGCGAATACGATATTAACGTTGTAGACTATAGTTTCAGGTAAAACTTATATTCAATAAAAATGCGGGCTAATAATGATTATTTTAAGGGATCTTCCTTTCTTGAAACAAGTCGAAATTAGTCACAACAGTGACCTGATGATGGGAATGCATGGAGCAGGTCTAACTCATATGTTGTTTCAACCCGATTGGGCTTCTATTTTTGAAATGTCGGTGAAAAAAATTTTAAATATATATTTATTCATAAAGCTGTAAAAAAATTCCTTTGTTTGTAGATATAATTGTGAAGATCCAGATTGCTATAAAGAGTTAGCCAATCTAAGAGGATTAGATTACAATACATGGGAAAATGATGAAAAATTAGTAAGAGGAAACGAAGTACATCCCAAAACCGGTGATAGGCATGCAAAATTTGCGAATTACGCTTTTGACGTTGACGAATTTATGAGAATAGTACGTATGGCTGTTGAAAAAATCAAAAGAAATCCGTCGTTCATTGAGGCTAGAAGGAAAAAATTTGAAAGAGACGAATTTTAATTCATTATGTTTATGTTCTTTCTTTCTGTTTTCTCTTTCTTTCAATTTCAATGTCTCAATTTAGCATATAAATTTAACGGAGAAGATTTTGTCATTAAACAAAAATTACTTGAATATATATAAGAAAATAGTAGAATTCGTCTTTTCGCATTATTAAGTCTTTAATCTTCTAAAATTTGTTTAATCTCCTCTACCTATTTCGAAAAAGAATAAGATATTCTGACTACTGAGATTTAAAGGAATGAAAAATAAATTAAAAGCGGTATTTACCTTGGAATCGTTGCTTTTTCTATTTCCAATAATATTCTTTATTAAGTTTAGTTTGTTTTGTAGTCTCTTTACCTCTTGTCTGCTTGATTGAGCGGGTAAACTGTGTCGAGAAGAAATCTTCTTTTGATCACCCCAGACTTCAATGTATAGATTTGAATCGGTTAAATAATCTATAAATTGCCTGTCAACACTATGAATCTTAAAGGTTGAAGTGTGATCAAATTTTGGATTTGATCCAGGAGAAGTATTAGTTTGGACCTCCTCCTTATAGAATTTATATTTGCACCATGTATTCGTAAAGCGTTCTGGGATGGAAAGGGCTTGTAGGACATGAATAGATAATGTCAATTTATTCTTTAAAAGATCTATAGGATCGTTAACGCTATCCTTTAGGGTTTGAGGAACGTCTGGGTTAATATCAACCCTAATAAAACCCGCTTGTTGACCGGTAAAATCTAAAAGAACAACCTCTTCGCCCACAAATTCAAATAGATGAGCTAAATATTGTAAGGGAATGTTACCGATGCCAACCATTTGTGGTCTATCGTCAAACCAAGGACCATTTTCGGCAGAGGGTAACGTATTTGATTGTTCCCATTCCTCGTAAGCAGATCTCATGGCTGCTTGCCTGTCGAGGAATTCACTCTTTGACCAAACGTATTCAATACCTTCTTCACTATCTTTAGCATGAACGCAACATTCAGATCTTTGACTGACATCACCTCCTCTAAGTTCAGGCGCTACCAGCAGCAAATAAAGTTTTATATTAATTCCCAGTTCATCTGCTATGATGTTCGCGTCATTAACAGCCTTATACAAGACCATAGCTTCTTGTGCTAATAAAGCATCTTCACTACCAAAGTCAAAGCCAGAATGCTTAGCTACTTCTGCCTGCGCTTCTTCCCAAGTCACGTCTAACTCCCCCTTTTTACGTGGTTCAATTAGTATGTACAAATTAGTTGTACCAAACATAAGCCTATCCAAATGTCTAACTCTTGTTCTTTTGAGAATTTCTTGCCCATTATGCCTAACCAATCCGTCAAGCTGTTCGATTCTAACCTGTGTTTATTGGATATCCGACATTAATTACCGCTAGACAAATGAGGCATTCCTACTGCAGTTGAGACAGAGTTAGAGAAGCAAACACAATGAGTGGTAACAGTTCGACAAATATATATGTGGAGATATCAAATACGATAATAAGAGCATTTATTCCTATACTCTGTCCTTTTGGGATAATCGGAAATATTCTCTCATTCATTATACTAAGAAAAGGTATGCAAACGTCCACAAACTTCTACTTGATGTGTGTTGCAATAAGCGATACTTTTGTTGTAACATTACTATCAACTCTACTCTTACTTAACAGCACTACTGGACTAAGTCTGACATTAAGTCTGAATTGCATTTTAATCGAAGGATTATTCCTTCAAGCTTCATTTATGTCTTCGTGGCTTCTTCTCGCTGTAACTATAGATAGGTTTATAGCCGTTTATTTTCCACTTAAGGCAAAGCTTTTTTGCACTAGGAAAAGGGCTAAAATAGTATGTCTATTATTTTGTATTTTCTTTCTATCTATTACATCAATACCAGGATTCGGCCTAAAAAAGGCCATTTCAGTAAGAGAGTTGGGATTATTAGCAATAAATTGTCAAGGTAGAACTGAATTAATAGATTTCTTTTATACAACATTTCTTGTCTTATTTGACCTGTTGATGTATTCTGTCATACCTGCGTCCGCAATGTTAATATTTAACATTGCTATAGTTGTTAGATTTTTAAGTAACAATAAGGTTGGATCTACAATAAATACAATGGTAAAAACCTCTAAGAAGACTACTAAATTACTACTATCAGTTTCAACAGCTTTCATAATTTGTTCGGTACCTCAAGTTTTACTCTCCGCATACCAAAGTTACGGTAAAGAGTCATACGGAGCAAGCTCTCAGCTGCTGGGAATGCTATATGATTTGACAAGCGTTCTTATTATTATCAATCATTCAATGAATTTTATAATGTATATGTTAACTGCAAATTTCTTTCGAAAGTCTTTCACTGAAACCTTTTTTAAGAAATGTAGTGGAAGTTTTCGAAGCACCGACTCAAATGGAGATTGATGAGAATGACTTGAAAGACTCTTGGAATATTTCAAACTATTTTCTGTCTTTAACATTTAGTTACGATAATTATTGTTTTGCTTGTGTATGCTCTGTGCTTGTTTGCAAACTAGAAATAACGAAAATATTACCTTGCCATCGTCTTTACATACAATTCTTGCATGATGTTTAGCAATACCGGGACCATTCATAACGATATCTGGCACTACGTTTTTATCTCTGTTATTACCAACTGAACACTCTCGCTTTGGATAAAGAATGTGAATGACTTTTCCAGTCAAGGCTGGATCTTCGTTTACGTTGATTAAGTGAGGAAATTCTCTCATTTCTCTTTCTATAGCCTTTTCTTTATCGGCCATTTGTTGCATTTTAGTTTCGGCTTCTGATAATTTCTTTTTATAAGCCTTCTCCATATCAGTTATTCTGTCTTTGTACTCTCTAATTTCTGCCTCTTGCTCTTCTTTCATCTTTCGTAGTTCTTCGTCAGACAAACCGAACTTGGTGTTCGCTTTTAGGTCTTCCAACTCCTTAAGCAGACGTTCTTTCTCCCCAATCATATCAGCTAAAATCTTATTGGTTTCCGCTCGATTTACTTCAGCCTTGGTTTTTATAGATTTGGCTCTATCAGCATATTTAAGGGTCGAGAGGGTTTGCTCATAGTTTTCTGAATCTGGGCTTATTGCTGCTAACATAACGGTTTTACTATTTCCCCCCAAAGCATTCATGAGCAGTGATGTAAGAATAGAATCTCTATAAGGGATATGCTGATTCTTTCCCGAACTTGCCTGATGGCATAGAGCTGATATACAATTGCCTAATGTCAATAAAGACTTATTGATATTAACCGCCTCTTCAAATCTAGTACCCGACGATTCAGTCTGCTTAGACCTCTCAGAACCGGCCAGATCAACTAGATTGATTGTTGAAAGAACAGTCATTTTTTCTTTAACTTTGGTCTGTGAAATATTAATGCCAACTATCGTATGGGCTCTACTACTATGATCGTTCATTTTCGTTGCTGCTATAGTTCTCTGTTTTTCACCATCGGCTATTTTGACTAAGAGATCTTGTCCATTCCATACTGTTGCCTTAAATAGGCCTTCGACGAAGAAACCTCTCTTTGGATGATTTCTGATATGAAGGTTATGACCTCTAGTTCTAGATTCCAGAAGATCCCTTATTTTCTCATTATAAATTTCCAACATACTTATGGTTATCTCATTTTGAACGCCTTTTTCATTCTTTCTGTCCAGTCTGCGAAATAGTTCAGAGCATATTCTAGGGACGATACCCCTATTTTTGTGATCACCCATAACCGAATACGATTTACCACTTCCCGTTTGACCATAGGCGAATAAAGAGCCATTATAGCCTTGTATAGCTGAATCAAGAAGTTTACTGCCGAGTTCGTTGAAGATATCTTTCTGTTCAATATATTTAGATGATTCTGAATCCTTTGTCAAGTATCCATCTTCTCCGGTAACACTTCCATCATGTGACCAGAAAGAATAATCATATGTAAAAGTTTTTGGCTTGTGATTGTCACTTGGGTCCACAAGAATTGTTTGATTATTCCGCATCTTAACAATTAACTTTGCTCCTTTCTTCAATTCTCTCTTGTTGAAGGGTCTTACCCTAACTGCAACTTTAATATTTTCGGCAGCCATGTTTTATCTAGTATAACTCCTTTAAAATTAATATAAAAATACAAATTATGCACCGCCTTTACCGATAAAGAATGTTGAAAAAAATTAGCAGACGTCTTTATCGATTAGTTTTGATATTGTTGTTGCCTAGCTAAAAGTTTTATTGATTGCACGTACCTATATTACTTCGCGCGCAAATCCGCGCCAAATTAAGAATGGCGTTCTTTTGTATGAATATGCTCGGCCATTTTGCAGTAGTTCTCCAGCTTGAACAGATACATTTGAAATTCTTTAGGGAAAATAAGAATTAATAGGCCTATCATTGATGGGAAATAAACTGTGCCCTACTCTGGGTAGAGGACGGAGAAAAAACTCTTTCAAGTTGACACCATTAGATGATCCTAGTCGTCATGCTAGGAAACGCCCCGTTTCTCAACATGCAAAGGCATCAAAATATATGTTTGAATCTCCGAAGAAGGAAAACACTGCTGCAGAATCACCTGTAAATTCGAAAGCTCCATCAATCAGAATTGAAGAGGACGAAGAAATAGTTCTAACAATAAACGATGCGATAGCATCAAAGGAAGCTGATACGGATAAACAACAAATAGTTTGCCATGAAAATATGGGATTTGAAAGTTCATCGGAGGACGACAACTCGTTAAGAGGAGCAAAGTCGCAATCAACAGAGTTACCAACGAAAACAGATCAATTAACGGTACAAAATTTGGACGATATTCGTTTCCGGACAACGCCTGATAGCAGTGTTGCATCGGTGAGGGGTAGCTGTAATTCAGACCAGTTCGACGACAGCGAAATTAAAGATGAAGTTGTTGCAGAAGAAGAAGCAGATGAAGATTTTATTGTTTTAAATAGAACTGTCCATAGTATTCAAGAAGAAATCGTTACAACTGCTACATCAAAAGAAATAGCCGAAATGACTACAAAAGAGGATCAATTTGAAGATATCATGCAAAAATTAGAGCAGATGGTTAACGAAACAACGAGCTTACTCGAGAAAACGAAATATCGGGAGTCCGTACACGACAATAGTTTAATTGCTTTTATGGATTTTATAAAGAAAAAGCACGAAGATGACGAAAGTAATCAAATTATTTCCGAAATGGAGGAAAAGGAGAACGAAAACTTAAAATTTTCTCAGTCGTTGAATAAGCAAATGGCAGAGAAACTTGCTGCTCAAGATTTATCTTCTGCTGAATGTTGGCGCCTTTTATCAGAGCATAAAAAGGTTGTGCAAGACGTAACGAGAAAAAGATTAGAAGAAAGGCAACGACTGCTTGGTAAGCTTAGAGAAAAATTAAAAAATAGAAGCGATTTTAGGGAACAGGAGAAGGATAAAGAAATAGCCGAAGAACTAGCATCTAAGTCAAGTGATGATGACGAGGAAGAAGCAAACGATAAAGGAGACTTGCAGAAAGCGCAAGACGATCAGAGTACGATGACAACTTCTAATCAAGTTGCTGGAGAGGTTGTGGTTCATCATCAAATAAGTGATGATACATCATCCCTGTCAAGTCAAGCCCCGAGTGACGAAATATCGCTTCCAGTGGCTACAAGAGACGGAGAAAGTGCAATTGAAAAAGAGAATGATGCCAATGAAGCGACTGAAAAGAATCAGTTTTCAATTAGTTTCAACATTCAGCAGGACGGTGTTTTAAAGCAAGATGAGAAACTAGAACACCTTCTTGAACTGAACACAGTGAATGCCATCTGCAGGGAAAATATTACAAAAAATGACATCGCAACTGTCCTATCCAATTATCAAGATGAAAGAGAAAGGATAGGAAAGCTAAGAGAAGCTGAGAGACATCGAGTCTTGGAGTCAGTGCAAATGAAATTAATGGAAAAAAGAACTGTTATAAGTATGGAAATGGAGAATATTGGTGAAGAATTAGAAAAAATGCTTCGGCACTCTACTGATCAGACGCAGATTCGCGAATTAGTTAGAACTCAACTGCAAAATTTGTAGACGTTTTCAAGATTTTTATTCTTTTAAGGCGTGTTAGAAAAAAATTGATTTTTTTTGCGACAAAACAAAACCAACAAGATTCTAAAACGAAAAAAAAACAATTGACTTGTTATATAAAAAACTGCTTTATCAAAGTCTTTAAGAATTAATGAAAACCCCGTTAGATATGACAAATTATATAAAGCAGTTAGCGAAGTTTATATTCAATAAACATCGATGAATGTCGTCTCATTTTCTTTAAATCACGAACAACTTATCACAATACGCACACCACCCCACTCTTCTACACTTCGTTTCCTCTACAATTTAAAATATAAAAGCGATTTTGATCTAGAATACTTCGAGCCCACGCCCGTCACACTCCGATCCGACGCCGTTAAAGAATATCGCTTAAGGAATGTCGAAACAACTTCTCCACTTTCTGACTATTTTTTTTTTATGTACATTTTAATCCACGAGGGAAAATATTAAAAAAAAAAAAACATACAACAAAAAATCACCTCTCGCACCAAAACAAAACCAACAAATACAGCGCCTGAATGGAGCGAACGTGCCCTCTTATACAAACACAAAATCGCGCGAGTTGTTGGTCAAAAGATTCTCTATCTAAGCTTCAGGACAATCAGCTGCAATATGTCCACACTTTTGACAATTGTAGCAGAGGGGGCCGTCTTCGTTAGTGCATTCGCGCGCACGATGTCCGCTCTTACCGCATCTATAGCAAACCGTAGCCCTGTTTCCAGTTGCTTCGCTATCGCAATCTCTGGCCACATGACCGTATCTGGAATTGATAAGATAACATCAAAATCATTTTTGCTTACATGCCAAATTTTTTACCTTCCGCAACTGTAGCACTTAGGTCCTCGGCTATATTGACGCCCGCCTGCAGTGTTTCCACCTTCGTCATTATCTTTGTTGTTAGGACAATTTCTAGACACGTGTCCACTTTCACCACATGTGTAGCAGGCCTTGTCTTCCGGTGCTGCTTCGGGACAGTCCCTGGCGAAATGTCCAGATTCTCCGCAGCTGTAACAGGCGTCCTCTTCCTTTGTACAATCTCTTGCAATATGTCCACTTTGATTACACTTATAGCATCTTTCAGCTTCTTCTTTGCAGTTCTTAGCGAAGTGGCCAAAGCGATTACACTTGAAACACTTCTCTAAAAAAGTGAAAATTTATGAAATTAGTAAATGAATTCTATCCTAGCTAATAATATTCAACATACCTCCGCTGTAACCACCACGACCAGATCTGCAGTCGCGTGCAAAATGGTCAGGCTTTCCACATTTGTAACACTTCACTCTTCCTCCGTTGCTCATCCTCTTAACTTCTTCCTGATGCTCCTCCTAAAAATATATTGAATATAATTAATTATGAGTTTATAGGATAGTAGTGGTCGTTTACATTGTCTACAGTTCCCATTTCAATTCTATGGCTCGAATCCAAGATGGACGATTACAAGCTGCTGGGGAAATATGGGAATTTCAGAACCTCATTTTACATAGGGTAGCTACTATGTGGGAACTAGAATAGTCATTTATGGGTTCACTAATTATCATAGAATTAATTTAAAAGCTCCAAATTAGCGATTTTGATAAATACGCAAGGAGAAATTTGAAATACTTACCGCTTCCTCTCCGATAGCGACCTTCGTCGAGATACACGTGAGTTTTTGCACACGAAACTGCCCACGGTACGGTTTCGGTAATCCGCATAATGGTTCTTATTGGTACATTACCCATGGAATTAGTGCCCTACTAAAAACGCTTGTGCAGAAAATGGCCGTGTGCAAAACCGTCGCAAAATATATAGAACTTTCTTTAGATCACGTGATCTGTTACATTCAAAATGGCGGAAACGTGGTTCGGTTAGATTTGTTCAGTTCAGAAACAGTTGATGGAATAAATAAAATGAATAAATTTTAAAAACAATTATTTCTTGATTATCAATGAAACGTAACATTACAATCAGCTGACTATGACTGATTCTCCCGATTTGCCCAACGATGTCACCGAACTGCAAGAGATGGTTCGAACTTTGCAAAGCGAGTTGGCACAGACCAGTCAGGAACGTGTTCAGGCTGCCGAATACGGATTAAGTATTTTGGAAGAGCGTGACAACTTACAAACGTCCTACGATGAATTGGAATCAATTTATGAAAACACAAAACATGAGTTAGAATGCGCTCAAGAGGTATGCAATAATTGATTTATAAATTATATTTTTGTATTTTAGAATAGATTACTTATAACTCTACAAACGTATAATAAAACAAGCTGTCATAGTTCATATCTGAATAATAGTTTTATAAATCAATAACGTAAACATTCCACCTTAACGCTGTATTATTCACCCCAGCGAAACAATGGCTTTATACACATTCTTGTCGTGTTTTTAAACCTTGGGAAGGCTATGGTATTCTTTAAGCAAAAAGTATTTTCTAAAGATGAAATAGCTTAAATGTAGCATGTGGTTTGAATTTTGACAAGTGTTGGCATTTTAAACGATCGCAATTATATATGACTTTCCAATCCTTTTAGGCGCTTACTACTGTTCAACGTTCACAAAGAGAGACCAATACAGCTGGTCAACAGGCCGAAGAAAAATTGCTAGTTGAAAGTGCGACAAGAGAAGCTTTATTACAAGAATCTATAAATCAGTTAGAAAGCGAAACACGGAATATTCGAGCAGACTTGGAAAGAGCTACAGCAGAGAATGAAAAACTAGGAGCCAGGTGCTACGAAGTAGAGTCACTTTTATCGGAAAGCGAATCTGAAAGATCGTTACTCCGCAAAGATATTCGCGAATTAAAGCAACGGGAAAGCAGGACATTGCAGGATGTTACTGATCTTGAAGATGAGAATGTTACCTTACAAAAGCAAGTCTTAAGTTTGAAACAAGCTCAAGTTGAATTTGAAGCAGTTAAACATGAAAGATCTAGATTACAAGATGAAGTTAACCAATTAAGGATGGAAGGTGAAGAGTTAATACAGTTACGCGCCATTGTTGAACAAAATTTGGAGGAAGCTTTAAAAACTGTACAATACGAACGTGATCAAAAGCATATGATGAAGAAAGAGTTGGATAGAGCAAAAAATGAACAAGAGAATTATGCAACATTCTCGGCTCTTGCTTCTCAATTGTCTCTAGATTCAGGAAATGGTGCAGATTCCAATTCAGATGCGCCACAAGTTGGTCATTTATTTTCTGAAGTTCATACCTCAGAGGTTCGTCAGCTTCAACAACAATTAGAATTAGCTCAATCAGAACGTACTAAACTACGAAGTCAATTAGACGAAATACAATCACAGTTGGAAAATAAAAACAGAGAGTTAAGCGGCCTACAAAAATCAAATGAAAAGTTGAAAGATATTAGGCAACTAGAAGAAAAGTTACATACTCTTGAGAAGAACTTGAACGACATTACATATTCAGAAAAGAAAGCAAGAACTTGTATTTCTAAAACAAGTGACGATATGGAAAAACTTTGTGAACTTTTGGGTCAACTCTATCATCATGTTAGTGAAGTTCTTGGTTTAACGCCTGATAGAGTCATGCTAGATCATGTACAAAAACGCAGAAAAATGGTTAAAAGCAATTCCACAGAATCAGCTTCAATGAATGGTGAAGATTCATATGCCGAAGAAGAAACTTGCTTAGAGTTAATGTCCACTTTATTCGATCAAGTAAATCATATCGAAAGAGCAGTCCATCGTGTATTGGAAGAAGCTTCCAATTCAAAAATGACTACCAGCATGCAAGCAAATGATTCCGAAGATGTAAATGAGTTACAAGAACAAATTGTAAAATTAAAAGCTATGTTAAGTTCGAAAAGAGAACAGGTTGCAACTTTGCGGTCTGTTTTAAAAGCAAACAAGCAAACCGCAGAGGCAGCTTTAGCAAATCTTAAGAGAAAGTACGATAATGAGAAAGCAGTAGTTGCCGAAACAATGGTGCGGCTAAGAACTGAGTTAAAGGCTTTAAAACAAGACGCAGCAACTTTTGCTTCTCTTCGAGCCATGTTTGCTCAAAGGTGTGACGAATATGTTACTCAATTAGATGAATTGGCTAGACATGTTGCCGCAGCAGAAGAAGAAAAGAAAACACTAAATTCATTATTAAGAATGGCCATACAACAGAAATTATCTCTGACTCAAAAATTAGAAGATATGGAATTTGATAAAGAGAAAAGGAGAATAGGTCGAGTTGTTCCAACGACAGCTGCACATGGCCTACAGTCAAGTAGTAGCAATTCTCGATCGAACAGACACTAAAAAGTGGCAAAGAAGGTTGTTTTAAAAAATTTTTTTTATTTTTAGGAAAAACTGAAAAATTTTTACAATGTTATTTATCTATTGCTGATTTCTTTTACCTTCGATTGCACTTAATCTGCACTATTATCATGCTCTTTTTTCAACTATAAGTTCTATGCAAATTTGAACAAAATTTGAATATTAGATTCAAGAAATATTGATGACATCCTTATGGGATTATTAAGCCTACCGAAAGTTTTCTCGAGAAGTCGGCATAATTATTATTGTAATGACTGTATAAAGGTGCTTAATGTCGTTGTCGTCAATGAATGAAATACAAAATTGTAGTTGAACTATATAAATGCAACAATCGATTTTACATTAAAGCGTGCTTTTCACATAATGCTTACTGCACCATATTAAGGCAACAAAAGCTGAACAGCTTAAGTTTTACAGCATATTTGGAATATTTTATGCACTAAAACTATTTTATGGCTAAGAATCTTTTCATCAAACAGATTCAATATATCATCATGATTGCAAATGCTGTGGGATTTCCAAACTACAAAAATTCAATCAAACGGCATGAATATTAAATTATTCGATGCAGCAAAGAGCCAATTTTCATCGGAAAAGACGTTACTGAAAGAAATTAGGTTAGGGTAAAAGTAACAATCGTATACAGTTTCACTTTATATCGTTAATTAACAGCTGTTGTATATTAGAAAAACTGATAAAAAAAAGTTCTCTTCTTATTTATATATGGTTTTTTTTTATTACAATTATGTATTTAAGAACTTGAGAATGTTATTAGAATATTTTGATGTAAGTATAATGAATATTTTTGCAGATAATTGTTCATGAGGAGATGGTCATTGGTCGTTGGCAAAATTTATCAAACTCATCAATTTCCAGACTTAAACTGTCTTGTTCCCTATTCTCTGATGCAGTTTTCGCTGTGCGACTAAAGAGTTTGCACTGAAAAAAGATAGCGTTGAAGAAAATCAGTCGATTCGCAAAGATGGATGCTACAAAAACATTTTTTTTTTACTTACTTTATCTTCATCCGAAAGTAAACAATACAACATTGATAACGTATAAGCAATTTTCATTCGCTTCTCATCGTATTTAGCATCCGTTTGCTGCTGACGTAGGTCGAAAACGGCGTTTAAAACCTGTTTTGCCTCAGCTGTCTGAGCCTCGTCTAAATAGTCATAATGAATGTCTGCTTCCTCAAAAACTGGACCAATAGTCTGTCTTTTCATTGGTGTTGCTCTTCGTTGAGCCGTTAATTTCTGCAAATGCTTCATCCATATATCGGTAACCTTGTCATACAGAGAATCCGCGACAAGCATACGATTTTGTCTAAAAAATACGTTAGCCATATGAAAATAACCTCCGGAAGTTGCTATATCAGACGGACCGGCATCTTGAGAAGCATAAAATATCTAAATAAAACAAGAGAGAATGAAAATAAATATATTAAATTTTTTTTATAAATCTTCAAATATGGCAAAGGCTTTGGCTTTATTTGCTATAAACTTACATCATTTGCGTAGTTTCGTAACGCGTCATCGTATTGACCATTTGAAGCTGCCAGTAAGCCTAAATTTCGATATAACCGAGATCGGAAATGATTAGGGCAACTAGGAGTTTTAAGTACTGTCCATTCAGCTTGAGCTAAATAGTCTTCGGCTTCTGATAATTTGCCTAGTCCTATTGCCGCTTCGGCTAGGATCAAATAAGATGGTACAAGTTCTACGCTAGCTGTTCCATGTACAGCTATGGAAAATCTCAGAGCTTGTATTGCGGCTGGGATGGATTCAACGTGTTTTCCTTCAAAAAGCAGCTTTTGACCTGTTGTTCTCGATAAATCAATCATTTGTTTTTGTCGAATAATTTGTTGTTCTTGTCGGTGCTGTCTTTCTTCCTCTGATCCGGCAAATGGGACTGGGGTTCTCAGAGGTATAAGCAATTGACATATCTTTTCATGGATTCCTACCCAGTCATTCATTTGATGTTCCTTCCCGCTATACACAAATTAATTATCACAGTTTGTTTGAAAACTTGCTAATCAACTTACCAATAGTATGTTACCCGACATTTTGTGCATTTGATAAACGCTGGCCGTTGACACAACTCGCATTTTAGTTCAACGCCTTTCGGATTCGATAATGGATTAACAGACATCTTGATAATTTCAAAACAAAATTCTTTATCTACGATAATAGAGGATTCAGCATTTCGAAATGTTGCTTGGCAACCTCATAAATCCGGAAATCTTCAGTACTAGCAAAATGGCGGACGACAAGTAGTCGCTAGGTGGCGTTTTTTCTCCGTGAGTCCCAAAATCGACGAAGGTAAATGTCGTCCGATTCAAGAAAATCGCCTACGGAACAGCTAGCAAAAATGGCTGGAAATCTAGAATCGCAAGACTTAGATAAGGATTTGCTCTTGGAAGATTTCTTTGATACATCGATAAAAGTAATCTAAGAAATATTTTTTTAAAGGGGCGGGCAAAAATCATAACAATATCTAACCCCTATTGTTTACATAACAAAACAGGTACTAAAAGACATTGGAAAATTAAACGTTGGAATTAATCAACGAGACAAAGTAGAAGCGATACTTTCTACTCTATTATCGTCATATTGCAAAAGAACTTCAACAATAGCTTTCAAATTTGATTATTTGGCATCTGATGAGTTATATACAAGATTAATCTTAAACCTTTATCGGATATTCCTTCATCCACAAGCTTACAAGGACAAAGATTTTACTGATATGCTTATTGCGAAATTTGAACAATTACGTGACAAAGATTGTCCTAAAGGATATTCAATAACTTTCTCAGCAATAATGTGAGTTATTTTCTTTTCATAACGTAGCTAATGTTACTAAGTGTTAGCAGTTTTTTTCTAATTAAATGAATAGCCAAACATTAAAAAATAGTTAAACTATAGTTTTATTCTTCAAATTTACCTATTTTCTCTTTCGATTGGTAAAAAATATTACCCTTAACGTCAAATAATTAGATCAGGTATAGATTTGAGGAAAATTTCATTCAAAATTATATTCTTTGTTAAACTGTTTTATTTAACAGAGACTCTATCAAACAGAGATGGGATAACTATGATATTTTGATGCAATCTGCCAGCAAAGAGCAATGTGTACTATTATTTCAGTTTAACGAAAGGGAGGAATTAATTCGATGTCGAATAAGACTATTAATTGAAGCAAAGCAATATAATTTTGCATTAGCCGTATTAAATTCTTGGTTTCAATTTGAAGAAGCTTCACAAAGTTCTGAACTACGATCTTATGCCGCTATCAATGCTTACTTACAAGGACATTTACATGCTTTCAACTATTACGTAAGTAAAATTTGCGTTTATTGTCAATTATATTATTTTTTGCCATTGATTTTTTGAACAGATTACATTTTTCAATTGCAAAGATGTCGGATTTATATTAAAGTTTCTTAAATCGAGTATAAAAGAATCTAAATATTTCGATTGGCCGTCCTCATCTCAACCGTCTACAGACTTTCTCAATTATCCTTGTATATGTGTACCAAATCCGAATTTTTTACATATTCAACCGAATAAATTAGAAAAAATTTTATACGCAGTCAGCAATCATAAACATGTTATTCAATTGATTGATGATAAAACTATTGACGAAGGCTACGGAGTATGTATCTAAAAAATTAAATTTTTCATATGCTCTCTTCTAAATGTATTTTATCATTTTTTTAAGGATTTATTTTTAGAATGGATTAAAGTGATTAATGACAATGAAAAAATTATTTCAACTATTTTCAAGAAAAATTCATCCTTATCAACGAAATTGTTAATTATTAAAATAACAGATGTAATTGATATGTTAGTTCATGCCGGGGAGGCAGAAGAATTCTTTGACCTTATTTTAAGATTGGTCTATCAAGTTTTAACTGACAAAAATATAACTGGATTAGAAAGTGAAGAAATATTGACAACTCCTTGCTTAATATCCGACTTATCTGCAAGCTTATCTTTAGCTTGTACAGGTATTTATCAATGTCTGGAAATTGTTGCTGCGGAGGCTAGTTTTTGTTATAGACCTTGTGAAGAGACTTTAAACTTACTAATCAAGGTGTTTCGTAGCCAAGTTACCTCTGATTCATGTTCAACTCAGCTGGCTGTAAAGAGTGAATCAGGTAATGATTTCGAATCGACCATAAATACGGCAATAAACGTATTTCGCAAATTCATCTTCGTCGACAACTATCAAGGAGATCCAAAACAATTAAGAGCAGCACTTGGAGAGTTAAAAAAACATTCAGACAAAAATTTAGAATGGCCAGAAGATATACCCAAATTTGAGTTTGCTCCTTTACAATCTCTCTATGTCGAGAGAGCGACGGCAAAGACTCTTTACAACATATTTTCTTCGCTTACAAAACAAAAATTACAGATAGTTTTGAATGAATCTATTCTATTGTCTCAAACACCTACACCAGAAGAGACAAGTTATCAGTTTCTGAATAAGCCTGAACTTGAAATCGAATACACAAACGGAAATGTAAACGTCAGCGAGAGAGATTATCAATTCGACGAAAGAGCAAACCCTGAAGATCCAAATAAAATAGAAAACTATCTACAATATATAGAAAACGAGTGCCCAGTGTATGAAAAAAAGGTATTCGAGGATCATAATCATGTTGAAAGAGAAGAGTTGTGTTTGAAAAAAAAATTCCTTTTTCAACAGCGTGCACGAAGGTTAAGTCGTTGTAGATTCTTGTGGAATGAAGAAAGACAAAGAAGAGTTTACGACTTATCTTATAAGCCCTGGTATTTAAAAAATGCAAGTTACATTCCACGAAAATTGAAAAAATTATATCGTGGAAAATTAGGTCGAAAGTATAAAATTGATGGTGTAGAATTCACTGTTCCTGAGGAAGAGAACCACTCAGATGGCACAGCCTTAGTACCATTATCATGGATAGATGATAAAACTGTGACTGAAACTTATAAAAATTTTATCAGTGATAATTTTAACGAATTTGCGGTGTTCATATCAAGAGAAATAGATGAAGAAAATAATGCAACAATTACTTTTTATAACGGAGCACATAAATTAATTGCTGAAGTAAAACTAGCAGCTCAAGCAAAATGTCAACAAAAATTATCATTAATAGATTCAGTAAAAATGCATTCAAGCGAAGTAAGAACAAACGGAAATCTCGTAAATGACTTACCGGATTTTGAATTTAAATATGATGCAAGTAATAGAATATTTCAAAATGGCTGTCCTCGAACCAATTAGTTATTGATCTTTTTTTTATAGTACTTTTTTCTCCTACGAAACTGTATACAGATGTAAAAAATAGTATAAGTTTTAGATAAGGATTCATTTTTAAAATATCAATTTGTTTAATGTTTAGTGCATGCAAATCTATTATACAAAGACTCTGTTTTAAACAATACAAAGAAATGAATTTCATATAAATTGTTGTTTACCTTGGAGAATTTTCAGGGAAAGTTTTGCTCTAACAGGTCATCTAAAAGTGAGGAAACCTCCATTCTTAAAGCATGTACCAATTCAAACGGAATAGTTTCAGTTGTAAATGAGCAGCATTGAAGAATTCTGTATAATTTCTCATAAGCTTCGTTCGGTATATTTCCTTTTTGGTTAATTCTTAACATCTTTTGATGAATATAGTAATACCATTCATCCTTTTCTTTGTCTATTGCATCCATAATTTTAGATAGTCTAGGATCCTTATACATCATAGTCTCCATTGATGGATGCTTTTTCAGAGCTTCAGTAGCATGGGTCTGTGAAGATATTTGAGTGGATTTTCCTGTAGATATTTTGTTACTAAATTGTAATAAACTGAACTCTTAAGCTGATAAAAATTTGATAATAATACAACCTTGCACGGATTGAAATTCTTCATATTTACTGGAGAGAAGACGAGTGGAAGGATTAGAATCTATAAAAAGTTTAGTATATTATTTAAGCATTATATTTTATCTTGAATATTATGATAAAAAAATAAAGGGACTACTCTGTAAATTCTCTTCAGCTTTAGCTCTTTTTTCAGCCTCTTCGGCTTCTTTTAGCTTTATTAATCGTGACATAAATATATTCATATCAATGACTTTTTTCTTTTTATTATTCCTTATTGGTTCCTGGTCGTCTTTTTTCGCCTGAATGTCTTTCTTCGCGACCTCATTCACTTTTAAACGTTCCTTCATTTGACTAATTATAAGTTTTTCAAACTCTCTTTCTTCTATTAACTTCCTTTCTCTGTAAGCTGCTTGAAAGATTGTTGAAATATTCGGCAACTTGGAATCTGGTTCATTCTTCTTTGATTTAGAATAAGTAACAAATAATTGAGCATGGCCCCTTTTTACTTTTTCTACAACTTCTGTGGATTCTTTTAGTTGTATTGAGTCAAACAGCGGCATTTTCAAACAAAAAAGTTTCTCAGTAGAATTTAAATGAGCAGCGAGCTAAGAATATTTCGATATAACGAATTTAACGTGGAATTTCGCAATGCAACGGCTTAAATTATCGATAATCGAATGTTAGATCTAAACGATAAATCGATTTCCTTCAATGTAAAGTTCCAAAAAATTATAAATTAACATGGAAAAAAATTTCTATTAATAAGAAAATCATAAATAAAAAGATAAAGAAATATGAATTTTTAACTTATAAAATCGGTATTTATATCCCGAGTAGTCTCGCATTTGATAAATGACAGAGAAAAACTATTAGTATTTACCTTTTCGACGAAAAGGTTTAATTAAATATGAAAGAAAAAAATTAATACAAGCAATTATTGTTAGATATTAAAGTAACGAGAAATTTCTTCTTTTTTTTTATAAAATTGTATAAACTGTTCTATTACCTTAGGCTATAACAGAGCTGCTAACAAAGTTGCCCTATAGGATCCATAAGTCAAAGATTTTTTTATTATCCTTAGGCAATGGTATGCGTAATTTTAAATTAACTTTTTTCTTGATATACAATTTGTGTCAAAATGAAATGTATAAATTTATATATACTATGTATATATATATATATCTTTAAAAAAGAATATTCTTGGAAGCAAAACTAATAAATAACATTCTGGAGAGAGAAAACATCTCCATTATTTATTTCTTTTAATACAAAAAGATTATTTTCGTTTCAGATTTAAAAAAGAAACAATAAATTTTACATTTTGGATATCATTTCACAAACAGTTCAATGCTTTAAAATAACTTTACACTTTAACATACTTCAATAACCTCTCAACAATTTGAATTGGCAACAAATCATTGGCCGCATCAAGAATATCACTAGCTTTCATGGTAAGAACATCTTGTTGAAACTCTTTGCTCATTCCAGATAAGGTCGATATGAGATCATCGTCCTCTAGAGCCATTCCTTCTTTGACCATTTTTTTAAGTTCGTCAATTTGCCTTATAACCTATGAAAAGCGAAAACCAATTAGTGGTGGATAATATGACTAGCTGTTTTTACATACTTTTGGAACTTTCTTCTGAATTCCCAAAAATTCGGTAAGTCTACTTAAAAAATCGGCAAAACTGATTCCTGAGTTCTGTGCATAGTAAATAACAAGCGAATAAATAATAATACTGTTATAATATGTGAAGAGTATAAATGAATTTACATGTTGTAATATTTCTATGAAGACTCGAGGTAACCTCGAATTAATCCTTGGACTTTGGGCAAGGCTTAAGGCAACGCTCTTGCCGATTTTTGGTACAAAATTTGTGGTATAAGATACGGGTTTGGTGAGATGACTGGCAGGCGCCGGAGCTATATTCTTAAATCTCGATACAACTGTGCTGATAATTGCAGGTGTGGGGGACTGAGAGGCCGCAAAATCTCTGGCTAAAACTGGATCATTGCTTATTAGTTCTCTTTCTTTTTCTCGGTCGTACTCTTCCCAAGCTGCTTTTCTCTCCTCTTCCGAGAGATCTTCTTCCGGTCTATTTTGCAATAATGTATCATGTTCGTGGTATGTAACAATACAATCCTTTTTGCTTCCTGACAATAAGTCGGCTAAAATCCGATCCTGGTGGAAGTTAATAGCAATAAAAAATTAATTGAATTGACACAACAAATATTGACTAACTTTTGGAACAGAAGGTGTTATCCGCGTTGTTCCCCCGTCTGGATTAAACTGATAGAGCTGTTTCAGATCATTCTCTGTGAAATGCCTGTCAATTTGCCTCTCATCTATTACACGATGGGCGAGTGTTTCTTTCGTGACTTGACGTTCGTAGATCTTTTCTTCCATGGTTCCTTGGGCAACTAAACGGTAAACGTAAACAGCTTTTGTCTGACCGAATCGGTACACGCGAAAGATAGATTGTATATCATCGGACGGATTCCACGAAGCGTCGAATATTATTACACGATTCGCCGATTCTAGATTAATGCCCAATCCTCCAGCTTTGGTTGATATTAAGAATAGTCTGAGGCTATGTTGAAGAAGGTATCGATTTTATTTTTTTATTAAGAGTTTGCTTGTTTGTTTGCAAAGTAATTTCTTACCGCTTGTTAGTAGGCTTCATAAACTCGTTAACTAAATTTTTCCTTATAGAAGCAGAAGTACTACCATCCATTCGGCAATAATCTTCGTCCTTCTCCCAAACATTAAACTGAACCGCAGACTAAAGAAAATTGTTTCAAATTATCATATAATGCCAAGGCAATTGTATTTCTAAATATTACTCGTCTTTTTGTCTTCTCCGTTTTCTTTCCCGACATAAATGCTAAAAATTCTTCTATTAAGTCTAAAGCCAACAAACTATGACTGAAGAGTAATCTAAAAAAACAAAATTATATATTGATCATTATTTACTTTTAAGTAGCAACTAACATTTTGTCTCCAATCTGACTTATTGATTGTAAAAGTTCAAAAAGTACAGTTATCTTTACTCCCAGTTCAATTCGTTGATTAGCATCTTCTGGTACAAGAGAATCCCACCATTTCGGATCACGCGGAATCTCAGGGGCAGGTAAAGGAGGTACTGTTTATTTTTTTTGTATTGTTAAGAGAATTAGTTATCATAAATCAATAAAAAAAATCTATTTTACATTGTCCGGGGCCACGTGCTCTCATATTGTAGAATGAACTGCCAACTGAATCTACTTTAATTTTTAGTATTTGCCCCTGATTCTTGTCAGTTTCGAAATGTTGTTCATAATGAACTTCATTAGAATTATTCAAATTTCTAGGAAAACAAAAGAATAACTAAAAGAATATTCTGTAAAAAGTTGATTGAAATTTACTCTTTTTTTGTTGCTTCTTCAATCAAACTATCGTCCTCACTAAAACTGAAATCCTCCTCCTCATCACTTTCAACAATATTTTTCTTATCTTGCCTTATTTCATCCAATTTCAACATCCATGGATGTGTACAAATGCACATAAAATAATTATAGTCAACAAATAATTGTACACCAACAAAACTACTACTTCCATCACTGCTTTCAACAATCTTTAAATACTCCTCATAAAGTTTCTTCTGTTAGAGAGAAAACAAGTTCAAGATAGAAAAGTATCATATTTTCAAATAATAATTTACCTGAATTGGTGACAAACGAACGGCTATAATGTATTCGTGTTTTGGAGGTAGAAACGGAACTAAAGCAGAGTAATCTCGTCGTTGCACACAGCCGCCTAATAAATCATGAAGAACATGGGCTCGTCTCTTCATTACCTGGACGTCTTTGCTTGTCGAATCTGAGTGTTGCCCGTTCGTTATTGGATTAACAAACCGATTGCAGAATTCTTTTCTCGTTCCCAATAAGTTTGGTTTTACAAATTGCAACATCGTGTGATCTGAGAAGAAATTCATGATTAATTTTTAGATATCGAAAGTATCACATAATATTTACATTCTAGAAGATTATTTTGTAGTGGAGTACCAGTTAGCACAATTCGACGTTTCGTTTGAACTCTATTCAAACTTTTCGAGATAGAGGTTTGCTCGTTCTTTAACACATGACCTTCATCACAAACGACAATGTCCGGTCCAGGATCGATCAGTAATTCTAAGTAAAGTGCCTTTTTCTTCCTGCTCTTTCCTGAATAATTTACCAACATTCGAAACATTTGATATCCCATTAACATTACACCACCAGTTTCTTTCCACATGTTCAACCTCTGAAAAACAGAGTGTTCTCAGTTAATATTGGTTGATTGGTAAACGTATTTAGATATATAGACAAATAGATAAGCAGACACCAACCTGATTTCTCAAAATATTATCCTTAGCACTTATTATTTCATGTACTAGAACGCGATCTTTTGGCTCTAGCCATTTTTTCCATTCCGCCAACCAATTATGAACAGTATTTAACGGACATAGTAGTAAGATGCTCTTTACTTTTAGAGTATTATTCTTTAAAAGTGTATGTAGGAGGCTGATTATCTGTCAATTACGTTTAACATAGAAGTTAATTTGATCATATGCTAGAGGCTGCTTACAGATAAAGATTTCCCTAAACCCATACAATGGGCTAGAATACACCCTGACCCTTCGCTATTTTTAAATTTTTCGGTGGATTCGATGATATTATCCCAAAGAAATTCAACGGCTGTTCGAATTAAAATAATTCTAATCAATATTTTATTATCAAATTTGTCGAGTGGTTTTACCTTCAACTTGATGCGGTTTTAGCTCTCTTACCAATACTGGAAGAACAGATATTTTATCCTTTTTAGAAAATACAATTTCCGAACAGTACTTTTTGTTTTTTTCTGTTTTGTAACTTATTTTATGCTACAATAAAGAATAATTATTTACATAGTGGTATATAGTATATAAATAATCTTACTTGCTGCCGTTCTATATCAATTCTCTTGCGTCGTTCTTTCTCAATTCTTCCGGCTTTTAAAGTTGCATCATTCAATTTCTTTTCTTCGACAATTTTCCTAATGTTATGTCTTCCTTTTGACTTTAAAAATGTAAAGTTAACTTTAATATGAACACAAAGTTAATTATGACAAAAAGAAATATTTACTTTTTCGGCAAATGCAGTGGCATCGGGCGCTGAATTTAATATGGCATTAGTAGGTGGTAAGAGTAGGCCTTTTCGACCATCGGGCATTGTTATAACATTGTTAGCTAAATTAGGAGGAAATTTTGGAATATGGCTAAGAAGAACAATTTGCGATTTGACAGCTTGAACATTTTTATTTGTAATATTAGAATCAGTTGTATTATTCATATTTCCTTCGTTACATTTCCCATTAACCTGGAAAAAATAGGGCGATATAAATAAAAAACATTTGTCGCAGCTATACTTCACAGAAGTATCCATAAAGCAATGTATTTATGGATATTCTTAGTATACTTACTGTGGCTGCTTCTTCAATTGCTTTCGGCGCTTCCTTTTCAGATTCTACATTCTCCCTATCACTTGATTCTAAAATTTATTTCGGATTGATAATTTGAATTGTGAAAGGATACGATAATGACAGAAATTTACCATTATCGCTATTTTCAGTCCGATCCTCCGTATTGTGAGAAAGTTTATTAGGGCTCGATTTCGTAGACTTTTCCTTCTTTCCTTTTGAGTCTTGATTATATTCTATGCAAGGCTCGGATGCTAATTCATTGACGTAGTCGGCAATCTTCCTTTTATTTTCCCGAAACCTCTGAGCTTCTTTTCTATAAGCCTAACAAAGAAAATTTTTCTTAAAAATTATATAGTTTAAGGAAAAAAAAGAACCTGTTCATCAGTCAAAATATGATCAAGAGTCATGCGTAGATTCTTGTAGGCGTTCAGAGCTTGCATTGGAGTTACGACATCACTGTCCGGATTTCTATACGTCATTTGAGAAGTGCTACTCCTCTGAAGATTGATTAAGTAATTTTAAAATAATAAATGTTAAGTTTATAAACATATAAAATGTCTACCATCTTAAAAAGTGTAAGTGTATGAAATTATGTGAAGAGGTATACAGTTACACAATAGTTTATAGAAAATATATCTTACTTTTACGCCGAATTTGATTTCTAACTTATTCAATTGTTCCTCTTTCACTAATAATTGAGTTTGGAGCATAGCCATAATATGATCTTTTTTATCAACTACCTCTCTATGATTTTTCATAGATTCGGCAAGTTCATCCCTTGATTTATGAATGGTTGTTCTTGCTTTAAAAAGTTCAAAGCGTAATTGAGTTAAATCTAATTTTGATATATAATATCTGAAATTCTCTTCATCTAATGACTCTAGTGGAGATTCCATTGATGTCGATTGAAACTCTTTCGATAAACCTTCGCCATTTTCTACAGTTTCATTTTTTGAATCAGGCTTTTGTTTAGCATCAACTTCATTCGAAGTTTCAGTTTTTACAGTTTTTTTTACACTTCTTTGTTTTTTAATAGGAGATCTTGTTTTTCTTTTTTTATCAGTCCTTTTTACTTCAGTGACAACAACCGATTTTTTTAATTTCAAAGAATTATCTTCCTTCTTAATATTGTTAACTTTTTGAACTGAGTTTCGAGTTTTGCGGGAAAGGAACTGTGTTTCGCTTCTTAAGATTCGTTTACTCTTCTTCGCAGGAGAAGGAGAATCTAAAAGAGGGAAAAAATTTTCTAGAATAATCTTATACGAAGGTAAGACCTGTTTAAAGCTTACCATTAGCTAAGATGTTCGCCGATCTAGAACGTTTCTGTTTGGTGCCAGATCGCATTTCTATATTTTTCTGCAATATGAAAATGAAATTAAATTGCTTATTCAGGCATGAATTATAAATATTAAGCAATTCGTTGCTAGCCAAACCGAGTGCAAAAACACCAATAGGGGACGCCACGATACGTTCTACTTTTTTCAACGCGTCGAAGGTGTCGCTGCTATAGTTGAACAAGGTCTGTCTACGACTCAACGATTACGCAATGAATGTTCCTTACCTGATCGAATAATTATTGAAAAATCCTTTCAATGAAAGCTTATAAAAATGAATCTATTCGATGGCGGGAAAATTTCGGAGAAATTGTAGGAGAGCCATCTGTAGATTCCTCAATGTGACGTAGCAAGATGGCGTAGATGGCGTTCGTCATAGCAACGAGGTGGCGTCGTTGTTTCACCTATCGCACCGCCATCTAGCTGTTATAGTTATAGGCTAGTCTTGAGCAAATATATTATATCGAAAATTGAATTCTGTTTTATCATTTTATGATAAACGCAAGTAAATCATGAAAGATAAATGTAAAAAGGACAACACGTGCACCTTATCATTATTTGATGCTTTCACTTGAAAAGAATTAGGTTGCACAAGTCTTATCTCGGAGGATAAAAGTAGAAACTGTCTGTACTTTATATCAGTATAGAAAATATCACAAAAAAGGGACCAGAGCCTAAGATGACTTCTTTGAATAGAGTTCTACAAAGTAGCTGGAAAAAAGTTGTTGCTTCGCAAACGAATAGATCGTTCTATAATTCAACAAAAGATTATATTTCGAGATGTCAATCTATGCCAGCAACATCAAATGTACAAAAGTCGAAAACTAACAAAAAGGTAAACTATAATTTTCTCCTTATTCTGAAGACAAATATGTTAAGATGTAAGAAAGGGTACACTTAAAACTGATGCAAATATATAAAAGAAGACAGCTTCCTAAGAATAAAGAAACTATTAGAGAAGAGTTTGAAACTCACTTTCAAAAGAATATTACTGATAAGAATATTATCTTTATATCGGCAGATATTGTCACTTTTTAAATATAATTTATTTATCTTTATTATAGACTAGTACTTTATAACAAAGCGTGTCTTAGTACATTCTTCGTTCATAATATCAAGAATAATCTAATAGTAATTTTTTTATTACCCTTCCAGCAAATAAGACCGGAAAGAAACTATGAAAAAATGGATAAATACTATGCAGTAAACGTTACGAATTGTAATCAAATAAGAAGCGTTCACGTTACCTTTTTTTTGACTTTGTTATTTAATTAATATATCTTCATGAATAATATTTCCGTTTATTGGGAAAGTGTTTTTTTTAAAGCTTTTTAACTATTACAACAAAAAAGTGCATTTATAATATATTTTATTATACTCTAACAATTAGAGTTCCTTTATAAAAAAAGATTAATGTTTATTTTCGTTCTCCAACTATACGGAGTATATGCAGAAACAAGTTGATTATATCTAAATACAAGTTAATCGAAGCCAATATATAATCTTCAGGTGACAAATGATGCATAACCATATTTATGTCAAAAATAATGAATAGACTGAATAGAATTGCTCCACCGCCTGCTAAAAGCATTTGGAAGGATTCGCTGTGGAAGAAAAATTCAGCCATTCCGGCAATCAAAAGTATAAATAAGCCCGAAAATAGAGAAGCGTAAAGAGATCTGAAATCCCTTTTCGATGTAAGCGTATAGGCAGTTAAACTACCAGTTACTGCCGCAGTAAGTCCCAAAGCAAAGATGACAGATCTAACAGTATAGAAGGTTACGACTGTTGCTACTGCGTATGATTGACAAACTGTGAAAACAGCAAGGAGTATATAATTCATCGGAACTTCTTTTCTCTTGAAATGCAATGCAAATAACAAAACCATACTAGCGACAAACGACACAATCATCATCCACGAACTAGAATTAATAATGTTAAATGTTTAATATAATAAGTAAGAAATTTTGTCAATAGTTTAGATTAAAAACTTACTTTCCACGTACAAATCCTTGAACTGTTTCGGAGCTCATAAAAAGCATACACATAATAGCTGAAATGACAAGCTGACAAGTCAAAATTCCAAATACTTTCTTAAGAAAACCTATGAAAGAAAAAATAAATGAAATAATATATTTTATTTATTTGGTACTGTCATAAATTTTGACAGTTGGAATATTTTTTAAATAATAATTACCAAGTCTGATGTAGACATCGCTATTCGCGACATTGGTGCCATACATAAAGTCATCTACAATGGAGGGTTTTTGAGAAAAGACTGATCCTTCCTTAGCTGACATCTGCTCAATGGCATAATAAATCGAGAATGTTATTCATTTCTTTTGATCATAAGCTGTTTATTTACAAACCTTTGGCAAAAGATATTGTGTTTACTGTGATGTAATTAAGATATTCTTTCTATTTTCTGATTTTCTTTAAACCACGAGAAAAAACGTTAAGTCACGAGATTTTAGATTTTAGCGCCACCTATCGTTTAAAGAATTCCTTATTTAAAAAAAATAAAAATAATGCAATAAAGTACAAGTATAAATATGAAAAATTCAATTTTTCAAAATTAATTGGTGAAAGAGAATAATGACAATTAAAAAAAAAACGATTAATAGTTTCTTTATATTATATTTGAAACATATTTTACAAATGACTATATATTTTTATTAATCGCAAAAAGAGAAAATGTATAGAAATGAATTTTCTTGTGAAGAGAAGAAAGAAGAGATTCTTTTGTTATTCAAGATATAAGGAAAGTTTATGAAACAGCTTTAGATTTAGGTTGTTCTTGCTGCTTACAAGATCTATATTTTATTGATATTTGAAAATAGGTCTAGAAGAGTAGATTATTATTTTCATTCTCCTCTTTTTACTGTGTCTTTGGTAAGCAATATTTATTGCGATTAACTTTCACAATGACATATTAATGGGTTATCTTGTTATAATTCCAATATCTTATCTAATCTCCTTTTACTTTTGCCTAGAATTTCACGTGTAATTTGAGAGTAAATTGCTGTATCTTCGGGAAGTTCTCTAGCTATTCTATCACCTATGCTACTTTTTAATGAGACATGGTTCAAACTCGTAGACGATCCATCTTTTAAACATTTATCCAAATCCTCTTTTGCAACCTTCACAAGAGCTTTTAAGCCTTGATTTTCTGCTAATAAATTTTCTTTTTTAGTTTCTCTTACGATAAATTCAGATTTTAGCCTATTAAGTTCCTCTTCAAAGAGAGTACAATCACTTTCTGCCTGTTTCATATCAGTACGTCTCTAAACAAAAAACGTAGACAAAAGTATGATAACAATATTACACAAAAAAAACAAACCCGTTCAAGTTCTTTCAGAATACCGGCATTAACAGCTTCACATACTCTATATTTACCCCATTTTTCGGCAATTTGTGATCTAAGTATAGTTATCTCGGACTCTATAATAGATTTAACAGCCTGATTATCTTGAAAATTGCGAATATGATTCATTTTTTGCCTTTCAAAAATTAAGTTATATAAAAAGATTTTAAACTAAATTAGACAAAGTTCAAACGCTTGTTTATTAAATTTTTAAATAAATTTTATTCCAAAAAAAAAAAAAAGCTAAGATACTAAAGAAGATAATGAAGAAGACAAAGCAAATATTCTACAAAGCAGCAATATGGTCTTTTTTTTTCTTTCTTATTGAGAGAGAAATTTGATAAGAAAAAAAAAGTGACACTTACCAGACATTTTTTATAATAATTAAACATTTTGAGCAAAACATTCATTTAATACATTCAAATTTATACTAAATATATATATATATATATATATATATATATATATATATATATAATGCTGTCTTTTTTTTCATAATGTAAAACGTTTAAGGCACATAAAAAAAAATACCAAAAAAACAACAATGTATGTTCCTGTAGATTCTTTAAAGGCAGACAACTTCCCAATAAATTTGCCATTATCTGTCCATGCTTCGCTGATTTTTGTTGAAAAATAAGCAAAGGTTCAGACTCCATCGAAACCATCTCATTACTTTTCATAAACAATAACATTAGCTCTCCCAGCTGGCTTAAACCTTGGTCAAATTTCCCATTGTTGATGGTACAAGGTGATGAAGATAAAGGAAAAGCGACGGTGGTTAATAGAAGAACCAATGAGTATGTTGATGAGAAGTTCAAGAAGCTTTTAACTCGATATTTCTGAATGTTTGACTGAAGAATTCGCCCCCCTTATATAGCAAATTTGGTGACAACTGCTCAAGAGCGGACAGCAAACTGTCCAACTTATTTTTCTTCATTTTTTATAGCCCAGAAGGAATATTATTTCCTAAAGATTAGTTCAAACTGTTCGTGAGAGCATGGCGTTTTGGATTATCATAAATTTCTTTAAAAACCATTTGCTATTGCAAGTTTATTAACGTTTGTTCTACATTTAAGATGATTACAAGAGGTGATGAGTAGTTTAACTTTCACAGCTTTTTGAATAGAGATCAGTCATATCAACCGTTGAGTATTATCAGAAGCTAATTGTCCTTTTTTCAGTTCGCTGTTTTGTAAGGATAAGAAAAATTATCATAAGAGAATAAGCATAGTAAAGAGGAAAGAAAGAATATGACCTGAAACTAAGAAACTTATGCAAGATTATTGAAAATAAGAAATTTTTCGCAATATCAACTGCAATGAACTGCAATGGAAAAAGTATCTAAATAATGCAATAGGTTAAGATCTTTATCCAATATGTACAGTGGCTAGCAATGCGATAGAAGATCTATCCTAAGTAGATATCTTGATATAAATATTTTTGTTTGTTTACGCTTCATGCTCAGAGAATAATTAGGGAAAATAAACAATTTATTATATATTTAGGGTCATTTATCTGTTCACAAAATGCCATTCTTATGAAAATACATTGTACGATTGTTATAATAATATTGTTTAGTTGTTGATTACAATTTAAATATTTTAAAAATAAACGGCAAAGAAAAATGATATGTTGAATTTTATTAAATGTAATAGTTGTCTAATTGACAATTTAATATCTAATTATTGGCCAGCAGCAGGACGAACTTTTGATCAATCACCTAAAACTGATGAAACGAAACGTCGTAGAAGAAGAACATCGGAAAAGAAAAGAAAAATATGCGATTATAACGATTTTGCTGAGTCTAAAGAAATTTTAAATGATCGATGGCTAATAAAGAAAAAGCTGGGCGGTGGTGGATTTGGTCAAGTTTATGAAGTTGAAGATATATCTACTAATATACGTGGAGCGTTAAAACTAGAACCAATTGAAAGGAAACGAATTGTTCTTAAAATGGACGAAAGAGTACTTTCCGATTTAAAAGATCAGAATCATATTTGCGAACTATTTGCCAGGGGAAAAACCAAAATGTATTATTTTATAATCATGTCGCTTAAAGGTAGTGTATTTCCCATTCATCTTCCTGCTTCTATTAGGATTTATGATAATCATAATTTCTAAATAGGAAAGAACTTGGGTCAATTAAGAAAAGAGCAAAGTGGTCAAAGGTTCACGCTGTCCACAACTATTAGGATAGCAAAGCAAACATTAGCAGCTTTAAGAGTTGTACACGATGGAGGCTATATTCACAGAGATGTTAAACCAACAAATTTTGCGATAGGACTACCTCCTCATGAAAAAGTCATCTACGTCCTTGATTTTGGTTTATCGAGACGCTTCTTAAGAAATACTATTGAATTTGATAAAATTTCAACTCATACAAAAACTTGTTTCAGACATCAGCGAAGCAGACCTTGTAAGATCATATAAACCCCTGGTTTCTAATAATTCTGTACTATGTACTTTAAACTAGCATTTAGAGGAACAATTAAATATGCTTCGCTAAATATTCACAGACGAAATGAAGCTGGAAGAAGGGATGACTTATATAGCTGGTTTTATATGATAATTGAATTCCTTAATGGTAATCTTCCATGGAGACAGTTATATGAAAAATACGATATCGAAGATGCAAAAGAGCATTTCCACGAGCAAAGGGAACCAATGATTCATCTACCAAAACATTTCCATACCATACTTGATCATATTGAATCGCTCAAAGATTATAAAGATAGGCCCAATTACGATTTTATACTAGCACATTTAGAAACTATTCAAACTAACTATGGTGTAAGTGATAATGATCCGTTCGATTGGGAATTGAAATCGAAATTTTTATTCAATTTTCCAAACGCATCTCACATAAAAAATAGATTAAAAAAGAGAAAAAAGTCTAAAATCAATCGAAACGAATTCACATCTTTTGAAAGTTCATAGAAAGTAAATAAGATAATAAATATTTTTATTAGCATAGATAGACTACAAACAGCAATGACTGAAAATAAAATTCGTCATTGTATTGCTATTTCTACCCTTTTAACTAGCTGCTTACTTTTCTCTCCTTTTTCTAGTATTCAAAACAATACATTATACTAAATATATATTAGAAGGGTTTAAATAACTTCTCTCCATCAATTTTCTTATATAGTGTGGTAGGTTGTAAAAAAAATTTAAATTTTTACTTTATAAATAAACATTCATTAAATATAATTTTATAACATGAATATATTCTAACAGGGTTATTTCCTATTTATCCATCGAATTTGTTTATCAACATATCATATCTCGGGTTGTATATTAGAACAATTGAATTGTATGATGATGCTAGTATTGAATGTATTTTTTAATGAAATAGTATTGATAGTGAAACCAGCTGTTCACATTTCAAAATTGTAAGACATAATTAATAAATCATTATTGAGACATCATTTATTATTGCAGCTCTATTATTTAAACAAATAAGTAATTTCACTACTTTTGTCAATCTTTACAGATGTGATAAATATCTTCGACTCACAAAGCACATAGACATTGTACATCGAAAACTTAATAAATAACGCCATCTAACGGATCTAACCTGTTAAAATACAGATCACATCAGTAGAGGTGGGCAATAACACTGATAGAAAAGTCAAATTAGCTAAGGACTTGGGATTGTAATAATTTTTTTTTATTTATATTCAATAACTTTGATGTCAAAATTGGTTACGTTACATATTTATATATAACGACGAGGAAAAGGGATATTTCGGACGAAAAAACGAACAACGCAGTCGTTTTAATCGAGAAAAAAAAAACACATTCGGCCTAATTCATCCGAAAATTAGAATAACAATGTGCCCATTCCTCCAATGTCCGTTTGCTCCTTAACAAAGATTTCAAAGTATTGATAGATAATTGTAACAGCTAACAAGATACCAGTTCCACTTCCTATAGCTCCGAGAAAATCTGCGAGAACTGAAAGAGCTCCAATGCAAAGTCCTCCGAAGGCCGCTGCGGTTGGGATGTAGCGGTTCAATTCGTGGATCATACTCTTGTCACGGTGTCCTCTCATAACCATCTGTTGCTCTTTTAATTGTTTAGCAACATCTTTGGCTGAACTACCTGAAACTTCGATCCAAGTCTTCGAAAAGAAGGCGCATGAACCCAACATGAAAATGATGTAAAGCACAGCGTGAACTGGGTCTTCTACGACGTGCATCAGTGTTTCAGGTGGTGATAAGTAGTAGCAGAGACCACCAGTTGGGTAAGATCTGGCTGGGCCGCCACCACCAACATCTTCCCATCGGCCGAGCAAGTTCACCAAAATATTACCAGCAAATTTCGTCGCCAACATTTGCGAAATAACGTACAAGTTAGAGACGAGAGCCGATTGAAGAATAATGGGAATGTTCGATGTGTAGAACAATTTAATCGGATAGCTAGAGTTTTGACCTCTGTATCTAGCCGATTTGATTGGTAGATCCACTCTGAAGCCCTGTTATTAAAAAAAAAATGTAAATGAGGGGGCAAATAAATGCAAAGACTATTTATCTTTTAATTCAATACATACTTGGAAGTATATAACGATTGCAAATACAAGAACCGTTGCCAACAAATTCATCAAATTTGGTAGGTTTTGTCTGTAAAAGGCTTCCCTCAATCCTCTTACTTTGTCTTGTCTAGTTGCGAGTAAGTGGAAGAGAGCGATGATGGCTCCTTCAAATTCTGTTCCTCGTCCAGTATTCACTGTGGTTGGCGAGAACGCCTTCCAAACGATGGTTTCGCATATGTTCGTTGCGATGAAAAGTGATATACCAGAGCCCAATCCATAGCCCTTTTGCAACAATTCATCGAGCAAAAGAACAATTAAGCCCGCTACGAAAAGTTGCAAGATGATGATCAAACAAACACCAGGTCCCAAGTCTGCTGGATCTCCATACATTCCAGTCATGACATAGACTATGGCCTGACCGATTGTAATGACCATACCAAACAATTTTTGAGCCCCGTTGAATAGAGCTCGATCTTTTGGCGTGTCCCCAACTTCAATGATCTTAGCTCCGGCCAGCAGTTGCATTATTAAACCGGAAGTGACGATTGGGGAGATACCAAGTTCCATGAGCGTTCCTCGGTTAGATGCCAAGATGACACGCATCCAGTAAAAGGGATCGGCAGAATCCGACGACATGATGCCGAATAAGGGAATTTGACAGCATACTAAAAAGATAAACAACGTAATAGCTGTCCATAATACCTTTTCTCTAAATTGTATCTGTTGGAAAAAAATAAAACATCATGAAATGGCAAAAAAACTACTTTTTAAACTCACTTTTCGTTCTGGTTTGGCAATTTCGGGCAGAAGTGCACAAAACGGCCGAACAAATTCTAGAAATTTAACTGAAAAAAAGATAAAAGTTAGAATTTTGTACTGACGCTATACACGTCGACAATGTTACTGCCGGCTTGCTTGAATAAACGTTATAAAAATTAACAATCATTGTATTCTTTACTTACATGCCATCTTAGGGCGTTATATTAAATGTTTTTAAGCTTCCTAACGACCAACTGAGGACGTATTATGCATCAATTTCACAAAAACTCGCACAAATGATTGCTACCGTGTCCCTCAACGTCAGAAAAGATCCTTCCACGTAGTTGGCCACGTGACCTATCTTGACGGGTTTTCTGTGCTATTCGACTTAATAGCCAATTTTAGAAGCTAAAATTATTTTTATAAATTTTTTCGTTTAATAATTTTAAATTACAATAATTAATCATTAATTTTTTGTTACTTTTTACGAAGAACGTGTAGTGCGGTCCTTCCGGAAGTGAAAGAGTTGTTGTGGAAATTAGGTAAACAACATTAGAATTTCCCTTTTTTCTCGCTTATCTTTCGTTTTTACGCTTTATTTTTTCGATAGAGGTAAATAATATAATATATATATTGTTATTATTATAAGTTTTTTATGAGGTTTGTCAAAATACGAAAACTGATTTTTTACGATCTTCCGCCTTGTTGGCACACGTTGGAAGACTAGGCCTATAGTCCTTAGGCCGTTCGATTAAAATTAAGCCTATGATAATGTACCAGATCTAACCATGTGAACCACGTGTTTCAGGTGATGGGAAACACTTCGGGAAAAAGTTTAAGGCGGGGAACGGCTGACAAATCCTCATCGTCCTTGTCGTTAAAAGGGCGTGAGGATACTGTTGAAAATCTATCAAGATGGATAACAGCCGAAAAAAGACGTACACAAGACATACTTGAAGAAAATTACGACGTTTATAAAGTAATAATGCCAAATCACTTTTAAAACTGTCCCCTATATTATAATCAAAACGTTGTCTTCACCTAAATTCAGCAAAGAATGCATTTACTGAAGCATATGTTCAAGCAACTTGATCCAAACATTATGGCAACTGCAACGTTTGTAAATCATGGCGACCTTGAACTTGCGGTGAAGTACGACGTATCCAGACGACAACTACTTGTAAAGATAATACAGGCGAGAGATTTAAGGGCAAGGGATCTCAGAGGAAAAACATCTGATCCTTACGTAAAGGTGTGATAAAAGCTGTGATAAGATAAATAGCACTATAATAAATTAACCGTTTCTATATAGCTCTGGCTACAAAAGGAAAGAGGTGGTGAAGTAGGAAACGTGTACAAAACGCGTATAATGCCTAAGACTCTATCACCAAAATGGAACGAAATCTTTTCCTTTCCAATTGATAATATGGATTTATTGGATGGAACATTCCTAATTTTTCAAGTATGGGATAATGACATTACCGAAAGGGACGATATGATCGGAGAAAATGTCGTCTCAATTTCTTCAATGAATATCAGTTCTGGACGACATGAATTTAACGCTTGGTATAGCCTAAAGGCATCAACTGATCTAAACATTACTGGTACCGTCAGTTTTGATATAAGCTTTGAAATGCCCGATGTTCTTACAATAAAAGTTCTTAAGGGTGAAGGTTTAACTCAAAAATCCACTGACAGACTACCCAACTGTAGAGTTAAACTGCAGGTAGAAGACAATATCTATTTATAAATTTCTGAATAAGATTATATAAGATATATCAAGATAAACAACAAAATGTAAATGCGTTTTATCTGTAGGTACCGGGCATTGCTCTTTGTTTCGAAACGGAAATCAAGGAGAATACGATAGATCCCGTATGGGAGGAGACATTCGAATTTCCGGTAACGCTTGATCAATTGTGTACCAAGTGAGTCTTAAATTTTCCTTCTCTGACATAAGAAATAATCAAAATACATAAATTACACAAATAAAAAATATAATTTCTTTTTATCTCTTATTTATCTATATAGATACATCGTCCTGCATGTTATAGACGTCAGAGACGGGCAACAAAATGAGACGCTCGGTCAGATTATCTATGATTTAGATAATATTACTCCTCATTCTGGATTTAATGGAACTATGGAGCTTGCAGACTTGGTTTGTATATTTGCTTTCAATTCTATTTTTATGTATTTGTTTTTATTTTATGAATTTTTTAATTAAGTTCATAATTAATATAAATTTTTTTTTTTATTTAAAATCATTAGAAAAACTCGGAGCGTCTTCGTTCTCGTTGGTTTCAGCATTTTCTTCTACAAGAATTTCGTGAATCTCTAACGGCTCATGCAAATTTTCATCAGCCGTCCTTCCTCTTCAAAAATTCTGAAGGAACAAAGGTACATCTATTTCCAATAGAATATAAAGTTTTCGTGAATATCCTATAGATGGCGCTGCATAATCAGATACCTTATAGCCATGTATATTAGCATTGGGTTTTATTACATTAGCTTTAAAATAATTCATTTCGCCCCCCACCCCCTCCTCGATCTCTGCACCATGCCTCCAAAAGTGTTACCCCCCTCTCTCACCTCCTTCTCTTCGATTAGTAGAGGTGTATGCGGGGAGATGCGCATGTGTTTCAAACTACCTCATTGAATTTATTTGATGCAGGCTTTTTACCTGACAATAACTGAACCATTGATTATACCCTGATATTTTATAGTTTTTTAATACATCTGGCGTTAATTTAAATGTTATGCTGGGGCTTTAGGACTATGAGTAGAAAAAAGAATAACATTTGTAAATTTGCTAATTAATGATTCCTCTCGATTTTTACTTTCTCTGTTTTATTTAAAAAAAAAGAGAGAGAAACGAAATAAAGATAAAAAACATCCGTGCGAACGTAACTACGGGAGGGATGGAAAAAAGAACGGGCGGAGAAATTCTATCCGCCGCAAAGCCTCCGGCCAATCATTTTGATGTGGCCAATTAGCCAAACTCGACAAACTTTCGCCCTCTTTCAAAATGACGACCTCTTGCAGCGTTTAGGCCGGAATCTATTTATTTATAGTTGAATGTTTTGTTTGCTTGTTCTCTTTACGCGTCGTTTTATTCTTGTCTCCAACTTGGTTTACCTCTCTTTTACGAATCTACAAAGCCTAACATGTTTTCATTTGATTTACACTATTTTTTTCTACTATACAGAACATCAGAATGGAGAGCTTGAAAGCGAATTGTACGGCAAATATCAAAATCGTCGATGGAATCCCTGTATATTGACAGGAGGAGGATTAAATGTAATAAGGCCGTGTTAAATTCTAATTTCTTTCTCTTAGAGGTCTTCCTAATCGCGTGTCTTCCTATTCTTTGTATGTTTTCGTTATATTCCGATCACTTTCTTTTAAAGAGACTAAATCTCGGCTGGTTCCGTTTAATGTCATTTTTTATTGTTATTTTCTTCCTTTATATAACTTATACCTATCTATTTATCTTTCTCCGTAGAATAAAATATATAAACGGATTTGGAAGTTTATTCTCCGTTTAGGATTGTAGTCTATATATTACTATATAAATGATAAGGCAGTACTTTTGCATTATAGATATTTCATATATATATATCTATATATGTATGTATGAAGTATTGTATAATAAAGTAACTCACATAAAACGTTATATAATTGGGATCGCTACGCGACGCCAAAGCCGGGCCGATGGAACGTCGTTACAAAGTGTCACGATCATTCCGTGACGTCAGAATGACAAGAATTAATGAATTGAGAGTATAGCTGTTACGGAACATACCGATTTATCATGTAGCCCTAGTAGGAGGGTATTTGAATGTGAAAGTTTTTTAGAAAAATGAGTAAAATATAATGGACAAGAGAAATGGATAAAGGAAAGAGAAAAGAGAGGGGTGGAAGTCGGTGATGCGTGACGCTAAAATCGACGCCAGCCGGATATCTTGCGAACAAGTCGGCGCCTTCAAAGAGTTTGTCGCACCTGACGACCGACTTGGTGCAGGTGACCATCATTAGCTTTTTCATTATAACTTGTAAGGTTTCTTTATCTTCTATTCCGATCTGCAAAATATAGAAGGCGGATGAAACGAATCTCGCGAGGAAGCGGTTTAATTTCGAATGCGAGATTGAGGCAGGGCCTGGAGATTTTATCTTTAACCGATACGTTCGATTTGTTTGTCAAATCTCCCCTCCGTCTCTCTTACTCTTTTCTTATTTTCCCTCATCTTTCTTCTCTTATTTACTATTTCACTACGGTAGAATAAGCGCCAATTCTATTATTCACTATGTCAAAAAGTTGCGAGAAGGCACGCGCCACCCAATCGGCGTTTCTTTGAACGCTCAAGCGTTGCTTTCAAGTGGCACGCGCTGACCTTTCACCCGATTTCGCGGTAAGCGTCTAAACTGGCTTAGTGACACTTTTGTGACCATGTCCGGCACGGGCGAGAATTAAAATAATACACATTCTCTTTAATAACAGAAAACAAGGGATTTACAATAAGTGTAAAAAAAATACTGGGGGCGTGGAATATGATGGAAGAGTACCAAGAGTGGTATACGAAAAATGAGAGATCGCGACGTCCCTTCTGATGCCGTCTAATTCGAATGTGGGATCATTCAAATACGCTTAAACGCATGCTGTTCTATAAACGGGCGATTACAACACTGCGCCACGTTTTCGAAATTAATTAATTTATGCTGTTAGTCTTCTTGGTCATGTGATCGTTACGGTTTAATTATAAAAAAAACGCAAAAAAAATAAGGCTAACACAAATATAAGCAAAAGATGAACAGGGAAAATATAGGTAGGTGTTTGGTTGTGTGGGGATGAAGAGCAATAGACATGATATAATATATACTGATATACTGTATATATAAGGAAAGAGAGAGAGAGAGAGAGAGAGAGAGAGAGAGGGAGAAAGAAAACGTATGATGCTGACTGGCGACCAAAGGGAAAAGAGCGTTACTAGAACGTTGCTGGGAAGCATTCAATGTAGTGCATGGAATGTAGTGTCCACTCGCGTCGACACGTGTCGGCAAACAATGCCATTTTTCCCATTGAAGGCAACAAACATATGCCCTACATTTCCTTACCCGATGTAATTCGAAAATTGATAAGTTATAGCTGGTGCGAAGGCAACAGTGTCAATTTCGTGAAGACAAACAATCGAATAAGTGTCAGCGGCGGGGAGTCTTCGGACTCTGTGTGAACAATAATCGAGAAGGATAATTCGTTTTTTGTTACCTTCTCGCTTTCTTTATTTTCTCAATTAATTTAATTGAAAAATTTCATCAGTGTATGTTTCAAGTTTTTTATTGCTGTACTACGTAAGAGATTGGAAGAAGAAAAAAAAATGCTATTTACTCAGCCGCAAACTATTTAACCCTCGTTGCAGCTTATCTCTACAGAGCCGCTGAACCAAAACTCTCGAAGCATCACGTGATTGCATTAGAAAATTTCTTATGAGGTCAGAGTTTATAGTTGTCATCCAGTGATATTTTTACCTGTATCCTCTTCGACACGTTACGGTTCGTGGCACCGTCTTTCTTTTTTTACTGTTAACGCCTACAATTCATGGAACACTAGAAATTGGGAAAAAAGACGTAGCGACTAAAAAAGAAACGCCCTAGAAACGAAGCGTCATCAGCCATCAGATAAGGGAGATTGCGTTCGAACGCTTTATGCATTAGAATGCTCGCTTTTCCGGGAAGTTTGGCATCGACCGCGCATGCGCAAAATCAAGCGCTCATTAATTAACATACATAATGTATATAGATGCATATAGCATAACTGCGCCGAGCAGATAAGGCTAAATCGGCTTTAGAACGGCTGTGTGCGTTGTGCTGATAAGGCAAAACTTGGCTGACAAACTGTTATATTACAAACAATATTCTGGCAACTTTCACTAACCAGGTTTGTTACGTTGGTACGTTTTTTTAATGTTTCTATTTGAGATTATCAATGGTGATATTTTCGTTTCTTTTATCAGAAGCGCTTAATTAATTTCCGCATAATATTGATATATATAGGAAATATTTATTTACCGTATAATGATATCTAACTAACATAAAAGAATATATAGAAACGCTATATCATTAATAAATTAATGTCGTCAAAAGAATTAGATTAACGCTTAAATCGTTTACCCTCCCTATAACTAATAAGCTTATACTTCTTTATCATATATATGTTATACAGTTGTTTGTCTTTTGATAAGCTAATATCAATTAATTAATACGTAAACTTTCAACACCGCCTATTACATACTCGACGGCGTTTGTATGTATCGTACTCTTATCAACCTCCTTTACGCGTATTACCATTTTTTATCTCGCCTAAACGGTCGATAATCATGCGTTTATCATCGCTCGTCTTGTAAAACTTCCGTGATAATATTTCTTATCTGAGTTTGATAATTGATTAGATAATTTAGCTATATATACTATATATAAAGGCATTAATATACACAAACTAATATATAAGTCGTAAAAATAAGAAATACGAGAATAAAGATAATAATCCATCTTCTTCGTAAGATTTAACTAATAAAAAAAGAAAGAGGGAAGAGAGGAAAAGACAGAGATTGAAAGAAAAGACAGACAAGACAGGAAGATAGATAGAGGAGGGGAAAGGGGAAAGCGCGGGGAAAGAGGTGGAGATTGGAAATAGAGAGAGAGATGGGGAAGGGGGGAGAAGAGAAGAAGAGATAAAAAAAATAGAGATTACAGAATTGTTATCTGTTACATATTATTACTATTATTTATTTTAATATGCAGTTAAATTATCATACACCATTGTCTGTACCAAAATCTCCACTACTTTATATATAAATTATGTTTATATATACAATATGCATATATTGTGCTCATGAAAGAAAAAGATTCTCTTCTGACAAACAGAACAAATAGATAGATAGATAGTTTTAATCTTCTTTTTATTACAAACATACCAAAAAAAGTAAAAGAAAAAAAGCATATTTGCACTTATTTACTTGTGTGTACAAGTACCTAGTAAGTAGCTATTATTATATAAAGTAAGAACGGGTACTTGATAACTCATTGAAATAAATTCCAACTCTTATACGTCTGTGTACGATTATTTGAACAGATAAAATTATTTATAAATATCTTAAACGTTTGTCATGTCCCCTCTAGGCCTATTTAAAAACTGTATAAGGGATTTTTTATCATTGTATATACAAGCGTGTTTTAACCCCAAGTACAAAATCGTTTTTTATTATATATATAGTATATATACAAATGGTGGATTGCGCCGCCGGCGATTGTCTCAGTTCACTCAGGCGGCCTTATCTCGCCATTGCAGCAATGCTCACTGGCCCAAATGCTGCAATACAGTACGGTACTGGAAAAAAATCGTTTACGGCGTTTATTTTACGGGGTAAAAGTGGAATGGAAAATTCTTTCCTTTCTATTTATGTGCGTATTGAGGTAAAGAGAATAATTAAAAGTTAATCGAGTGCGGTAAACGTTTAAATGGGGAATGTATCGCATAGGAAACGCTAAAGTCGACGCTCATTTCCGCTTCGCGACGGACGTCACTTGAGGCGTCATTTAGCAAACAAAGAAGGTTGTCGCTGCGATTGTCTATTCTTTATAGACGTTTGATGGGTGATGTGAGTGATAGGAGACCGTTCATTTGCATATTATATACATATATAGTTTGCTTAATTACCATATATTGATTTATGTTATTCACGACCGAAATTAGGGCTTAATGAGTTAAATCGTGCATCAGATACATATTTTTAATTAATCAAAATGCGTTTAAATTGGTTGTTCAAGTTGGAAAGATGGAGCCACCATTCACTTGAACGGGGGCATATTTATCATAAGCTTTCTAGACCATTGTAAATATGTGTCAGCCTATACAATATAAGCAATTTAAAGCATTATTATATAAATGCGAAATATTTAAAGTATTTTAATTTTGGAAATATGTATACTGTTAGGCCTACGCTGTAAACTTTCAGTCAAGAAAAGGCCTAGAGAGCTGCTAAAAGCGTCTAATTAGGGGCCCACTGAAGGTGAGACGGCTCGAAAGAAGATGACGTGAACAAAGGTTCCAAATGACGTGTAAATGGGTCTATAAAAGAGTAACGGCAAAAGCCGACAACTTCGAAATCTTTGAGTAATTATCCAATATAACCATCGCCGTTACGCTTTTTTAAGAGGCATTGAACAAGATAAAAGATGCAGAACAAATAAGAATAATAATAATAAATTTGTAGGAGCAATATAACTGAGTAAAGGCTATATGAATTTGTAGTAAAAATATCTGCATAGTCGAAGGATGGATTAAAGCGGCTAGCGAAAACGGCTTGTTTGTATTCGACTGTTTTGCTTGGACGTGCTGAGCGAGTTTGCGATTGCTCTATATATAAACAGGCATTCCCGTATATAAAGTTTGTCTTGAGCTGGCGCTTATAGACTTACGACCATATGTCGAAGAAACTTTCTCCTATTTAGATTTCCGTTTACATAGAGATTCTAACTTCGACGTCGTTCAAGATGGTCTAAAAAAAAAGAAAACAATCTCTGACCACAGCCTAACGAACTTTTCTATGAAGTAAAAATATTTAGATGTCTAGACACGAGTGTGAGTAGGATCAGCTGCCCCAATCATCCAGTCTGATCCTCAGGTTTTCTACTAACGAAACAATAAGGTAATTTTTACTGAGTTTGTTTCGATTTCGCGTGCGTGCATGCTGAGACCGCTTTTGATTGAAAGAACGTTTAATCAGACCTAGCGTTCCCAGCTTTTTTTTCCCAACCGCTTCGTATCCGAACACTAGGCGTCTTTCGAATATGACGCCGCCCGAGGCCGAAAGGTGCCTGATGGTAAGGTAGATAAGTTTTAGCGTGAGCAAGTTGCATTGTGCGTGTATGTATGTATGTGCGTCTGCTCTCGAAAGAATGTTCAGTCTCAACCCTAAATTACACAGCACGTTTGTAGAAAGTGAAATTCTTTGTTGTCGTACGAACAAAGCGAATGTATAAGCATATATATGTATTCATGTTACTCCTCGAACATCTAAGTAGACATATAAATGCGTAGTATTGACGGATTTAACCCAATTTTTCTCTCTTTTCCTTTGCGTGGGCTCTTTTAAGTGTAATTTTTGTCTCGTAGGAATCATTGAAAACTCGTGGGCTCGTACGCAAATATATCAACTAAAGTTACATATAGGTCAATATTATACGTAAATCTTTCCCAGACTGTATAAGTCCCTTTACAATTGAAAATGACCAGCTCTGAATAGTTTTGACCTCGTTGGTCTTTCTCAATAAAGAATTCAAAAACCGAATTTGAATGTTGATTAGACGGTGGATGGAATGAGGTGCCAAGATCGAACGATAAGTAAATGTATGATGCGCGCACTAAAGGTGTCTACAAGTCCAAGCAGCGTTTGCTTTACCACAACCGGGACAATTCGCAGCATGCTAACATGATGGGCGGAGCTTATGCTAGGTAGCGCTCATTGGCTGAAAAAACTGAACTCCGCCCACGGCGCCACGTCGTCTAATATTGGCCGCACCAACAAACGTTCGTCACGCTCCTCTTTCATTCTATTCGCTTCGCTATCGGAATAGCTATCAGACTTACAGGCCGGATTTAGATCGTCGAATCGGTGGATTTTTTAAATAGATCATCCTTCGTCTCAATGCGTCTTATCTACTATCTACAACTGCCATCAGTATTGAGATAAACTTTTAAAATCGTGAACCACAAGCGGCCGCAATTCAGCAGAATTGTTCGTCTTATCTCAACATATCGCTAAATTTTTATGAGGTGCCTGTTGTTTGCATATCTGATCCAATCTGCATTCGCACCTCGATTTATTCAATTTCCATATACACTTTTCCTTTATCTATCCTTAACAGAACAATGGAACCAGTTGTCGAACAATCGTGGATACGTCCTGGATTAGACGCAAACATGGCTATGGCGCCTCATGTTGAAGATATGAATACAGCAACTGATATGTACTTTCAATCAGCTCTGGACAATGGTAGAATGAACAATTATTATTCTACAAGGGGTGTACATCCGTACACATCCACTCCAGCTGCAGCCGGTGAGTACTGCTTCACTTTTCCATCGCTTTTCCACTAACCTTTCACCTCACTTTATTATTATTATTTATTTTTACGTGCACGTCTATATATTGTCAAGAACATATATAAATATCATCTTCTATATGAAATTTATATTTATATATATTTACGAACGGTTTTTTTTCTTCAAGTGAAAGCCATAAATCGTTCGATGCCATAAATAGTAGCCTTTTCTTGTGGGGCAAAAGTAATTCAAATATTTGACTTGATACATAATAGAGACGGGTATATAGAATAAGATCTTTTCTTCTCGTTTACAAACATGGTTTTATTTATCGATAGTCACGTGATAATTTAACGTCTGTAAATAATAAACAGAAAAAGTCGAATTTCGATATTTGAGACAAAAAATAAAAATGTCCCCGATACGGAGAGTTTCACTTAACGCAATTTAACGATAACTCTAATATTATTTTATCGTAAGACGGATTGTTTATCATTAGGTGACATATAATTGACAAGGTATAATTCGATAATGAGTTCCGTTGACAAACCGCTTGCAAACTGTTCGCCCTAAAAATTCGCCGCCAAACTACTCCCTTGAGCTGTAAGCCGCCGGTGCTGTCAGAGCTAATAAAGTAGCTGGCTGTTTGGCAAACTGCAGTTTTCTTGTTTGGCTAACACGTGTTCGTTTGCGGCACGCGTGCGCTAATATTGTTTACAAAATAATCCATTCGCTAACATTTTTATAACCTCCTCAAGGTTCCACGTCTTCCTGCCGGTCTTTCTCATCGTCATTTTCGTGGCCAATTGAAAAATCTTGGCCATCTTCTCTATCCGAATCGCAGAACATCACCGGAAGCTGGAGTAAATGGCCTCAGGCATCTTACGGGAATGGATCAACTGGTCTTTTTCCATATTTGCCAACTCCTCCAAAGGAAACAACTCCGGAAGCATCTTCTTCCGACCAACAACAGTATTCGAATACCGCTCAAACACCTCCTAATAATTCAACGGAACAGGCGAAAGAGGAGCAACAGCAGCCAGAAAGTTCAACGGCTAACGCATCATCATCCGCCATGACTCTCTCATCTTATCATCCAGCCGCTGCTTATAGTGGCTATATGTCGTCATCTGCAGATTATTCGTCGAGTCTCTTCCATCCCGCCGCATCTATGTTCAAAGCGGCCACTTTGGCTCGAGTTCGAACGCAGAAGAGGTCCAGTTCGGGTGAGTTGTTTGTTATTTAGAGAGTTGAAAAAAAAAAAAGATAAAAGGGTGGGACTGTTTACCCAAGAGCTTAGCGGACCGTGACAAGATGCTAGTTAAGATCGCAAGCAAAACACAGCAAAGTGTATCGAAACGCCGATAAAACGTTATCTAAAGACGATTTTCCGTCTTCTCGGAGCGGTCGGCGAAACGCTTCAAAGGAGCCGCTAAATTAAGAGCGTGATTAATTAACAAACCCTTCGTCCTTTGACGTCTGTTATTCTATTCCTTTCGCACTTTTACCCTTATAAACAAGACTACAGCAGCAACGACAGCTGCTTTTTCTTTCCATCTGCCATTTTCATTGTATACAAATTTACTACATATCGTGTATCCTCAAAATATTCAAAAGCTTACAGACCTCAACTATCTATTTATAATCTTTATCTCAATTATATTGATTTATAATTAGGCGATGAGGAAAAGAAAACGTGTCAGCAACGCTATGCGGATGAGTGACACGGCACCGGGGCATACTCTCTACGTTTTTTTACCCCGCCGACCCAGAAAGATAACGTTTCTAGAGCCTCCGGGCCAAATTCGCTCATATTTTCCGCCCTACCGAAACAAAAACAACGAGAGAGGAGACGGAGGGCAAACAGTGAAAAAAAATGATAATGAAATGAACGGTTTCCGAAAGTTCGTTATGGCTAATTAACGAACTGTTTTTTAATGGATCGTGTCACAAACCCGTACGCGTCAAGATAAAATAATATAACGCGGCAAGATGGTAAATCAACTCAAAAACGCATTTTTATCCGGCTGACGCTCGTGTGGGTGGGCGTTTCTCAAGCTGTCGGCCATTTTGACGTCTTTTCGTCCTATATACTCTTATAAGTACGAGTATGGAAACACATGCGACGCCGCTTGACGTCGACAGCTTGATCGCTAAATAGGGGAGGACTGAGTGGGGGAAATAAGGAGAGAAATTCACGGGATTTAGTAGGCATATGCCAAATTCGTCCCTATTACTTTTCTTGTCAATTTAATCTTAGTATATTTACGGTCCGTATGTATGTAAGTAGTTGAAGACGTTTTTATTACGTTACTTACGCATTGTGTTTGACCTACAAGGCATGCATTTGGATGCCTTATCATTTTATTCGTTTATTATTCGATCATAATCCTTAATCGTTCTTAACAGAGGGTAGAGAATGCGTTAACTGCGGGGCGACTTCCACACCACTATGGAGGAGAGACGGCACTGGTCATTACTTGTGTAACGCCTGTGGATTATACCACAAAATGAACGGACAGAATCGACCCCTAATTAAGCCGAAAAGACGACACGTAAGTATTAAAAATAGCTTTCGTTTTTACGTCTACACTCTTATGGAATTCAATCATATAATCCTTTGCAAATTCGCCTTAATATCTTTCATAAGTGACGCCTTATAGTTGCTATCGCGGCTGCTTGGGCGGACACCTGGGTTTTTCTTTCTTTTTTTTTTTCTATAAAAAAGAGGGGCTCTTTGAAAGAGAAAGGCTGGAAAGACTTCGTCTTTCAGAGTGAGAGACATTATGTGTAATAGCTTCTTTAAAATTAAGAGGGTTATTCGACATGGTTTGCGTGCAAAATTCGACCTGTTTTGGTTCGTGACGTCATCGATGACGTAATTGACTCTTCCCAGCCCATTTACAACTTGTGTGGCTTTCTAAAGGAGATATTGTATTGAGTAATTGTAATGTTGCCTTGGAGCTTAATTGCTTTAAAGGTGGTCGGTTAATGACCGTTACGTTGCCTTGCATATTGAAAAAAATTCTTATCTTATTAAGGGTAGTTTTCTATTATTATTTTTGTAGTCGTGTTATTCAACACAAATCGAGCGCGATAAAAGAAGGAAAAAAGAGTTTTTTTAAGGCGACATAATTAGGCAAAATAAAAAAATTACCGTACACACCAAACGCTTTTCAAAGACAACGCTAAGAGCGAGAAGAAAATACTGGATCAAAGAAGCGCCGAATTCTTTCATAATTCCCCCATATAATTAGGCATTATTTCAGTAGAGTAATTACACCGTTTTTCTCGCTCTTCGTCAATTTACACTTAAAAAGAGTCGACCGACTAATTTACAGTTTTCCCATTGTTTAACCATTTAACGGAGTAAGAGTACTTTGAAATGGGGAGGGAGGATAAATAGAAAGAAGATGAAGCGTAGGAAATTAATTTAATTCAAGAGTAGAATTCCGGAACACGTGTATTGCTTTTTGAAGATGAAGAACGTTATGCAAATGAGGGCAAAGTGCAAAGCAAACAGATAGGTCGTAAAAACGTGCTTTAGCTAGTTGATTTATAGACTGACTAAGGGGATTGAGTGAAAAAATTCGTAGGAAAACAGAAGCGACGCGGAAACAGGTGTTTACAAGCCGATTTTTTTCCTTTTTTGTTTTGGTGTCAGCCCGCAAAGTCTTTGATATTCAAGCACGAGTAGACTATTTCGTTTTATCTCTCGAGTAGCTGTTTAGAACTTGTTTGTATGAATTAGCATATAAGCGGACTAAAAGGGGGATATATATATATATGGGAAGGGAGATAGACGTAGGAGGGCCAGGGAAGAAGCATAAAGGAAATGGGGAAAAGCAATATGCTAAATTATAAGAGATTGAATCTGTATTAAACTTTCGAAAAGAAATTAAAAAAAGGAAGTTTCCAGCTCACGCAAAAGGCGTCATATTTCTGACGTTCTAAGTATACCTTATTACGAAAGTCTTGTTGGACGCCTCCTCTCCGCTTTGCACAATAGGATTGAATAGGTCTACTAGGGCGAACTTATCATATCTAATTTCTTCGTGTTCTCCCCTACTTTAACCACCCATTTTACCTTTCTCCGCCTCCTACTAGTTTTTCAACTATTTGTATAATTTTGCTAAAATAGATATTTTACTTTATCAACGCATGCACGCGTATAAATTATACATGTATACAAATCGTCGATAAACAAATATTTCGCACGAACAACACTCACGTCAGAAACATTAGCACGCAAACTTGGAAAAAGAGGAGGATAAAGCGTAAAAGAATGTTTACGAATCGAACGTTGTAATTACGATGGCATTTTTCGAACCGATTGATGCTATCTGATACATATGCACGCATATATACCCTCATACAGTCCTATCGTTCCCTTATTGTAATTAAGCCGTGTGGAAAAAGGAGCTCGCTAGATGTCGCAATTGATCGTAATTCGATATGGACTGTATTCAAATCGCCTCCATCCAATAAGAATTCTTAGCTTACTTTCTTACTTATTATAATAATAATAATAATAATAATAATTTTTTCCCTTTTCTTTCTCTCCGAAAAAGCAGAATAACGCGCGAAGGGCTGGTACCAGCTGTGCTAATTGTGGCACATCTACGACAACTCTGTGGAGGAGAAATCAGAATGGCGATCCAGTTTGTAACGCTTGTGGATTGTATTATAAACTACATAATGTAAGTAATAAGTTTTAAGCTTATAAATTATAGCATTTAGTATTGTGGGGTAAGCTAAATAGCAGCATTTCCATTTATGAGGGCATGTTTTGGGGATACTTGCAAAAATCTAAGTAAGATTTTAGACTGTTAATGCTATATACACTAGTTATAGTTGAGAAATTGTGAAAGGCGATCGCAGCGGGCCAAGTATTCAAGTTAATAGAGCGTGCTTGAATATTACACCATCATTCACTCGTACCTTTCGTAGACGGTCATGGCGCCAATTGCGCCAATAGCTGGCGCCGTCCTCCTTTGTTCAATTTACTCCTTCTACTCCGCCCAAGCCGATTTCTGGCTTATCTTACAAATCGCTGGTGAGACTGATCGTAAATGGCAAGGAATAATCAAGAATTAAAAAGAAAAATTATTATATATAAACAGACTGGATATGGGTGACGCCCTCTAATTGCGCAATTAAGAAGGGGCGCCGCTGTATTTATATTAAACGCTTAATTTTTCGTCACTTCTCCACCTTTTTGTTTGTAGCGAGGGATCAATTAGGTGTCTGTTGTTTATACCCAAATTTTTCCATAAAAGACATCAAAGTGCCTGCCGCAGAATATTTATTAAGGGAAAATTGAGGGGTAGCGGGGGGGCTTAAGAGGAAAAAGTTAAGAGTAAAGGTAGGGGAGGTGGCCTATAAGGAGTATATGCGCATATATTTAAGCGAGAAAAAGTTCCCATTTAGATAAGGATCTTTCGGGTAGTGAGTGGGTGAAAACCCCCCCACGCGGTCAGTCGGAAACGCCGCCACACTCGTGAACTGTTTGTTGACATTTTGTATAAACTTTACATATATAAACACTCGATAAGGCCAGCCGCTATGCGTGCTTGATGGGCCATGGTCGGTAGATAAGAGAAAGATAATGACCACTTCTCACCAACCTCCTGAGACCGTTTTTTCGTTTACTCACCTTGAGTATTTTTTTGCCCTAACCTACTATTTTCCATTCGCTGCTTTTCGCTTTATTGTGGTTGGAACCTGGTTCTTTATGTTTCAAGACCCCCATTAATAATACGGTCGAGACTCTTCGATGACAGAAGAGACTAGATTGTAATGACACAAAAGAAGTGAACAGTCTGTTTACCCGCGGCCTGCTGTGAATTCATTGTGTTCCACTCGAGCTCTCTGCTGGAGACCGTCGGGGTTCCTTATTCGTCTCTCAGGGCTAGTTACCGTATTTTCCCTTTTTCTCATTAACGGAATTAGGGTGGAGCACTGAGAGGTGGAAAGGGGGAACCAGGGGGGCGTACATTAGCTCCTAATAAGAGAAACTTTACATAAAGAAAAAACGTTAATAGGGAAATAGTAGCCGAGTGGGTACTATTTACTGGTGACATAGTAAGAAAACATAGAGATAAGAAAACTGCTTGAAAGATGCTTTAATTGTGTAACATAGAAAAAAAAGAAAAGGAATATCTCGCACGCGAGAGAGAGAAAATAAAAGCCATTGAGCCTATTATCGGCACGCGACTATAAGGTTATCGAATCGTGTATCGACAATTCGATTGAAGAATATCTCTACAGCACAGATTGTTATATGGAATGTTCATTCTTTAGAGACGGACCGAAATTCTTCGATTCTTATCGCAGTTCGCTAATGTAACTAAATTGCAAAGCGAGGCTTTTCTATTTGCATACACCGACAAAAGGCACCTGTAGGCGGGGTAGGGGGGCAATTAAAGACTTATATACAATGTACATAGCTGGTATAAAATGAAAGGAAAGAAAAAGCCCGGCGGGTCTCTTTCCTATCTTAAAAAATACGGTATTAATGTACATAAAAGTGACAAGCTTAGTTTTAAAAAAAAGTAGTAAAAAAAGTAGCTAAGGAGAAAGAGAGAGAGAAAGAGAGAGTTTTACGGATACAGATATACGCTTCTCTCGTTCAAGCAATAAAAAAGAGGCAT